TTTTCGTAACATTAGTTCTGGCATGAGTCCCATTTGCAAGAGCGGAGCGGACAGCATTTGAGGTTGATGCAGTGGCAAGGAGGGAGACTCGACAGCATGCTGGTACTGGTGCTGTTGTATGTTGTGTCTCCTGCACCATGTGTGCCGTTATTGCGGTACCACCTTCACCCTCTGTCCATGCACTCTCGTACAGCGCGCTCTCCTCGTCTACTACGTCGTCCTTATCGTCCTTATCGTCGTAATAATGATTTTGCACTTCGGCTACGTACAAGCAAGAGAGTCAAGCAACAGAGAGAATTAAAGAGGCCGCATTGAAGTGCAGACTATTACGCTATCAAGAATCTCAGAATAAAAAGTATGAGCCATCACCTTCGATCCGATCCAGAGTGGGAAATCGCAGACTGAGTCTGACTGCTTTCGCCGACCTTGTCTAAAAAGTGCGAAGAGTAAGGGTATGACATATGGCGCCGCTGCTTTGTCGCTGGGTTATGAGTTCCGCTTGAGGCACTACTGCCTGGCTACTGGCAGGGCGCGAGAAGGAGATGAGAGATGGCAAGAAGATACAATACAAATGGACGGCACATCGTGATGCACATTTTTTTTTTAGTATTCTCGGTCATCCAAAAATTCAGAAATTTGTGAACTGGTTTACAGGAAATACCCTCAGGGACGTGGTGCGTTTTGACCCTACCCATGGTGATGTGGGCCTTAGTTTTTGTCGCCTATGGCCGGTTCATATGCAACAGTAGCACCCGTGCATGCGACAGGGTGCGGTGGGGTTTTGCTAGCTTGCACAAGCATCATCTGCTGGAGGGAGAAAGCATAAGTCAGACTGTCGTGCACGACTCCGATGGATGTGCTCATTTTGCACCTTACAACTCTGCAATGTCTATAGGAACGGGCACTTGATTTCCTCCTCGCAACCAAGGCCCACCAATACATCATTGAATCAGCGCAACCATAACGGATCATGCGAAAAATGCGATGAGGACGACGACTAGGCCTCGGTGGGGCATTTCATCTATTTATCTGTGGACTTGTTAATGGCCCTTGTTCTTTTCTTGCCTTTTGCTTTTTTTTTTTTTTTTTTTTTTTTGCTGTCTACGTATTCATATCTCCATGGAGCAATGCAGCATTAAACTTCCTTCGGTTTTCAAGAAGTCTGCTTAGATACCGCGGCTATCTGCATCGTAATAGAAATGTGTAGTGGATCGTGATGACGCGAACTGCGGCTTCTGTTTTTTGTTGGCAGAGAATCTCGATTCCCCACCTTCTTGGCTCCTGGCTCACTATAACATGCATACGTAAAGGATTTGTCCAAGGGATTAGGACAATACAGCTTGTGGTGGTTATCCGGCTGCAGCTCTGGATTCAGCAGAGAGATTATGCTGAACCTATACTAGTGAGGAGATTATACCGTTTACGCGACTTGCTCTACTGAGAAGACTTATCGGGCGCTGAATTCAGCACAGATGCGGTCCATTCTGGCGAGTCTGACGAAACAGGATGTAGTAAACGAATTGCGCGCACAGATCGAAGTAGCGATGCCGGTGAGGAATATTGAGGTTGCTATGTTCATTTGTGATATGACGGTAGGGCTGGTACAATCATTCCATGGACTGTTCTTTGCTCGGGTTACAGGGGCTTTTGGCGATGGGTTTAGTGGACTTCATATCCGAGGGGTCTTTTAAGATGATCGTTCACTTCCATCCATTTCGTCTCCTCTCTCATTTTTTCATGTAGACGCTCATCTCACTACCTTTATGCTCTTATATAAGTCCGTATCATAAAGGCCCTGTTTTCTTTATTACGCATTTTCTCTAAATCCCACCACACCCTCTCGCAAGGTCACCAGTTTCCTCCTGCCCGGTTCCTCTGTACCACTTCGAAAGCCGGACGACGCAACTTCCCAGGCTGTCATGCCTACAACGCCTCTAAGCACGCAGCTGAGTCATTATGGACACCCTTCTGATAAAAATCGCGTCTTAAAAGATTGATATCTCGGTTATTGAACTCGTCGGAGCTAAGGTTCCCATGGCTGCATCCTTGCCCTCAGTGTATGAAGTCGTCTGGCGGAAAACGGCGTCAAAGATCCGTGAGATATATGGTCAAAAGTTTATTGAGGGGCTGATGAAGCATAACGAAAACGGAGCAATGTCGGCGAGGACAGTGGTGGAGGGATCGGTAAGGGTATTTTGCGAGAGAAGTGGAGCGAAGGGGGCTAGGGTGATTGTGGGAGTCTGGTGGGCGGGAATAGCGATAGGAGCTCAGGAAAAACTGCTAGAGTTGGGAGATCGATGGGGCGATGCGATGGTGTGTGAAGTACGTGTGAAGTTGGCCAGAGGGCCCTTTCCCTCAGAATACTATCAAGGAGCAGTAATGGCAGTGGGCGGAGTCATGATATCTTTTGGTGTAGTGATCATCAGCAATTAGCGTTAATAATAATAAAGGAGAGGATAGCTTGTAATCTAATTTGAAGGAGAAAGTGCTGCGCCCAAATACAGCCGTGTACGATTTCGTTGTGCTTTTTGAACGCATTCACTGTAAAAATGTGAAACCGAATATTTATGTCCCACAGACTGAACGTCAACAGCACCACAGCAGGATCTTGCCTGGTTTGGTTTGTTTCCTTACCATGCACGAAGTATATATACACGGGACATATATCCTTGCATATGCATGGCGTAAGCGTATACTCCAATATCATCAGACACCACTCAAGGGTCAAGAACGAAATTGAGCATCAAGATGCTTTCTAGGATGCCGTGGATGTCCTTCATGGCGCTATACGCGCTCAGATTCCTTTTAATCATATACTCCATGCGAGTGTGAATTTGCCCTCCGCAAAAAAAAAAAAAAAAAAAAAAAAAACCTGAAAAACTGGGTTCTATTGCCTGGTGTATGCAAATGAGTAACATGTCCCAGGGCTGACGCGGGGCAGTCGGACCTACTACAATACCAATATCGATTGGATATCCACGGAGGCTGGCCAGTATTTATTACACTGCCTGATGTTCTCAGTAGGGGACATCATTGGTTGTTTTTCATTATGGGGGCTAGCGGGGGTGAATGGGCATGAGGAGAGGAGGCGGATGCAGTGAGCATTTCCTCGGCGGAGGTTTTGGCGGAGAATGGTCTTGCAGAAAGGGCTTTTGGCTGTGGCCCGTTTAATCTAATTTTCTTCGCACTCAGCATCGCAGGAAAGATGTAAAAGACAAGAGCTAGACCTTTGGAAGTAAACGAGAATGTCCCTGTCCATCGGAAATCCGTTTATGTTAGAATGACTTTGCGGATCTGATGCTAATCCACATGGATACACCTGAAAGTGGAATGGAGCAAAGTGGGGAATGGCAGAAAAAGGAGGGAGCAGGCTCCACGCAAAGGGCTTACTCAACGTTCATTCTTGACTTAAAATTTTTCTTAACGGTTGAATGTCCATCCTCTTCTGAAAACTTTTTTCTTCGTCACACCTTCTCCTCCTTTAGCTTCCTCATCTCATTCCTCTTTCTTCATTCCTCCGCTCCCCCATTTCTTCATTCCTCAAAAGGGTTACTATGCCAGACGGCCATCCGCATTCCCATGCTATCCAGATGGATGACCCTCTCGACAGCAACAGTACCGACACCGCATCAATCAGCACTGTAACGACTGCCGGCCATGGCGCTGTAGTCCCCGCCCTAATCCTTGCTAATATTACCAGTGCTTCCCCTACTCTGATCGACACCATCAGCCCCGGCTCTGCAGTCATTTCCCCGCGAACCACCTTACCTACAACTGCGAACAATACTCATGGGAACACTGGCCTCTCCTCCGGATTCGCACTCCCTACCGCCAATCCCTTCACAGAAAGAGGCGAGCCCGTCAACCCCTTCAGTCCTGCAGGAACACCCCAGGAGACCCCGATGGTCACCCCTCTCGGATCACCCACACAGGAGCTGCAGAAACTCAGTCTTGGTGTTGAACGATACGCACGAGCAATTGAGGATCCTGGCCCCATGGGTTCCTTCTCAGGGACGGTGCCCTTGCCCTCGCTCTCGCAAGCAGATCATTATGCATCAAGGAGGAGACCCTCTCGTATTCTGCTGGATGCGATCGTTTCGTCCTCACCGTCCACAGGCAAAGCGGCCGAATGTTCGGGCGTCAATAATTCGTCACAAGAGGGCGGATCTGTAGAGTCACCCACGGGCAAGAGCAGCAAAGGGCTAAACCTTAACACCATCAAAAGAGCTCTCTCTGGAAGGCGTCGTATGCAGGACGCAACTATGGTTGATCTGGAGACCAACCATACGGGTGACAGCAGTAACACAAGCAACAACAGGGATGGAAGGAAGAACAGCGTCATGATTAACGATCTCGGAAACCCCTTTAGTAGTCCGATGCTCTCTGCCAATAGTGATGCTCAGGTCGCTCTGTTGAATAGTCTGTCGTTCTCACCTCAACCACTGCTGTTGCCGTCAACGCTCTCGAATCATCCGCTGCAGGAGGCCGCGAACGAGAGTCGACCGAATGAAAACGACGAGATCAGGAGACGATTGGAACAGAGTAATAGTCAGGTTACTGCCACGGCCACCGTCGATAGATCATCGCCCGATATGCAAGCGGACTCTACGGCTGCCACAGGAATGCGCCACAGAAAGCCCAAGGGGGGCATTCTTAGTCAACTGCTGAAACTGCAGAGGAACGAGGCTGCAGCGGCGGCGGCGGCGTCTGGATCTTCGGGTGCCAGGAAACCACATGGGAGCCCACAGCATCCTCAGGTGAAGAAGACAAAGAAAGGGTTTTATTATCGATCCTCGTCCAAGAACAACTCGTTCACAGATCTCAATTCGCCCTCGGCCACGACCACACCGCGTGTGTCCCCCAGGAACTCGAGGATCTTTGAGCTAGACTCGTCAAATGCCTCGACCACAACCACACGTCTTCCCACACAACCGCCGACGTCGATCAACAATGCCTCCTCACCCTTCAACAGACCTGACCCACATGAACACATCGAAGAGATGGAGGCCATCAGCGCGGCGGCCACGGCGGCGGCCACGGCGGCGACACTCTCGACCAGTTTGGGAATCCAGCGGGATATCGCTGAAATCCTGACGCGGCAGTCGTTCCTGATCATGATTGCCAAGGCTCTGATTCTCTACGGAGCACCGTCGCATAGGATTGAGGAGACCTGCGCGTTGTTGGCAAGAAAAATGGATGTGGACGCTTCATTCGCGTTGCTGCCTGGGTTAATGACCATCTCGTTCAGCGATCCCGAGACACATACCAGTGATACAAGGCATCTGCGGTGCACGCAGGGCATGGATATGTACAAGCTCTCGAAGGTCTACACAATCGCATGGGGTGTCCTGCATGGCGAAGGTATCGAGGAGGCAAACAAGAAACTCGAGAAAGTCACTATTGAACCTGGATATTATCCCGTCTGGGTCACGGTCATGTCCTGGATGTTCGCTGCGGCGTTCGTGGCGCCCTTGGCGTTCAACGGCAGTTGGCTCGACACAGTGTTGGCGGGATTCTGTGGTTTGTTGGTGGGATTGCTCGGAGTCGTCGCGGCCAAGTTCCCGGTGTATGGAAATGTGTTTGAGGTGACCTCGAGCATTTTGGTCGGGTTCATTGCGAAGGCGTTTGGAGACCGAGTGTGCTTCTCGGCCGTAGCACTCGCGGGTGTGGTGGTGTTGTTACCAGGGTTGTTGTTGACGCAGTCGATTATGGAATTGGCATCGAGGAATATCGTGTCGGGCGCGGTGAGGATGTTCTATGCGCTGATGTATGCCTTCTTCCTCGGCTTCGGACTCTCCCTCGGCGCTGAGATCTGGGACTCTGTAAGTACTATTGCTCTTTGCAATGTTATAGTTGCAATGCTGTCTTTGTCAACCTATTGGCGCATAATAATTGACATGAGATATTGCATTGCGCTGATGCTTAGATTGGTGGGGAATCGACGGCCCCTGCGTCGGCATGCGAGAAGGGCGTGAACCATTGGTGGCTCTTTTTGATCTTCCCTGCGGTGTCGACTTCGATCAACATTGTCTTCAACGCGCATCCAAGCCAGTGGCTCGGTATGACCGTAGTCACCGCCGTCGGCTTCACGGTCTCGTACTTTATGACGGCCGGTCCACAGGTTACGCCCGCGGTTGCGGCGTTTGCGGTCGGCGTTGCAGGGCAGGCCTACGGTCGGATAACGGGCAAGCTAAGCTATGTGCCTCTGCTGAGCGGAGTTCTTTTGCTGGTTCCAGGAAGTGTCGGCGTGAGAGGAGTGCTGGCCATCATTGGAAGTGACCCGGGTCAGGGCTTTCAGTTTGCGCTGCGGATGGTCAATATCTCTGTGAGCATCACGGTAAGCATTTGATTGTATCTTTCGTTTGGTCGTATACGGCACTTTCGATCCCGTCTGTCCTTTGGCAGACTCTAATTGCTTCTTTTTTTTATTTTATTTTTTATGACAATTCAGCTCGGCGTGTTCTGTTCTGCATTGGTCTGGTACCCATTCTGGCGCAAGAGTACATTTATGAACTTTTAATGTGTCTAATTCGACCTCTCTATAATGGCCATCTGATTTCGCTATCTTTGGCAGGCGGCCATGCATTTTCAACCAATTATTCTTAGACATATACCCTCTCTCCCCTCCTCCTATTTTCGCAATAATCTTGTAGAATATATCCTTAGCTGGTTAAAATAGATATAGTATTTTGCGTCCAGATAGAACAACAAAGTTCATCTGATATGCGTTGATTTCCAGTGGTTTATTATGAATTCTCGGTGGTGTTGAGTGTATGATGAGTGTGCTAGTGTTGGTGTTGAAAGGGAGGAATGGATGGAGCCCTCGTCTACTTGCGCATCAACAGGTACAAGTTCTCGCCCAAGCTGATGTTCTGCAAGTGTCTGAAATCGCCTTCCAAGCACATCAAAAGACCACCATATGAAATGTAAACCGAGCTAATTTGAGAAAGGAGATGATGCGTTTGTTAGAAGATCGAAGTAGCGGATGTTTGATCGATAGTTCCTGAACACGTCCGCAATCCTTGGCTGTGATATACGTGCGCTCCCGCACAGTTTGCTGCTCAATGGTTCCATATAGCCCAGATTCCTACGTCCGATCGATCTGCTCTGCCGTTACTAGGTCCCAGCTTGAGAGAAGGTCCAAATCCTGCCAGGTCCACGTCCCTTGATCCTAAAACTCTACCAGCCTCGTATACTTTTTCATGAATTGGCACGGTTTCAACGAAAACAAAACTTACACTTTGCTTCCCTGACCCTCATCGTACTTGTAGACCTTTCCATACATGACATATTCATAGTCATCGGCCAAGGTTCTCTCGCCACCGACCTTCTCACGCCAGCTCTCCTGAGTTCCTGAGGTATCGTTTCCGACCGTAGTGGTCAAGGACAAGGAAGTAGCAAGGACAAGTGAGAACTTCTCGCCAATTTCGAGAGGGTAGAGCTCGTTGTTGATATCGAGCGTTAATTCCATCTCGTAGTTCTCACTGCGGGCATTGATACGCGAGACTAGATACGATACGATGTTTGATAGTATTTGGTTAGTTCGGCCCCCTATGGTTTGTTACAAAGAGCAGTGTTGATCTACCAGGAGCAAATGCATCGCTGCCAATGAGGCCTGGAGAGGTATGTTGGATGGAAGTAGGGAGGGGGGAGTTTTTTTTGGCATTGAGCGAGGATGCGTACCCTTGTCGAACTTTTTTCCTGCACCATCGACGTCCTTGATATCGAAGATGTCGGAGAAGAGGACGTTGTCTTTGCTGGCCATGATGTCCGAAGGATCTGTTTTGGGACTCGAAGAGGTATTGCTGGAGTGAAGAAAGGTGTATTCTTTTTGCCTGAACCACGCATGCAGAGTGTTTCTGTTTACAACTGTGCAGGACGAGCGAGCAGACAGTCACTGATATCAGTTTTTTTGAACCAAAGCAATTCAGCAGCTCCTCCACGACGTGAAAGAATAAAATGCCGATAGCGGCCTTTATTATTCTGATATGAAAGTGCGCCTGGCTATGTTGGCTATCAAATCGAAGATAGATCGATCCTGAGTTCCTGCTTGCCATACGATCACTACCGCCTTGACTATGAAAGCCTTTGTATAGTCGAAACAGCGGTTAGTCTTCTATGTGTTCTATGTGAAAAAAAGGAGCACGAATTTCTGCTTTTCTATCACGTGCTGGAGGAACAACAGGCATGAGCTGCATGCAAAACAGGCACAAACCTTTTGAGAAACAGCACAAACCTATTGGGAAGCAGCACAAACCTGTTGGTGAACCAGCACAAACCTATTGTGGAAGCAGCACGGACCTCTTGATAAAGAGCACTAGCCGCTTGTAAAAAGCAGCATAGCACACATGCTGGTCCACATTACTTGCTAACACTTCATCGACTCACCATTCCTCTCATCTTTCCACTGTCAACCATTACACTGCAACTTAACGATCAGTTTTGTCATCCCCGTCTTCGTCCTTGCTGACCATTAAGTGTTCGTCCATGGCCTTTTGATTAGTGCAGTCCTCGTCATGGTAATCATCGTCGACATCATCGGCATTGTCTTCAAAAGGGATATGTGTGTTCTGTGGAAAAAGGCGGCACAAAGAGTTTTATTGAGAATGGACAAAAGACAAGGAGACTCTGCTATGTAAACCAGCATAGTCTACGCCTATGCTGCTTTTTACAAGCGGCTAGTGCTCTTTACCGAGAGGTCCGTGCTGCTTCCACAATAGGTTTGCGCTGCTTCCCAACAGGTTCGTGCTGGTTCACCAACAGGTTTGTGCTGCTTCCCAATAGGTTTGTGCTGTTTCTCAAAAGGTTTGTGCCTGTTTTTCCTCCAGCACGTGCTGGAAAAGCAGAAATTCGTGCACCTTTTTTTTCAGCTTAGATTTTCAGATCTCTGCTTTCACAGAACACGTTGTTGGCAGGGGTGGTTATCGGCCATTTTACTTCAAGTAGACCCCTCAATGTTCATGTATTGTACGGAATTCACTTTGGTAACTACATGGATGACCCCAGCTCGTTGTTGAATCCTAGAGCTTGGAGGCTGGTATACATCATGTTTTGTCGGGCAAGAAGCGATAGGCGATACCTTTGTACATTGGCTTAAAGCTCAGCAATTTATTTTTTGAGTTTTATAAAAAAAAGACTTCTTTTGACTGGCTTTAGACTAGACAAATGGCTGGAACAGAGAGCCGGATGGCAGGCTAGGGGGTTGGTGCGCATCCGGCAGCAACACAGCCGACCATGTATGTGCCTAGTGCTGCGTTACAACCAGCGATGACAGCTGGAACTGCAGCACCCGCGGTAATAGTTCCAAAAGTAAAGCCGGCGGCTGCGTAGCATGCGACAACGAGAGCGTTGCATCCCGACTGACATATCCCATAGGCCAATGGACCTGCGTTCGACACACCGAGGATTGTACAGACGACGGCAAGATGGCGCAACATAGTGTATTTCATAGATGGGCGGTTTGATGGGTGAGAAATAGAGAGAAGTAAGTGATAGAGCAGTGCATGATTTTTTTAGTCACCTGCTGCACACACGAAGCACAGCAGCACAGCAGCACTCACGGGTTCTTTTCGCATGGCTCCAATATCCCTCGCGTCAAAAGGTTAGAGGAAACAAAGCTACAAGACACTTGGCAACGCCCTGTTCAATAAAAGTCGTCTACGGCGGATTTATTCCCTTCCCTTGTTAAAATTAACACTGGCCCGTTGGTAAATATGTTAACAGAGGGATCTTTATTCTCGTGGCAGACGGTAACCTATATACTTGGTGATGGATGCTCTTCTCTACTCGTACGTGCTACATTGGTCAATATAGCGCAGGAGTGAAGCATTAGGAAAGAGCAAGGCAAGGCCACTTGCCATGACGAGTGTGCGAAGCAATGCTACTATAGCCCATGGTATCGATCCTCGACTTTAGGAGGGGTGAATAAGACAAGGGATGCACTGCCCTCTTCACAAAAATAACATGTGGCAATCCAAACCGAGGCCTTGTAGCATTGTGTAAATATGAATACATTAATCCGTTTCTTTCTTCTCTCCACCCGCAACTTGTTCCTCTCCATACCATCTACCCTAACCCACCTCACTTGCTTCCCATCATGGCTGCAGAGCTCGACGTGCTCATTGCCGGTGAGCCTGGCATGTCCGTCAGAGCGCCCTACAAAGATGACGAACCCGTTTACTTCCTAATACAACGAGTCTCCAACAAGCTTGGCGAGAATGAGAGCGAGATCCGATGGCGTGGCCTTTATATCAACGGCATCCATGCTAAAGATCAACGACAGTCTATTACAACCTATCGAATCTTTGGCAACAGTTTGACCTATCGTTCTCAAAAAAAGGGCGAAATGGCAATTGCAATGAGAACACTTACTGGCAAGACTATTCATTTGACCTGCAACCGTCAAGACATCATCATGGACATCAAGACCATGGTTCAGGAGATGGAAGGGATCCCTCCGGACCAGCAAAGACTTATCTTCGCAGGAGAGCGGCTTGAGGACGAGGATACGTTGGAAGATTACAATATCGCCGATGGCTCGATATTGCACTTGGTGTTGCGTCTGCGCGGTGGAGGTCACGCCCCAGGTATAGGGCTCAAGTTCTCGGATGTCTCCGAACTATCTGGTGTGCGCAGGTACGAATTTTCCTTGTCAGTTCCTCCTGGACGCACTGTCTTACCAGGAACGAACGTCGAATGCAAGTGCAAGTGCTCTTCAAGCTACCGAGTGATCTGTCCAAAGCGGTTTGGAGCAATTGAGTTGTCTAAAGAGCAGTTCACATGCCCTAACTGCAAGTCGAGCAAAAGGATTACCCCTGTCACGGTTGGATTCGTGAGATGCAAGTACCGTTTTCATGGAATCAAGGCAACTGGCGAGCAGTACACATCTGATTGGAAAGACGTAACTGACGAGGATTGCTACCAGCTATTCAGTCCAGACAATCAAGCCCTTTGGAAACGCTTGGTAATCGAGTCGGCCGATATCTATAAACGCGAAGACTGTACGATCTGCCTGAAGCCCATGGACACCATGCAGAAACTTAGCTGTGGCCATTGCTTCCATGAAGCTTGTTATCCTCAATGGAATTCTTCCTGCCCCAAATGCCTCTTCAGCCAACACTTAATCACCGGCAGAGCACCGCAGCAGTGGTAGAATCTTTACCACTTAGTGCTATGGACAACGTGGAGTATATATCTTTTTGAAGATGCATGTGTCGGCAAGACCTATTGGACTTACCGGTTCTGTTCAAATATTTTTTTCTACACTTTTGAGGAGTGGTACAAAAATAAAATATAATATAATAAAAGCTGTGCATGACGACCAGTCCTGCTTCACTTACATTATTAGACCATCACCCTAGGATTGGATATCACTGCGTAACTTGTACATTTAAAGCAGAGATGGATTCATGCTAGTGCACTCTGTTGAATTCTGTGTTGATGCATGTCTTTCTAATCTTGCTGGTACCGTAATTACCTGGATTATTTCATGTGTTGGACATGTTGGGGTGCAGAAGAGGAAGAAAGCCAGTAGTGCAATGTTAGAGGTTGGCGACGGATGGAGCTGAAAGGCAGAAAGTGTCATCATCACACATTCATAGGATTTTCTACAAAAGAAATAATTTCCCTCCGCAATGCTTCTTCGGATAGATGGTGAACAATCCAATGTATATCTGGAAACGCGTATAAAAAGTTCGGTTACTATAGTTCTATATATTGGGCTCAATTCCTCGTCAAAAGTAAAAGAGGTCGGTTTGATCCCGGTTACTGACGCGTTTAATTGCTGTCGGAAAATGTGAAGATCTACCGGAAGCTATTTGTTTAAAGCATGCCAAAAAAAAATGAGAAGAACTAACAACTAACACAATTACGGTTCAACATAATGTAAGGGCAGTTGAAGACGAGCAAGATGTCTCCAGACGATTACCTATTCGTGATAATGAAGTAGCCGTGACGCCAATTCTACACAGCTGCGAGATCTCAAGATAATATCGTAACGATATACATCTGTTTATGCTCATGATCTAGCTCTTAAAACAAAGACCTATCGCATCCACCGCTGCACGACAGAGACCATAACTTAGCCGACAGAGATCACGGCGTTCTCAAACAGAAGTTCGAACATCAGCAAGCATCAAGTCCCTCAGTACTCAAACGTCCCCGAACCCCTTCCCCCCTCAGAAGGAGGCCAAAGAGCTGGATACACAAGCCCAGAAGCGGGGTGAGCCATCCTTGTCATTACCTCATCCAAGTAGCTGTATATATTGTAAGTGAATAATACCGAGGCTTTCAACCTCATATCTCACCTTGATTTCGCGTTCTTGCGCTTCTACTTTCTCCACGATCTCGCATATGATTGTCTCGCTCTGCTTATGGTATGTCTTTTGTCTGACTTGGCATGGCAGTTGGAGTGTGGACATACTGCCAGCCACTAGTGACGTGGAGCCAGTTCTCCTTGGACCGACAGTGTAAACTGAAAGAGGCAGCAGTGCTGAAGAGAAAGAAAAGGTCAGAGTCAAGGACTTTTAAAGACGCGTTGTAAGCCTTTATTTTGTTTCATTTCTTTCCATTTCTTCTCAGTATCTGCTACCATAGGTTCTAGAACACCTATTCCCGACCAGGGAGCATATTTTTAGTCTCACAACAGCAGACATGGAACTCAAGATCCCCAAGGCAGTCTACAGACTAGATGTACGCGCGCATTCATTTGCTTAGTTCTACGTGGACGCGTCTGTATTGCTTTACATGTGAGGCTAGTGCTGCATAGGAGCCATTGGCGTTCCTAGACGGGGACAGCTGACCTTCAAAAAAAACGCGCAATGGAGTCCTCGTACCTGTTCTCGATGTGGTCCCAGATCCATTCGCCCTCGATGCCAAGAGATATCAAATATCCGCACCCCATAGACGCGACCGACTTTACCCTCAGGACACGCGTATGTTGAACGCGTAAACTTTATTTTAGTGTTCAGACCGAGAGCATTTGTGACTGAACGGTCCTGTGCGGACGGAGGGACAGGGCTCCTATTTGAGTCTGCCTGAATCTTATGCATTCGTATTAGACGTTAAGAGGTGATGGGGACTGACACGGAATGAGGATGGCGTTCCGACGGCAGTCTGTGCTGCTTGCTGCGATCCAGATAATCCTTTCAGGCGTGTTTTGTGTAAGCTTACACGCTATAGGGTTTGTGCCAACCCAGGCTTGCTGGGTCGGCCGTGGTCTACACGTATGTCCCGTGCGCTGGCCAATAAGCACACGGATGAGACGGAGGGGGCGTGTGAATAAATATCGCCCTTCTTCTTCTCCATCGCCAGCTCCACCGGGCCCCTCATCTCCCACCGCTCGTCTTCCTAAGCTCCTTCTCGCAGTGCATCCCCCATCCTTCGCTTGCTCGGTCGTCGTCTCTTTCTCCTCTTTTTTTTTCTTCCCATTCTTTTTCCCTCAGGGTTCCAAAAGGGGAATCACTAGGCATCATTCTCTTTCGTTTATGCCTCATCCCCTCCTGTCCTTATTGCCTTCTTCGATCGTTGGATAAAGACTGCCAACCACGACAGGAAAACTGTCGGATACCAGGACTGCTTTAGATCACAAACCACTCGCCAGTCGCAGTTGCAGCAGCAGCAGCCGGCTTCCAGGACGACCATGCCACCACCAAAAATGAACGTGAAGCCTGCTTCGACCCACGCCTACAAGGCCCTGAAACTTCAGGATCCCGGTACTACGGATGTGTCCCAGGTATAATACTTAATACTTCATCAGAACCTATATCATACCATCTCTCTCTCTCTTTTATTCCAACATCCCCCGAAGTATCACCCGTAAGAAGCAGTCTATTCATATCACAACATCAAGATACATCTTACTCGAGCCCTATTCCGTCATTACTCTGCAATACCCTGCAATATCCACCTTGTCCTAAAAGAGAGTGAAAGGAACGAGTTCTAGTCTTTGAAACACACAGTGCTCATAAACGACCTTCCGTTTGTGGATGTACGACAATAAACCCTTTCAGCACCCTGCACAACCACACGGACCCGATTCCAGCAACGGCAGCGGCAGCGACAGCGACACTTCCTCCTTGTGCGACCATGAGGTCTTCCATCTCCGGGGCACAAGCACCGACGGAAATGTTTCCCTCAAAGCTTCTTTGACAAAGGGCTTACAAGAACCAACCCTGAAACCGAGTCAGGATCTCCGGATGCATATTCAAGGCGATGGCGATGACGACGATGACGATAACGGAAATGACTCTGATGACAACGAGCGTACACCCTTTGTCAAGAAAGATGCGGATTGGCAACGATATCGAACCCGGTGTCTGGCCGTGATGGTGTTCCTGCTTACTGTGAATGCTGTCTTGTTGATCTGGAAACCTTGGCAGGGCAAGGACTGTAAGTTGGAAAACTATTTCTCTTTTTCTCCAGTAGTCAGTGTGTTCATTTTTTTTTTTTTTTTTTTTTTAATCTGTTTATGCCCCTCAATGTCTTGCCCTCCTCCATATCATTATTGACCTTGTTCATGTAACGTTTTTTTTTTTTTGTTTAACCTCCCCCGGGTGGCACACCACAAGCGTTGGCCCCCGTCTACAACAGCGCCGTGAAAGACCTTCCGGAGGAACAACCGATCTGGCCCATCCCCCGCTCATTCACCTACGGGAACCAAACCGTCGTACTCAGTCCCGGATTCCAGATCAAGCTACACTTCAACACCGGAGAGCCCCTGAGCCCGGGAACGTATCCGATTCTGGAAAAGGCCGTTGCCCGATGCATGGACCGCCTGCAGTTCAAGCGCAATACCACGATTCCGGGAAGAATGCCGACGGAATTCGGAATTATCAACACCCCCGCCGCAGCAGCAGCAGCAGATCATGGGCCTGTGCTCTCGGAGTTGACCGTCATTGTGGGCAATCCGCAGGCGGCTCTGGAGTTCGGGATGAAGGAGGCGTATGCGATCGATGTTCATGTGCAGGACGATAGCCCAGCGGCTGTGGTACTGCATCACTTGGTGAAGGGCTCGGTTCAGGAGCGAGCCCCTATCGGACAAACGGACAAAGTGAACGCTACGTTGACGGCGAGCACACAGTGGGGTGTGCTCCATGGTCTGGAGACGTTCTCGCAACTGGTTCAGGCCGTCAGAGCAGTGACGTCGAACGAACTCACGACAGCTCCGGACCAGAAGACAGACAACCAGCTCGAGATTCCAAATACGCCCTGGTTAATCCAGGATGAACCGCGATACTCGCACCGGGGGATTCTTTTGGACACCTCAAGGAATTATTACTTCGTGAAGGATATCCTGAGGACGTTGGATGCCATGTCGACAGTGAAGCTGAATGTGTTCCATTGGCATGTGCTGGACCAGCAGACGTATCCGCTCGTGTCAAAGACGTATCCGGAACTGACGGCCAAGAGAGCCGAGCGGCCGGATTATTTGTATACGCCGGATGATGTTGCCTTGATTGTGCAATATGGCGAAGAGGTACGGAGTACATGTAGTTTTTTTTTTTATGTCCATGTTTGTTTGGTTTGTGCAGTGCGATTTAGCCTTGAACACAATTTTTCTCTATTTCTTTCTTTCTATCTTTTTTTTTTAAAAAAAAAAAAAAAAAAAAAAGCGCGGCATTCGTGTGGTTCCAGAGTTCGATGCCCCGGGGCACACCGCCAGCTGGGGCCGTGCCTTCCCCAACATCACGGTTTGCCTCGACAAGCAGCCCCACTACAAATACGCAGCCGAACCTCCCCCAGGCCAACTCGATCCTCTCGAACCCTTCACCTACACCGTCCTCAACAACCTGATCCAGGAATGGGCCGTCCAGTTCCCGGATAGGCAGGTCCACGCTGGAGGGGATGAGATCAACATGGCCTGCTGGAGGTCGGATGACCGATTGAGGGATTATATCAAACATCCAAAGAGCCGTGCAGGGTATGAGAAGAGGCTGATGCCGGTGGAGACGAGCTCCGGGATGGATGACACGATAAGGCAGACGAACGCAAGATCTATCTTTGTACAGTCCGGGGAGGACCGGTTGTTGCAGGTTTACTTGGACAGGGCCTTTGGGATGTATACGAAGAATGGGAAGAGGCCGATCGTGTGGGAGGAGATAGCGTTGGAACATGACGTGAGGTTACCGGATTCCGCCATCGTCCAGGTCTGGAAGAGTGCCGGCAATGCCAAGCGAGGTATCATGCGTCTCTTTGTCTCTGTCATTTGTCTTTGTCTTTGTCTTTGTTTCGTGTTCCTGTTGCTGGTTCACTTTTTTTTTCTACCATAGTATAGTTACTCACTCACATTGCCAATACGACCCAATGTGTTGTAGTGATCAAACAGGGCCGACCCGTGATCCTGTCCAGCGCCGACTTTTGGTACCTGGATTGTGGGTTCGGCCAGTGGCTCCTCGGGTCACAAAGGGAGAGCTGGTGCAAGTACCGGAGTTGGCAGAAAGGTACCTCCTCTTTTTTTTTTTTTTTTTTTCTTCATCCCAAGGACATGTTACTCTTTCGCAAAGATTGTACACCATCCATGTGGATCAACAACGTTACTACGTTGCTTAACTTCTTCCTCTTCCTCACATATCGAATCTCCGCAGTGTATTCATACCGTCTGACGGACAAACTGAACACGGAGGAGCAAAAGCTGGTCTACGGAGGCGAAGTCTGTCTGTGGTCCGAGCAATCCGACCCCTCGAACCTCGACTCCAACCTCTGGCCCCGTTCTGCAGCAGCAGCAGAGGTAAAAATGATAATAATAATAATAATAATAATAATAACCACCACAGGAGCCTTCCATAACTTCACCCCAGCATAGTGAAATCTAACCCGTTTTCTATTGTTCATTAGATCCTGTGGAGCGGCTCTCAGGACGAGAAGGGCGAGTACCGCCCGCTGCTTCATGCAGCCAAGCGCCTGGTCGCTGTGCGGGAGCGGTTGCACCAGATGGGTGTCGCAGCCTCGCCCGTCTTCCCAGCCTGGTGTGGCAAGCACTTGGAAGCCTGTCTCGCCTAATTCCAATATTTTTAGCCTAGCCTATTTTTTTTTTTTTGCTCGTACTTGTATATAAATCTTTATTTTTTTTACTGCCGTGTGTGTATACACGCGTTTGAGGATGCAAAAAGTTTGATACAGGATGTGTAGCGAAGGGAAGATGCGAGAAAGAAAAAAGAAAAAAAATCATCCTATACAGTCTCGAAGAAAAGTACGAGTGGAGCCTGTGTGCCAATGCACACGTCTTGTGGGTAGCGCGTTCACGTTTCTTTTCTTTTTTTTTTTTTTTTCTTCGATCCTTTGATTCCACGCGCTAGTTGCGTCGCTGCCGGACAAAGCTCTGAATTTCCCTCATGAAGGGCTTCTCAGCAACAAAGACCACCCCGGCCACCGCCAAGAACGTCGCCACGCCCGTGCCCAGATGCACAACCTTCTGCAACCACTGATCCCATCCAACATACAGCTCACTCGCCGCCGTGATCGCATACGCCGCTGTGAACGCTACCAACACAGACGGACGTGGCAGAATCATCCTCCACGGCACATTCGAGAACGTCGCCATTAGACTCTTCTTCTTCTGCTGCTGCTGCTGCTGCTGCTCCTCGCCCTCCGAGGTCGAAGCAGGGATATACCGCCCATAGTATCTTGACAAGAACCACATGGACCAGCCGATCCGCATCGATAGATTCACACAGTTTGCCAGGACGATCCCTTTGGCGCCCATACCAAAGACCCCCATCAGAACCGCGCCCGTGCTACAGAACACGGCCGAGAAACCAATCATCCAATATGAGAGCACGCCCAGCTCGGTCTCGGACGCGACCGCCTGTACAACCGCCTCTGTGATCCCGTTGAGTCCCATGATGGGGACGTACCAGCAATAGAGACTCAGGACCTGAGGCGCAATGGTATCGCGAGACCAGTATTTTCCAACGACGAGGTCGATCAATGTGGCGGTGTAATGGGTCCCGAAGGAGATGAAGACTAGGCCGAGGAGGATGTGGAACTTCATGATGGTTAAAAGTAAATTGCGCGAGAGGATCAGGTTCGCGACCTGGCCTTCTGCCAGCGTGGTAGATCCAGACGACGTTGCTTTTGCTTCTGCTCCCGTTCTCGAAGAGGAAGAGGAGGAAGAGTAGGAGGAGGGGTTTTTTTCCTTGGTTGTGGTCGCAAGGGATTTGGAGGCGGGTCCGACATCGCTCAGGAGTCTGCTGAAGAGTGTCCTGCTCGTCTCCTCCATTGGCTGGAAAAGGATTCTCGCCACCAACGATCCTATACAATATACAAACATACACACACACGCACACGCACACACACACACAAGCCAAAAAAAAAAAAAAAAAAAAAAAAAAAAAAAAAAAAAAAAAAAAATGAGAGAGGCAAAACACGCGGCAAAAGTCAATACTTTGATCTGCAGGCAAAAAAAACAAAACTGATCATTCAAAAAAACTGCATATGGACCCCATCCAATCCATTCCATTTCTACGCACCATAATTGACCACAAAAGCATAAACCCCCTGAGCTTCCTCATTTGTGAGTCCAGCCATGAGCATCTTGTCGCCCTCCGTCAGGATATGCTTCAGCAACGACTGGGCCGTCAAGGTCTTTGACAGCTTCAGCAGCTCCGGATCAAAGTAAAAGTACTCTGGCCTAGTAAGATCATCAAGCAGACCAAAATCAAAAAAAAAATAAAAATAAGAAAGAAAAAACTTGGCATTTCAACAAAACAGCATAAAAGTCAAAGCAAAGTGTCAAGCAAAAGCAAAAATCAACCCTCACCTGCCGCTGTTTCCCATCCTGACAAGTTTCTTCGGCAACAAGGCCCTCATCTCAATCAAGTCCTCCTCCCGCTCCTCCCTCATGTCCGGATGAGCATGATACTTCTTCGCCGCCGCCTCCATCCTCCGTCTCTCCTGCTCATGCCTCTCCCGACTCTTGCTCCAAAACGCCAACAGGAACCCTCCAAGCGTCAATAACCCATACACAAACTGGGCCACCGCAAACGCCAACACCCCCATCGTATTCCTATCCCCCTTTCCCGCTGCCACTACTGCTGCTGTTGTTTTCGGATCCAAGTGAAGCGCATGATGATGCCCCGGCATGGCCTCGACGACCTCGGCCCTATTCCCATAGATCGTCAGTGCGCACGTCAACACACACCTCACAATCACCGCCGTCCCCTCGACCGACACCCGGGTCTTGAACCAGAGCTTGTACTGTGCGACCATGAACATGGGTTCCGCAAGGAGCTCGATCAACGCCGAAAGACCGTACAGGTAGATCGAGAGCCGGTAATGCGGGAAGCGGGCTTCAGCAGAAGAATCAACATGGGAGAGGCAGTAGCCCACAGCGAGGACGGTCATGAGTGCACCGATGGGGATGGGCGCGTACACCATATTGACGAGTTTCTGGAGACGATATGCCTCTGATCCTGGACGTGGGGTCGAGGTGATCGACGACGACGATGATGATGATGATGATAATGACGATACTGGCGCTGTCTCATCCTTGATATCACTGATCCCATGGCTACCGTCTCCGATCCGATCGGCGTCCGATGATAAAGATGATGATGCTGTAGTGGTAGTTGTAGTTGAACTGTCGTCGGAGACGCGGATGGCGGCACAGCGGACCCCTTCACGGGAGAGGAAGAGGATCGTGTTGAGGAGGAGTTCGAGCTGAACAGAGGCGATCCCGAGGGTCTCGGCAGAGGTGAAGCGGAGGAGGACCTGGTTGAGGGTGAAGGTGAGCATGCGGGAGACGAACTGGAGGAGGACGAGGTAGCTGGCTCCCTGGACAGAGGAGGACAGGATCGAGGATGCTTCATCAGTCGTTGGGGTTGTCGTGGAGGACTCAGATGAGGACGCGGTGGTGGTGGAGGTGGCATGGGTCCGCTGCCGAAGTGTAGGGGATGAGTGCGGGTGCTCCATGGTGGATGGATGGAATGGGGAGCACTCGATGGAGGGGGGAATGAAGAAGGGGGAATGGGGGACGAATGATGTCGACAATGTGCACGTACTTTATTTCTTTCATACACGCGAAAATAATTACCGCACCCCGCGCGTTTATGATGTCAACCGATACCGGCACAACCCCTCCCCTCCCCTCCCCTCCCCTCCTGGCTTGATTCCACAGCGTGCTCATGGCTGCCGTCCAATCGAATCGCGCCGTTCCTTGGAGTGCTGTGCTCCGCACGCTGCTCCTGCCTGCCTCAGACCCCATGTCGACTTGACCCAGGGAGACACACCCACCCACACTTACTAGGCCTTGCGTGAGAGTGCAGGGCAATTAAACCGTGAAGTACAGGGTTCTCGAGCTGGAAAAGTGAGTGTGATAAGATACGTCGGAAGAAAAAGAAAAAAAAAAAAAAAAAAAAAAAAAAAAAAGAGAGAAGGAAGCACGCGAAATAACCACAGCAGCACTGAGGTAGACCCTCAACCTATGCCACATACCCAATACCTAATACCCACTTGTTCATCCTCAGAATGTTGTTCACAGATATTCATAAAGAATAAAAAAAAAAAAGACACGGATTTATTTATTACAAATGTCCTGTTTGTTACTTCAGATAAAATCCATTCACTCCCTCCTCCCTTCCTTACGAGCGCTCCTTGTCCTTGCCCTTGCCGTTATTATTTCCATGATGCAGCAATCGGTTAAAGAGCCCTCCTTTGTGATGCTCACTCTGTTGGTGCTGAGGAACGTTCGCGCCGTCGCTGGTGCGGCCGCCGTCGTTTCCGTGTCCCTGACTCTCATTGCCCGCATGCGCTCGATGATCGTCGGGATTCACATTCGTAGCCGTGACCTCACTGGTACCGTCGTCATAATAAGTCGTCTTCATCCACACAACTTCCTCATCGGGCTTCGTCTGCGGAACCGGTCCCTTATAGCCCTCGGGCATGTTGTCCATGCGATCAGGCTTGGTCGCTGTGTTGCCCATGGTGGTTGGAGCAGCAGCAGTATCGCGTCCACCGTGCTGGTGGTGAGCAGCATCAGCACCCAAGGCAGCACCAGTGGCACCAGCAGCAACAGGCTTGGCTGCGCTGTGCGTCGTCGCCGAAGGAGCATTCGTCATAGCACTGTTGTCGCCCACGGGCCTAGCCGACGTTGACACTGGAGCATTCAGAGTGTTGTCCCTCGCGGCGTTGTAGCCAGTAGGGGAATTATCGCGCTCACCGTGGTGGCGGTGGGCAGCGTCAGCACCCAAGGCGGCACCAGTGGCACCAGCAGCGAGAGGCTTGGCTGCACTGTGCGTCGTCGTCGAAGGAGCATTCGTCGTAGTGTTGTCACCCATGGGCCTAGTTGGCAAAGGTGCATTCAGAGTGTTGTCCCTCGCGGTGTTGTAGCCAGTAGGGGAATTATCGCGTCCACCGTGGTGGCGGTGGGCAGCGTCAGCACCCAAGGCGGCACCAGTGGCACCAGCAGCGAAAGGCTTGGCTGCGCTGTGCGTCGTCGTCGAAGGAGCGGTCGCGTGCGCACTACGATAATTGGGAGCATCAGTACCCAAGATGGCACCAGTGCTACCAACACCCGCGATAGGCCTAGCAGTGTCGCGCACCGTTGTCGAAGGAGCATTCGTGGTGAGATTGTTGTCACCCACGGGCCTAGTCGACGTCGACAATGGAGCATTCGCAGTGTTGTCCCTCGCACCGTAGTTACCAGTAGGAGAGTTGTCGCGCGCACTGTGGTGGTGATGGAGAGGGTCAGCACCCAAGGCAGCACCGGTGGCACCAGCAGCAGCGAGAGGCTTGGCTGCGCTGTGCGTCGTCGCCGAAGGAGCATTCGTCGTAGTATTGTTGTCACCCATGGGTCTAGCCGACGTCGACAATGGTGCATTCACAGTGTTGTCCCTCGCGGCGTAGTTGCCAGTAGGAGAGTTGTCGCGCGCACCATGGTGGTGGTGGTGGTGGGCAGCTTCAGCACCCAAGGCGACACCAGTGGCACCAGCAGCGAGAGGCTTGGCTGCGCTGTGCGTCGTCGTCGAAGGAGCATTCGTCGTCGACGCAGGGTTCATCGTCGTAATCGTCGGAGTCGTGTATGTTGTAGTCGGCTTCGACGATGTAGCGCTCAAAGTGTTGGCCCTCGCGGTGTTATCCTCAGGATGAACAGAGTGAGTGCCCTTCGAGCCAATAAGTGGAGCAGACGTGCCGGTAGCAGTGGCACCAGCAGTGGCTGGCGCAGCGGACCTCTCACCAAATGGACGGAGGGTCTTCGGGTCTGTCAGGCGCAAGTCCTTAGGATCCGCAGGTCCATATTCAGTTGGGAGATGCATCACTTCCTTGATCTTCTCCGTCAAAGGACGTTGCTGGGGCTCGGCAACAATAGGGAGTGTGCGGACACCAGTCAAGGGTTTGAGAGCCTTGGGGTCCGTGAACGCCAGCGTCTTCGACTCTGCTGGACCGCCGTGCATACCCAAAGTATCCATGATCTTCTCAGTCACAGGCCAGTGATCACCTGTCGATGTAGAGCTGGTGGTGGGCTGGGTAGAGTGACGGTCGGACATGGCAGCAGCGGTACCAGCAGCAGCGGCACCTGTAGCAGCGGCACCTGCAGCACCCCTATGTCCCTGAGTCTTCGAGTCGGCTAAATGCAAATCCCTGGGATCCGCAGGTCCATACTCAGATGAGTCATGCATCGCTCTCTTAGTCTCCCCCGGCAAAGCGCGGTGCTGAGTATCCTCGGTAATGGGGAGCGTGCGGTTGCCAGTCAAAGGACGAAGACTGCTAGGATCCGTGAAAGCCAGATCCCTGGCGCCAGTTGCAGTAGTACCAGCGGTAGCAGGAGTAGTATTCATTGTCGATGGTGCATTAGTGGCATACTTGGACGTGTCGGCGGGGCCATGATGGCGATGAGCATCGACAGCAGCACCCAAACCAGCAGCGGTGCCAGCAGCGCCCAAACCGGCAGCAGTCGTGGGACCGATGCCACCAGTGTTGTCGTGATGGCGAGACTGAGGCTGGTTCTCAGGGCGAAGACTATAATCTGAACGCTCAGTGGGCCTGACCGAGGCCGTTTTGTCCTTATCTCCGAGGTAGGCATCGACACCAGCAGCGGTACCTGGAGCCGCAGCAGCTCTGGCAGTGGAGGGAGCAATGCCGCCAGTGTTGTCGTTTTGGCGGGACAGAGGTTGGTTCTCGGAGCGAGGGTTATACTCCGAGCGCTCAGTTGGCCTGGTCGAGGCTATGTTGTCGTATTGGCGGGACTGAGGTTGGTTCTCGGGGCGAAGACTGTAGTCCGAGCGCTCAGTGGGCCTGACCGAGGATGTGTTATTCTTATTTCTGAGGTAAGCGTCACCAGCAGCAGCGGTACCAGCAGCACCCAAAGCAGCAGCAGTCGTGGGACCGATGCCGCCAGCGTTGTCGTGATGGCGAGACAGAGGTTGGTTCTCGGAGCGAGGGTTATACTCTGAGCGTTCATCGGGCCTGAGCGAGGCCGTGTTGTCCTTATCCCCGAGATAGGCATCGACACCAGCAGCGGTACCTGGAGCCGCAGCAGCTCTGGCAGTGGAAGGGGCAATGCCGCCAGTGTTGTCGTATTGGCGGGACAGAGGCTGGTTCTCAGATTGGAGACTGTTGTCCGAGCGCTCACTGGGCCTGGCCGAACCCGTCGGGTTCTTGTTACCCAAATACGCAGCAACGCCGGCAGCAGTGCCCGCAGTATCCTTGTTCGTAGCGGGCTGATTAGCGGTAGACGTGCCGCCCGACTGGGACTGAGAAGTGTTACCGCCCATGTACTTGGTGTTAAACACTGGCGCGGGGACCTCGGCACGAGCGTTCGTGGCTGGAGAATTGTCGACAGGCATAAAGACATGCTGCTTCAAATCTCCAGCACGGCTGGAATCCTTCACGGGCTCGGCAACCGTAACGGGCTGGTAAGGGGCCTTCTGTGCCTGTGCGGGCGCCAGGGGCACGGTTTGGGTAACAAAGCCTTCATGGGGAATCTCCCTCGATCCCAGGGAGGCAAGAGTAGCAGCAGCTCCAGCGGGTGCGACCTTGGCGCCGATGTGGCGATCATGCTCCGGGAGGATGTGCTGATGATGCTGCTGATAATGGTGCACGTTTTCCTCAGGCTCATATTTCTTTTTGTGAAGGAATACCTCTGGCGGAGCCGAGGTCGTGGCAGCCGTCGAATTGCTCACTCTGGTCGGAACAGAGCTCTCGTCCAACGGACGGTGCGCCGCAGCATATTCTTGCTGCTGCTTCAAAACCTGGGCGCTCGTCAGTGCGTAGTTGTGAGTGTTGTCCTTGGGGACCCCGTGGTACGGCAGACCAATGGCTTCTTTGACGCGATCAGTCAAGGTCTTCTCTTCAACGCCAGGCTGTCCGTGATGAGTGGAGGCTTCAATGCGGGCAGCTACAGCACTAGCGCCGGCGGCGGCAGCTCCCGCAGTGGCAGCCGCGACCCTGGAGGCAGCTCCAGCGACCATGGAGGCAGCTCCCACAGTAGCAGTTGTGACCTTGGCCATGTTGCTCTCATGTGGCTGGGTTTCAACCATGGAGGGCATGTTCGCGCTGGTTTGGACATAATCCTCGTTAGGTGGTCGAACCGACACTGGCTGCTCATGCTGATCCTTCAGAGTCTCGGCGCTCGTCAGTGCAGGGTTCTGAGTGCTGTCTCTGGGGACCTCATATCGCGGAGGGGTCTCATGGCGCGGGAGGTGCTCATGGCGCTGGGGGACCTCTTGGTGCGAGGAAACGTCTTGACGCTGAGGGGGCAGGTGAGGAACTTCATGGTGCTGGGGGGCGACAGGGTGCGGGGAGACATCAGGCTGGGACAGACCAAAGACATCCTTCATACGCTCAGTCATGGACTTCTTTTCAGTATCAGGCTGTTCGTGCCCAGTGGAAGTCTCATGGTGAGTAGCAGGGGCACCAGTGCCGGCAGTGGCAGTTCCTGTAGTGGGGCCCGCGAGCTTGGAGGCCGATTTGTCCTCTTGTGGGTAGGTGTTGGTTGTGGTTTGGATAGGGTTCTGCAGGTCTGACGGTGGCTGTGAGGAAATCAGGGTGCGCTTGACCTCAACCGTGGCAGTGGTGGGGCCGGTGGTGGTTGGGGCTGAGCCCGGCTGCCCTTGATGACGGTGGATCTCAAGAATCGGAGCACCAAGACCTGTAGTCGCTGTACCAAGGGCAGCACCGGTACCCAAACGGCTGCGGATATCAGAAGGCGTAGAGCCCAGGGCGGTCTTGTTGGCATCATAGTCATTCTATGATGTATATATAGCAAGCAAGCAAGCAAGCATAGCATTCAAAATAGAGTTTGTGCGTCAGTGCTTCTGGTCACACAAGGTTCATTACAGCAAGATTGGCGCATACATTCAAAGACCAAAAATTCATGCATGAACTTACGTCGTGCAACGCTGAGCGAGAAGCGATTTTCTCAGGGAGACGCTCTTGAGAGCGCAGCGACAGGTTCCTATCCGGGGCCGCGTACTGGGATGTCTCGAGGTCGCGGTTAGGGATTTCGCTCCTGGGTTGGTTCGAGATCGGGAGGATGCTCTGGTTGCCGTCATGATGATGACCATAGTCGGTATTTTCGTCATAGTCGCCCTCGTTGCGGTTGATCAGCCTCTTTGCGGCTGCGATCACATTGGTGCCAGCATTGGTTGCACCCGCGGCGGCGGCGGTGGCTCCTGCCTTGACAGTATCGGTGAGCGTGCTCCCGTGGGTGCCAGCGCCGGTGTACGCGCTGTTGCTCCAGCTCTCGGCCAGGTGCTCCTTGGCGGCCTCGATGTTGTGGCTGTCGTAGCGCGTGGGTGGTCCACCAACGGTGGGGCCAGCGACCTCGAAGGTGGAGCCGGTGGGGTTGGTGACGTTGCTGGCTCTCATGGCAGCCGCTGGTGGAGCGTTGTCGAGGACGGAGGACGTGGCATGGTAGTTGTTGTTGTTGTTGCCGGTGCTCTGGGGGATGTCAGAGATGCGGGGGCTCTTGAAGCCGCCGGGCATGTTGAGTTTACCGTCGTCGCGTTGCATGTTTCGATGGCTGGGTCGGCAGATATTACTGTGTAGACCGGAAAGAGTAGAAAAAAAGATAGAAAGATAGATAGATAGATAGATAGATAGATAGATAGAAGGAGATAGTGGCGGTTGGAGGTGGATATGTACAGATATTTACAGAAGGAGCCTTGAACGGTGTTGAACGGTGCAAAAAAAAGAAGACGAAGGAGGAGGGGGGTGGAAGAGAACAGAAGCGGTACAGAGAAGAAGGAAAGAGAGAGAGAGCGCACGGGTGACGAAGCGGTTTATAACCGGACACCCCCACACCCCTCGGTCTCAAGGGTCCGTGGAGGGTGGAGGCGCGCAGAGTGCAGTCGCGGGAGCGGTGAGACAGCAGACGCGCTGTCTTGCAAAAGGGTTTTTTCCATTCGCTCATCAGCACGCATCATCACGGACACGCACAGCCGGCCAGCCAGTCAGAGGCGCCGCTGGGCACGTACATGTGGGTGGGATACGTGGGGCGAAGGGCTCTGTCTGCTTTTGGCGGCAAGTCCTCCATCCCTCCCTCTAGCAACACCCCCTCCCCGCTGCAGTGGCCAATGGGCAGCCAGGACACCCACCGCCTATTACATAGTCTATCACCACCATCGATCTTCATGACGGCATTCCCTTGGGCTGCCTCGCGCTCGCATTGGCTAACTGGCACTACAGTGTCTCATTCGGGGCCTCCACATCATCGTTGCCACACCTTTTTTTTTAGTCTACAATCACATCCCTAACATCCCTGTCCATAGCACATCCCTTACATCCCTGTCCATAGCACATTCCTACATCTATCATCCTTAGAGTAAACCCTACATCCCTGTTCACAGCACATCCATACATCTCATCTCTCTACAATGGACAACTGACGATTTCAGATTCGCAAAGACACATATAGAACTGTATTTGACGAAATGACGCATTATAATGAAAATAGTATGTTACAGTGAATAGAAAAGCAAATGAAAAACTACAGTGGCAAAAGGGAAAACGAGCTAGGTCATTAAGAAATAATAGAAAAAAGTGTGCAACACAGATGTTGCCAACGTGCCATGTGTGTTTCCCTAGTAATGTCGATAAAGCGGTGAAAAAACATGAACTTGCGAGAAAAAGAATACCAAAGGAAAAAAAAAAAAAAAAACTACTTTTTTGAAAAAGCAGCCAATCCTTTGATGCCGTCATTGTCTAGCGTCAATCGACTCGACAACAACGCCTTCACCAAAAGACCGCGGGCCACATCTCTGCGACCCTGCCGGAATTCTGTCACAATCTCCTGGATCACCAACGGGTGTAGACTGCTAATGTTGTCCTTGATGGTTCTCGAATGGGGAGCTGGCGGCCGTGGTAGGGGCCCTGTCCTATCATTAGACTGACGACTCAAGGAGAGCTGTCGGATAAAAGATAGGGCCGCCTGCTGCAGCTGCAGCTCCTGCGGATGACTCGATCGCGCTCCAGTCGAGGTCAAGAAAAGAGTCGAAAAGTTCAGCATCAGCTGCGGCAGGATGGTGGTCAGAAGAACCATCATCAAGGCCGTGGTGGCCAGCTGCCGAGCCGGTGGTCGCGTCGTCAGAAAAGAGACTGCTGCAGAGGAGGAGAGCGTCAAGGTCATGTTGCGACTGTTGTAGCAATATGGCCGACAGCTGGTCTCCATCCAGTTCTGAGCTGCACTCGGATCCGACGAACGGGCTTCCCTGTTCTGATCCCTCTTGCTCATCAAGGTCTTCATCGTCATCGAATAGACTCGTCGGTGTTTGTTGGGCATTGGAGCCGTGGAGGTTGTGGTGTAAAGGTTTCTCTTGGGTGGAGCCAGCTTCTGCTGCGGAGAGTTGGTCAAGGCGTCCGTCTTACGGGATCTCTTGTCCTTCTTTGCCAGTACTGCAGACTATCAATAAAACAATCAAGCGAGAGAAAGGTTAGGACCACAAAAAGTCGATGGATGGATGGATACGAGACCATTGTGGATGTGGTGGAGCACCATGTTGTACCTGGCAAAAGCCGACTCCGGGTTGGTTGTGCTTTAAGGACTGGGATAGCAGTTGTTGCATCTGTGCGAACTGTGCGGTGAGGGTCTCGAGTCGTTGAGAGAGGGCGAGGTTGTCGCTCTCGACGGTCTTGAGTCGCTTCAGCAGCTGGGTGTTCTCTTGCTGGAGGTGCTCGTTCGAGGTCTCGATCTCTTCGACGTACTTTCTCTTCTTGTCCCTGGACTCCTGAGCGGCGGCGCGGTTCCGCAACACGCGCTCACGGGCCTTGGTCTCCTTGTCAGCAGGATCCGTGGATCTCTTCCGGTGGGTGGTGCTTGAGGAAGAGACGGCCTTGCTCTTGCCTTTGGGCTTGGCAGGGGTCTCTGAGGATGGGCCTGGGCTGGGGCTGAGCAGGGGCGACTCAAGCTTGAGAGCCATGGGACTGATGGAGGGTGAGCCGGTCCAAGAGGAAGTAGAGGTGGCGGCCAGAGCGATCACACTAGGGTCGGAGAGGAGATCGGTGGCATTGGCGGCACAGTTCTGGTGGAGGGTCGGGGTGGTTGCATCCAGAAGTTTAGTCAGCATGTCAATGTGCATGGCTTCCGTTGAGGATGAAGAGAATGCCGAGTGGGCGAGGATGGCGGTTGCGGTTGCTGTCGACGGTGAGGAGGAGGAGGAGGAGGGGGAGGGGGTGGCTGCAGAGGGGGTTGTCGCGGATGCCTCGCTGTCCAGGTCTGCGGTGGACACTTCGCTGTCAAAGGGAGCGCCAGCTGAAGAGGCATGGGCCATCATGTCTGGCAAGGAGAGAAGCGTTGTCGATAACATGACGGCCCGGACAGAGATACGAATTCAAAGAGGGGTTTATATACAGAGGAGGGAGAGGGGGTATGCAAGGCGACGAGGGCGAGGTGCGATACGTGTCAAGAAGAGAGGAGGCGAAGAGGAGGAGGAGTGTAGTCGTGGCAAGCGAAGAGAGGTGAAGGGAATAAAAAAAAAAAAAAAGGGAAGGAAAGGGCGGGGTGCTGGTTCTTTTATGGGTAGCCCATTAAGGGGCAGACACCCAGACCAGCAGCCGCAACATGCTGCAACGTGGCCAATTTGCTGCCAGTCGGCGCTAGATTATTTCCTATTTCCCTATTTTCAGGAAGCGCTCCGAAGCACACAGAAGCACTGCGGAACACACACCTCTTTCTTGCCAAGAGTCGCCCATCCCTAAAAACCTTATTTTCCTAGAAGCACACAGCACACCGCACACAGCCCACTCCCCAACATCACTCTACCTCAACCGCCAATAGTCCATACAGCTGCCGTGCATGAACATGTCACTGCCACAGCCAAACTGGTACCATCCCCGGGTGCCCTACCCTAATGGGCCACATCTCTGCCCCCCTCGTCTTCTGCTTAATCTGCTTCGCCTGCAATCAAATAACCTACATACATATTGTGCTGACATCATTTGCCCACAGCCGCCGCTGCTCCCCCCCCTCCCTCGCTCTCGCCCCCTGTACCACCCAACTACGTGGTCGAGTGCGGACCATCCCCTTCAAGAAAACCCCTAATAAACAGGCTCTGTATTTTGGGAACATTCCATGCTATCCTTGGGATTCGTTACACTACATAGTCTACATTTAGTATGAAAAAGAGCGATCATTCTGGGCTGAAGCATTTCATAGAATTAAACACACACACACACACACTTACACACACACTTACACACACACAAAACAAGGAACATTCGCATCGCACATCGCATACAAAAGAAAAAAACAAGCCTCAAACAAACACACCACAGAGCAAAATAGTTTTAATGGTATACATTATATTCCAATGCAAAATGCTATGTCTGATGGGCGTTTCGAATGGTCAATATAGGAGGGGAGGGAGATAGGAGGTTCAATTAGATTAGGTTCTAAAATAAAATAAAATAAAATAAAATAAAATAAAATAAAATAAAAAAAGATGCAAGCGTCTGCTTTCCTTGCCACAGGAGACAAGGGGAGATAAGGAGCGAAGGAAAAGGAATGGGCTCCGCCAGCCAGGCCAGAGAGAGAGAGAGAGAGAACTCTTTTGCTTAGAACGCCATCGCAAGGACCGCGCCTGCGCCGGCCACTGCCAATGCAACCGACTTGCCCACGGAGACCAAAGTAGTCGCACCATTCGGATGACCGGCCGTACTGCTACTACCACCGTTGCTCCCATTCACACCCGCAGTCGCAACACTACTACCACCACTACCACCAGCGCCACCAGCAGTCGTCCCCGCAGCGACCGATCCTCCGGGAGCCGTGACATTGAACCGCCCCGAATACGCGTTGTTCGGCTGGAGAAGCAGCTGCAGCGCATACACACCGGGCTTCGTATCCGCAGGCACCGTCCAGACCAAGTTCCCGACAGACTTTGTACAATCGATCGTACCAACCTTCTTCACATAGAACGCGTTGTTAATATTGTTCGAGTCCATAAAGTCGACCTCGGTCGCGTTCGGCGTCGCAGACGTCAGCGTCGACGGCGTCGTGCAGGCCATCGTCCAGGAAAACGTCTGGGTCGATCCCGCAACGTACGTGATACCATCACCCACGGGCTGCGTGAACGAGATATGGTTGAGGGGCGCTTGCGCAGAGACGGCAGCAACGGCAATCGCACCCAGGGCAATAAGCGACTTGATCATCTTTGTGTGTGTGTGTGTGTGTGTGTAAGTGTGTGGCTATGTAAAGAGGGAGTGCGTGGTGGAAGCCAGGATAAGCAAAGGCAGGTGAAGAAAAGTCCTTTTTTTGTATTTTCGCAATGAGGAAGAATGAAGAATGAAAAAGAAGAGAGAAAGCGAAAAGATAAAGAAGGACGAAAGAACGCGACTTGAAGAAGCCCTTATGAAGCTATGGCTCCCATCGTGTCCGTACCGTACCCAGATATAGGCCACCGTCATTATGGGGCAAAGAAATATTAGTACGGGGCCATGTCCTGCACAAGGAGAAGCCCGATTACTTTAAAAAAAAAGAGGGAGGGGGGGGGGGGGGGAAGGAAAGGAGGCGATATAAATTATCGTCTCCTGGGGCCGCCAATTCTTTTGATCTGTATAACCAAGCTCAAGGAGATACAAGGACTCTATACCAAAGGGTCGGGCTGCCTATCATGCTACTACTGCATGAGCATGCCTGCAAGGAGAACCAGAGACACCACCCATCATGAGAAAATAACTAATGCGCTCGAGGACGAGGCTAGCGCTTTTGCAATGACTGATGAACATGAGCCGCCTTGAAAATGGCAATGCGGACCCCCTCTGGATGGTACAGAGTCCAGCAACCCCTTGGGCATTGGATTCCGGCAAGAAGTCCCAAGATATCACGGAGGTGCTGTTGCACGCAGAAGGTGGGGTAGTGAAGGGGGAGAGGAGAGGAGAAGCATGGTCTTTTGCAAGTACTCCGCGGTCGCAGCCGCCAACTCCTTTTCACGATGACTCTACCGAACGTGTTATCCTGACTCTTTTTTTGGCCTAACAGGTCCAATGGTCCTTGTTATACTATAACCAGATGACACGCCTTGTTTTTTTTTTTTATTATTATTATGTAACAAACAAAGTAACTGGATCTTGCTACCCATGCTTCTACGACGACGCAGGCTTGGGCGCCACGGGCTTGTTGCAGTCTTCCGGCAGAGGCGAATTTGGATCGATCGGATCCAACACAACAGTACCGACCTTGAAATACTTTGGATGGTTCCTGTAGAAATTGGCCCACCCTTCAATTTCCTAGAGTGGGTTCCCCCGCAGACCAAAAAAAAAAAAAAAAAAAAAAAAAAAAAGGCAAGTAGAAGTTAAGGAATAAAAAAAAAAAAACTCATTTGTCGTTGTTTTATCTTTAAAAAAAAAAAAAAAAAAAAAACCACCGACGCACCTTCAATTGCTGTGGACCAAGTCCTCGCACATCATGCGTCAGATGTGTCTGGAAACATCCCGTCGTATACGCACGCGACGCATCCTTCCCAGAAAAGAACCCGTACCCACCGCCCCGGCTATAATACGGCCGGCCCGCGGACACATCAAACACCTCGCCCTTGATCGCCAGGTAGATCGGTTTCGTCGGATCCGCTCCATCGTATTGCGCCAGCTCCTTCTGTGTCACCACAATCTGCTTTCTCTGCACATATATAAATACCAAAAATAAAAAAATTGAGTGTCCTTTGTGAGCACGCAGTTACGAAATTTCCGAACAAAAAACATTGTGTATGCGTATGGTGTATGTTGTCCAAGACGAACAACGAACTGTCCCCCTTACCGGGACCCAATGCCTCCAATTAACGTATTTTCCGTTATACCCCCACAGCCATGTATCCGTGACCAGATACGAGGCCAGGAAGAAGAACAGGATCGAGAGCAAAATTCCTTGAAGGACTGAGGTCTTCTTTGTCTTGGCTGCTGCTCCATGCCTTGGTGATGCAGCCCCATCCTTCGGACCCGTCCTGTCATGCCCTCCGTGCTGCTTGCGCTGTTTGACATTCTGATGCTGGACCATGGTCTCGATGAGGATGACGATGAGGATGAGGATGAGGATGACGATGGGATGAGAAGAATAAGATGGGAGCTCCTTTGGCGGGCGACTGTCCAAGGTGGGAGGAGGGAGGGTGGTAGAAAGATAACGCTACGACCACGCACCAATTGTCCGTGTACATGACTGTTCGTACGAAGGGCGAGCACAGGGGGGGATCATGTGAGACATGAACCTTCCCCCTTCGGAACGCGTTCGTAGTTTGGTCAGACTATTTCCAAAAAAATAAATCGCGTAAACGCGAGGGGTGGTGGTGGGTGCATGCATACATATTCGACTGCTCTAACTCATCTACATTGATGATCACTAGACTATTTGAGTGTGCTTGCTTTCTTTTTCTTTTTTTTTGGGGGGGGGAGGGACCCCATGCCATCTTTACAGCGTGATCCTCAACCGTGCTGTCCTTCCCTCCCCTCCTCTACTCGGTGCATCTAAATAGGAACGCGTCTCATCGCGTCGTATCACCTCATGTTCGTTACCCCTTCCCAAGGACGCGTCTTCGTGTACACACAAACACATACATAGTAGATGCGCATGCGCAAAAAAAAATCAGAAAAAAAAAAAAGAAACGCACTATCATGCTTCGTGCTATCATGCTTCGTGCCCAACAAGAGTACATATCCATACCAACAGTTTGAAAAGTTATGTTATAATTATTTTTTTATTTTTATTATTATTATATATTTATTTTTCCTCAAAGATCGCCATCCTTCTCAATCGACGACCTCGATTAAGGACTTTTGGTAGACCAGCATATGAAGTAAAAAAAACGTCCGACCGTCCCGATTTCCATTCCCACCCCCCACCCCTCCTTCTTCGGGGGGGCTAAAAGGCGCTTTCTCAACGGGACCCAGTCCTCTTCCTGTTCTTCCTTCTGCCTACTGGGGATGCATTTTTCGTGAGTATCGATGAATTGATCCTTTAGTCCGATCGGGGCGATTCGAGTCCTTTTCGCATTGAAAACTCCCTACAAGATCGCTTCGTCTTGGAAACGAGTCCCGCCTATGGGTAGTCAACGATCAAGAAGCGGCCCCGGGCTTTGATGTATTCACATCCCCCTTCGCCCTGTCCCTTTCGCTTATGAAGAAAGCGGAAGTGAGGCGGGGGCGCGGGGGGCGGAAGGGGGGACCGAAAGGCACTGTATGGTCCAGGGTACAGTGCCTTGTTCGATCAATACGACTTTTTTTACACGATAGAATGTTGTCGGTGTTGCTCGCGTTACAAAAGAACAAGGATGAAATGAGACCCCGGTGAGTGTATCTTTGGGGGAATTCGATTTCCCTTTCTACCCCTTCTGTGGACTTTGAGGTTTCTTTAGGAGGGATGGGTTGCTAGTACGTGTATGGTTGTATGGTTGTATAGTTGCTGAGTGTTATTTTTCATGCAAGGAAAAAAAAAAAGCTCTCCCCACAGGTAAAGCAAACACAAAGATACAAGGTACAAAAAAAGAGACATTGTACCGCACAAGTTCTTACCTGACAGTCCGCGGCGTTTACGACTGAATGGATGATGCCCTTCACAGGCCTGAGAACAACGAGTGTGAACGAATCCGTGATCCATCCTCCTCATCATCCTTCGAGTATTGGAACCGTTCCATAGGCGTGCGGGGTTCTCGATATCGTTGGAGTACCCACTTCAATGTCGTCTTCCGCCAGAAGAAACGATCAAGGTGCTGAAGAAGAAAGGAGAAAGAAGAAATAAAAGAAAGAGAAAAGAGTGTCAGTAACAGAAAAACTGGCTGCAGCATCGCGCAACTTCACCCATAGACTGAAGATGACAGACACTTACTGTATTGTTATAAAGGATCTCCGGGTGTGGTGGTATATAGGCGGAAAATAAGCAATACATAGAAACACGCACGAGGCCCTGAGCGTACGTGGTTATGCGACCGCTTAGAAAGTGAAAATGAACAGCGGTAGAGGACAGTGAAGGGCGGGTGGATGAGGGGAGAAGGGCCTTGTGGACAAGGGAGGACGGACCTGGAGTTCCTGATTGCGGGCCAGATAGCACCCTTTAAATAGGGCTACCCCTTCCCCTACCCAAGCCCGATGCCTGTGGAAAACACATCCTTTCAAAGACCAAAATGGCATGGGGAGGTTCTCAAAATAACGTCCCGCGACTGACGGATGTGGTTTTGGGATGCTAGTTTTGGTTATTCGCCCTCTTTGTTTACATGCCAAGCTCAAACGAACAAAGAAAACGGAGCAAAGAGTACTTCGCCATCCTGAGTGACTCTTTGACTGAAGACTATGCTGACTAGGGACGGGTACCCGCACCGCTTTTTTGTGAATTGCAATGTTTTTTTCTTTGCAGCTTTTGTTTTAGCTTTAGCTTTAGCTTTATTCTTATGCTCGCATGACGAGCTACAAAGATATGTAAGATATGTAAAGTACAGTAGATACCAAATTCGTCAACCTGTCCCCCACAAGTGGTTCCCACATCAAGAGATCCATGCCTCCTTGGGCGGTATAATCACACAGCTGTCCTCATCCAACAATCCTTGTCCAATCAAGTACTGTCGCATGTGATCAAACAGCTCCAACTGCTCCTGCCCCTGCAAATTATTGACCGCGCTCTGCAGTACCACCCCGACTGACAACGCCGTCGTCTTGATAAAGCTCTGGTAGTACATGTACGAGAATAAGCCCATCAAGAACTGACAGTCCATCCTGTCCGTGATGCCTCCATGACCAGGGATCGACTGTCCAAAGTCCTTGATCTTGAACGCACGCTTGAACCCGGACGCGAAGAATCCTCCAAAAGGTGCAATCAACGACGCAAAGCAAGCCATGACAATGGTGTGAAGCTGCAGGGGTGCAATCATCACATAGTGGTTGCGCATCCCCACATGGCGAACAAGCGCTACCATCCAGGGCTTGAGGTAGTACTTGACGGGGACAAAAACTGGGTTGGGTTCACATGTCAAGCCACTGAACGCAGTCGCACGCAAGTCCTTGACAGGGCAGATCATGTACGGATATCTCAGGAACAACGTCGCGAACTAGGAAAAGAGAGAAAAACAACAATAATACTCGTTAGCATGTAGTATAGACACCGCAGCTGATATCTGACCCATCCATGGAAATAGCCTCCTCGTTCACATACCATGATACCAAAGACAATGGTCATGACCCATCCGCCAACGAATCCCTCGACAGTCTTCTTGGGTGACAGCTTGATCAGGGGCGTCTTGCCCCAGAAGAATCCAAAGATGTATGCAAAGATGTCGTTCGTGATGACCAGGGACACGGGCAAAAAGAACCAAATCAGCCCCTCAAAGATGTTGTTGATAATGAAGTGACTCTGGCAGACGACCAACAACAGCGTCATGTGGGTCCATGCGAACTGCGAGAACTGGAAGCGGTAGTGACCCTTCTTCAAGTTGGCAACAAAGAATACGAAGCCTATTTCAGACGGTTGAGAGACGTTAGTCCATATACACATCCAAATGCATCTCGCAAATGTCCGTTAAAATCGCAAGGCTCCTTACCGATGACGTAGAGGGTGAACGAGATGAAGCGATGGTGTGTCGCAAACGGCAACAGGAACGCGTCGACAAACACCACATGCTGGAAGTAGTGAATCAAACTCTCGCCATAAAAGAAGTAGTTGGTACTGAACAAGAAATACCTATTGGACGGTGCAGATTGAGAATGAATACCAAGGCAAACATATGGATGTCAGTCACCTTCACATGTACTCGTTCAACACTCCTGTTGTCAGACCCCCTCCTTAGACACAAGCAAGGAATATACCAGTTCATGGTCCTGAACCAAGGCAGCCTCTTTTCCTTGCTTGGGATGTTCGCAAGATAGATGACCTCTTTGTAGACGAGTGCCTGAACCATGACCACCAGCAGAATTACAAATAAGGGACCGGCAGCGACACAGGCAAAGAAACCCCCGATCATGATCAACGTCCAGAGTGTGCGGACCGACCAATTGGCCCACTTGGCATTTGAGGACTCGGCTGCCAACAGCACGACCTGTTAAAGAAGAGATATAGTTTAGGAAGAGGGGAAAGTAGAGTCATGGAGATGTTAGTAGCGGATATTATTTTCATATGCCTCATATGCGCTGTTCCTCCACGCGCCAATTCAACCCTCACAAAAAGAAAAGTGTCTGTGACATATTTGGGGTGTAAGCAAGCAATCAAGTAAGATAGCCAGCATGTGTCCTTACATGCCGCCAAAAAAGAAAAAAAAAAAAAAAAAAAACGGCATATTCTCCGCATTCAGAGCAATCACACTGCGACAGACAGGAATGGCAGCGGAAGCAGGTTTTGGCTCCCCTCCCTCCCCGCTCTGAGAGTTTGGCTTTCATGCATGAGTCGGCGGCCGAGATATCCACAAGTGCTGTGGGTATTATAATTTCCGGTATGGCTCACCCTGGTAAACTTTGGTAAATTTCCATTTCCTTGTTGTCCTCCAAACAAAGGTGGCAAAAAAAAAAAAAAAAAAGCGAACCACAAGAGAGAGAGGGGGGGGGGGGCAAACACAAACACCTGATCCAACACCTGCACTAGCAGCTCGCACTCAAATACGCTACCTCTTTATCGGAGGGTTTATCGTGGTCATGATGATGATGGCGATGGCGGTCGCGAGGGCTCGGCGGCAGAGGAGACGCGCGGGTAGGCGATCGCGGCTGTGCCTGCTGTTGCTGTTCTTGCTGCTGCTGCTGCACTTGCTGGATCCGCAACGCCTGTTTCGATTGCAATTTTTTCTTCAGTCGTGGCGATCCATTCGTCGCCAACTGTTGCTGCCGCTGTTGTTGTTGTTGTTGCTGCTGCTGCTTTAGTGCTTGCCTCTGTTTCTGCTGCTTCTTTTTCTTCGCGGCCTTGTATCCATTACTCGCTCGGTTCTCGGCCGCCTTCTCATCCTCCTCTTCCTCTTCCTCTTCCTCATAATCGTCCTCCTCTTCAGATGCCTCATCCTCTGTCGAATGACTGCTGTTGCTGCTCTCACTATTACTGCTGCTGCTGTACTCCATTTCGCTGCCATCGCTGCTGCTCTCACTGCTATCGCTCTCGTTGCCCTCATCTTTGTTGTCGGCGTCCTTTCGATCGGGCCGCAGGCTGTCGAACAAGTTGCTGCTCAGATATGACAGTGCTGATGGTCCCAGTCCAGATGATCTCCTTCCTCTGGTTTCTGCTCCTCCTGTCCGGCTCACACCCGTAGAGAATTCCGATCCAGATGTCGCCGTCATCTTTTCTGCCTCTGCCTCTGATTTGGCAGCGTTAACAGCTGCTGCTTCTGCCGGAGACTCCATACGTGTGAACTTTTTGTTCTCGACGACGGTTTCAAACTCATTGGCGGCCAATTGCATCACGTCCTTGACATCATTAATAGCTCCCATCACCTTGACCTTGGTTTCCTTGAGTAGACCGGAGGGCTCGATATTGTCTGATTTTGCATGATTGGCCTGGTTGGGCGAAGACAATGGTGTGTTCAAGGTAGCAGCCTGCAATGCGGCAGAGGTGGTGCCGATGCCGTTAGAAGTTGACTTTGCGCTGCTAGTGCTGTTCTTGTTGGAAGATGGTGGCGGACTGTGGTTGTTGGTGCTGTTCTTGCGGGGAGATTTTGATTTGGCCATGACGAGATTGATATAGGAGGGAAACTAAAAAAAAAAAAAAAAAAAAAAAAAATAGAAAAGTCGTTGTATGCACGACGTGTTGCAGGACCAGTAACGGAAGGAGGGGAAGAGATGGGATGGGGATGGTGCAGAATGGGATCCGAAATGAATGAAACAGGAAGGACGTCGTGAAGAAGAACACAAACCAAAAAATGTAAAGTGTAAAGTGTAAAATGAGAGGAACGGATGAAGGGAGATAAGGAGAAAAGCAAAATAGGAAGAGGAGAGGAGGAAGCAGAAGATAAAGAGGAGGAACGCCATTCTACCTGGGGACCCATCCCACCGCATGCCTCTGCTCCACTGCACTCCATTCCATGTGAAGGGTGATGATGGACGCGCCCGTTAAAGATAACGAGGACCGAGTGGTGGGAGGGAAGACACAAGAGGATATGATTACATATGTCACTATTGCCAAAGTTCATTCCCCTCTCACTCCTTCTTCATATTCTCCCGCTCTCTCCCTTCCTCCTCGTCCTCACCCTCATCGTCACTTGCATCCTCAACCTCATCCTCCGGGCAATGCTATCATCCGTTGTAATGGGATCACCAAAAGGTGGATTAATCTTCAATAATCTATGCATGCGCATGCTGCTGCAACCAGAGAGTACAAAAGAAAAAAAAAACCTGCACGAAATAGCGTTGTAAAGTGCACACACTCGCACACACATATACTCCACAAACACCCCCACATCGCATCCCCCACATGCACATCCACCCACACGCACACTCCCCTCGAGTGCCTGCTGCACTTCATTTCGTTCCAAGTGCTCGATAGAAACCATGTGAAAGGAGAAATGAACGCACGGAATGCCGATAGCACCCACCCACATAGCAGTGCGCACAGGTCAAATGGCTCCCCCCATGAGACAAAGAAAGATCAGAAGAGCAGCTTCCCAAGGCCCTTTCTTTTCCGGTTCACTCATCTTAAAGTAACTCACTCTGCATCTAGGTTACGCAACCCAGAAACCGGTTCTTTTCCTTCTCTGTCTTCCATCATTCCATGAGCACCTCCACAGTTAAGGTTAATATGCTAACTTCGCATGGTGCATTCATCTCCATCTTCAGCCTGCATTATATTACATCCATATTCTTCTGGAGCTATACAACCTTCCTCATTCGCACACTTCGTTTCTGCTGTTCTATGGCTCCTCTGGCGCCTTATATACGCGTAGCTGTCTGTAGAATTCCGTGACCTTAGGATGCACCATCACCTTCCGTGGATCAAAGTTCAGCACCTGCAGTCCATCCAGCGTCGTCGCTCGCGACAGTGCAACATATGCCTGGCCCTTCTCAAACACCTTCCCCAGGTCAACCTTCACTTTCGGTAATGTCTGTCCCTGACTCTTGTGGATACTCAACGACCATGCAAGTCCCAGCGGGATCTGGATCCGTGCCCCCTGCACATCGCCATTCGGCAGCTCAATAGTCCACTCTTCCCTGCCAACCACCATTTCTCTTGTACCACCTCCTTCCACCGTAAATCGGACCAGCGGCAATTCCTCACCAGGCGTATTGAGCGACCCTTTCCGCGCACCGTCGGATCCAGTCGGGTTCTCGTTATCAGCCTGTCTCGATACGAATCCAATCAAAATGCCCAAACTGCCGTTGACAAGTCCACCTGAGCCGCCACCCTGGTTCCGCAACAGCATCACCTGCGCATTCATTTTGAGCTGCAGTGTCGTCGGTGCCAAACAGTTCTGCTCCATCTTCTCCTTCAGCGCACCACGATCCCTGGCCTGATAGACGACAGTCTTTCCTGGCAAGTTGTTCAACATCCGATTGTTCGCTTCCTCCACCTGGTTTCTGAGCGGGAATCTATCCACCATGTAGCCAAAAAGATAAAACGATTACACTCTGTGGTCTCAAAAGGACAATCTCACTCCAACAAAGGTTTATCAGACCACTTACAATTCTGTCGGCCGCAGACCATCATTCGTCTTCAGGTCCCGAGTGAGGGTGCGGAAGCGATCTATTGTTGGAGGCGACATCAGGCCCAGTCGCATCTCGTTCAACATATCCGCAAAGGCTATTAAAATAAAGTAAATAAAATAAATAAAAAAGCAAGACAGATCAGTCGCATGTATTAGTACGCCATGAAACCCTCCATTCCTGACATCAACACAGTTATCAAGGTGAAAGCACTTACTCTGATCCTTCTGACGAAAGACTTGCTGCAGCTGGATTGTCGTATGGATCGTCCTTGACCAAGATTCGCACTCGAAACAAAACTTCACGTTCCCGCTTTTATTGACCGGCGGCAGCTGAAAGAAGTCGCCCGTCAGGACCACCTGGATCCCCCCCCAGGGCCGATCGTCCTTACGAACAAACCTTGCCAACGCCTCCAGCTTGTCCATGAAATCCGCATCAATCATTGACACCTCATCAATAATTAGCACCTTCGTATCCTGCCATCGTCGCACCGTCGTCAGATTTTTCCGGATCTTGGCCTGCAAAGCCGGCAATGCCTCCAATCCCAACCCCACGCCCGCAAACGAATGTAATGTACATCCTCCAATATTGCAGGCCGCGATCCCTGTCGAGGCTGTGACCGCAACGGCATCATCAGTCGATCCCCAATGGTCTGAGCCACCTCGCCGGTTGCTATATCTACTCCGCAGCTGATAGATCAGTTCCCGGAGAAGGACCGATTTTCCTGTTCCTGCAGATCCTGTAAAGAAGACATTCTTCTTGTAGTCCATGACTTGCTTCAACACGTGCTGCTGTTCCGCCGAAAGTAACATTCCGTCCTTAGTCATGTTCTTGGGATAGTCTGTTGCGCCGTAAGCCGATGATGAATCAAACAGACGTGCTCCTGCTGACCCCGGTGAAGAAGGTTGAGGTGCTGTGCGGTCTGAATCCTGGGTCTTATGGAACGAAGTCGTCCGCGACAGAGACGCCATTGATACTTTTGACGATACGTGGACGCCAGTCTGGAAGGTCGATATAGGCTGATAGCCAGTAATTGTCGGTGGAAGGACTCGTTTCCTGGTTCCGCCAACACTATACGCCGCAAAGTCTCCAGAACGCTTCTGACTGTAGCTCTGAACCTTGGCATGGAGTGATTGCTGTTGTGATGACTGCTGTGATCCACCGTTTGAGCTGCCCTGAGAAAGTGGTGGTGTTATTTCTGGGTCGTAGCCACCAAATCGACCCTGCATTCTATTGTCCAGACTTGTTGCCGAGACGAATCCATCGTCTGAGAGTATAGATCCGGAAGAAACCAAGAGCGGGCGACTGGACGACAGATTTGAGTTTGATCCTGCTGCTGCCAGCTTGGCTGCTGAGCGGTATCCGACATCGGCCTTGGGACTGATCAGCTCTGATGCACGCGGGATCGGTTTTGTTCCTTTGGGCGTAGCCATCTGTTCCAGAAGTGACAGTTTTGGAGCCACCGTTGCTGTTGCTGGTAGCGATCCAGGTATCCTGGAAGCTGATGGGGACGTCGTTTCTGAAGGCTTTGGCGCTGGTGCGGAGGTATGGAGCTTGTAAGATGCCGAAGGCATCTTGAGCAATTCGTCCTCCGAGTCGCTGTTCAGATCAAGTGGCCGAATGATTGAACCGAGGCTGTTCTCCTCAATATACATCGGTTCTTCAGATGTCTTTCGTTTCCTTTGTCCAGAGCTATGTTGGCTATTGTTGCCACCAACTTGGAGTGATTCGATGCGCTGTGGAACTGTGCTGACTCCATTCGATATTGGCTTTGTTGGTGGTTGCTGTTGCTCGTACTGGGACAATACTGACGGTGTGGAGGTTGTTGCCTTGAGGACATTGTCCTTGTTGTTGAGAATGGACATGTGGGACCGCAATGGGGCCGCGCTTTCCACTGTGAAAAGCGTCGCTGGTGAGGACGCCGAGAGGGGCTTGAAAGACAGCTTTGTCTGCACCGGTTCCTTGGATTTCTTCTTTGGCGGCATGGTTGAGAGAGCGAGAGTACGAGAGAGCGAGAGAGCGGGAGAGCGAGGGAGCGGGGGAAAGTGGGATATTGTACAGGGGTGGATGTGTTTCCTGTTGCCAATGGTCGAGGAGTGGTCGAACGAATGGAGGAGAAAATGCGATGCCAGCCTAGCCCTACTGGACGCTCAACAAAGGTAAACAAATCAAAATAAAAACGCGTTTGCCACTAAATTTCTTGAAATGGCGGCGACTCGCGACCGTGTATGCGTAGAAAAAGATCTGTTGCGGATTATTTATTAAGTAAGATAAACGCGCTGCTCTACTTGTCAGACTGAATGCTGCCTGCGTAGATGCCCGACTCTTTCAATCCGCCGTCTCCACCGGCAGCTGCAGCCCTAGCCGTCTCGATATCCAACATCCCACTATGAACCTTTAACAACACAAACAGCTCCAAACTGTTCCTACCCTTACCACCGACCAACGCAGGCAAGCCCAACAGATTCGTATTCGAGAGGCCCAGCAGATATTTGAACCGTGTCTGTGCCTCATCCAAACGGCCCTGATGAATCCAGACCTTGGCCTTGTAGTAGTGCGAGAAATAGTACGTGTATGTATCATCCTTGATCAGGGGCGCGTACCGGAACACCGTCTGGAAGGACTCGAGCGCCAGCTCACACATCTCACGATTAAAGGCCTCCTCGGGGAAGAACGCGATATGGTAGGCGACCAGGCCCTGGAGGAAGAAGGCCAAACAGTAATCGTCGTAAAAATTCTCGTAATCCGCGACGTTGCTGTCCTTGAGGATCTGGTTCTTGTTCGAAAACATGCCCGAGAGATATCTACCGGCTGAAGCCTCGATCGTTTGGTCCTTGGCCGCCAAGGGCTGGTCCTCACGGCTCTTCATCTTTTCGGGCAGCATCGCCTGGAGACGACGGACCTCCGTCGAGATGTTGGTCAGCGCTACTTGGAGGACCTTGGGCGGCATCATATCGAATGTGTTCCACAACAACATGAAGTCGTAATTCGGCAAGAGCAGGTGTCCCTCCTTAATGTAGCGCTTGGACTTGCGAGCACAGAACGTCTCAAAGAACAGGTTCATACCCGCGACCTTCTGCATCCCATCCTCGACCTTCGCCATCAGAGAGTCGATCTTCTTCTTTTCCGATTGTTTCCCGCGCTCGTACCCTGTGATCGCGGTCAGGTACCGGAAGGCGCACTTTGACCACCGGCTCTCCTTCAGGAGCTGACGACTCTTCTCACAGGCCGTATCATGGTCTGTCTGCATCATCGCACACATCATCTCCTCAAAGACAAAGATGTGAGTCAAATTATGCCAATGCGGCTGCACCTTGGCCGAGTGATATGTCGCCACAGCCTCATCGAGTTTTGAAGTCACCTGGAGATGACGGCCCTTGAAGAAGAGGAAGAAGGGCGACTCGGGATAGAGCTCCAGGTTGTAGTCGTTGATCGTCTGCGCATAATTGAGATCGATGTGGTTCATGGGGATGAACGACGAGATAATGACCTGGAAGATGACCGGGATCATATCACAGAACTGTCGCCGGATGCCGTCGTTCGCAGAAGACGCTAGGCGTTCAGCACGCTCCGCGGGTGTCTCTGGCGGGGCCATCGGATCCCAGTCACCACAGGCACCCAGCATGGCCATGCCCCAGTCGCGGTCCGAAGGGAATCCAATAAACTGAAGCATCTTGACAATGACCTCGGGCATGAACGAGATGACAATGTTATAGAGCGAGTACGAGAGTGTGACTCCAGAGACGAGGTGCTCATCAATCTGGTGACGATCAATATTTTTACCGGCACGGAGCTCAGACTCGACGCTGTCCATAAAGGACTTGAGGCCCTGGATGATCGTGAAGGCATGGCGCAGGTTGATACACTCCTCGACCACCATCCACACGTCGAGATGGTACAAGACACTGAGCAGCGAGCGCAGAATCGTTGCCTCGGCATAGATGAGTTCCTGTAAGCGCGCAAGGTATTCCGAAGGAATTCATGTTAGAGGGATGCTAAGGGAACCACAGATGCAAAGGATTGCTTGTAAAATTAACTAAGGCTCTGAATAATGTGTCGACTTACAGCATGTTTCTGTACGCGGTTCATACTCCTGAACGATCCCGCACCGATTGTGCCAACAACAAAGGATCCAACGGCCTTGACGGATCCCAATCCAATCATAGAGCCCTTGCGCTGCTTGTTCGCAGTCTTAATCGCCTGCTCAAACGCCTTCATCCCCAGGTCGATCTCGTTTGGATCAAATGTCACCAAGGCCCGCAGTCCCTGAATAATGGCCTTTCCTAGGTCATAATACATAGCCCTCGGCTCCTTATCCTTGCTGTCCTTCTTCCCATCTGTCGTTGATGAGGCCGACGAGTCCGATCTCTTGGCGTCCTTGATGGAGGGTACCGAGGATGAATTAACGCTCGAAAAATCATCGCCCTCTGCCTTCTTGTCGTCCTGAAGCTTCAATCCGCTCAATGCCTCTGCAGCCTTTTGTGTCGCTGTTGAAGTGGACCCATTGCTGGTGTGACCACCTCCGTTCACTCGATGCTCCGTGACAGGGATTGGACCCTTAGCCAGAATGGCCTCGCACTCGGCCATGTTTGAGTTCAGAAACAGGTCCAGGGCATGACGAAGAATAGCGAGGTCCTGGTTCAGTTGCTGTTCTTCGATCGAGTCTGGGATCTGGTTCTTATTCCACCGGATCAAATGACGGTAGTGGGGCACAGGCTTCTTGAGCTTCGGTGGTGGCTGTCGACGACGGGAGGTGTTGTAGGCGGGAAACCCTTCGCCCTGACTGAACTCGTCGTCTTTTTCGGTTTTGGCGCTTGGTGGCATGTTGATATAGTATAGAGTGTGCGGTCAATGAGCGAGAGCGGAAAAATATGAGGATGAGGAGCGATGTTCTACGCAGAGTGTGGGGAAGAAGAAAGGAGACGGATTGTGGAGAAGGGATATTCTGGAGAGGGAGGAAGGCAAGGAGGAGGGAGAGAGCGGAGTATTTATACGAAGAAGAAAAGGTAAGAGAACGATATGGAGACTTTACAGATTACTGGATACTGTGGGCGAAGGTTGGTGTGCGTTGGTGGCCGTGTGGGTTGTGAGCCGTGTGGGAGGAGGGAGGACGACGAATGGACCAAGGGACAGCGGGTATTTCCTTATCATTTCGTATATGTCATCCGCAACCAGACTTTTGAGTTTATTGCTCTCGAACAAAGTAAATGCTATTTGATGCTCACGGCGCACTGGTGTATGCGGCGAAGACCAACTTGTTTGTCTCTGTATGACATGTAGACTACATGTGCATGCGGATATGCAAACGCAGCGCATTTCCATCCTAAACACAGGACCGAATGAATAAAACCGCTTGACTGAGCAACCTCTTGGAACCGTTCTCTCCGTTGCTTAGGCCTACTTGAACGCGGCTGATGAAATGAGGTTTGTCATGGCATCGCAGAGAGGAACACCATCCGGTACCAAGTGCTGCATCTCTTTGGGAAGCTGTTTTGTTGTTGTTTCCTTCATTCATTCATCTCAGATAAAGCGGGGACCCTTCCTGCCAAGACCGATAGCACAACGCTGCATAGCGCATTAATGCACGAGGGCAAAATCAACCGCTAGCAAGCATATCTCTTCCTCGTTTACTGTGTACTAAACATGATTAGTATCATGAACGCATTACTTCATGGGTGCAAGCGACGTGCTTTTAGACCACAACTGAAGGCGATGTTGGCGATGGGCGATGGTTATTGTGGAGTCTAGTAGCAGTAGGTCGCACACAATAAACTAAAGACACGTCTCGCATGTGAAGAGCGCGGCCGCACCGCGGTTCGCATCAGCCCTAAAGCCAACAGAGCAGTCGAACCCAAACAGGTTTCCTTTTTTATTATTTTCATAGGCGTTGTAACGTAATAATACTCCCTCTTTCAGCAACTACTCCCGCCTACTGCACTTGAATGGGTGTCAACTGCCAACATGCGCATTAGCAGCGTCTCTTTACTCTCAATTGCTAATTGTGTTTTATGGTCCCCGACCCTCACCCACATTCGCCCTAAACATTGTGCCTAGGTTCGCTTTCCTGCTCCTGCTCCACGCGGCGTAGATATCCCCTTGGCGGCCACGTTCTACCACCGCATCCCCGTTTCTCCCCACAGCCCTCCTCTTCCTTATTCCCCTGCATCCTCTCGCGTTCCCTCTGTCTCTCCTCCCGTCGCCGACGCCACGCGCTTGGATACTGCTGATCATGATACCGATGGAACACCATTCGAGCGCGATGCGGATCCTCATCCTGCGCCTGTCCCTTGGCCACATCCCTGGTAGGGTCTACGGCATTGGCTCTCCTGGATGAACCGAACGCCTCTCGACCCTCCGCGGTGTCCTCGGCAGGACCACCATTATACACAAACCCGTACGCCGCCGCCGTGGCCTCACGCTGTCTCGCCTCGATCTCCCTAAGCTCTTGACGGCGCTCCTGTCGTTCTCGATGTCTCTCTTGACGCCCCTCCCTACGCTCCGTACGCTCCTGACGACGCTGGGCCCAGCGTTCACGGATACTCGATCGCAGCTGCACATCCGGTTCTGCATCATTCGGTTCTCGCTGGTCCTGCAGCTGTTGATGCTTCTGAATGAGAGCGGCAGAAGCAGCAGCAGTGGGAGGAGGAGAAACAGGGGAATTCGAGGCGGATTTGTTCTTGCGCGTAACAGATTCCTGAACAGATCCGTCTGGATGCGTGATCCGGACGCGGGTCTCGGCTATGCCTGTCTCGCGGTTCAGGGTCACGGTCTTGGACTCGACAATCCCATCAGGCCGGGTGATCGTCGTCTGTGTAAAGGTCTAGCGCACAACAGAATGAAGGGGAAAAAAAGACAATGATGTTAGCAGGAGTAAATATCATAGTGTTGAATGGAGTCGAAACCTGATTACATTCTTCGCTATGGTTATATGTTACCTGTCCGTGTTCCAAGGATCGATGCCTTGGTGGCCACGATCGACGACCGTGTTCAGCTCCGTGGTTTGCAACAACAGCTGCGTCTCCGCTCACCTGGCTCTGTTTGTCCAGAGTAACATCCTTGGCTTTGTTGACCTGCATTTCCTTCTCTAGTTCCATACTGGTATCGTTATTGGTATTGTTTGCAGAGGCGACAACTGCGGCCGTGGCAAGTGCGATGGCATGATCAAGATCCGTATTAGCTCGCGAAGGTGCTGGAATTACAGCCGGCGCGGTCGGATGTTCATGCACGCTTGGCTTCACAGCACGAACCGCAGCCGATTCGTCCGCTCTGCTTTCCTGAACCTTTGCTCCCTCACTCGTCTGCAAATTGCCTTGATAATGACCTGCATCCACTTCCCCAGAATTAAGCCGTCGCGTAGTCGGCTCTTCCTGCATAGTATGCAGCAGCCAGCTCATCACACTCGAAGGCATCACAGCCGTGGTGGTCACCGTCAATGGCATCTTTCCTCGCACTGCGTCGCGACCACCCTGCTGCTTGCTGATGCCAGTGCTCCCGTATGTGTTATGATCATGGTCTTGTCCAAGGTTCCTAGGCGCTACCTCCGAGATCTCCTCGACCGTGATCTTGTATCGCTTCAATGGACTATTTATGTCCGATGGGACCCAGGCAGTGACGGTATCAGCCGGCAAGGACACCTGAATGGATGGCGTCGACATCGAATGCAACTGCTCTGAATGCTGCTGCTGCTGCTGCTGCTGCTGCTGCTGCTGTAGCATCTTGGACGACCTGGCGATGGCCTCTGCAGCCATCTGTTTTTCCATCGCCTCGATTTCTCGTGTCAGAGACCCGAACCCACCGAAGAAGATGGAACTCTGCAGGGTATCGATGAGAGAGTGGCCAGGTGGGCGCTGTGGACGCGAAAGTTGGTTCTTTATCTGCTGCTGCTCCTGTTTCTTGGCATGTTCAAGGCGCGGGGCAGAATCTTGGAGCGGACACGACGAAGACGAGGAAGAAGAAAAGGACTTGATGTCCCCTGAAGGGGCCACGTAGATTGTGAACATGGTTCGGTGCTTACACGTAGGCTGTGGGTGCCCTTTCTTTTATAATACTGAAGTGAAAGTCGCAACAAGGAAGTGGTTTGGGTGTTGGGAACAAAAAAAAAAAAAGGGAGCTCATGGATTTTTTATTTGCAAGAGAGGTGTCGTCCTCGCCGCCAAAATAGGCAATTTTTATTTAACGCCAAGCTGCCTGAACAATTACACCTACACAAGAAGTCATCTCGAGGCCAAAGTACACATACGGGCTCCCCGGGTTACTACATTGAGAAGTCACCGCCTCCAAAGCTACTAAAGTCTATATAGCCTGCATCAATACTCGTGAAGTCTACAGAGCTTGCATCAACACTCGTGAAGTCCAGCGACGAGGATCCGTTATCCAATCCGGACGACAGCCCAGCCTGGGACAACCAATCCCCTGATTGATCCAGACCTTCACCTCCACTACCACCGCCTCCTCCATCTTGCTGCTGTTGAAGCATCTCAAAGTATGACTGTGCATCTGACTCTCCGTCTGAAGAGTTATCCTGGTTCCCTTGATGATGATGGTGATGATGATGAGTAGTATGATGATGCGGTGGACGCTGGTGTGGATGATAATGGTGATATTGTGTATGCTGGACTTGCTGGCTCAAAATTCTGCCAAATGAACCGTAGAGCTTATTGGCATTATTATAATAAACAGCATCTGTACCGTAGTTATTCTCCGGAGTTGGCGGTGGACTAGCCAGTACTGATGTTTGTGGGTAGGATGAAGTCTGGACAAAGACAACTTGGGGCTGTGATATATGTTGCGACGACGCGGTAGCGATCTGAAGAGGCGGAGGCGAGACCAACACCGACTGTGATTGTGTTGCCACCAGTACTGGGGGTGGTGCTTGCTGTTGCAATGGCGACGATATTAGGACTGGAGGTCCGACTGTCGTGATCATCACGCTACCATTGCTGCTCCCAGGACTGATTGTGCTATATCTTTTAGTGCCGCCACTGCCATAAGCTGGTCCTGTCATTGTCTGGATCTGTGTCGTGCGGGTCGCGTGAATTTTCCTGCATGGTGCATTGGCAGACGGGAGTTGAGCTCCGCATTGCTGACACTTGTAGTGTACAACCAGTCCTGGTGTTGGCGCAGGTGCAGGTGCTAGTGCTGGCTGCAAATACACGGGCCTTGGTGCGACTTGAACAGGGACCTGCGCAGGGATTTGGACGTGCATAGGCTGAAACTGCTGCGTCGGTCGAGCATAGACTGTTGTTGTCACAGGCGCTGGTCTCACGGTATGGTGAACAACATGTTGTTGGTAGGGTTGGTAGTGCTGCTGCTGAGGCTGTGGTTGCGACGGATGTTGCTGAGGCTGTGGATGCTGCTGGACATGCTGAGGTGGATACTGAGGTTGCGGCTGATACGGTTGCTGGTGATGCTGGTGCTGATGCTGATGCTGATGCTGGTGCTGATGCTGATGCTGGCGCTGGTGCTGGTGGGGGATGGTAGCATGGCTAACTGACGGTGCGACATGCAGTCCAGGCGCTGCATGTGTAGCCGGTCTGTACACCACAGGAGCTGGCGCCGGAACCAGCATCGGCACCAGAGTTAAATTTTGTGCCTGCTGCTGTTTGGCTGCAATTGCCTGCGCAAATGCCTGGTGCTGTGGCTGTTGCTGTTGCTGCGGAAGATAATGAGCCGTAAACGCACTTCTGGGATCTCGGTATTCCGGCGATGGCAAAGACTGTGGGTTCTTGGAATGTACGGTCTGTGACGGCGGCTGTTGACCCTGACCCTGAGCGACGTATTGAGGTGCGCCTCCTGCAGACAAGGGAGGAACAGCCATGACGGACGAATAAGACGGTGGTGCTATTTGTGGATTGTTAGTGGGAGGCCGGTAAACCACAGGCGCATTGTCATCAGGCATGCTGCTATCAAATCCGTTTCTGGCGGCCCCTTTGCGATAAAAGGTTCGGTTATCGGGCTTAGTGGACGTGGGTCCTTCTTGGTGTCTAAGATAGTGGTAGCGTGGACAGCCGCTTCCCTTCTTTGGAGTCAGAGATGTCCTTTTTAGCTTATTTATTTGGCGGTGCCTGGGTCAGAACCTGCGGTTGGATGGACAGAGGGGAATAATATTAATAGCTGTTTTAGCAAGAGGATGCCATCACTTTCATGGATTCCAGAACCCAGTGCTGTTATGCCTTTTCTACTCCAGAAGGGATGCGGGCATAACAAGGAAATAAGAAAAAGTGCCAGGAAAAGGTTAAAAAAAAAAGGAATGAATGTTGTTTTTCTCCCATCCCGCGCACCATGGTGTTTTTTTCTTTTGTTGTTTTGGCATTTGTGAACCACAGGCACATCCAGGCCTCAAGCTGAGGTAAGGGAGGGGCTATGCAAGGCAGCAAATTGACTCGTAGACATTATTGCATTGAGAAACAGGGAAAAAGTACCTTTCTGGCAGCCGTGTGTTATTTATTGCTCACATGTAAGCGAGGACGCGCGCCCTACGCACTTCTAAGAAAGCGTGCGATTAGGATTGTCATGGTAGACTGGGCTACAAAGATTCGGTCAACACCAACGCATATTTCAACTCCAGCTGAGGCACTTGGAGCATAAAATGCGTTCAAAAATGACACTGCTTGAACGCATTTTTTTATCTGCTCTCGTAGGCATCAAGGCTGCCACCCATACCTAGCTGCTTTCTTTCCTCATCCAGTTTGGATGCATTTTCATAAAAAACCGATTGATCTCCTTCATGTAATAAGATGTATACGGTATGGTATTTTTTTATGTTCGTTCCAGTGTATCATGTAAAAAAAAATGAAAAAGGCAAGCAAAGGTACGAGCGCAAGAGGATGAAATTTGCGGTTGCCGGGAGCGGATGGCACGACAGAAAATGAAAAAGAGAGGTAGTAATAAAATAAAAAGACATGATATGATTGAAAGTATTATGGTATTTGATGGGATGGGGGAGAGAGTTTTTGTTTTTTTAAACCGCAAGTGAGGAGGAAGAGGAGAATGTTGGATATAGGACGTAGAGAATGACAACAAGAACGCAAGAAGACATAAAACGCACACACACAAAAAAAAAACCAGCTATGACCCTAATTGCAAACCGTAGTGGGACCCACAAGCCCGACCAGGTAGCATCCACCTCCGTCGTCCCATTCCCCTTTCTCCTCTATCCAGAGCCGGTCAATAAAGCCTTGATAGTCTTGGAAGTACTCGCATCGTTCAAGTGCTTGGTGTTGTACCTCAGCGCCGAAAGGAGATCAGGTGTGTCGTTTGCATTGCCATACGTCTGGATCGCCTTGACAGAGTTCTTAATGTTGATGGGTGAGCTCTTGGCAAAAGCACCCTGTGCATCGATGTGGTCATAAATGATAATCGAGATGACCATCACCCGCAAGCAGAACGCCGTCGTCTCGGGTCTCTGTAGCTTCTTCTTGTTATTGCTCACGGAATGGTAGCATACACCCGCCAGAGTCGAAAGACACTCGGACACGCTTCTGCCCACGCGATGTTTCGCGACAAACTGCGTCGTCACCTCTGTCACCGTCTTGAGCATCGGCGTTGGGTATGCATAGAACATCGACACATGGTTCGCCAACTCGTCCTCGTTCATCGCTGACTTCAGGTCAACCTCGTTCGACAGTTTTCCGCGAGAGAGGCAGCGTCGGTAATATGAAAAGTCGTTCTGGATCTGAGGAGTCTTCATCTTGAGCGAATCAAATTCAAAGACAAAATCGAGCAACTGACACAAAATCCGGGCCAGCGCCTGATGCCGCTCCAAGTTTTTGTTCACGTCGCCAATGCAAAGCGTCTGGAGGATTTGTGGGAGGTACGTTTCTATTTGTTCAAGATATGTAACAGTCAGTCAAGGTTAGAGATGTACGCCATCAACATTTGCGTTTTATCGCGTAGAAAAGTCGTATAACAAAGTCACTTACCAATGGAGGTAGAGTACTTGTAAAACATCTTGAGCTTGGCAACAGCGGGTCGCACATGGCTCCATGCCTCCGCTTCTGATTCGGGGCCAGGCGATCCAATTGCCTAGAGAAAAAAATAGAAAGTGCTGTGTTAGCATCGGATGCTTTGATAGATCCAGCTGTAATTCTCGCCTCCCGCGCAGTTGACTGAAGATAATGTCCCCTTGACCCTCTCAATCTCTTTCACGATTGCCCGCCCACCTAGACAGCTCGTCTTCCAGGCAGTATTGGGATACGAAAATAAAAATAAAAAGTAAAAAATAAAAAGTGTGTTGACACAAATGTTGAAAATAGAACCGGGCTCTTCAAGAAAAAGCAAGAAGTGCTCTGGTGTTGTATGGTGAACAGAAAGAAAGAGACTAAAAATGTTATTTCTTGCTGAGGACAGAGAATCCACAACGCTGGCGCGCTCAGTTCAACTCTTCTTTGATTCATATCAGAGACACCTGATCGACCCCCCTCGAGACCGAGGAAACCATTGAGCAAAGACCTCTTATGCATGTGGATTAGTACTTTGATAAATCCACAAGCGCGGAATCGTTTTAGCCAACAAAGAATGTGCCCTGAATATCCGTATCCAGGTACACCTGTCACTGCCAGAGAAAAGGATACCATCAATCAACGAGAGATAAAAATAACCCAAATCTCAGGATCTTCTTCAAGACGTATTGAAATGTAGGCAAAACGAAACGAAACGAAATGAAACGATGGAATTTGCTCGATCTAGTCCGATTATGCACAGACATATGCATGAGAGCACCGTGTATCGAGGGGAGAGAGTGTAAAAATATCAGGTTCCGTGGGGTACCTCACTTGAGCTGGCAAAAGATTGTAGACAATACTCTCACAGCAATGAAACTCAATTGCAACTCGACCATAGCTTTGTTTTCTTTCCCAAACGCATCATGCAGACAAATGAATAAAATAAACAACAATGATGGGGTCCAAGGGGCTTTGAACCTAAGCGCATAGCTCCGCCAGACAATTGGCCATTGTCAATTGTCAGCTGTCGAATGGTTGAATACTTGGCTGATATATCCAATAGCGCTTTTTGTTGTTATGCATGGCGTGGTAGCACGTCGCATCCCTTGTCTCGTATGAGCTCGCCAATACACCGTTGTATCAAGTTGATAGTCCACCGCAATAAATGTGCATGCGAGTCGGTGTCCAAGTATAGACAATACTAGTTTCTCCAGGATAATCCCTTAAATTTCAATGACCCCTCTTTCCGATCGCCCTGTGCGTCGTCCCTTCAGCTCTTTGTTCATATAACTCGGTGAGCTTCACTTTTGTTCGTTCATTTAACAAACGTCCATTCCGTCAGGACTCAGAAAAAAGATCAGAATTAAGAACAAGGATAAGAATAAGAAGAAAAACCCAGTAGGAAGCAGAAATAGGATATAAAAAAGATTGTTGCAGTACAGTAATGCCAAAGAGGGCCATGGTCTCCGAATCATTGCAACGCAACAATGATTCACCCTAAGCCTGCCACCATAGATCTCCCGCTAGCCCCCTGTCCTCGCACTCTCTTGTTACCCTGCTCTTGTTGATATTTTACTTCTTCTAGTCCAGGTGGATTAGATCCTGCAGCACTAAACAGACTAAACAGATGAACTGTTCGTCGGGAAACATCCTGCCCTGGCCTGCCCTGCTTTTCATGCCCTTTTTTTCTGTTTTTCTGTTTCGCTCCTCCTGCAGGCAATGATATAATCCATCCCTGAAGTCCTGGTATGGTCCTGCTGCATTCATAGTAGATTTCGGTGCTTCTGTCCGCATTCGATTGATAGTAGATAGTATAACGCAAATAAAGAAACATAAGATTACCTGACGGATATATTCCCCACAGCCCTCGTACGTTCGAAGTAACTCGAGGAGGTCAGCTGTTGGTTCCAACATGTGCAGAACGTTGGAGTATGACTCGAGATCCTCCTCGGTCATAGAGGAATCTATTTGTGTTTGGCGATGGGAAAAAAGTAAGTCCTCGACTTTCATGCCATCTTCTTCACCCGCTGTCAAATGTCCATATCTGATCCTCTTACCTTCAAAGTCAAGTTGGACATCAGGAACTTTGGAGTCACCATCCTTGTTGATGAGTTCGTTGAACTGGGAGAGAAAGTTACCCATGGCGCGTTATGAGAAAAAGAAAAATGTACAAGGTGGAGATGATGGAAGGTGGATCGAAAAGCGGGAGGGAGTCGTAAAAGGTATCGAGGTAAAAAGAAGATATATGAAGTGTGCTGTTCCTGAAAAGAGATGCGTTCCTTTTGGTCGTGTCAATTGGTTCTTTATCCTCGGGAGAAAATGAGGTCTGAAAAGACCGAGGATGATGATAAAGGTCTATGAAGGAAAGAGAGCAATCCAAAGACGACTGTATATTAGTAAATTCCTTTCGATACAGGAATGCTAGCTCGATTCAGTGGCCCAAATTCCAGGCCAGCTTTCAGTCCTTGAGCAAGTGTTCGAGATCATCCCATCTCTCTCCCAGCAACATAAAACACCCAGGTACCGTTTATAAGTCGGAGGACAGATCTGATGATGGAATGATCAAAGTGATCAGAAGAGGCAAAGGGGGAAGAGGATGAAGGGAATGAAGAGGGTGAATAGTGTGATTCTACTGGATTTGCGGGAGAGAGGGGGTGATCGTCAAGGTATGAGGTGGAGTAAGTGTTCAGAGGATAATGGTCATGAAAATCAGATAAGAGTGCGATATGGACGTATCATATCAGTGAGGAAAGGGTTCGTTAGAGAGGGATGAAGGGAGGGATGGAGGGGATGGAGAGATGATGTGGTGGCGAGAGAGGAAGCGGAAAGGAATGGAGGTAAAGAGATTCAAAGATGAGAGAGAACAGGAAGAAAAGAAAAAAAAAAAAGACCTGAAACGAACCCAGCCTTTCGGGCAAATAACAATAGTGCGATTGATTGGACGAGGGGCGTCCAATGAGCAAAAGAACCCACTGGCCGACTGCATTTCTCGTTCGTTTCCCCCCACTGTGTGCCTCCAGCTGGGTAACCATAAAGCAAATTGCAGACAGCTTCATATCCAATTCAATCCCAGTCAGCCAGACACAGTCCAGCCAAATGTGCTTAGACAATGTGCTTTTGCAGTTATGAAGGCTATGTCAATTTGAGTAGGAGGAGGATAGATGGATAGCTGCTACATGTACTAAAGAGAGGGTAGAGTATGCATGCAACCCTGTGCTGGCCAATTGTCGCAAATAGTACCAGTTGCAGATGGTGGTGATGGTACCGCCCTCTTTGGCACATCACATTGTCGCTTAGGACACCGCATCAGTGGTCTGGGTGATTCGGTGTAGTCACCTCATCCGTCCGACTGGGCTTACGGAGGGTGGTCGTGTCGATAGGCGGGTGGGCTGTTACGATCGATATCAGCAAGGGTATGTTAGGCAGAGAGGGATCAAGGGGACAGAAGAGACACTCACTCTGTTCGTCAGTTGTATGGCAGTAATAGCGATAGCAGGTAGAAGGTAGAGAATAAAGAAATCAGGGGAACAGGGAGTGAGTAGTAAGGAAACGGGAAGAAAAGAAGTGATGCGTGCGTGTGGGGAGAGGAAGAGGAGAACAGGAAGAGAGCAGCAGTGGCGGTAGTAGTGGTGACGGTGGAGGGGAATGACGAGGAATGACAGCCGAGGGGAGAAGAGGAGGAGAGGATGGGAGGGATGTGGAATCAGATGAATGAGAAAAGTGTGAGCTGGCAGCAGATGCAGCAGTGAGAGTATGAATGTGTGAATGCATGTAGACTATGCATGTATGCATGTATGCATTTATGAATGTGTGTTTGTGTGTATGTGGATGAATAATAACAATAAAATAATAACATTAATAACAATTTTGTTTGTTTATATTTATCGCACCGATGCATACCTGCACCCAAACTCACTCGTTCGCGGCACGCACCGAATAACAGTTGTGTCTTCCGACAACACAGGTCTAGTGCACTTTCTCCCCTTCCTTGGGCTCGATCGCATTTCTTTTTTTTTCTTTTCTTGTGCCACCAAATGTGCCTTCCTTTACACTTTCTACTTTCTCCGACCAATCTCTATAAACAATCCACATCCTTTTTTTTTCTAACTCTCCCTTTCACTTTGCTCACTCTTTTCGTTCAGTTTCTATGCCTCTGGTCTCTCATTTTCATTAACGATTTAACCCGCATGTCGCTACAATCACACAACAGCCCGCTTCTCGTCCGCGGCCCTGATGCTTCTCATCCTTCCTTTTGCGTCCAATCCTCGAAAGTTTCAACCTTCACTAGTCTAGCCCACACTTTAAGAAGGAAAAAGTTCTCTTCTTCATCCTTTCCCCCGTCCTCTCTTCTTCCTATACCGCCGCAGTATACTGCGAATCCAATCCCGATATTCTGATAGAAGATGATAGGACAAAGGACAATGGAAGGAGTAGTAGAGTAGATATTAAGAAAACGTTCAGCCAATCATATGATCTCGGCCACTGGCTTTGTTCCTGAAAAATAATTACTTTGAAACAAAGCCCACCCACCGCCTTAAAAAAAAAAAAAAAAAAAGAAAAGACGGCTGCTCCTCACCCCACGATCGGTCTGTTCATTTGCTCTCTTTCCTTTCTCGCTTGCGCGAATTGCTCGCCAGCTCTCTTCCTGCTGCTCTATTTTATCCCAAGCCCTATTTTAACCACCTGCTCTCAACAACTTACCCTTCTCTCCTACTATGTATAGTTCACGACATTCATTACATCGATAACACATTGCACGGGAACAAATGAAATGGAAACCATGTTACATAATGGCACATTGCGATCTGCGCTGTAAATGTCTTTTGCTCTTGTTCTCTTACTCTCTTACGCCAACGACAGAGACTAAAACCGTTGCCCCGAACGACGTCTGCGCTCAATGACGACGGTGCTCATGTTTGCCTGCTCTCCCAATTTACCTTGGCAAGGAATGGAATTCGGCGCGTCTTATGCACTCCAGGGCGGGTTCTGTATTATTTTTTTCTCCGTGGAGAAAGTGTGAACCATAAGGGCGGTAAATATCCTCCATGTCCACGGCTATACTCTGACGGGGTGCATAATTTCGTCCGCTCCCATATTCTTTCATTACGCTAAAGAGAGTCCTCGTATTCAAGAGATTGCACTGACAATAATCCGCCTAGATGTGGTATTGAATGCCTGACTTTATTCGGCTTAGATATCATGATGGAAATAAAAAGAAGCAGAATACAAAACAAAAAGGATTTTTCTTTTGTCAACTGTAGCCCGCACGCAGAGAGTCAATGTCGCTATCCTGTGATGTGATGATGATTGGAAAAAGAAAAAGGAAAGCAGATCGCGAAAATAGAGTGAAGAGAGGGCTAAATGCAAAACAAGAAACAGAGAGAGCGGCTGCAGGCCTTTATGCTGGTGGTTGTGTGGTGTTGCTGTGGTTGCTGTGGTTGATGTGGTTGGTTTCGTATTTTTGTTTTTGCATGCGGGTTTCGACTATAGTGATATATGATACGGGGTAGTTTTTTCATTTTTTTTTTTAAAAGAGGGTCGATATGTGGCTGTTGAGAGAGGAGTTGAGAGCGGAAAAATGTCGTGTCGCCTAAGGTTTAGCAGCCTTCGCGGGATCCATGCCGGCGGCTTCAAGCAACTGAGCGGCGTATTTGAATGCATTGGGTACATCGATAGCAGTGTCGGGTAAGAACTCGAGAGGGTCTGCAAACCCAGCCTCGAAATCCTCTGCCGACAGGATCTTCTCTGAAGACAGCTTCTTGAAAACATCGCCAATGCTGTCAACATCCGACGGCTTCATCTCCATGGACTGATTGACAAATTCCGTGACGAACAATGGTCGGTAGCAGGCATCCAGCTCCTTCACGCTCGTCAACAGCTCAGTTATATCCCGCAACGAGAGATATTCCTTCAGGGTATTCTCGATGCTGCGCTTTGCCTCGTCCTCGGTCTTCTTGGGCGCAGCTGTGGCATCCGTCGACTTGGACTCCGCGCCAGCGTCAGGGTCGGATACAGGAGCCGAGCGTGGCAGTAACTGCAGACGTCTGCGCTCTGGAGGCTTGTCAGCATCAACGCTACCACGACGATCACCGCCTTCGCCCTCCAGGGCACTAGTTGTAAAAAAAAAAGGTCATCGCAAAAATCGTTAAAATTATTCCTTGGAGACATGGACTACCGGCAAAAAGTTTAGACATAACAAGTTAAAGACTTACGCAAAAATGTTGGTAGAGCCAATAGGGCGGTTACTCTCGCTCTGAGAGGCGGCCTTACTTTCGGAACGCTTGCCCTTGTTCAAGGATCCAAAGACAGACTGGGTGGGTCCGAGACTGGGCAGCCCACTGACCTTGGAGCGACTTGTGTTACCAAACAAGGAGAGATCTCCAGCTTTCTTGGTCATGACCGGGCCAGCTCCGACAGTAGACCAGCCATCAGCACCGACCTGGGGAACGCCGCCCATGTCATGACGAGCATCGCCAGAGCCGCGGAATGATGGACCACGGCTCAATTGCTCACGACGGTTGGGCAATCCACGGCCGCCACCAGAAGAAGCCGTGCGGCGCATCATCTCCTTCTCTTCCTGCTGTCTGGCAGCCTCCTCGTGAATGGCTGCAATGGTCTTGGGACCAGCAGCAGCGCGTCTGTTGACCCACTTGCTGGCACGCAAGTCGATAACGTCCTGGACCATGAATCGGATACGGCTTGGGAGCTTGTTGTTCTTGGTCAGCTCGGCCATGCGTACAAAGTACACATCCATGTGGTTCTTGGCCTCGGGGCGATCCAACTGCAATCCAACGGTCGTCATCAGCTTGCAGAGACCCTCTGTCTCCTCCTCCTCGGGATCCTTGACGTTGGCCAACAGCTTCTTTACACACTCATGCATAATCTTCTCCGTCAACATCTGCAACTTGAACAGCTCTCCGATAAAGTGAATGAGGCCCAGTCCCTGACGCTTGGCCTTCATCATGACGTAGTACTCGTCTGACATCAGATCGGGACCATCCTTGTCGTTCAGAGAGACACCGCCAGCGGTGGCCTTGTCCTTCCAACCGCGCATGAAATCCTCCTGACATCTGTGAAGAAGATACTTGCGGAAGAGCTTTCCACCAGTCGAGCCTTCGACGGTGACATCCTTGACATCGGGGGAAACCTTATCCATGAGCTTTTGGCACAGCTTGGCATAGACGCTTCCAAAGTTGGGTTCGTCCGTAGCTTTCTCAAAAATAATCTGAATGCAGTGCTTCAAGGTGGTGCCATCATCCTCCTTGGTGCTCAGATTGGCAATGTCGATCACCTTGTCCGAAATGCTGTCGAACTTCTCAAGGGTCAACTTGTTCAACAGGCCCTTCACCTTACGAGCGACCACATCCTGATCTGGAGGCTCCTCGCCAACAATTACAGCGGGCGCCTGGCTTGCGCTTACATTAGGAGTCCATGCGTTCTCGGTCTTCTCAAGCGGCACAATATCGGCAAGAGGGATGGTTAACGCAGGCTCTTGGTGACCACGATCGCCGCCGCGGCCCTGTCCACCGCCACGCTTGCCGCCGCGAGATCCACGCTGTGAAGGAGGACGAGAAAGGTTGTTACGGGGCAAAAAGCTGTTGTCGCTGGGTGTCCTGTGCTGCATGCGGTTGTCACCGCTAGGGTTGCGCATACCCATAGGCATGGGTCCGTTTAGACCCATCTTGCCAAGGTTGAAAGAACCCATAGGGGGCGCGGGCTTGCCACGGCCATTGGGCATAGGGCGAACACGCTGAGAGCCTCCAGGCGACTGCATGCCGCGGTCGTTTCCGTCGCCTCCAAGAACATCAAGCGAAGGAAGAGAGTCTGGCTTGTCTGTGCAAACGCTCATGAACTGCATCAAGAAGTCGCGACCGTATCTGAACTTGCCCGGCCCATCGGCATTACTTGGCGACTGAATGTGAGACGGGTAGCTGACTGCGTTGAAGTTCTCGATACGGGCTGAGGGGCTGGGCGTAGGAGCCGATACCGTACGCGCAAGATCAACAGAGAGACCAGACTTGACAAAGTCTGCGGGCTTAGATTCGGTGGCGACGGCCTCGGCCTTGGCAGCAGCCTCGGCAGCCTTCTCCTGTTTAACCTTCTCGGCAAGTCTCTCGGTCTCAAGAGCGATGCGGCGCTCAGCTTCGAGCTTCTCCTTGGCTTCCTGCTCGACCTTTTCCTTTTCAAGACGAACCTTCTCTGCCTCGGCTTTCTCGCGTGCAATGCGCTCTTCCTCCTCCTTCTGCTTGCGCTCAGTCTCGGCACGTTCATTCTCCAAGCGCTCTTTTTCCTCACGCTCTTCCTTTTCCTTGCGCTCGCGCTCCTCCTTCTCCTTGAGTTCACGCTCTTCACGCTCCTTGCGTTCCTGCTCAGCACGGGCTTCAGCCTCAAGACGCTCCTTCTCTTCTTGCTCCTCACGGATCCTGCGCTCCTCGGCTTCTTTTGCCTCTCTTTCGATGCGCTCTTTCTCCTCGCGCTCCAAGCGTTCCTTTTCCTCTTTTTCTTTGCGAGCCTTCTCTTCCTTTTCCTTGCGCTCCCGCTCCTCCCGATCCCGCTCGTCAGGATGCACAATCTTGATCACGTTCTTGACAGGGGGAGGAGTAATGATATTCTTCTTCTCCTCCTCAGGGTTCTTAATGTCAATCACTACAGGATTCTTCGATGCCTTGTTATCAGTAGTGGACGAGACAGCTGCAGGCAAAGGCTTGACTTCAGTCTTGGTCTCTGGATTGATGATGGCAATGCGCTTTGAGCCCTGGGCTTGGGGTGTAAAGGCAGGCGCATTAGTATTAAACGGTCTGCTGCTTTGAATAGGTCGCTGGGGCATTCCATAAGGAGACATTTGCTGCTGGTACATCTGCTGCGGGTAATATCCGGTAGCATCATAGGACATGTACTAGATCCACAAACAAACAAAAAAGACAAAAAGAGGTGTATTAGTTCATAGTAATGAATCTGAATATAAATCACATTTAGTGAAGTAAGTCTCATGTGCAAAAAAAAAGTAGAATAGTCAGCTTACATATCCCTGCTGACCCCACTGCTGCTGTTGAGGGTGCTGAGGATGCATGCCGTGATGCTGAGGCTGAGGGTTCATAGGACCCATTCCGTGGCTCTTGATAGGTGGACGCTGAGATGCGAAGGGACCAGGACCAGCCTGAGGAACACCCATAGGAGGGATCATGGGAGCCTGAGAGATGGTAGGGGGGACCTGAGGACGGTAATGGGGTTGCTCATTGGTGTGTGCAGAGTTGGTCGAATCCGTGCGTCTGTGTGTGTGGTGGCTGTGGGCCATATGTGGCTGAGCGACATGTGGAGGAACAGGCTTGTACGGACTGTGGTGCTCTGGTGTGTGTGGTGTGGCATGGACGGGTTCCTGAGGGGCGGCAGCAACAGGAGTCGGTGCAGCTGGAGTCTGTTGTAGCAATGGGACAAAAAAAGACACCCTTTCGGTCAGTTGTCCATCTATCGGTTGCGTATCTCTTCTTTCTGATATCAGCAGTACTAAGCCCATCATTGCCGGCCATCTGCAGAACATCAGTGTATCGATCATAAACATATCCGCGCACCTCTTCTGACTTGCTGGGGATCATCTGCGATGTAGCAATGCTTCCAAATGTCATGGCGGTGCCGCTAGACGGTGCAGCTGGGGCAACTTCGCTAGAAGTAGAAGGTGATGATCCCGAATCCGGCTCATTGATTGATCCAAAGCGAATTGACGAAGCTATAAATGGTATGATATGAAAAAAGGACGAGGGCAGAACCAGGTTAGCACTGACAATCCTGCTCCTGGTTGCTATCGTCATCGAGAGTCGCTCCATTAAGATCCTTTACAACTTCGAAGAGACATACCTGGACCGGCTGAGGTAGGGGCAGAGACAGGAGTAGTTGAGGCAGGACCGGTCGAGACACCGGCAGCGGGCTTTCCTGCGGGCTGGCCCTTCACAGCTGCCGCAGCAGTGGGTGCCTGTGATCTCCTATTAGCACTATTGATGTCATAAGCGAATATCGCCAAAAGAGGATCACGGTTAGTTACTGGCCCGGAGCAACACCACATAACATTACACAAACAACCTTATCTCTACCCCCCCCTCTTCCTCCCTCTCTTGCTCTATGATGTGTGTATGGAAACTCTTTTTGACGAGGAAGAAATACGACGCTTTCCATTGTGTAGCAAAAGTGCAAACACCCACCAAGGTAAAAAAAGAGGGAAAGACAACAAAAGGGCACAGATAAAATAATGACATGCACAGGAAAAGTTGAGGGACAGCCACGCCAAGCGTATGCGAACGGGCCACGGCTAGACTGGTTAGAATCTGCCATGGGTATGATCTTGTCCAAAAACAGAAACCGATCCATACATCCGCAGTAAGACGCAAAATATAAAAAAAGAAAACAAAGAGCGGATAGCCAGAGTGGTCATCACAGTAAGATCATATAGATTGTGGACAAAGATCGAAAACCAAGCGAATGCGGATTTCTGTGCAGTACGAGTGTGTATTTGTGTGTGTGGTATTGGCGGAGGGTTGCGCAAGCCTTTTTTTAAAAAAAAAAAAAAAAAAAAAAAAAAGGTGACGAATTGCGATTCAAAACAAGACAGAATTGACCGAAGACCAGATCGACGAATAGTCCCGAAGAGCTGCATGCTACACGTACGCATGGTTAGCCTTTGCGGCTACTGCAGAGTAGTTGCCATTGGCTGTGGAGGGCGTTGCTGGCTTGGGAGCAGGCTGATGCGGCACTTGTTTTGTGTTGGAGGCGGAAACAGCTGCACCCTGGCTTCCTGAAGACGACGTCGTTGCAGTCGACGGGTGGGTCTGTGATGCTGGTGCAGATGGGTTGGCTGAGGCGGTATTGGCTGCTGCTGCTTGTTGCTGAGTCGAGGCGGGTGGAGGGGTCGCTGGGCTGGCTTTGGTGGTGTTTCTCTGGGCAGCTGCGGCAAAGCTGATGGGTGGAGTACCGGATGTAGGTTGTTGAGAAGAATTCCTTTTCATAATAGGTGATCGATTAATACATAACCCACGAGGGAGGAGTTACAGTGTGGGGAGGAGAAAGGGTGAGAGAAAGGAAGGGAAAAAGAGAGAGAGAGAGAGAGAGAGAGAGAGAGAGAGAGAAATAGGGGTGGAGTGTGAAAGTGGTGGTAATGAGAGAAAGGAGGAGAGGTAATGAAAGTAACGCTCTGGAGGGTGGATAACGATGACTGCAGTGCGCAAAAAAAAAAAAGACTCTTTCCTTTGTGGTTGGCCAGTTTCGCTGGGTACTATACCACTGCTTATTTCAAATACAAATTTTTGTTGTTGACATTGAGGGGCCTGCTTGAAGAGAGGAGAAAAAAAAAGAGTCCGCTTTTTTGGTTCTTCAGCGCTGCCTCATTCTTTGCAGTGCAGGCAGGGGTGCAGCGGGAAGCAGTGTTTGAGTGTTTAAGTGTTTGAGTGTTTAAGTGTTTGAGTGTTTAAGTGTTTGAGTGTCTGCAATCAAGTGGATGGATTTATTAGATCGACGGGTGCATGTCCATAAGCTGGGCCATTTGCTGTCATCTTGCCCACAGACACTACGTATACGTACATCCGCATGAGCCACACACCTTTCTCTCCTTCTCCCTGCTTTCCTGTTTCAAGGTAATACCCTTTTGCCTCAATGGATTTCACACAAACCAAGCATCATATTCGGGAGGAAACTCCTCTACGAAAGAACCAGGAAGGAGAGTAGAAAGGCCATTGCCATATCACACCTTTCCGTAGGTCTTCTCCAGCTCCTTTTCTTCCTCCTGCTCCCGTTGCTCCTGCTCATCATAGTACCGGTCTCGTTCCCTCTGCCTCAGCCCAGCTTCCAGCGCTGGATTCCGAACATCCATCACACCCGTCCGGCGCATCTTGTCAAACATGTCCAGCAATCTGCCGGCCTCCTCTTCCTTTTCCTCCTCAGTCATATCTGCCATGGCGGTGCGGATCGCCGATGGATCAGGATAGTAAGCTCCTGTGATCGGGTTAACCGATGTGGATGTGGAAAATCGGCGGGTTGGTGGCGCACCCGAATCTATGTCAGATGATGCATGTGCCGCAGGAGCTGTTGGTGCTGTTGAAGACAAGGCAGACTTGGGTGGTGTCGTTGCTTGGTCCTCGTCTATTTCTTCCACATGAGCACCGGTCACAGATGCTGGGACCCCAAGATTCCTATTCAAGAGAAATCCTGCTGCATTACCGTACCCCACATGGCGTGTCAAAACGGCAGCTGTCAACCATCAAAGATAGCAAATGCATTAGATACGAATATAGATTTGTCCTGGTGCTTTTGCTCTACATCGGCTTGTTCGTTCGCTGTCTTATTCATCGCAGAGGGCGAACTTACGGTCTTCATTGCATACAACAAAAAGTAATTGGCTGATAGTTTCCCTGATCTGTGGAAAACGGAGCGAAGTCATTCGTCGAATGAGCCTTGCCGAGAACGAGTCCCCCTTCTCGAGAGGTTTGGACCGATCCCTGTATCGTTTGCAGTCAGTTGCTTCAAAAGTTAACAAGATGGGCAAGTCCATATGGCTATATATCTTCCAGTCCGAAACAACCCTGCGTACACTTACACATCATCCGGCAAGAGTCTGGCTTTCAAGAATGCCTTGCCTTCGCCTCCTGCCGATGCAATATTGGTCAGAACAATGATCAAGGGAGGCACAATTTCATCTAACTCTGTTCCGTTGCTAAGTCCATCTGTTGAGACTTCCTCATCTGTGTTTAACGAATGCTTCAGGGTGTCGTCCAAAATTTGAGTAAGCACATTAAGCAGTTCTGCCTGCTGCGACCGAGTGACAAGCAGGGCCGACGTTGAGATTGGGAAATTCAAGAGGACATGGATAGCATGGGAGTGAGGTGGCTGTAGAGGGTTAGGGCTGGAAGGCGGAATAGTGATCAGGATTGACACAATCGTGGGCAGCAAGCTAGTATATAATAAAAATAAACCAGTTAGTTAGTTTTTTGTACTCACTGCATATCCATGTCCATTCGCTTCCCATGCAAATACGCACCTCTGAAATCTTTTTCCTGTTGCCTCTATCATTTCCTGGTCCGTGAATTTTGCTTCATCACTCCGTTCGATTTTTGGATCCACAATCATCAGGTTGAATAAATACTTGAGTGCTTCACTTAGCACCATGGACTGCGTGAACATGGTGCCATCGGGCGACCTTGCCAATTGAGTCTTCAGCACCTAGATAAAGCAGAACAAACATGTAAATACATAGCAAGAGACAAAATTGGAATACAGCAAACACCATCACAAGGCGACACTTACTACACCCACACTATCTACCGCATGGTGATCGTCGATGAGACTCTTCACAGTCGAAATCGCGTCAATGGTCATTAGAAATAGGATGCGACTAAAAAGAAACTGAGACTCGTTGGAAAGCTGGGATCTCTAATATGAAAAGAGAAAACAGAGTGAATTAGTTGCTGCATTATTTGAATTGAGTTGGTAGTACAGAGCCAAGACTACAGGGCTGCCCTGCCATGTGTCACACGAGCGATACTTTAAGTAGCTGGCTGCATTGGCGTGGCCCCTCGAGGCGATCAAAGACAGGTCTTGTGGTCGGTTTGAGCAATAGAGCGTTCGCAAGGCACTTCAATGCCTCTCTGGAGCTGGTCCTGTCAATGCTTGCTTCTGTTGTGCTATGAAGGCCCGAGTGGTACATCAAGGTCCGAATCCCCTATAATAAAAAGCAGGCCAAGTGAACGCGCCAGGGTAAGTATCCGATCATGCAAAGTTGTCGTTTCGCCTCACTGACGCTTGCGTTTGCTTTGATGTTGTCAGACGCTTTGGATAGAAATGATGCACAGAGAAAAATTGAGGAGGTCCTCAAAATATCCAACGAAGTAGGGGCTCTTCTTGTCCCGTCTCCTTGCAAGGAGACTCTGATATGTGTTCAGTGTCCATTAAGAGCAATATCTCTTTGTTAGGAAGCAATTGGGAAAGGCTATTACCTCCTCAGTGAAGATGGCGTCGCAACCCTCAGTAGCCCTGCCGAGTGTCTTGAGTGCCTGAAGTGCAAAAACTCGTTCTTTTTCCGTGAACAAACGCAACAGAAAGACACATTGGTATTCCGGTCAGATACCTGTGGCATTACGAGGGCTGTGTTGGCATTGGTTGGCCAGATAGTGCTGCTGACAGTCGCACTTACCTCGCTCGTTCCAGTTTTTCGCAACTCCGCCTTCTTTGAGGTCCTGGATGAGCGCCTCAACTACCGGTCGGCGATCTGAGTAATCGACAATGACATTTCCTAGGGCAATGGCAAGGAAGAAGAGGCGAGGAATGAGGTATGAACTGGTGTCAGGACTGCATATTCACGTTATTGCCGGTGCTTCGGCGGACGTGTTTCAAGAAAGGAGGGGACTTGTGAGATACCGTTTGCAATGTTCTGTAAAACGACCGCGACATTTCTTCCTGAAGCACGGTCGACGATGGAGTGGTATGCCATGTAGTGAATAGTATAGGTGGGAATCGTCAGTTGAACAGTTTGAGTCGAGATGTGATTGCAAAAGATCGCAAAAGTAGAGAAGGCGCAAGGACTGTTTCCTCAATGAAACCAGGACAAATAAGAAACGTGGCAAGGCGCGTGCCAGGGGCGAAGTCAACATGACCCACTTGTCGTTGTCTAACAATAATTACGAGGTTGTTTATTGAATGTACTACCGCACCCATGTTAGAAAGCGAAGGGAAAGAGACCATCATCGCCTCCTGTGCATAGCGAGATGGGACTGTTCATGTATCATACACCCCGTTTGTCTGCATACGAAGCGCTGCAATGCGCTGTTCCTCCATACGGAGTTGTGCCATCCTATGCTGCTGTACTTTGAGGATATGCTGCGCCGCTTGCAGTTGCTCTTGATACAGTGTGCCCACATTGTAGATTCTGGAGTGCAATATAATCGATCAGTATGGCGTTTAAATCCAACGACAAATACGGATTGCGAGAAACGTCCATTTTTTTTTTTTTTTTTTTTTAGGCACGTACTTTCCCTCCATCACTTTCGTGAGCATCTTCATTGGTTCCGCAATGGCACTGGGTGCATGAGTCGTGGCTGGCAAAGGCGTGCTGTGGAAGGCCGGCGTCTTGCGCATTGTGACCCTGAGAATTTGATCTAGAAATTTCGGCACGGACAGCAAAAAATGGTGTTAATAAGAACAGCTACGCCCAATGTGTCGCCTAGACCATCTGATGATTGTCGCCCGTATGGAAAAGTATTCCACTCACCATTATCAGCCTTTTTACCGTTCAATGTCTCGACGGCTGCCTGTCCAGCTGCCTTTCGGGCATATGTCACTTGCGAGAAACCGTTGGTACAGATACACGACCTGATTTCGCCAAACCTCGAGCACACAACCTATATATCAAAAAGAGAATGTTTCTCAGTCAATTAGCCTTGGTTATCTCCCTGCAATGTGTTCAAATATGCGTAACTGCTTACTTGAACATCCTCTGCTGTCGTTCCTGGGTCCAAATTTTCAATTTCAATTGTGACAGGCCCGTTATCGCTATTCGTGCCCAAGTCAGCGACTGCAGGCGCCGCACCCTTGATTGAAATTGGTTGATCGTCAATATCCATCGACACTAATGGATGTTGCTTCACACGCTGAACTCTCGGCGATTCACTGGGCTCCATTTTAATGTTTTGTTCGGCGGGTCGAGAGCGTGATCTTCTTTCCCCTCGCGTACTACTGTTGTTGTTCTTGATATTGTTGCCGTTACTGTTGCTGTTGCGCCTGTTATCGCCGGTATCATTCATACTTCTTTCCGGGCGATTGTTGCTGATAAAGTTGCTATTCTTCCTGCTCTCTGGTTCACTTCTGCCTGAGCGGGATCTGCTCCTTTCACGATGGCTGTTTATTGGTCGACCAGAATTGGGTCGATAGTAGTCCCCGCCACGGTAACCTTGGCGTTCCCTTGAAGTGCTATCATTGCTGGTTGTTGATGCATGAGTATTCCGTGGTATCGTAGTAAGGTTAGATGTCCTTGCGGTCCCAGCTGCCTTTCTCGCCTCAATCGCTTTGTTGTTGATGACAACAAGTTTGAGGGGACCTGCTGAGGGGATGTATCGAGAGGTAAAGATTTCCTTGACTGGTGCTGCGAGGGCCTTATACGTCTCGGTGAACAATGGCTCTTCCTTCCTGACTCTCTGCTAAAGAATAAAGACAGCTAATATCAGAATGCTGCTGTCATATGCTACATATGAAGGTCTCAAAGCGAGTGGCAATCTGCGGGTACATACGGCGTGCGTTGGACCTGACTTTGCGATTCGTCCCGTCCTAGTCGTCCTTAGCGTTGTCTTCGACTTTACAGCGACTTTGCTTTGTCTCTGCGCCAATTTGCTGGCTCTGTTGATGTCCTCTAGGCTCTGGCTGATGAGATCCATGCTCTATAATGGAATGTTGAATTATAGAAAGAAAAATAGAGATGATGCGAAGATCCAGGGAGGGGAAAAGTCCTTTTTTAATTGGACCCCTGTGCACTTCCCGCCCAAATACATTCTCAATCATGTGATAGATCATATAGCCCTACAGGATCCTGGTAGAGGTTCCCGCAGGTCATTATTGAAGCACAGGCCTGGATGTGCGAGTGATACGGCAAGTGTCTTAGTCTGGATACAGAACTTGTGAACCAAACTACAATGCGCCTGTATCCGTTCCCTTTTTCAAAAAAACCGCTCTTGGGCTGGTGTGCCTTTACGCCACCAATTTTAACAGTCTTAGTCTTTGATGTCGTGCTCTCTTGCTCGATTTCACTGACTTCAAATAACAACGCAAATCGCGAATCTTTCATCTTTTACACCCGCAATGCAGACTAGACGGCGAAAGGAGCGCGAAAATGCTAAGGCACAGGCAGGACCTCGGACGGAAACTTTGGAATGCGTAAAATTGAGTGAAGCCGATTCGAGTACTATTCAGGACTTGAGTGTATCAGCACCAGCTTCCGAACTCCAACAAACACAGGATATATCTCCAAACACCATGTTTCCTGGCAAACGGAAAAAAAGACCGATGGAACCCTCAACGCCCAAAAAAATCGAGATTCCGCGCGCGGCCACGCTGCCCCCCATTGTTTGGGTGCACGATGATCAGTATCAGTGGTGGCCTGGCAAAGTATGCTCGTACTACCAATAGAAGGGTATTGCTTCATCTATGGATGAATCTTACACTCATCATCGTCCGCTCTATGTTTTTAATTGGTAGATAACTCATTATCCGCCACAGGGTAACCGCGCGACAGTTGCAAGGTTTGGCAACATAACACCAAAGTGAGTGTCCCTCAATCATATTTGCCAGCATACAAATTTGGAGCAAGCGAGTTATAAAACTGCAATCTAACTCAATAAACATCCCTTAGAAGCATCACCGTTGAGTGCTCAACATCAAATATTTTGCCATTTCGCCGTCGATCTAAGGAGCCACGGGAGTTGGAAGGAAGAAACGTGAGTCTTGCGGCAGCCTTTGAGGCTGCGATCAAGGAGGCTAGTCAAGCTCAATTGAAGGATGACGATGGTCTCCCGAGCTTGGATGACATTATCGATCAACTTCCGACCACGCACGCATCATCCGCAACTCATCTCAATGCCTCGAGAAAGAAAACCACGGATGCGCAGCGAAAACTGTAAGATATCTGCGACGATGTACCATGGACAAAGTTAGTCTGCAATGCTAATTATATTCTTTGCTTGCACTCCTACTTAGTATCAAAACAGATGCGACATATTTGCCAGACAGCAGGTAACTAGACGAATATTAACTCGAAAACATGGATTCTTACGAATTCGCTCTGAATGCTGACCTTTCCTCGTGGTTATTACTCTATCTCAGTTTGACAATACCAGGAGAACTAGTCCTAGCACAATCCGATCGATTTTATTATCCGGGGCGCATTGTGAGCTTTAACAGCAAATCGAATAAATATAAGGCGAGTGACATGACCCATCCTATGTTGGAAGCATCAGTAAAGAGATTCTCAACTTACTATCTATGTTTTCAATACTGCAGGTCGATTATGCATCAGGGCATTCTCTGTCGATTGAGCGGAAAAAATTCTATACGACATACGAAAAGGGCTTCACGACGTGCCCAGTAAGTTTACATTGCCACATACAGCGGGTGATCTCTTGACAACATGAGGTGCTTATCTATATATGCCTTTCCACGCCTTACGATACTTTTAGTTGGGTGAGCTGGCTCGTCCTGCCATTATGGACAATTATGAGGATAAGGAGCTGGAATTGCGTGTCCGAGGGATATACCCTGCCCTTTACGCCATTATTTCAGGCACGCATGATGAAGCTGGTCGGCTGGAGGCGTTTGTCAAAGGCGGTAAGGCGAGAAGATCGCTTGCGCAGCGGGTCGGTCCTGGCAGCTTCAGCAGGGAAAAATATCAATTGATTAACAACCTGCTCCATTCAGAATTTCTGGCAGACTTGGCGACAACCAAACGAACGCAACCAGGTGGTCAGAACTGGCCAGTTTTAGAGGGATATGGACCACCCATGAAGCGGAGTGGCGATGTGTCAAAGGGTTTTTCCGACCAAATGCGTCTCCACTTTGTCAGCGATGTTCTCCTTCCGGAAACCATAACGCGCCTCACCATGCAGCAGGAGAATATAAACTACAAGGAGGCTGATCAGAGGGTTATCGACTGCAAAAGGGATGAGAGCACAGATACGTGGTGGGTGGACGACGTTTTGGCTGCGCGCGAGTCATTCCTGGACGGACACGCCCAATGATCCGTGCGCGAGGTCGACGAAGCCACACAAGATGTCCTTTGTGGTCCTTGTCCTCCATCCCACATACTTACTCCGCCCTCCTCACCCATCGCTTTCGCCTTTTGCACATTTGCACCGCTCATCCACATCCGAGACTTAAAATCAGCGCTGGCTTAATGGACGCTTCAGCAAGGTCATTTCTGCTGGAGCTGATGGCAAAGTCCAAAAAAGGATTGTCATTGGCAGAGCAACTGTGCAGCCAGGCACGCGAGGAACTGGACGCTTGCCAGAGTCATTCAGACGAAATTGAAAAGATCTGCTCGAAGCTATGCTTCGTCTCTCGCCAAATAAAGATCCAGATTACGGTATTGCTCTGGCGACTAGGTGTGTTTTACTCACTGGAGGTAACATTGCAGAAGATTACTTTACGCTAATAGCTGCTGGTTTTGTAAACCACGCTAGACTGTCGAATCGCTGCTACGGGTGGGACGCGCACGGCTCGGAGAACTATCAACTGCCTCAAAAGTATGACATAGTACAGCTTGCTGGTCAATCACTTTATGTTCAGTGGAGGAGACGATGCATTACACTTTTGCTAACGCACGATGTCAATACTGCGGCCTTGCAAAGGATCTTCAAAGAGACCTTAAGAGCGTATCTATTCGCATGGACCATGCGCTCCGTGCACTGCGGAACAAAGAGGTCGATTCCGAGATACAGAAGGCCCGTCAAGTAGACACCAATTCAACAGATAATAATCCAAAGTCAACAGCTCTTTTTGATTTCTTGGACGAGGGCAACTTACAGCGTCTGCAGCAAGAGTCGACTGAGAGGCTACAGCGAATCCAATCAACTACCGATCGATTGCAGGAACTAGTTGCATACTTTAGCAGCCAGCGGACAGAATTCAGAGGATACCTTAACAACGCCATCACGTTGGATGAATCTGCATTGTCGTTTGCAAGAGAAAAAATGCTATTACAGGAGCAGCACACCACTACCATGGCGGAATCCCTTGTCTCCTTGGCAAACCACTATGATCAAGTCGCTCAAGTACTAACGTAAAAGGAGTTATATGTGAATCACAAATGTTGTGCGGTACTGGTTTCAATATGTGTGCAAGTCACTAACCTCCGCCTGATGACTCTTTGTGCCCTTGTAGTGCCGATATCCAGCCCATGCAGGAGGAATTAGATGGTATGTCCACGCTCCTGCTTTCAGTCCAATCTATTCAATGGAGGCTCAGCTTGGTACTCAAGTGAATCTTTGCTTTTGACACGCATAGTTCTGGATAGCGATACGGCGGAAGTACTAGTGATCATTGAAGAACTGGAAGAATCGCTTGCGCTAGTGCAGGCTACGAGGTAGTTGCCATGAAATTTCATCTGCTAATACACCTTTAAGGGCCACAGAATTACCACATTTAATAGCTAACACCTCATTCTGCTCGCCAAAGTGAGGAGATAGGTGTCCGTGAGCACCTTTATACAATGGCGTACCAGGAGGCAGCTGTATTCTTCAAGAAGATCGAAGCTCTGGAACCAGAACTTGTGCAGATGGTTGAGGCCTTTCGATCTGCAGAAGGTCTAGAGGAAGATTTCGATGCAACAGAAAAGCTGATCAGCGAGATTAACGGTCTTGCTATATGGTACGCGTTCGATGCTGGCAGCATAGAGAGTAATTAATGCGTAGAGCTCTAAAGACACGCCTTGACAATAACGCTGATGCCTCGGCCACATAGGTATGAGGAGTTCCACAACTCCTACGGCGCGCTGACTGTCGAGATCGTGCGACGACACCAAGCCCACGAGGCACAGCAACGCCTTGTCAATGATTTCGTCAGCCGTATGAAAGCAAGCTATGCAGGCAAGTCTCTTTTGGCAACCTTACGAGCTAGCGCCCCAAATTCATTTGAGGACAGGTACCATCAGGCGCTCACAATGACTTTTTGCAAACAATAGATGAGATGAACCGACGAGCTGTCTTTTCAGAGATGCATGGCAAGTTTCTCCCAGTAGATCTTTGTCCATCTTTTGATGTAAGTGTCTTGTTGGGCACCATGTACGAACCATGCGCGTACCTGAAGTACGAAAATCATAACATAAACATGTCAATTGCTTTTTCAAACAACTTAGGATCCACCTGTGCAATATGAAGTCGTCTCGCATGGACATTGGCTCCTGCCCATGCCTACACGCGCTACTCTTCAACTCGTAGACGATCACCTGCACAACTCGGAGGGACTCAACTTTAGACCTGCAAGCCGTATTTAAGCGCGAAACGTTTTTTTGGAAGTGCCTTTGGTTCTAGATAGCAGTCCATTAAAGCGCGTTTGTTATTTTTTTGGCCAGAACGCGTCTGAAAAATAAATTAAAAATGAACCAAACGAACAATGCTTATCTTCACTCTTCTCATCGAGTCTTGCCTACCATGTTCATCAAACAGGTACAAGTCTATTCATTTACAACTTTAACGCATATCCTTCTCTACCTTGACAATGATGAAACACTGACATTTCATTCCTTATGGCCACAGATCATCATTCAAGGCTTCAAGTCCTATAAGAATCAGACCGTCATCGAACCATTCAGTGCACAACACAACGTTATTGGTAACAACAAATGGCGACGGATTGCCCAATTATGCAACTTCACTTGGCAGTACCTTAGTAGAACTAACCCACCGTTTGACTGCGGTATTAGTTGGTCGAAATGGCTCTGGAAAGAGTAACTTTTTTGCAGGTATATCGACTTTGAGAGTAAGACAAGTTGTTTGGTCCAGATCTCTATTTCAAAGAACTGACTATAATCCATCTTTGATACTGATAGCAATTCGCTTTGTCCTGAGCGATGCATACACAAACATGGGTCGTGAGGACCGACAGGCTCTTCTTCATGTAAGAACCCGTTACCTCACGGTGGCAAAAACATTGGAAGTCGCCCCTTTACGCCACCAATCTTAACCCACAACAAAAATCGCGTTGTTAGGAAGGATCCGGCGCAGCGACCATGTCGGCCTACGTCGAAATCATCTTTGATAACAGCGACAATCGGTTTCCGGTAAGTGAGACTGTGATGAACTGTGCACTGTTTGCCATGAAGAAGAATTTAGACTTATTATAATATATTTTTACAATTGCAGACTGGCAAGGATGAGTTGGTAATGCGTCGTACCATCGGACTCAAGAAGGACGAGTACTCGTTAGACAAGAAGAGTGCTACGTATGTGAATGGCTTTTGTTTCTCCTTGTTCGACAAATGTCCCCGGCTCAGCACGGCTTGATTGAATATCTATTGCTTTGCATGTTTACGTTACAGGAAGACGGATGTCATGAGCATGCTAGAGAGCGCTGGCTTCTCGAGGTCGAACCCGTACTATATCGTCCCACAAGGAAGAGTACGTGATATCTAATGTACTGGGCTGCCCGGAATGCGTTCATACAACAGGACATCTAACGAAATACGTAACGACGATATTCTTAGATCACCTCTCTCACTAATGCAAAGGACCACGAAAGGCTCTTGCTGCTAAAAGAAGTCGCAGGGACTCGGGTGTATGAACAACGGAGACAGGAGAGTTTGAAAATCATCGGGGAGACAGGTACAGTACGCACGACAGTTATGCAACAAAGGAATTATGCAAAGTCGCATCGCATGGCAGCTTAACCATTCACTGGACCTTGTTTTCATGCTCTTCATTAGACACAAAGCGCAAGAACATTGAGGAGCTGTTGGCGTACATTGAACAACGCTTGGAAGAACTGGAGGAAGAAAAAGAGGAATTGAAGCTGTATCAAGAGCATGACCGCCGTCGGAGATGCCTTGAGTATACAATTTACAGCCGTGAGCTGAAGGACGTGAATGAAGCATTGGACGAGGTAAGTTGAATTTCTGTTTAATTGTCCTCTTTGTTCTCTTTTCTTTTTTTATCCCTCAGGCGTCTAACGGGGTTCTCACAAAATAGATGGAAGAGGGTCATAAGCAGGAACTCGATGGATCAAACCAGCAGCAAAAGGACTTTCAGGAGAGGGAGGCTCATCTGGCGGCATTGGAGCAGGAAATCAGCAAGGAAAAGCAACATGCCGAACTGCTGCTTGCGGAAAAGAGACAGTTGGACCACGAACTAGAGATCCAGGCCAAGACCAAGGCACAAACCGAGCTCCGAATCAAGGACCATGAGGATAACGCCGAGATGACCTCAGAGAGCAAGCAACGGAATCAGGAAGAGCTGAAGGCGGTTGAGGATGAGATCCAGTCAAAGGAGTCTGAACTCTCCCAGGTCCTCCCAGAGTTCCAGGCATGTGAGGCCGAAGAACGCCAGCTTCGAGAGGAGTACGTTACATTTGTATCATCAGATTGAGGCAGAAGATACTGGAATGGGAGTCGGGCTGTTAACACGTTTTTATCCTCTGAAATATAGGCTTGAGCGAGTGGAGATGCAACGTGAGACGCTTTATTCAAAACAGGGACGCGCCGGCCAATTCCAATCCAAAGCTCATCGCGATGAGTGGATCCGCAACGAAATGAACGATATCCAGCAATCCTTCAACAGACAAACAGCCCAGGCGACTCTGACCGAAAATGAACTGCAGACACAGCGATCTCAGTTGGCACAGATCAAAGAAAAGATCAAGGCCGTGCGTGAGCAAGAGGCTGCACGGAAGACGGAAATTGAAGGATGTTTACAGGAGTTGACGACGGTCAAAGCTGAGCGCGATAAGTTGACCGACCAAAGAAAGTAAGGAACCGCTAGAGGGTTGGCTATCGATGGAGAACGCATACTCGGACGTGCATGATGCTTATCACGCTGCTTTACTATTTTAGGGATTTATGGCGTGAAGACGCAAAGATGGACTCGACTCTTAATAACCTTCGTGAGGAATATCGCAAATCCGAGAGGTCCTTGGGCGCATCGATGGACAAGAGTACTAGTGCGGGTCTGGCTGCTGTCGGAAGAATCGTAAAGGCCCTGAATCTGGATGGCGTGTATGGCCCTCTCTATGAGCTCTTTGATGTTGAGGACCAATACGATGTTGCTGTGAATATGACTGCAGGGTCAAGTCTGTTCCATGTTGTTGTTGACACAGAGACCACTGCTACTCGAGTGCTTGAGATCCTGAACAAGGAGAAGGCAGGCCGTGTAACCTTCATGCCCCTGAATCGTCTGAATCCTAGCCCTTCGACATATCCCGAGGCCAACGATGCAATTCCTATGATCACAAAGCTGAAGTTCGATCCTAAATTTACAAAAGCGTTCGAACAGGTCTTTGGTAGAGCGTTGATCTGTCGCACGCTCGAGATTGCGGCCACTTACTCGCGAAGCTACAACCTGAACGGAATTACCCTCGACGGAGACCGTGTTGATCGCAAGGGTGCTCTGACCGGAGGATATCAGGACACCAGAAATTCCAGGTTACACTCGATTAAGAGCATCAAGTTCTTTAATGCGAAATATCAGGTGGCTACGGAACGGTGTCAAGTTGTTAAACAGGAGATTTTGAGTCTTGACCAAAGGATTACTGGACTGTTGAACAGGATTCAGCAGATTGATGCGCGAAGGAAACAGTTACTTGACAAGCGCGAGACACTTGTGATCGAGTTCAAGTCCCTGACAAAGGATGAGACGATGTTGAAAGAGGCTAGTGAGACCAAGGAGAATGCGCACCGCAATCTTACAGCTGATCTTAAACTTCTACAGGCGCAGCTGGCTGCTCTCAGCGAGGAGCTCCGGTCGGATATGACTCAGACCCTTACTGCTGCCGAACACCAACTCTTGAACGAATTGAATGTGAAGGCAAACGATCTGAAAGAACGTCTTTCTGCAGTGGCAATAGAGAGATCGAAGGTATGCCCATGTATGATGGAACGTCTATGTTCTTGGGATCTACGAATACATGCTAACTTTGCCCGAGTCCGTAATAGACTGGAACACGCAAAAACATTATAGAGATTACACTGGGGTCCAATTTGAGGCCTCGCATGGATGAATTAAGAGACAAAATTGAGAACAGCGCGGCCTTGAGTGATGATGACCTTGAGAAACGTCGCAGAGATCTTGAATCTGTCATGAAATCGATCGAGGAAATCACAAGCCGAACGCAAGGTAACGACTCATGTTGATAAAAAAAAAAAAAAAAAAAAAAGCTACTAGGAAGACACTCTTTTGGCGTCTCCTAACAGATATCTATTGTTGTAGAAATTGACGATGAGCTCGAAGAGACTGGAAAGGGCCTGACAGAGAAGGAGTCAAGGCTAGAGAAGCTTAAGGTAAGGACAGCATGGAATATATGTGATCTTTGCGAATGTGAGCAGGAATGTAGACTAATCCTGAATACATCTCACTAACTATATGGACGCAGACTGACCAACAGGAGGATTCCCGACAAGTGCGCAAGACACAGAAGGATGCTGAGAAATATGTTTCCAGGCGAAACCTTCTGGTGCGCAAGAAGGAAGACTGCACCAAGAACATTCGCGATCTTGGTGTGCTTCCTGAGGAAGCTTTTGAGAAATACAAGAGTACTCCTTCTGAGAGGGTATGTCGGTTGTCTTGCCTTGTTACCAGCATAGATCTTATGGAGGGATTGTGCTTGAATAACTCGTTTCATTCTGGCTTATTTCCTGGAATAGTTGCTGAAGCAAATTCACAGGGTGAATGAGGAGCTGAAAAAGTACAGCCACGTCAACAAGAAGGCCTTTGAGCAGTACAGCAATTTTACAAAGCAACGTGATTCATTGAACCAGCGGAAGGACGAGTTGGACGCCTCAGAAGCTGCAATTCGCGAACTGATCCAAACCTTGGACCAGCGAAAGGATGAGGCCATTGAGCGTACGTTCAAACAAGTGGCGAAGAACTTTTCAGAGGTGTTCCTGAAACTTGTCCCTGCGGGTCGCGGTCGGCTGATTATGCAGCGCAAGATGGATCAGACGGTACGCATAATGCTGAGTTACAATGCCGATATTCAAGGGTCACTACAATGTGTCAAGGTATTAATTTGCATTTCCTATTTTTATCAACAGGCGCCTGACGTTGATGAGGATGAGGATGAAGATCAGGGTCACGAGGCCTCTGCGATCGATAACTACACAGGCATAGCGATTCAGGTGTCGTTCAACAGCAAAATGAACGAGGGTCTCCGCATGCAACAGCTCTCAGGAGGCCAAAAATCGCTTGTGGCATTAACGCTCATCTTTGCCATCCAGCAGTGTGATCCTGCACCGTTCTATTTGTTTGACGAAATCGATGCCAACCTAGATGCGGCACATCGTACTGCCGTGGCCGCTATGATCCACTCGCTCGCCGAAAATGCACAATTTATTACGACAACATTCCGACCCGAGATGCTGACAAATGCGGACAAGTTCTATGGTGTCACCTTCCAAAACAAGGTATCAATGGTCAATGCGATCACGAAGGAGGAGGCTTTGGACTTTGTGGAGCAGGAGCGGACTCATTGAACGGCTCTTTTAGACTAGAGTAATAAAACGTCGTGGCAACGTATCAATAAACTGAAAGACTGCTCTCTAGCGCACGAGGTCCACACAGAGGAAGAAAAGAGAACGCTGACCATCTTATTATACCAAGTTACTTGGCACGCGTTTGTATACTACAAACATCCGCCCTTGGATTAAGAATGCAACCCGACGCGTCCACATATTTTTTAAACTCGCCCCACTGGCTGCCGTCTTCTTTTTTCCTCCCTCTCCTCCGCCCCTCCAAAAACAGGCATCCACTTTTGCACCCATACCAAACTGCCATTCATTGGTCGATGCTATGAGAAAGCAGCATCTCTCAGGTATGATACACCGCCCATGGCGCTGATCACTTTTTTTTGTCTGTGCCTTATGTCTGATGCCTAATGCCCGGTGCCTGTGATTTTCTGTATATCTGCGACGTTATTTTTCTTGTCGACACTTCTTTTATAGCGAAGACCAAATTGCTCCTTCAGCCTACCACATCCGCCGGTCAATTAAGACAGCCGCAAGTTCATTGAGTACAAGGCCCGGAACACGTCTAGGGAAGCGATGCAGATGTCTACAAGTTATGTTTGATGCGCACTGTTTTTGCTGCTGCTATACTAAGTATCAACTTGGTCTTTCTTCCACTCCTCCACTCTTGCTCTCAATCAGTTTTTTTTTTCCCTGACTCCTCTGCAACGCGGACTGTGCTGGGATACAGCACTGGTACCAGAATCCAGAATCCAGAATCCATATTTCAGCCTCGAGCCCATTCCTTCCTCCCTCCATCACATCCGCATCCTGCTTCAGCTCCACCTCTCCACTCTTGCAGCTCTTTCCTTCTCCGCCACCCCATTCAACCCTTCCATCACCTTTCGCGTCCTCGATTATTGCCCTAACCCACCAGAAAATACCTTAAAACTCAAGAGCCCTTGTGCAGTTAGTTGTCCTCCGAATGGATTGTCTCGCCATACAGTGGCCCCACGGCCGAGGATCATTACAAATGGCAATGGAATAACGCGTTATGTATTGCAGTGCGCTCAGAAAGGTAGACGGCAACGGTTTGCAGGCACCGATTCCAAAAAAGGAAATCTTCGAAACATTCGACTGCGCCCAGAATACGGCGAACCTTATGTATGCTGAGCGCCCATTCAAGTAGCCGAGATAATGTGGCAAGTCTATTCTTCTGTTTCTATAGATTGATTGACTTGAAAATTGCACTTGTACCCACGGACGTCCAAACCTGGCTTCGAAGAATGTCACGATCAGGCATTTAAGTATGATGTGTGTCCTCGTGTGGCTCCCAAGAATGGCCGCTCTCTGGAATCTAGACCACAAGGTCCGTGTCAAAGAAAGCTAGAGTACAAAGGATCGCCATTTATCCGCGACCACTAATGTTCAACGATAGAGGTTTCTCCTCACCATAGTACCACGTTATTCCATGGCATCTCAACCCTACATCATGGGAACATTGCTCTTCTTTTGGTCGATCATTGGCTGCCTGAACCTCTGGCAGAGGCAGTCTGTTGCGCTATTTAACCAATCCGATCGAGCGCAGAATACTTCTCAGACGTACAGGATATGAGAGAATTTACATGCACAGCGAGAATAGCTTGCATGTCGTGTGGCTAGGATTTAGCTTTCGCTACTTTTTTTCGCAATGCTACTGCAGTATCTAATGGCGTGTTCATAGCACTGTTTTAATGCGTACATGACACACTACATAATTTTATACCGGAGCGGTCTTTGGAGGTCTCTTTTAGAAAGATTATCTACTGATGGTTCTACGAAGACACTTTTTGTCTGCCCCAGCCTGCCTGATCTCCCGCTACCTTATCCAAGGCCGATAAGCATTTTAAACGGCCATCGTTCCCAGCTGCATTAAGAGGAGTGGTGTGACAGGACCATGACAAGTGGCGCCGGCGGTTGTAAAAACGCGCTACCTGGCTCTTTGATTCTTTTTTTTTCTTTCTTTCTTCACCACCGAGCATTGCGTCAAAAAAACGGCACCGACCTCCCCCCTCCTCTTTGTGTGCCTTGCCGCACGATACTCTATTTTCCTTTTCAGACTTCTTCAACCATCAGATCAGCCACTTGTGTGGGCAGCAGGTTCATTTAACTAGTATTGATCAACAGGCGCACCCGAGAATTAAAGGCGATCGACAACAGTGCCAAACATTTATCTCGGCAAAGAACAAGAAAGGCCAGGTAAATGCCTATTTGCAAGGAAGGGCGAGAATTCTTGTTCCTGAAAGATCTTCTTTGTATATCTTTGAGCACTTTCATCGCGAGCCCACTGTCCCTCCACATTCCGTTCTTTGTTGTCGTGCATGGACAGTAAATTCTCTTTTTGGTGCAAGGTCCGCCTCGGCTTTGTCAGCTATGGTTTGTTTGTCTGTTTATTTGTTTATTTTTTCATTGTCGCGCTATGCTTCCATCGATGGTGAGGTAGATCAAAGCGAAGAGGTACTTAAGCATACGACCAACGCTAGAAAATGGGGCCTTTACGACGAGCAAACAAAAAATACATATAAATAAGGAAGCGAAAAAAAAAAAAAAAAAAAAAAAAAAAAAAAGCCCGTTGCAAGAAAACGATTATTTCTGACAGCTGTTGACTCCTTTCTACTTTCCCCACAAAAACATGAATCCCGATAGTCATATCATTTCAGACAACAAGACTTGTCATAGCTCTTTTGGTATTAAGAACCATCACAGCTTGACCAGCGCCAACGCTCAGTCGCCCAAACTCGAACAATCCCCGGAGATGCAGTAAGTCGCTTTCTTTCTAGTTTTTCATACCCAGCAATTAGTGATGGGAATACACAAGATGTCCACCGTGTGCTATATTTATTCCTCCCTTCGAAGTTCTATCGTTTTCCTTTCATGAAACGACAGGGGTACTGACCATTCTACCTTAGTCTCGTACTGACGGCTTCCTTTCTTTTCCTTACTTTTCCTACCTTTTTTTTTTTTTTTTTTGTGGGGTCTTTCCTTCCGAACACGCCTTGTACCTCCCGTGGATTCGCTTTTTCTTTTTCTTTTTTCTTTTTTTTTTTTTCGTTAGCGAAATGCACTCTTCCGGCGAAACGCCTGTGGTCTGTCAGACACAGACCACTCATCATCAGCAACAGTTGGGCTTCATCCCGACCACTGCAGGCAGTGGTTCGACCTTAACTCAGCACACGACCACGGCTCTAGCTCGTGCTGTGGAGCACTCAAATCCTGTCCACATTTCTGATTTGAATCAAGATCAATGTCGCGACTTGTTTCGCGGTGATTTACGAATTAATCTCACATCGGGTTCATCTGTTGTTGTTGCCCAGCATGTTGCACGGACCAAGTCGTATGCTAAAAACCATACCCAAACAACATCTGCCTCCCTTGGTGATGAGCCGTTCATCCAGCAAGGACAGCAAGAACAGAACTATCAGCAAAGAACTGTGGCACTATCTTCTGCCAGTGGTGACCATACCCGATCTCTCGAACAAGCCATGGGGATCAATGCTGGTGCCAGATTCCAAGCGGATCACTCTACCGATTTGGAGATCAGTGGACCCAACATCGGAATTTTGATCGACAAGTGCCTTGGATACCACAATTCGACATTCTCGACGTCAAACGGCATCGTCCCGCAGGATACGTGGGATCACTGTAAGGAACACACACTAATGCGTATAAAAGGATATGAAAAGAGCTGGCCCTGAAAGCAAGGCTTAATCGCACAGCTAAAAACAGCTTTAACACTTTTTAAACACGCGCTTTTCACCTTGCTCTTTCTCTATTTTTTTTTTCTACCTCTCTGCTGCTCTTTTTACCTGATTGCCTTTTCCTCGCAACGACATCTCCCTCTTCCTTCAATCGATCAGTCATGTCCGAGTTTACGAATCAGACCTCAGACGTGTCCACCGAGCAACACACAGGACAGTATCAGCAGCGTCAGCAAGGCGATAGTCTGTCCGATCAGGCAATTTTGAGCCATACTGAAGCCCACTTTGATACCAATTCGAGTAGCATCTCTGTGAGCAATTCCTTTAATCACCACGCGAGCCTTGCCGCACAGATGTCGCTCTCTAGTAGTACGCTTGCGTACAAGAACAACGCTCATTTTGATGGTGTCAATGGCAGCCTAAGCAGTGAACAGGTTCTTTCTTCCGGAATGGTGTATTTCGACCAAACCAGCCTCTATAACGGGCAGCAAGATCTCGGTAACATTGAGCTGGGTTATAGCAATAGCAGCTTTGAACACGACCACGCCGGGACTACAGGCGATATAGCTATGATCGCCCCTGTTCTGTCTCACTTCGAAGATTCGAATACGTCGGGCAGCACCGAGCAGGCCAATGAGACCCATGCGCCCGAATTTTCCACGGGGACACCTCGCCCGGCGGATGAGTCGTCCGCCCCATCCACCAGAGGGCCGATAACTCCTCTGCGTAACATGTCCCTAGCCAGCATTGAACAGCAGCCAGACGACGAGCAACAGTCCCTTTGTCTCCTCCAGGTCAATGAGCATCTACAACAGCAGATGCAAGCGGTTTACGAACACTACTCGCGGCCACAGCTACAGCCACACCAGCAGCAAGCTGATACAACGACGGACTTCCCACAGCTGTCTGAGATTACCGAGCAGCAAGCCGCAGAACCAGTTCAGGCGGAGTCCCGCGTTAACGCGGGACCTCAGGCTTGGAGTCCTGTTGACATTAAGCAAGAAGACTCCAGCTCCGAGCAGCATCTGAGTGTCCGACAAGGCGCTGAAAACCCTACCAACGACGGCGATAACGGCAGCCGCAGCAGCCGTAGTAGCAGCGTCAGTATCAGGAGCCAAGCATCGTCGTCATTTGTTGAGAGCGCGCTCAGGAACGCCAATGCGATCGTGCATCACGGCGGGGAACATAACAGCATTGTCCATGCGCAGGCGCACGGTCCGGTCACTCTTGCCTCGACCCCCATAGATTCTCATCTTCAGCAACAGCTGCGTTACCAACAGCTGCAGTTGCAGTCCATGCAACTGGCGAGCGGTAATCAAGTACACCAAAGCAGCGGGATTGCGAACGACGTATCCGACCTGAGAGTCAAGGAAGAGGGAGTCTGCAATATGATGTCATCCATGGCAGGACGTGTGCAGCAGCGACAACCGCAAATGATCTTTCCGCAGATTGGTAAGCTTCCTTTGCTGTTGATTTCGCGTACTGCGCTTTGGGAAGATTTTAGACTCAACTCTGAACGCATTTTTTTCGTTTTCTGTTTTTGGATAGTTATGCTGCCGCAGGGTACTGATGCTCAGGCCGCAGAGCCGAGGCCATTGACGCCTCCGACGCCTCCTAACTTGAATCCGAACACTCTAGTGCATCGCAGGGAGAAAGCTGCGCGCAATCACCCATACATGAGCTTTAGTAAGAAGGTGCTTTCTTTGTACCCCATACAACCCGTTCTTCCTTGGGATGTGGAACGAAGGATACATGTAACTAACAATCGACTTTTCATTTTCTTTACTCAACCAAAAAAAAAAAAATAGGCGGCAAGACTTTGCCGGGGCACAGATCAGATCCGCTCACTGCTGTTCCAGATGCTACTGCTGCCTTGAATAGTCCGTCCTCATCCGACTCCAATTCTCAAATCGAGTCCGACTGCAACAACTCCCGCCGTTCTGCCACGCCCGAAGCCGCCTTTGAATCTCGTCATTCCGATTCTACGCGCTCCGCCTCCGTCGCGTCTTCATCACTCTCAGCCGAGGCAGCAACACAGCTCTCCGCTACTCCACCTCCTAGAGCGTCGAACAACCATCAGTCTTACGGCAATTATCCTATCAAATGCAAGATCCCTTCATGCACACGTTCCTTTGCCTCGTTGGGACTCCTCAAGTCGCACATGGTCTCTCACCGAGAGGAAAAGCCCTACTGGTGCGATATCTGCTCGTACGATGGAGTGGTCCCCCGTCCAGCACCTCCGCCAGCCTGGCCTGGCGCCGTCGCTCCGCCCATGGAAGTTAAGCGTTACAAACGCAACCACGATCTTCTGCGTCACAAGCGAGAGCAACATCCGCCGATGGAGGTCAAGCTTCAGAGGGAGGCCGAGAGACAGGCTGCCAAGGTTGCCAGGAAGCAGAAGTCCGATCAAGTAAAACGGGCCAGATCCGCTGAGAAGAAGTACAAGAAGAATGGCGAGGTGGGTGAGGTGGGTGAGGTGGCAACTGCTACGGTTATCGCTGCTAGTGGCGAGTCCGTGCAGCAGCATCCTATCGGAGACGGTTCAGTCTCGGGCAACGAGGCGACTTTGCATGAGAGCGTCCCATTGTACCAGCAGCAGCAGCAGCAACAACAAGATCAACAGCAACAGCTAATCCAGCTACAGATGCAAATCCAATTGCAGCAGCTGCAGATGCAGCAACTTCAGCAGCAGTATGGCCAGGCCATCTACACAACCACGAACATGGCTCCAGGCCAGTTTCAGGTAGGCTTCCCAGCCGGACCGGGCCTCGGTCCCGACAACAGCTTCACAAGTCTCTACGCGCAACAGTCCCCCTTCGCTTCGCTCGACCTTGCACCTCCTCAAACCACGGCGAATATAACCCATCCCTGTACGATCGATATCATTCGGACGGAGGCAAGCGGCACATTCGGACCCAGTGTCGGAGTGATCCCGGCTACATCTGCAACCGGGGCTGGAGTCGCATCCGGGACCGATTCGGGCCTCATCCATCCGAGCCCTGCAATACCGGTCGAATCTCCCACAAGTAACGCGACTCAGGACAACGGAGACTTGTCCAAGCACTCCGCCCAGATGCACACTGCCGCCGTCCCTCGCACTGGCCACAATGGCCGTAGTGGACATAATGCTGGTGCTCATTCGACGCGTCCAAACCGCAGATCTCTGCCGCTTTACCAATTCAACAAAGACGAAGCAAGTTCCACGGAGGATTCTGAAGGATATCCAAAAGGTCTGCTCCACTTGTGCAAGCGAAACTGTCCTTACCAAGGCGAATACAATCGTGCAAGGAGACAACGGCGCGCTTGAAGACAATGTCCTCCATCTTATCAAATGCCCCTTCCGTCATGCAAAATTAATCATTCACTCATCCAAACATTCACACATTTATTCATTCATACATTCATATCCAACAAGGTTTCAATAAAGATTCGAAGGGTATTGTAAGCAATAGAATGTGACAAATAGGAAGTGTTTAAAAACATATATACATATGTGTTGCCGTATCATGATTCTTCTAGACTAGCATTTGTAGGCCCCGTCGTCTGTCTACTTGATGAGGTACTCGCGAGAGCTGTCTGCTCTAAAGGTCCCCCCAAGTCGATATCATCCTTCGCAGTAGATCTCCCCTCATCATCGTCAATTTCCAGCTGTGTGTCCTCGGTAATGGGCATCAGGTCTTCGCTCGGCCGTCTGCTGGGACCATGTCCAAGCATATCGCCGTCCTCCTCTCCCAAATCCTTTGGCATTTTTTCCGTAAACATCACCCGGATCTTGGCCTCTTCTTCATCATCCTCGTCTTGTGCCGCCTGAGAGTGTGATTGCCTGGAATCGATCCCTCCGAATGTCGGTGAGTGCAAACTGGGCAGTAGAGATGAAGACGACAAGGTCGCGGCCTCTGCCTTGGCAGCAGGGATGACACCTTGGTGAATCTCAGTGATGCTTCCAGATCGCGGTTCAGTCGTTCCCGTCGCGAATCCGATGGGCTGGATACGTGGGCTAACAGACGAGCTTGCTCCCGCTGCCATCGCGCCACCAGTACCCTTGATAGTATCTTGACTATGCTCGCTGCCGCTATCAGATTCTTGCTCATCCTCCACCACATCCTCATCCATCGGACCCGTGCTGGCTGCTCGGCCACTCTGAGATAAAAGTCGTCGCTGAGGGGGATCTCCTGCCAAGCCCTCCATGTCCTCGACATCAAGCTCTTCTTCGTCTGAACTCTCATCGTTCTCCACAGGAGCATCGTCGTCAATCTCATCTTGAACCCTCTGTCGGTTCCGCTCCTGAATCAGTTCAAAATTTATCTCCTCCAGATCAGCGCCCTCAAAAAGGTAGGTATTCGGTTCTATGAAAGACCACGCAGCCCTGCCTCCAACACCAGACCCGTCACTGTTGGTGTTCTTTTCCATATCAGGAACAGCAGAGGTGCCACCAGGTAGTTTCTCATGCCTCAGTTCCCATCCAGCCATGCGACAAAGTTCTGCCACGATCGCGTCGCAATTACCGAGAAGCTGGACGTCAAACTCCATCTGTCGGTTTGGTGTACGGTTAATCAAGATCTGTGGCACTGAGTTGGGCAGTTCGTCTAGAAACGTAAAATAGTCCCCCAAATCAAATAGAAACAACAAACAGTAAATGTCAATTCATGCTCCGTTAATTGCACCATAGTGAAGCAAAACCCATTCTCGAGGCGCACTTACGCATAATATCGCTGACCGGCGCCACTTTTAGGCTGCTTCCAATCACGATTAACAGATCGACCTCCTTCCGATCCTCTTTCAAAGATTTGTGGAACTCCGCCGGGAGTTTTTCTCCAAAAAACACAATGTCTGGCTTCATCAGCGCCCTATTTATGTCGTCGTCATCGTCCGATTCATCCTCGTCTGATGAATGGTATCTCGACTTGGATCGCTTTTTGGCTTTGGGCGGTGGACTGGGTGTTTTGCAGGCTTTGCAATAGGCGACTTCTTGCTTGAAGATCTGCTCCTTGATATCATCTCCTGGAACCTGATGTCCGCAGCGCACACAGCTCGCTGTCGCAAATGATCCTATTGTTCCAGGGAAGTAAAGCATTGTTATTAAAAGTAGCTTAAAAGACGTTTGTATTGCATCAGAAAAGGATGGACACAGAAAAAAAATCCACATACCATGGCACTGCAACACCTTGCGGATTCCGGCCTTCTGTTCTAGCGTATCAATGTTCTGTGTGTAATTCCGGAGTAACTTGTCCTGGTCCTCAAGCAATTTTATGAAATAATGGCTCGGACTCGGCGTGAAATTGCTCGGAAAGATCTCGCGGGCGAATGAATAAAAGATCTCAGGCCTCTCTCGGAAGAAGCCAAGATCAAACATCTGTTGAGGGTCATCCAACTGGAATTCCGAGAGCCTCGAGTATATACCGTCCTCAGATCGGAAATCAGGGATGCCACACGAGACAGAGACACCGGCACCAGTGAGGACCATAATTCGTTTCGAGGTCTTCAACAGCTTAACCACATGCTCCAGCGAGTGAATGTGCTGCAGTCGCTTGCGCCTCCGCAAAATCCTCTTGAGCTGCGCTGATATTGTCCTGATTAACTGGCTCTCCGTCACAGTCTCAGGTATTTCAATCTGCAGTTTCAAAGTCGCGCGATCAAGGCATACTCATTTAGTCCACGAGTCTGCAAACCAAGCTTTGATGGCCGCCTATTGTCACCGAAAATAAACATGATTCGCAACAGAGACTTGCCTTCTCAGGAATGGTCATGAGCAGCATCTTCTTGGTCGTGATGAGTCCCGATAAAATGTACTTTCGAATGACATATGAAATACCTAGTAGAGATGGCGGGTGCTTTGGGATCAATCTTCATGCTGAAAACAAAAATACAGTTCTCTATGGTGGTATTAGCTCAATTGGTTGAACAAATAGCAAGGCTGTTACCATGCATCCTGGCCTCCTCAAGAATGATATCCGTTTCCTCCTCTGATAAACGATCGAGGCACATAGGGTCTGGATCCTGATATGGAGTGTCTTCTGAGTCCGAATCCGAGTCGAGCATCCCCATACCCTCGACGTCGATTTCGTCCAACGAGTCGTCGCCATAATCGCTGCCGGTGTCAGAGCTGTACGAAAATGGCCCCTCAATAGGATGCATGGGCTCCTCTGCAAGCGACCGTATTGGATCGTCCTCTTCTTGATCATAGTCGTGGTGAATATCGTCATCAGAAATGGGCATCGCTCCAGCGGGGCTAGGCTCCCGACTTGTCCTCGCTGCATCCTCGCCAGGCATGTTTTCGTCGAGGCGGAATGTGGTGTTGTTCAGATCTCTGTCCACTCCTTGTGCACCTTCTCTTGCATCTGAAAGTCGACCTGTCTCCATAGCTCCTGGCGTTGGGCGTGGATCGGGGCTCGCCTGGCGCGAATTTGGCTGACTGGTAATCACACCCATCACTCGCTCCCCTACGGGTGTTCTTCCAATGATAGGTGTGCCCAGGTTCAAGTTACCGAGTGAATTTTCCCCTGGCTTGGACAGGCTGTCGAGGATGGCAGTCGCGCTTCGACCAAACGAAGGCGAGGTTGCTCGAAAAGTTGGAGAGCCGGTTCTGAATGGGGGTGAACCTACTCGAAACGGCGGAGACAAGGGTCGATCGTCATCCAACTTGCGTGCCTTGGACTGAGTTGGGTTCTCCGCCACTGGCGAATATCTCTTTTCGCTCATGGACGTCGACAGCGGCACGAGCGGTTCCAGGATGGGCGAGGTCTGAGGCGAGAGCGCGTCGTCGATAGTCTCCCGGGAGGTCCTGTAATCCGAGAGAGAATGGCCGCTGTTGCTGCTATAAATGTTGGTGCTAGGTGCCAGAGGAGGCGATGTCTTGGACTTTTTCGTTGGTGGCAACGAGTTTCCACTGTGGGAGCCATCCTCGTGACGATGGCCCTGTCCCGAGAGCGAGTCGTCGTCGGCCCTCTTCCTGTTCACTGGAGACTCGGGCCTGCTGGTTGACAGGGGATCCGTGGGCACTTTTAGACTGGTAGAGGCATCGCCATATGCATTAATGCTGTTACCGGTATTCGTGTATTGGTTGCTGGCTGAGGTGGGGCCGACCTCTACTGGGGCACCTGCAGCCATCTGGGGTATAGGGTGCTGCCTGTCGTGAATTCCTAGATGAGGATCGGGCTGCTGCTGCTGTTGTTGTTGTTGGTGGCGGTGTTGCTGATGGGACATGTGATTGTCGATGGAATAAAGTATGTGTTGAAGTATATCAGGTTATGTCCCGGTGCTGTTGCTGGTAGTCTTCTTGAGCCAAAGAGCGATATGGTCATGCCTGGCGAACGCGTTTCCTGCCTCTTGCCTGGGGCATGACCACATCCAGACCCGCTTAAGGAGCGAAGTTATGAACGTCACAGGAGCCTCTTTTTCAAAACAAAAACGCATAGAAAAAAAAAACTATCCCTTCAACACCTCTCTCTCTCTCTCTCTCTCTCCCTCTCTCTCTCTCTCACTCCCTTCCCTTGCCCTTGTCAAACACCTAAACCCGATCAAGACGCGATCGAACGACGGATCTCAGGATGGTGTCCAACAACAAGCGCCACACGATGAAGGCCATCAAAAACAAGGACATGATTCATCCCTCCTCAAGAAAGGCACAGCAGGTTATGCGTGTGGTCCTCCGCAAAGACCGCCTCGAGCACCGTCAAAAGGTCCGCGCCAACAACTCGTTCAACCAGTCCGATCGCATCCTTTGGTTCCGTCACGCCGTTCCAGAGGACGTCACCAATCTGACGCGAGAGCAACACCATGAGCTCATTAAGGAATATCTCGCCAGATACGATGATGAGTACCAGTCCCTGGTGGCACTCCATCGCCCAGGAAAGGTCCGCCCAAAGGCTGCACGCGAGGACATATTGCTAGGACTCATGGCCAAGGAGCGACAGGAGTATGCCTCTGGATTCGGTAAGTTTTATTATCTCCCTTGTGATCTTTTGTGATGATGTGGTTTCTGTGCATCCTAAAGTAATGATGGATATCCGATGTGTTATTTTTCCTGCTGCCTTCGTCCTGTTGAAATGATGATCTATACACAGCTACTTTAAACCCAGCTCAATTCGATATTTAATGAGATAAAGTGTCAATTGCTGAATCAACAAAAAAGGACTTGAAGGCAGAGAAAGACGTTCAAAACTGCTCTTTTTTATCGATTCATTGAGTCTCGGCGACAAGTGCTAATACTCTTCGCCTCGTTTGTTTTGTTTGCGATGCCAAATTATAGAAATTCCAGACTTCACGAGCCCCAAGAACGTCAAGTTACTTCGCGAGTGGGATGGTGATCTCAACTCTCTCAACCGTATCAGGATGCTGCGTCTCAATGATCCTAAACATCTTGCCAAGCTGGCTGCTGCAGTTGCTGGATCGGCTGCCGCAGGATTGGCTACCTCTCAGGCCACCGAGGGCTCTGCCATGCAGGAATGAAAAGCACTCAACAAGCCCTCATTACATTAATTCTTTTGCTTGTTCGTCTGTGCTGTATGCATTTCTGCAGTTGTATCCATACATACCCCAGTGTCGCCATTTCTTTTTGTTCTTTCTTTCGTTTGTATACTATTGCATTTTCATCCCACGCATTGGCAACCCCAATTGTACTCTAGAACAAATAAAAGCTGTAAATGATACATTACATATTCATAAGTAAACATATAGGGAGCATGGGAGCTCAATCAAGGTGTACAATACATGTAACGCTATGTCTTGAAATTAACTATGAAAGAAAGTAAAACATATGCCGAACTTCACGTCGACATTCACGGTGCTCTCTCCGTGTCAGTGGGCCTTACGAAGCCAGCTCAGGTTTACAATCCATCCTCGTATCCATGAGCAGCCAAGCCTGCCTCTCGTTTTCTTTTCCTTTTTTTTTTTTTTGTCAATCATGCCATTCAGAGCGACTATTAAAAAAAATGCTTTATGAAATATGCCTTATTAAGTAATCTATACGGGTTCGATCTGGGCGATCATTTTAGTCTCGCTTCAACTCTTTCTCCTTAGTTTGCGGAATGCCCTGCTCGCGCATCAAGTTGTTCGCCATCCTCCACGCCTTGACTCTGAGGCCCACTGACAAGACCTCGACGATAACGTACCGCGAGATCAAAGTCATAAGGAACGTAACGCCATATATTGTCACGCGGTAGTACTTTCCCAGGCTGTGCATCAATGGGGCTGTATGCATGATCAGATCAAGTGGGGGAACGTAAATTAAAAGTGAAGCAGGTCGTTAGTAATACAAAATATGAGCTTTCACATGCACAAATACATGCATGCAGCATTTAGTGCACAGCCAAAAAAAACAAAAGATCCATAGCTGCAGCTTACAATTGGGAGGGACAAGCATATAGTTGAGGTTGTGTCCTGTCAGCAATCCAAAACCACTCAGCACAAACGAGTGGAAGAGTGAGAAGAGCGCGTACGAGAGAACTGCGTATGAGAACGACAGAGGGAACACCACGAATCTGCCTGTGTAGATCAAATAAATGGGTACGAGCAACAACAGGTAGTGCTCTATTATAGCATTGTTCAAAATGGGCGTACAAAAAAAAATAGTCAGATTAGTGCTACAGTAAATGAGTCGACTTGATGAATCGGTTTTGCATATTGCGAACTTACCAAGCCAGAAATTCTCAATGACCAGCCAGAGGCCATTCTCGGCCGTATCCGGAAATGAGAGCGCAAAGATGGTGGCCCAAATGTAGTGTAGGTACGAATTAAACGCCATATTGGTGAACTTGTTTTCACGAGGGCCAACCATGGTGAAGATCAGGATCAGGATGTTGACGTGGCAGGGCTGAAGTAGATACATATAGTTGTCGCCGAAAATCTTGTGATAGACAGTAAGCGCATATGATCCGCACAACAAAGTCAACACTGCCTTGTCCATAACATGTCCAGACAGCACATTAGCATTAATGTTCTCTGTCAGTTGATCCAGGCGACGACTGTAAAATGCCGACCTGTAGCGGATAAAGAAGAAGAGGAAGAGCAACATTAATTAGTTTGGCCTGCATATGTAATGCTGCGTGGACCAAGGCGAGATTCTCATTTTCGACGATAAAGGGCTGGGTTTTTTTACGACGTGGCCACATGGATCCAGGTACTCAAAGGTAGTGGTAGGTTAAAGAATCCGTGTGCCGTCCTGTTCTGTCCTGCCCTGAGGGGACCACAGCAGGCATGAGAAAAGAAAGTGAAAATAGGTAGAGGAATATGGCCCTTACCCTTTCTTCCTGAAGAGATACAGCCCGACTCTGAAAAGGACAAAGAAGAGGACGTTGTAACAGACGAACTCGATGGTGTGCTGTCGTGGCGAGAGATACCAGGTCCCCTTGTAGGTGTCCGCCAAGTCAGTCACCCTGGGCATCTCGAATGCAACCTTCTCGACGAACTTTGCTGCCGGGTTGACGACCTCGATCTCGAGAAAGCCGACGACAGCCTTGGTGAGGGACATATTCAACCGAGAAAAGATGTGTATTTGGGCTTGTGGGGAAAGTTTTTGGACGGAGGTCAGGAACGTTGCAGGTGTAATAGAAAATGAAAAATAAAAAATAAAAAAATAAAGAACTAAAAAGAAACGAGGGCGGAGGGGGGATGTGAGGTGTCAGCTCATCAGCAAAGGGATCTGATGAGGATGGCGTGGGATGGGGCTAACAGTGAAGAAGGAGGAGGAGGAAGACGAAGAAAAAAAGTGGCTGGTGTAGGCGGAGGCGATGGCAAAGACGGAATCAAAAAAGGTTGAACCGGTAATAGTGCGGCCTCTGATTGGAGCGCATACGCTCACTCCACTGCCCCAGCCTTTGCCACATGGCATTCATCCTTTTCCCTTTTCCGGATAGGCCTCAGGCACGGTATATATAACAGCCAGCCGATCGTCTCACCCAGACACAAACCACCCAAGGAAACCCAGCAATGAAAACACTGCGAGTGACTAAAGTATGTACATGAATGTCTTTATTGACAAAGACATCTCGACAAATGCTCATGGTTGACTGTATAAAACGACCCCCTCATTCTGCACTGCACTCAGAGTCAAGCCTTCTTGTGCTGCTTGTAAAAGTTGATAAGGCCGTTGGTCGAAGCATCGTGCGACTTGACCTCGCCAGAGGTCGTCAGTTCCGGCAGGATCTTCTTCGCAAGCTGCTTGCCGAGCTCAACACCCCACTGGTCGAACGAGTTGATGTCCCAGATCACTCCCTGAACAAAGATCTTGTGCTCGTACATTGCAATCAACGCACCCAGCGTACCGGGCGTCAGCTTCTGGAACAAAATCGAGTTAGTGGGCTTGTTTCCACGGAACACCTTGTGGGGGGCAATCCTCTGGACCTGCTCGGCCGACAGCGACTTGTCCTGCTGCAGCTCCTTGAGCACAGTCTCCTCGTCCTTGCCTGCCATCAGAGCCTCAGTCTGCGCGAAGAAATTGGACAGCAAAATATCGTGGTGCTTGGGCAAGGGATTGAAAGTCTCAACAGGGGCCAAGAAGTCGCAAGGGGTGATACGGGTGCCCTGGTGGATCAATTGATAGAACGCATGCTGACCGTTGGTCCCGGGCTCACCGACAACCCATGGACCGGTACCGTAGGGGACAGCCTCGCCATCTCTGTTTCTGTACTTGCCGTTTGACTCCATATCTCCTTGCTGGAAGTAGGCGGGGAAGCGGTGCATGTACTGGTCATATGGGAGAATCGCGTGGACCTGGGCATCGAAAAAGTTGATGTACCAGATGCCGAGAACACCCAAGATCACAGGCAGGTTCTTCTCCAAGGGGGTATTGAGAAAGTGCTGGTCCATCTCGTGCGCTCCCGTCAAGAGCTCCTTGAAGTTGTCAAATCCAATGTAGAGGGCAATGGAAAGACCAATGGCAGACCACAGAGAGTAGCGGCCTCCAACCCAGTCCCAGAACTGGAACATATTGGCGGCGTCGATACCAAACTTGGTGACCTCTGCGGTGTTGGTGGAAAGAGCAACAAAGTGCTTGGCGACATGAGCATGCTACAAGAGCCAGGTAGAATGACACAGAAAACCATAGGATGATTAGTTGAGTAAGTGTACTACAGACGACTTAGATAAGGTGAGAAGGCGTTGTTTCATCTCCGCACTGCATCTTTGAACGACGGTTCCGTGAGCCCACGTCATGATATCGATGTACAGTCAAGCGTGGATCCAATTTCCAAAGTATAAAACAATGGCGTAGTGTCGCTGCGTATCCGATAATGAGGAAATGGAGTATATCGGTGGGTATTCCTACTCGCGGTCCTGCTTGCGTTTGCTTCTTCATCTTCATTCTGAGCTCATACTGTAGAAAGCGGTAGAGACGGGATCTGCATCGGTTTCCTCAGCAATAATACATGAGCATTGAAGTCCTCTCTTTTTCTCGCGCAAGTGTTGGACATACAGATCGCGAATCATAAATCACACCAGCTTCACACCTCTGGTTTCATGCGCAATAATGCTTGGTTTGGAACCATGTGCGAGAACAAGAGACGAGGGGGCGTGTGAACATTTTGTCAACAACATGTTTTTACGACATACCTCTTTAGCATGCTGCAAAAACCAGTCCTTGGCGGTGGTGGCGTTGGTGATGGTCTCCTGGGTGGTGAAGGTCTTGGAGGCAACGATAAACAGGGTTGACTCGGGCTTGATTTGCTTGAAGACCTCTGCGATGTGGGTGCCATCGATGTTGGAAACAAAGTGGACCTTCAATCCGCCCTCAGTGGCGTAGGGTTTCAATGCCTCAGTAACCATGACGGGGCCCAGATCGGATCCACCGATACCAATGTTGACGACATCCTTGATGCGCTCGCCGGTATAACCCTTCCACTCGCCTGAGCGGACTTGTTCCGTGAAGATCTTCATGTGCTCGAGTACGGCATTGACCTCGGGCATGACGTCCTTACCCTCTGAATAAATGGGCGTGTTAGAGACGTTGCGGAGGGCAACGTGGAGAACGGAGCGGTTCTCGGTGAAGTTGATGGGCTCGCCAGAGAACATCCTGTGACGCATCTCCTCGACGCCAGCCTCCTTGGCCAGATCGATAAGGTGCTTGAAGGTCTCCTCGGTGATGATATTCTTGGAGAAGTCGAGGAGGATGGAGGCCTTTGTGGAGGGACCCTCGAAATGACGCGAGAACTGGTCGAAACGCGAGGGATTCTGGGCAAAGAGGTCCTTGACGACGATCTTGTCGGCATTTTTATCGTGGTGGGCCTGGAGGGCGTTCCAGGCACTGAGCTTGTTAGCGAGAACCATTGTTGCTGAGAAGATGGAGGGGGGGCAGGTGGGAGCGAGGTTGGGGGTGATGGGTTGATGAAGTGGAGGTGGGGAGAGAAGTAATGACGAATGGAGGGCAATGGAAGAAGGGACTCTTTTTATTCGAGACGCGAAACGAATGAGCGCACACACGAAGGGGATTCTTTGTCAGCGAATCAAAACGCAGCAGTCCATCTATGGGGTCGTGGATCAGCGGGTGGGAACCAAATTTTGGGTCTCGCAGCATGCACTGGCCATCAATTAAGGTCCACTCAGAGATGGATAGACAGATGCTCCTCAACAGCAACCTGCTTGCTGTCGGCCACTGCCTCTTCCTCCTGTCCTCCATCCCATGCCTGCCTTCAACCGCCACTCCATCCCACCGGTGCCTGTAAATGTCTGCGAGCACGATCGATTTCCAGAGCGCGGTGGCGACAGAGGTATCTCCAAAAGCCACCTTACAAATCCTCCTGTGGAACTGTCCATCCCTGCCTTGTCAATGCAAGGTCCGATAAGCAATGGGGGATATTACTGTTGCCACCGTGGCTTCCGTTGACTGATGTGCCAGCGCTGGTCCCCACACAGCGCCCCATTGGTGACCACAGACTTATAAAGACAAAGACATGCCAGTTCTACTCCTGCCATTCGGCTTCATACGACAGGTCTTGCTCGCTCATATTGCCTATATCCCATCGAAGATAAGCTCCGGATCCGGCGCCTGCAAACGCTCAAGCAATCGATTATTGTCAAACAGGCAAAGTATACGGACAGAGAACGACGGTGCTGACCATCGTGCACTGACAACTTTTCGGCGACCATTTCGGATTGCCGTTTTACGGTTTGGTGGGTGCACTTACTCCTAAACCTAATAGCGAGGCTAACTCAGGAACGGGTAAGATTCAGCTGATAAGGAGAAATATAAAAAAAAAACGCGGGAGAGCACAAAACAGAGATTCCACGATCTTATCTCTTTGCTGACCTTGAGAGCAAGAACGCGGACATGTAAACATGTCATTCGCAAGCTGAAGCATGCAATCCACAACGTTCCCCAGTGATACTCGCTAGCCGTAAATTACTCCCGCAACCTTTGCTGTCACCCGAAAGACCTCTCATTCAAGGTCTGAGCTCAAAGAATTCATCCATAGCACTGGCATCTGGTTCGTCGCTGAAGAAATCTGTAGAGTTCTTCCTTATGGCATTCAAAAATAAGAAAGGATCGCTTACTTACCCATTTCTCTTGTAAGGTATACGAACTGCCTGAGGCAGTAGACAGATAGCCATCGCAGGCAGGACTGATAGATGAGAAGTATGGTAATTTATAAAAAGAACTTCATAGTACAGAGCGCGTATTCGCCGATTAAATACTCAAACTCGTCGAACTTGGTTGCAGGCGCTTGACGTTTAGTTGCGGATGCAACACTTGTCATCTTTCTCCCAGAGCCAAAATGCAGAGTCGCACCCAGTATCGCAGAAGACCGAGCGCGTACCTCTAGGGTAGTTGCCATCGCCATCAATGCAAAAACCGTCTCCATTTCCTTCGTCCTGGCATCGGACGGCGTTGGAAATGCCGACGATAGCAACAAGTAGAGCGATGACACTGATTCTCATGGTAGTTCTGTGAAGAATTTATGGCAAGGGAGGTGATATAAACCAGCAAATCTCCGATGAAGCTACAGAGAATTCTGTAGCAGGATACTGCCATGCGACCAATAGAAGGTATGCGTGTCCAAATGGATAACGTGCTGTAGATGGGCATGTTCGATCATACTTGGGTTTGATGGTGAGATGCTGTTGAATAAGAGAGGAGTACTTTATGTGTTTGAATGCGAGAAAGAAGGATGGTGTGGATGAAGAACCTAAAATGTGGAAGCCATCAACGCGTCTTATATCTGACGATAGATGGCGTCTGCGGTTATCTCTCACCGTTTGATGATGCCGCTCGTGAGTAATGTACGTAGGTTGATGAACTAGACATTGGCGCGAACTGGTGAGATGCACATAAAAACTAGGAGTCGACATATCCGTCAACGGTGCCATCACCGCGTGGACCAAAATCAAAAGGGACAAAGTTGTTCGGCAAAGGAGGGATTTTAAATCAGGGGCTAGACTACTACTGGTACATTGAGCTGCGCCGCTACGAAGAGATTATGCGTGCCCTCTTGTTGGCTAAAAGACGCTCGGAAAACAGCTGAAAAAAAAAATGGCTATAAACAGCTGCAGATACTAGCGGGAGAGCGAAGGAATGCACAATTAGAAAGATACTTGTTCAGTTTGGGATAGAAAAAAACTGAATATTAACGGCTTCCGTATGGCTCAAGACCACAGCGATAATCCAACAGTTCGTGCCCATATTCTTCATAACATAATAGACAGCACGTTGTGCCTAATACGGCCGTACGAATGAAGTGTAGTATATAGAGTTGGAGCCATGTGGCCATGCGGGTGGAGCTATGGGACGCGCACAGGGCATCGCATAGAATGGTATAAGGTGGCCCGTGAGTAGCACCATATTTAGCAGAACTCCCAGGCACCACAAAGGTCTATGATATAGATAATACTGCGCGTATTACAAAACCCATGCGTTACAGGTGATTGGCGGGAGACGACCATCGGCTGTACAAACGCAGAGCGTCATTTTAGTTCAGCCAAAAAAAAAAAAAAATTGCCTTCTTGTCTCCTTGGCTGAAGGCGGCGCGTTCTGGAAAAGAGAGGAACAGGCTATGCATCAAATGCAGTGGGCTGGTGCATAATTCCTCTATTCGAAGAGAAAGCTTGGGGTTCGGTAAATTCATGCACATCGCAAATAGTGAGCATCCTGGTATTACATTGCTACAGGGTGGAAAGACGTTTATTGCGCCGAGCGAAAGAAGCATTATGCTCAAGAAAGATACTTTAGCGAACTGGTGGCGATGAAGGCGAAACCCTTTATATGTGCTAGAGCATAGCCCAAAAGTGGAACGCGATCGTTGATTGTGCAATCTACTCTGAAGTCTCCGCTCGTTGAGGCTAAAGATACGATACCCTCATAGCACCTATCCTAATACATCCATCCCAAACCAAGATGCTATGCTAAAAAAATTGGGAGAGCAGGCAGCAAGAATTTAAAGGTTGACTGTATTGCAACTGTGCCGTCTGTTACCGCCATTGAATTCCCCGGACCTTTCTTTCAGTTGACCCATGCAAGAACTGTCGCCAGAGAGACGGTGCCTTTGTTTATACCATGGCATCGATTACTCTTGAAGCTAAATAAGCTAGTCGCTGGTATAACGGCTTGCGAGGACTTTAAAAGTGATATACATACATCAGGACTCTCCGATAAGAACAGAAATAAGGCTACAATCGGGTATTGGTTAATGACTTCACTATCGTGGTATATTTGGGCCAAACTCGCTGGATAGAGCTCCTTCAGCATCGCGCCCAATTGTATATGCACGTGTATGCATGATGAGGGGCTTTCTGCATAGCCCTCTCTCTTGATAATGCTTGCTGTTGTTATGTCGCGACAGCCCTATTTCAAAAGGGCAGAAAGGGTGTGTAGGGTCCCCAATGACCCAGGACAAAAAGAAAAAAGAAAAATTTGGCTTTGTACAAGTGATAGAGTAGCGATATTGGGAGCAACTAATCTTTATTTTGTGTGCGCTACATGTCTCGTCTGCATCAATTTTCCCACCTGCCCATCTTACCGACTAAAAACAGAAAAACAAACAATAGCCCACACCTTAGCACTGGAATAGTCTTCATATCCGTTTCGTATGTGCAGTCTTTATGAGTAGATACCAGTGCCACTGGTGTCAGCCTTCGTCCCCAACCTTAAAAAGACCGGTGCACTTGAACAACTGAGGTACGGCCATAACCACGACAGACCGGTACGAGTATGCCAGTGAGTCCGTCGGGTCGCATGCATCACTTCAGCCCTGCAAGGCTTTAGCGGCGGCGGTTGCATCCCCATGTCTTTTAGATGGAAATTTATTTACAACAAACCATTGGTTGCAGGGCTTTTCTTGAGGGAAGGAGAGATGACTCAATTACCCAGCATCAAAGAGCACTAGGCAGATACCGGGCTATGTATGGTGTGGGACATACGGCATATAAACAATGAGCGTTATCCGCATGGAGAGAGCGGTATAAAAAGGGCACCTCCTCTCATTTTCCTTCAAATAAATAAGTATCGTCCACTCAACAAACCCACGCGCGCGAACCTTCCAAACAATAACTACAGCAACAAAAAATAGCACCATGCTCTTCAGCTCTCGTTCGACCGTCACCATCATCTACTCCATTGCACTGGCCTCCTTGGCTTTGTTGGCAACTTTACCCGCTGCTCAGGCTGACTGTTTCCTGCAATGCGGGCCCATTGACACCAAGGTCCTTTTCTGCGGGTACATGAAGAGCGGTAACGAGACCATGCCAACTATTGGTACCGATGCTGGACGCGATAAATGCCTCTGCAACCAAGACAATGTTCATCTCTACCGTAAGTCATCCTTATAGATGTATCACGCCCATCTTACATTCGATCGTGTACTAAGTCCACTGTCCCACCTCGAAACAAAGGTGAGCAGGGGTATTGTATATCAAAGTACTTGGAACTCATCCGCATCATCCCTCTCTCTTTTGCTCTACCCAAATAGGCCAGTGCTTAGGTTGCTCACACCCCACTGATGTCGAAAAGATCGCTGGTCAGTTTGTCTCTGATTGTAAGATCACCGACTCTAGCCGCAACCTCGTCAATGGCGCCCTCTCTGAACTTAGCTCGCTTCCTAACACAGCGACCTACGCCGTCGTCATGGTTGGCTCGATTATTGCTGCTGCCGCCTTCAGCTATTAAAAGGAATAACATGTAGTGCTTTTAATACAAGCCATGTATGGCAAGATCTCATTACCCTCATTACCCTCATTCCGAGTAACAGGATATGTTTGTAAATGGTTTACGCATCGCCTCCTCACTTTCACAGTGTATCTAGCACGTCTCTAAAGAGAATAGGATTTAGTGTGAACCAACCATATCCGCTTTTAGCTCACGAGCCAGACAAAGCACAGCCTTTATCGCAAAACTTTCAATCTACAGGTTAAAAAAGACACATCCTAGGGAGAAAGAGCTAAAAGACTTTTGGCGTTGAAAACAGCAAACAGTCATTCGCATGGATTGCATGCCATAGGTTTGTGCGAATGTAAACATCTTTCGCCCATCAAGCTAAAAGGTGGGTACACCTAAAGTACCAGGGCGAAAGGGTGGGGTTGGCTTGGTCGATCGCACATGAAGACCATAGCTACATACGGGCGAAATAAAGATGAAAAATAAAGTTAAGGATGAAACTGGGGATTCGTGTTACCCACATTTCCTCAGCCTTTAATGGGTTTAGCCCCCATGGTTCCCGAGGACTTCAGCTGTTTTAAGGGGGATGGTCTTTACCGAGAAAGAGGCGCGGGAAAGAGTTATCTGGTCCGAACAAACAAACATACTCTGAAACGGCCGTGCGGAGGTGATGCAGACAAACGAAGCCTTGAAACAGACAAGGGGCGCGAGGGCATAAAAGAGCGCCGATCTTCTCGTCCTTTCGACAAACCATTTCTCTGTCGCTCACCCTTCTTCGCTACCAACAAACATTCACACATACCTTCCAACAGCAAAAGCAATAAAGTATAGCACCATGCTCTTCAACTCTTCCGTTCGCTCCTCCTTCACCCTCATCTACGCCATTGTCCTGGCCTCCCTGGCCTTGTTGGCAACCATGCCCACTGCTCAGGCTGACTGCCTCCTGAAGTGTGCACCCATTAATGCCAAGGCTCTTTTCTGCGGGTACACAAAGAGCGGTGATGAGACCATGCCAACCATTGGTACCGATCCTGGACGCGACAAATGCCTCTGCAGCCAGAGCAACATCGACCTCTATAGTAAGTCATCCTTGTCTATCCCACATGAATATTCTGATCTATCTAAGCAGGTCTAGCCGCTGTCTCAACCTGAAGGAACCGCAGCTCATCGGTCTAATTTTCTCTCCTCTTAAACAGACGACTGCTTGCAGTGCAAAGACTCGAACACCGCTGAATCAATCACCAACCAGTTCGTCCGTGAGTGCAAGAAGTCGACCTCAGACGTCACTCTTGTCAGCATTACCTCCTCTGGACACGCTTCTCATTCCAGTATAGTGACTTATGCCGTCGTTGGAATGGCCTTTCTCGTTGCTACCGCTGCTTTTAGCAGTTAAGGGAGAAAACATAACACGAAAATAAACATAAAACAAAGTGCGTTCATTTTACATAAGCATTTGAGACAAACTTTACCCCTGGCTGTTTAGCATTTATAGTATGCCAATGGCATCTCTTAAGGCGGGGCTCTTTCTACATGCGCTCGAGCAGGCATCCCATGAAGTCGGGAATATCGATTTGAACCTTGTAGACAGTACGATGATGGGGTTGCAGTGGAATGGGATCATGAAGACCTATCAAGGCAGGACCAAGAAGCCAACTGGTGATGCGTGCACAGTGACACTGCGATCGTTGAGAACCCATTAAAGGCCCGGCTGGATGTTTTATTCTTGATTTCTAGTTCGGTCTCGGCTCCTCCTCCTCCTCCTCCTCCTCCTCCTACTCCTCCTGCACATCTGCTTGATGTTGCTGAAGACTCTGCCGAAGATGAACAAGACCTGCAGACGCCTGGCCCAGAGCTCCATCCACAGGACGGTCCAAACGATGAGAAGGACAATCTCGTTGAGTTATTGGATGAAGGAGATGATACCCATCCACTTCGAGCTGCGACTCCGCCTCGATCGATTACTCCGCCTCGCTCGGTAACTCCACTTCCTAAGAAGTTTGCCTCTGCCTCCAGAAAAGGAAAGGGAGTGAAGCACATGGCCATACCGGTTCGAGAAGACCTTACTCCATCGCTGATCGGAGACACGGTGATGGATACTGCGTCCCTGAAATCTTCCCATAGCCCCATGGAAGCGTCAATGAAGGAATACCGGCAGAGGAAGGACACCTGGGATGGGTGGCATCTTGAGTCACAGCAGGAGGCCCTGAAGCTCAGGGAGCGGCAATTAGGCCTTCAAGAGGGCCTACTTGAACAAAATGACCGCCAGCTTAAGCAAAACGCCGAGTCAGCTGCGGATATGAGACAGATGTTTTTCATGGTAGCAGAATCCCAGAAGATGGGTCATGGCGTTTAGTCAAACGTGTATGTTTTTGTGCACAAGAAAAGGCTCCCCCTACCCCTACCCACCTCTTTCCGAAAAACCCACCTCTGCTACACGTCCTCTTCTGAGTTCCCTTCATTGCCTCTTCACCGACTCGTTACAGCAGCACCTTCAGCAAAAAAAGCCGCTTTAAGAACTCACTCCTCACAAATACGGATAACAGCCTCTCACCATCTTTAAAAAACGCCGCCATCGCACCCCCGACCACACGCGATGATATCAAGGAGAACCTTCTACAAACACCAGAGCGCCAGCATGAGCCGTCAGAAGAGAAGAGTGTATGTTTCTGTCTCGCTTTGCAATGCAGCAGCGTGCTTTCTCCAAGAGTGTTTTTTCTCCCTTTGCTGACTAGAAACCCGTTCCCACTTCATTACAGACTTTCCAGCAACCAGCTCTGGACGGGTGCTACCGTTCAAGTATAGAGCGCGGCCTAGAGACAGATCCCTCGGCCGTCCCGGAATGTATAGGGTTGTTGGTGGCAAATGGTGCCTCTGTTGATACCATCGACGTTTTTGACCTCGCGCAGGACTTTGTCGGGATTGCAATAAAAACTGTACAGCTTGGCAAACGGAAACATGACAGTGGCAACTCCTAGGCAATATCTTCAGCTCTCAGTGGCCAGGGTGATTACGATGATGGTGATGATAGCGATGGTGATCCACAGGCCACAAGCGAATGGTCTTGTTGGCAAAGGATGGTTCACCCCAAAACATTGCATCTAGCTGCAGATGTGATCAGGGAAAACAGGAAGCTGACCGAGGCGAGGAATGAACTCCGGCTGTTGGCTGTCACACAGATCATACAGGGGCAAATGACGAATATACTGAACGCCGGCGCTGCTGCTTTGGTTGCTCCTCTTAAGCCTCTAGCCATACCAAACTTCAAACCACCAAAAACACCAACACCAATACCAATACCAACACCAACACCAACACCAACACCAACACAACCGCGCAGATCATCACGTATAGCATCAGGACATCAGCAACAGGGAGGAAAACGGTTTTGCAAGTAAAGGCTATCGTTTAATTCAGATATGTGATGACTGGATTTCGCCCACGGCCTGCTTGTAGCACGTTTTGCATGAAACCTTCCCTAAATTCCTGACCGTTTTGTTCAAACGGCTCCTCCTCTCCCTTCTCCTGACCTGCAACAGGCCGAGTTCCACGATGTACAGCACAGTCTGCTTCAGGTAAGGTCCCTGTTTAGAAGAGGGGAGGGGAGATGTCGCATGTACGCAGCTTGTGACCCTAAGACGCATTTGCCTGCGGACAACCTTTCTTGTCAAAGTATCATATTTCTGGGGCTGGAAGGAAAGAGAGATGTTGAGCTGCACGAACGATCATTCGTTGTATGTATGCTTTGTGCACCATACTCTGGGCTGTCGCAACAAAAGCGAATGATGAGCGCATGGCGCGTGTACTTGCTCAACTAGAGCGCCTCTCGTGTTGAGCGCGAAAAGGGCACTGACGCGATTGTGGTTCGTGCCTGATTACACCATGACCTTTGGTCGCTTGTGTAAAACACCTCGACCTTCGAAAAAGACTGCATGATCAGACACGCGTAGGGCTGTAGAGGAAGTATTTGCCTGCTTTGCCTGACGCAACGATAATGAGCAGCTTTGATGCATCCCGATCTTGATAGCTAACGCAGCTGTAGTCGTGTGAAATGTCCTCTATTGACCGTTCAACATGCCATTTCGTGGTAGTTTTTGCCACCAATTCAAAGTGGCTTCCAAAAAAAAAAAAAAAAAAAAAAAGTGACTGGCAAAAAAAATATCGAAATCAAAACAATCAACAAAGAGAGTCTGCTGGGACGCTCTTCGCTTGCCCTTCGCCCTTGACATCCACCCACCACTCCCACTCTCATCCTTTCCCCTCTCCATCCCCTCCCCCCTTAACCCTTCCATATAACATACATCATGGCTGTCGCAAAGCGCAAGTCGAGCAGCATCACCGCTGAGAAGCCCCAGAAGAAGGTCAAGGCTGCAAAGGAGTCCAAGGTCGCTGCTGCCCCTACGGCCTCCAAGAAGAAGATTCTCTTTGGCAAGGTCCTTGAGGAGGAGGACAAGAACAACGGCGATAGTGATGAAGACGAGGACGAGGGCGAATTAGAAGAAGAGCCTATCCGCGACGACGATGAGGAGAACAGTATGGATGTTGATACTCCTGACCAGACCGTTCCTCAGAAGAACAAGCTCCGTACGTTGTTGTTTTGTTCCTACTTGCGGTCGCCTGAATGCATTAAAGTGTCTGAGAGTAACTACGAAACTAATTTTTCTTCTTGACTCTCACCAACCCCTTCTCGATGACATTTCCTGGATCTCGACACGTATACAATTAAACCACGCCAAATTTGATATTCAATTCGGCAACAACTCTAGCTACTAAGGAGGTCAACGCACAAAAGAAGGCCCTTCGCGAGGAGCGCCGATCACACAAGCCCAACTCAGAACTCATCTACCCAGCCAAGAAACTTTGGGAGAAGCTGCGTCTCAAAGAGCTCCCCAAAGCCGAGCGCCAGGCGGTGATGAAGGACATGATGGCGCTGATCACTGGTAAGGTTCAGGATATCATTTTCAAGCACGACATGTCCCGTATCATCCAGTCCTGTCTGAAGCACGGAAACGAGGCCCAGCGCAATGTCATCGCAGGAGAACTGGTCGGCCACTACTTGACGCTGTCAAAATCGATGTACGGACGCTTTATTGTCGTGAAGATTCTGCACTATTGCCAGAAGTACAGGGAAGCGATCATCAAGGAGTTCTATGGAAAGGTCCGCCAGCTGATCAAGCACAAGGAAGCTTCAACAATCATCGAGGATGCATATTCGATCTATGCCAACTCAGCACAGCGGGCAGCATTGATCCAGGAGTTTTACGGTCCCGAGTTCAGACTGTTCAAGGTCGAGGACAAGAAGACGTTGACAGAGATTTTGGAGCAGAACCCGGCCAAGAAGGAGAACATTATGAAGCACCTCATGGAGACGTTGCAGGGATGTCTGGAGAAGGGAACCATTGGATTCAGCATCGTACATCGTGGTTTGCTCGAGTACTTTGAGCATGCTAACGCCAAAGGCATTCAGGTATGGTTCTTTTCTATGCGCTTTATTTCTCATTTCCAGGATTCCTTGGTCAAGACCTTTGTAACTTAACGTTTTGTTCAAATAATGTCTCTTGTAGGAGATGTTGGACGTGATGAAGGAGCAGGCGGTTGAGATATTGCATACGAAGGAGGGCGCTCAGGTCGCAATGCTGTGCCTGCTTTACGCCACGCCCAAAGACCGTAAGGCGATGCTCAAGACAATGAAGCCCTTCGTGGTCAAGATTTGCAAAGAGGAATACGGCCACATGGTGATGCTTAGGATGTTCGACGTTGTGGACGATACCGTGTTGATGAGCAAGGCTATCCTTGCGGAGATTATCAAGGAGATGGAAGACATTGCCAAGGACAAGTTTGGTCGTCGTGTGATTCTCTACTTGCTTGCAGGGCGGTCACCCAAGTACATTTCCCCTCAGAACATTGAGCTCCTCGCCAAGGGCGACGCTGTTCGTGCCAATACCAGTAAGAAGGATGCAGCGGTCCGCTCGGCCGAGTTGCTCGGATACATCTCCCCTGCATTGATTTCGTTGATCGCGACCAAGGCCCGGAGCCTGACGAGCGAACCTCTGGCTTGCCAGGTCGTCTTCGAGACGATGTTGCATGCTGTTGGGGATAAGCAGTCAGCAACGGATGCGCTCCTAGAGATGGCGGCCGTAGACCCTTCAGAGTCGACATCGGAGCAGCCCAACCCACTGTTGAGGATGCCAACGGATCGATTGTACAAGACGTTGGTCCAGTCGGATTACAAGGCGCCACTTGCGGAGCCCAGCTTACATTTCGCGAATGCGTTGTTGCTCAAGATCTCGCCCTATATCGGGTACTATGTTCTGGAGAGCGGTTCGAGTGCATTTGTGGTGCTAGCGCTGTTGGAGAACCCTGAGACGGCAGAGGAGATGAAGAAGATATTGACCACAAAGACCAAGGGATCATCAATAACACTCCAGAAGGAAATGGAGAAGCTGGTTAAGGGCAAGCCAGAGAACGAGCACAAAGCCGTTAGGCTGATCTTGGAGACCCTGGCCAAATAAAGGGGCGGCAGAGTAGGAAGCAACCCCAAACATCGGCATCTATCTTCATCATCTTTCATCGCGCCACACACCACCACAACAGCACCCTGGTGGCTATAATATTACTTTTGTCTTGTTCATCAAATCATCAAATAAACACCATCGCATATCACTGTTATATCCATGCCTTTTGTTGTTGTGCCTGCCCCTAGTCTAGTTCAGGAACCAAACTAAAGAGAGCCATATGATCTACACAGCCTATTCCTCTAAAGAAAAATGCGTCCCTACCCACGAACCATGGCCCATGTTAAGTGCTGCATTTGAGCAGAGTCAGGCGGATTAGGCTGTTTTTTGGGGAAAAGGGGTGCCAGAGGTGCTGCTGTGAACAGAGGAATGAGAAATAGGGGTGCAGGCAGGGGATCACGCGTGAAGGAACATCAAGACGTCAACGATCTGTCCTTAATGTCAGCCGTTAGTCTTCTTTGCCAGGAACTACATTCCATCTTGCTGGGTCCTCAGCCCTTGCCTATCTTCTATCTTCTAATCCCTCTACCCGCAATAACATTTAAATACAACCCCCATCGGCCTCCCTCCCACGCATGTAGAAATTCCTCCTATCACACCCTATCCTCCTAGTCTACCATGGCCTGCACATTCTCCTGCACATCCTTTTTCACAAAGGCTCTTTTCTGCCAGAACAAGAACCACTTCGACATCCCCTCCACCATCCCCACCATCGGACTCGACCCCATCCTCGACACCTGTCTCTGCGTCCAAGGAAACATCGACGCCCTTCACTCCTGCGCCTCCTGTCGCGCAAAGAACAATATCACCAACGGTGATGCCACCTGGGTCTTCATCGATGCCTGCAACAAAGAATTTCCCGATCGACGTCTCTGGCTGCCCTCCGCTGCCGGACCCAGTCTCAGGCCCTGGGGACTCACTCGAACAGGACACAGCCCCCAAATCGGTGATAAGATCGCTTTGCGGCGGAGGCTCCTCAATGCCATGAATGTCTACTCCGTCCTCTTAGTTGTCTCCACAGCAGCATCCATGTGTTCCGCCATCCTCTCTACATAGCCCAGCGTTGTTCGATGTCCTAAATCAACCATGTACTGTACATGCTCTCCTTTGTCAATAGTATCTTACATATATTTATCTTATCTCCATAATACAAAGCCATTTGGCGACGCGAGTAATCCATAAAATGCATGCATTATTCAAGGTGCTATGTATGTAACAACGATTCTAAAAAGACGCTCCAACGCCCCTGCCTCGCTTCTTAACTGTCTCCGTTCGAACCAATCAATCTGCCTCTTAATCAATATCCATGTCCTTCGAGTCATCGTGCTTGGTCTCCTCCTCCGACGCAGGCTTCTCCTCCTTCTTCTCCTCAGCAGGCGTCTCGGGAGTCTCGACCACCACAGGCTTGGGCTTGGGCTTGTTCATGATCGGCGTGGCAAAGTAGACGATATCATCGCGCTGCTTGCGGATCTCAGCTGATGAAATAGCGGGTGTTTCGTACTTCTTGAGCATCGACTGGCGCTCCAACTTGTTCTCGATCCAGGTCTGAGCCTTCGAGCACTTCTCAACAATCTGGTTCTTCTCCTCTACAGGAATATGCGCATACTTCTCCTCTGTGCTCGTTGCCTGGGACATCAACTGGTTAATCGACTCGCGCAACTCACGAGCAGCGTTGACACGGGCCTCGACCTCGCGGTAACGCTCAACAACGGGCTTGCCAACAACCTGGAGCTCACCCAACTTGGAAGCGTACACAGACTTGGTAGTCTCGTCGCCCTCGTCGTACAGCCAGTTCTCAGCATCGTTCAAGTCCTTGACAAACTTCTCCTTATCGGCAGGGTTGATAAAGTCCTTGTAAAGACCATCGACCTTCGAGCGCATGTCATAGATATACTCCTCCAAAGCGTTCTTGGCCATCTCAGTGTCGACAACCAATTTGTCCGATGCAATCATCTCGTTCTCCTTTTCCTTGAGCTCGGTAAGAACAGAGCGGTCCAGGGAAGAGGTGGCACTGACAACGGGCAAGTCAGCCTTCTTGACCAGCTTCTTGACCTTGCGGGTCTCGGCAGCAGGAGCGGCAGCAGCCTCCTCAGAGCCTTCAGCGGGGGCAGCATCAGCCTTGGGGGCCTCAACGGGCTCCTCCTTAACGACCTCCTCAACAACATATGCGCTCTCGACGGACAGGACACCGTGGATGTTGACTCTGGCCTTGACCTTGACGCAAACGGGCTCGCCGTTGATGGGCTCGACGTTCTTGATGGAGAAACGGGCAATCCAGGGGTTGATACCGGCGGGGATGCTCTCGGGCTGGGCATACTGGGCCTCAAGATCGAAGGGTGCGGAGCGGTAGAAAGTTAAGACCTTGGTCGAGGGGATGGAGTTGTTCTTGTTGAAGACAACGAGTTCGGTCTCCTCCTCCTCGGGGGTAGGCTGCCAGGTCATCTTGATAGGGTAGTTGGTGATATCCTGGACAGTGAAGTCACGGACCTTGAAGGAGGGCGACAAGATAGCGCACTGGAGAGCAGCACCACGAGCAACGGCCTCATCCTGGTTCAAGGTCGAGGAGAGCTCCTTGCCGAAGTAGGCCTGGATGCGCTCCTTGAGGGCAGGAATACGGATCGAACCTCCAACCATCTCGACGGCATCAATATCATCAACGGTCAGGCCAGCATCCTCCAAGGCCTGCTTAATGGGAGCCTCGACACGCGTGATCAACTCCTCGGCGAGCTTCTCGAACTCCTCGCGCTTCATCACCGAGGAAACATCGCGGTCCTCCATAATGGATTCGATGTTGAGAGGGGCCTGCGAGTTGGCCGAGAGGATCTTCTTGAGCTTCTCGCATCCAGCCATTAAACGGATCATGGCCTTACCGTTCGACTTGACGTCGATGCCATACTTGGTCTTGAATTCGGCAGCAAAGTGGTCGACCAACATGCGGTCAAAGTCACGGCCTCCAAAGTGTCTATCAAAGGCGCGGGACTTGACAGTGAGCTGTCCCTTGATGTAGGAAACGACAGAAACAGTGTAGGAAGAGTGACCGACATCGACAAAGCAGATGTTGCGAGGCTTATCCTCGGGCAAATCAGTCTTGGTGATACCGTAGCCGAGAGCGGTGGCGGTCGAGTCGTTGATCAGGCGGAGGACGTTGAGGCCAGCGATCTCGGCAGCATCGAGGACGGCACGGCGCTGGACATCCGTGAACCAGGCGGGAATGGCGATGACGCAGTCGGAGACGGGGAGCTTAGTCTCATTGGTGGCAATTTCCTTAACCTTGGTAAGGTACATGGCGAAGACCTGAATAGTGGTGAAGGTAGTCTCCTGTCCCTGATAGTTAATCTTGACAGAGAGCTGGCCATTGACATCGACGAGGGGGGCGGTCAAGTATTGCTTCTCAATTTCCTGAATCTCCTTGTCGGCAAAGGTGCGTCCGATGATGCGCTTCAAGGACGAGATGGTGTTCTTGAAGTTGGAGATCTCTTGCGTCTTGGCGGTCTCGCCGAGGTAACGCTGCTTGGGTCCGAACGAAACCAAGGACTATATGGATAAGAAAAGACATTGCCGTATTAGAAATCTGCATTCTTGATCGAAGGAGAGACCGAGGTGATAATATAGGCAGCCAAAGACATACGGGCGTGAAGCGGTTCGAGACTTCATTGCAGATAACGTCGATACCACGGTTTCTGGCAACGGCGATAATCGACTGCAAGTTTCCGAAATCAATACCTACACAGAGTGAAAGGATGAGGACATGAGTAAGGTGTAGTTAGCATTCTGTTGATATTCTCCACGAATTCTGTGCGAACATGCGATCCCTTCTTGTTTGTATTGTGCCGCTGAAAGCTGCGAGAGGGCAGTTGGTGCTTTTTGTTTGCTGCAGACATGTGTTGAAATAGCCGCATAGAACAAAGGCACTACAGCACCGTAATATGCATGCTGTTCCTTTGCATACTGCAGTATCGATAAAAAGAGCTACATACCAACGACAGACATGATGATGGGTTGAAGGAGAGAGGAGGTGATGGGAGGTGTGATGGGATGAGCGGGGTGAAGAAGAAGAAATGAATCAGAGAAGATCTTTCTGCTTTCTGGTGCGCAAGAGACAAGGTGACTGTTAATCAGCGAAGATAAACAACGCCTCATTTTCTATCTATGGAAAGGGCTGGTTCGAGCGCAACCACACAGGAAAGGAGCCTGAAGATCTGGGGACGAGGACCCTATCTATGGGAAAACAAAAGCAGGTTTCCTTCCTGGATCCGGCCTTCTTCTTCACTTAAAAGTGCATCTCTATATCGTGTCTTTTATCACTAGAAGTAGCCCTTTGCTGCAAGGTGGCGACCAGAAAGTGGAACACCAACAGTGCAGAGAGCAACGGTGGGCGCTGCTTAGAAATCCTGCAGCGGCGGACGACACCAAAATACAAGGAAGAACGTCCGCTTCAATGACCGACTATTTTCATACAAGACCAGCATAGCAGCTGCTCCGTCCTCATTCACTCCTCCACTTCCATCCATCCCAAGTTGAAAGATGACCCTCCGTATACTCTGTCTTCACGGATACACTCAGGTGCAGCCTTGTTTGGCGAAGCAACAGTACTCAGCTATATCTCAGAAGGATCAGCACATTAACAAATGACGTATATGATAAGTATCTTAGAACGCACTCTCGTTCACCAAAAAGACTGCAGTCTTTCGCAAATCACTCAAGGGTATCGCTGATCTCGGTAAATGACCGCCAACTGCTCAACTGCTTGATCGAAAGATGCTGGCTGCAAGTGGAGAGACACAGGTGATAGCATTCAGCCGCATAGCTTTTAACGCTGGTCTATCTGGATTATTTTCATCCGCCGAATAGTATATATAACAGCACCCCATGTTGTGCCCATTCCAACATTGAACACTCCCGAAGAACGCGAGAACGACCAACTGGAAGAAGACTCGGGACCTGGTATGTCGTCGTGCTGATCTGAGTACTCGAGGTTCATGCTCCATTTTGATACGACCTAACACACTGTCATGTTTATGTAGAGGCAATCCCATACGGATGGTGGACTTCATCACCAGAAAAGCCCCAGTACAAGGGCTTTGACGAGAGCTTAGTTGGACTTCGGGAAGTCCTTGAAAAGCAGGTCAGCAACCCTTGTCCTAGATATCTCTGATGAAAAAAACATACCGACACGTGTGCTAAATCATCGATATTCTTGCATCATTTCACAGGGACCATTCGATGGCGTTATGGGATTCTCGCAAGGCGCATCCATGGCCAGCATACTTCAACTGCTCCTGGAACGACCCTATTTGTCTCCCATCATGAGTGGACTACAACACGACCCCTTCAAGTTTTCCATCATCGTGTCAGGATTCGAACCCAGGGATGCGGAAAAGTTGGCCTGGTACACCAACAAGTATCCTGTTCTCGAGAAACCGCGGAAGAGGAGGAGTGAGGACGACGACGAAGACATCATGGAGGTTGACCAGGACGACGACAAGGAGAATGTTGAACCAAAGTATCTGCATGGAGTCCAGGGCGCAAGCATGCATGTTATTGGACGCAACGACGTTATCATCCAGCAAGGTACAGCGCGAAGCAGCCTCCTTCATGTGATATGCCCAGTCAAGCAAACAGGTCTAATCAGGGCACTAATGGAAAACGATATTTTGTTTGATGTGCCTTTAGAACGATCCGAGGCTCTGCTAAAGCACTATCAACACAAGACTCCAGTAACTTTATACCACGATGGTGGCCATTATCTGCCCTCGAATGCAGCCAGCCGACAGGCATACAAGTCATTTGTACAGTCATTCATATAGATCTTCCTTTCGCACCATACACCATTGCCCCCCATAGATACTACAGCACTGTGGACCATACATACGAAATAAAAGAAATCCCTTGTTTAGAGTATGCTTAGAGTATGAGTATATCATGGCGATGGCGATGACCGAACAGATGAGAAACTCTGCAGGTATAGATGAGCGCCTGACAGTCTATTGTCAATGCGCGATCGATAGCTGATTTTAATATAAAGATGCGATTTTAATATGAGGATGCGACTTTAATATGAAGATGCGATTTTAACAACAGATGGTGAAGACCGTACGCGACCATAGGAACTTCCATTCTAGCTAGTTAGTACATCGAGCATGTCTTATCGCACGAGGATACCAGATGCAGTAACAGCGGAGTCCTTTATTACCATCGCCTATTTCGCTCCGGTCTACCATTGACAGGAAAGATCACCCGGTCTACGGAATACACAGAAAAGAGGAGGAAAACGTAGAGGAGGTTCGTGCTTCGTGCCCTCATCTCCATTCACAGGCGAGAATAACAATGTCCGGCATCATGCAAGGCTTAGACGGTCCCCTACATGCATGTTAAGCAATAATATCTATGTTTTCGGCTGGCACCTCCCTTTTTGTGTGACATTCATCCGTCTTCTTTGAACAGATCCTGAGAAGGCGACCATTTGTTTGTATCCATTAACCAGCATCTGACCCCTCTCCCAAGGACACAAGTATATTCATGACAATAGTGGATAAGAAAATAAATACAAATGCATATGACAAATAATAAAGTCTATCACCCTAAGAAAAAAAAAAGATAACAAATGGACTCACGCGCGCTCGCAAGCAAATTACATCCGACCTCCAATTGTTGACAAAGCGTTCACTATACCAGGCCACAATACTTTTTTTTTTGTGAAGATACTTTAACGACCACAATGGCAACATCCTACAAAGGGTCTTTGGTCGCGCCATCAATTGCTCCAGCAGCTGTTCTTGAAGATCACACACCCTGTTGTTGTTTCTCATTTCGGTCGCCTATTTCGGCTTGCTTTCATATTTACAATTTATTTGTACCTTCTCTCCACAGTGGGGGGATTGTGCATTGTTGTTTGTGGTTGTAAATAGTTGTAGGTTGTCGTTGCTCCGACAACATTGCGCGTGAGCACCTCCCTTCCCCCATTCGCATGCAGAAATATGATGGATCGCGATGAAGAGACGCACACGAAAGAAATATCTTCTCTCTTGGCTGAAAACCCCCAGCCATACAGGCATCGCACTTCTTGTTCCTTGACCTCATCGTCCAACCATCCAGGCACCGCACTTCCCTTCTCACTCTTGTTTTCTCTTGACCCCATCCATCTTGACCATTGAAAGCATACACGACCCACTTCATCTCTTCGCGTACATACTCTTAGCCCTACAAAACTGCAGACCATCTTATCAAATCCATCGCATCTCACTCCGCCGACCTTAACTCGAATAGAATTTTGTTCTTTATCGACATATTGTAACGTACATGCAGCTATCGTCCCCGACTCTAGTCTGACCATCCCACATCCTCTCTGCCTACTTGAGAACCACCATCAAACAGTAAAGAAGAAGGAAACGGCACACGTACCCACACTACATAATAAAAAAGAATGCCGCTGCTCATATACGCCGTACCCCTGTCCACAGACCACCTGGGCATCCATTACTGGAAAGCACCTCGGTTGGAAGACCTGCCCGAGGAACTCGAGGTACAAAAGCAGAGTTCAATTCACGGAAGGAAGTAGGATGGGGATGAATGAATGCATCCTGCGAATGAATCATGCGAGCGCTTTGTGGAGCCTAAACAGTCCTTCCTGTTCTACACTCACGCTTTCACGCCAATGGAATATAGTACCTTCCATACCAAGAATTCGAAGACCGATTTCTCCAGCTCAACAAGATCGCGCGCCCAGCGTATCCGACCCAATGGCCCAATATCGCCACTCTGTGCCTTCTCGCCGGAGTGATCGTAGCCGCTGTCACTGGTATAATGCACAAAGGGACAAATTTGGCTGTCATGGGTCAAGGCGCCTGCTTTCTTCTACCTGTTATCATTGTCATTTGGGTCAAAGTACGCACCGAGACCAACGCCCGGTCCAGAAGAAGGGTACGAGGATGCTTTCAAAAATAAGGCGCAATGGCCTTGTGCGCGATAATGAGGCACTGAAATGCAGCTGAATGACAGAAGCATGATCTTTTCTTGCTCTTGATCTAGTTCAAGCACCGGTCTCAGAAGCTACTCAGGGCATGGACGACGCAGGATGCGGAGACACATGCCATCCAGTGGAAACTACGTCGACGGTCTAAAAGTGTGGCAAGACCATGGCTTCGAGGCGGCAGCAGCAGCAACAGGCATCGGACACGGAACGGTATTTATAATACAGAGGCCAACGCCGCTCAAACGTTGCCACCATTCGCCCAACTTCAAACACACGGTTCCAACAGCAGGCCAGCAGCAGCGCATGAACACGAACGGCAGCACGCGGAGCAGGATGCGGGCGGTAGTGGCGATGCTCGAAGCGGTAGAGTCGACCTAGATATTGAAGATAATGTACTAGGATCGATAACAGCCATCGAATCTCCCTCCCCCACTGCCAATGTTCATAGTACCCTTCGTATTAACACCCGACTCCGTAGAGTTCCTACAAGCAGCACCGTATTATATCCAACATCGCCCATCAGCACCGCTAGCGACACTGTAGGTCTTACGGTCAACGAACTCATCGAAAGCAACAGCATGAACACCTACAACAACGCAGCTATACCCACCCCTCCGCCCACAAGACCCTCATCTCCATCTCTTGTTCCCCTGACGTTCGAATCTTCCTCCTCAAGAGAGCCCAGAGCTTCCATCTGGACGACGATCGCTCACTCATTCCAATCATCATTCTGCTGTGCACATTTTTTCAGAGATCGCAAGGTATGGCTGATTGAGATCTCGCTTCGAGATTGTCAACTGGACGAGTATGCCTTGATGGTCCCTAGCCCTGTGTACTGTGATTACCGCCTTCCGGGATACGAGGATGCGATGAGGATGATGACAGATTCGGAGACAAGAGCAAGGGCTGCGCTGGCAAGGACGAGTTCTAGTCGAGTGGATTTGCATCGATACATGGGTGAACCTCCAGCGTACGAGAGCGAGTCTGACGACGACGACGATGGAGACGAGGAAGACGAGGGAGACGATCGAAGGATGGATGCGGACGATGATCCAGAGGAGCGCACAGAAGAGCTGGGTCCCGCCGAAGTTGTAATCGTGGGAAGCAGCTCCAATGATGGAGGAGAGGATGCTGGTGGTGGTGGGAGTCGTGTTCCTGAGAATGAGAGGGAGATGACGATGGTACAGAGAACTGAAGAACTGAGCGCGATCGTGGTTCTTGGATCGATTAGGCCGTCGACTTCGAGTGATCTGCATGGCTCTGAAGAGGACAACGAGGAGGAGGAAGAGGCGGTGGTGGAAGAGGCCATGTCCTCGACGTCAACGTCTTTGCGCCTTTCGCGCAAGGAGCTGATAGGCTGTAAACCGTGTAAATAGTGGAAATAGTGGTTACCAAGAATGTATTTTTTTTTGATACCAGGCGCACGCACATCACGCGCCGGGTTGTGTACCCGAAGCCATTTGGTTTGAATGGACATGTTTCATGCCAATTTTTGCTCCTTTTGCCGCCCTTTTTCTTTTGTTCTTTTTATCTTTTTTTCCTTTTTCTCCTTCTTCCTTTCTCTCTTTCTTTCCTTCTATCTCTTGCCAACGAATCCTACTGCCTACCACCCACATAAGCACACCAATCAACGCACACACGCATACACGTACACACACAGAAGACATAATGCTCCACACAGCACTGCTGTGGTTCGCTGCTGTCCATCAGAATGCATCCCTCCCATCAACAGACTCATCCTCCTCCCCCTCCTCTACCCCAGTCAACGTCACCCTGTCGCACCTTGCGGGTACACTCTCGATCCTCTGCTGGTTTATCGTCTTCACTCCGTAGGTCTTTTTTTTCTTTTTTTCTTTTTTTTCTTTTTTTTCTTTTTTTTTTCTTTGCCACCAATTCAGTTGCATTTTGCTACCGAAAATATATGTCATGATGCACCATCTACCCTCATAAGGGAATATAAATAAATGTGCTCAAAGTTGAGCCCCACAACAGCATGGCTTACTATCCATGGCGACATGCTAAGCACCCCAACTTTGAACGCATCTTTTTTTTTTTAAAAAAAAACACATACATACACACATGTGCATAGACAAATCTGGGAAAACTACAAGCGCAAGTCTGGCGAGTCCTTGTCCTTACCGTTTCTTTATATCTGGCTCGCAGGAGACATCTTCAACCTCGCAGGAGCGACTGTTGACAACTTGCTTCTGACCATGGTAACAATACATGGCCAGACGGTTCGTGGAATCATGAGTGCACAAGAGAAATGGGCTCAAGTTTAACTGACGACTTTACCTCTTTTCTTTCGTTTTCTTTGGCCTTCAATTATAGAGGATATTGGCGTGGTACTACACGCTCGCAGATGTAAGCGGAAAACATCTCGCTTTATCCATTACTCAGGCTTATTAATCTCGCTTTTTGATACAAAAAAGTTGACCTCCAGATTGTTTCTCGTACAATTAGATCTTCTTGATCATTCAAGTGTACCACTACAGGAGACTTGCTAAACAGACTGCAACCGTCCACACGGATCAGAATCCGGATGTGCAGCAGCGCCTTCAACACCAGGACCACGTTCATCAAGCCAACTACACACCTTCAATCTCCACAGCCTCGGACCTGACACGCGTAGCCGACGAAGACACGGCCCTGTTCATCAAAGATACCCTCTCATGCCGGAATAGGGAACACCACCACCATCCCAACACTAAGACCTACTCCACCATCACTCCAGTATCTTCAGCCGTCAGCTCCTCTTCCGGCTCATCCTCTAACACCTCAGGATCACCTCAGGAAAGACGCCGTTCCGACAACTACAAGCTCCTCTGGATCTCCCTCTCGATCCTCACCATCGCTACAGCATTCTTCGCATGGTACTGCCTCTATTGGGGCCAACGTGACCTGGATAACGAACCCCTCTCCGAGTCTACCATCGACACATACCGTCAATATCGAAGCCGTCACCAAGGCCACTTCCCTCGTCCCCGACCTCCAGTCGACGACGATCAGCCCACCGCCTGGCTCGGTCAATTCCTCGGCTGGGGCGGTGCTCTTCTTTACCTCGGATCTCGGATCCCGCAAATATACAAGAACTGGCACCTTAAATCCTGTGAGGGCCTCTCCCAAATGATGTTCCTGTTTTCCGTTCTGGGAAATGTTCTCTTTGTCGCCAGTATCTTCTTGTTCTCCCTCAATCGAGAGTACCTCATCAGGAACATGCCTTGGTGGCTCGGGTCTTCGGGTACTCTGATCTTTGATTTCTTGGTATGTCTATAAAATAACATTAGATGTGTTTATATGGGTAAATGGAAACAGATCGAACTTGAGAAATGCTAATTGATTCTTCTTTTTTTTTTTTTGTTAGATCTTTATCCAGTTCTATATCTATCGAGATAACGGGGAGCCATCGTCGCACCACAACAAGAGTGTGCAGAGCGAAGAGGTCTAGAGTCCTTGTCGATTTTACAGGATTGCCATATCCACGACTCGATACAAAAAAAAAAAAAAAAATTGATAGAAGCTATACATCCATCCATCCATTTATCCTCGGAAATAAATCATACATGTATGTTGTATTTGACATAAGATTTTTTTGTTTTTTATTTTTTATTTTTTATTTTTTAACAGGGCTTCGTTTAATGTTGCCCAGTTCATAATCCTCGTCGTGAGAGACAAGCGGAAGCGAAAAAAGAAAAAGCGCAATCTTGATCATTAAAAAGAAAATAGCAAAAGCGAAAAGGAAAAAATAACAGAAAGCAAGCAACCGACAATGAAAAGAAAAGAGCAAAGAAGCAAGGAATGGTATTAAATCGAGATAAGAACAATATCAACATAGAAGGGGAGGGAAAAAAAAGGTATTCCCTTCTCTTCTCTCACTTTTTTTTTATGCCTGAACACTCGCCTCCTGACGCTTCTCGAGATTGGCAACTCGTTCCTGCAACTTCTTGACAGAGGACTGATATTCTGCTGGCTGGTCCCGGGGAGGCGATCCTGGGACCGACGTCGACGACGATCCAGCAGATGGCTCCTCGTCCTCAACCTCCATGGCCGAATCCTGGTTCTTGTTCAAGGGTGGCGTAGGGAGCGTACCATCCTTCAAATCCGAGCTCGAGTCCCCTCCGACCTTGGAGCCGCTGCTGACCGAGGGAGGAGAAGGCAGCGATCCACTTGCACTCTTGGAACTGGACGAAGCACTAACGCGTGCCTTCTTGGGTGGAGGCGTCAATCCTTGGTGTTCCTCTAATTGACGCACCCTCGTCGACAGATAGTCAAGCTCAGTCTCGAATCGCTCAATGACCCCCTTCTCCAGCTCCTTGAACTGTCCACGGACAAGGCTTTCGATCATCGTTCCACTCGACTGCAATGTCTGGAGCAGCTGTGCTGATTTGCGGATCTGCTCTTCCAACGTGTGCTTTAATGAGCGGGTCGAATCCACAGAGTCAAAGAGATTTGACACCGTCTCCATGAATACTGGCTTAGAAACATGGCCCGGAAGGCTGTGGCTGTTGGGGTGGAAAGGGGTTACTGGAGGATGAGGATACATTGGTGATGGCAATGGTCCCGTGTGTGATGACAGAATCGGTGCAGGCAACGTTCCAGAACTATAGCGAAGAAATTATAAAAGGTGTGAGAAGGACAGGACAATGAATTGATAGCAAAAATGATGATATGGTTCTGGGTTAGGTACCTGTTGTCCAAGCCGGCAGTATGCAGTCCAGCGCGGAGTGTAGCTCTGGAAGATTTCTTGACATGTCCTGCAGTCTGAGGCATCGTTGCAGTGTGCTGTGTCTGATGCTGGTGTTGCGAGAATGGATGAGGCTGATGTGGAGTATGGTTACGTATAGGCTGCGACGTGCGAGGGTTCATGCTCATGGCCTGATGAGCATGTGAGGGCTGAAGAGGGGCTGAATGGATTGAGAGCGAGGAGTCCGAGTATGAGGGCGCAAAGATCGTCAACGACTTTGCATTCTTGGGATTCCTGGGCGACGTCAATGGACGGCGGTTCATGGCCGCGAAGGATGCACTTCCGTGGAAGACAGAGATGCCGCTGGATGTCTTTTCAGTGACGGGCTGGCTGCTGGTGCCATTGGAGGACGAAGCATCCTTGGTTTTATTGCTCTGTGGGGATGTGGTTGAGTTGGATGCAGAAGCGGGAGCAGGAGCAGCGGTAGAGGCAGAGGCACCGCTTTGTCTGGCCTCGATGATGGCCTTTTGCTGCTGCTTCAGCATGAGGGTGGTGCGCACCTGGTCCATGACTTCGGGAGGACCACCGGCGCCAGGGGAGGTAGAGGACTGTTTGGGGTTATGGACTGAGGACGAGGAAGAGGCGAGCATCATCCTCCGCTTTTTGTAGTTGCGGAGGTCGCTGTCGTCATCGTCCTCGGAGTTGGATTGAGGCATGGGGGACTCTTGGCGGTGGCGGGGGGAACGCGGATGGTGCGGTGCGAAGTGGGCGTGGTGCGGGTGAGGGGGGTTGGGCGAATGGTCTGGGTTGGCGTATCCTGCACGCGCAGACGATGCTGCTGCAGAGGAGCGGGTCCTATTGTGTAATGAGAGAAAGGCATATGGGGGTGTGCAAAAAATAGATTAATTAATTATCCATAGACACGTTCAACAAGGGTCGGTGTCAATTTAATTTAGCGGGCGATCCAATCAATTTAAAAAGGGCGCCGAGCAATTGAAAAGGACGTGGTTAAAATACCACAATATATGTGGAAAAGAACAAAGATTACTTACCGAGAGCTGGAGGGAGTGTCTGAGAAAGAGTCCTCAGGAGATCCCTTGCGCTTGTATGAGGGAGAGTTGTGGTCCTCAAGAACCTCGTGGATAGCCATGCGATTGAATTTACGGGTAGTCGTTGGGGTGATGGGAGAGCGAGCCCAGGCAGAGCCAGAGCCAGAGCCAGATTCGGCCTCCAGCTGTTGCTGCACAATCTGTGGCCGACTGTGGTGGTGTGCTGCTGGTGAGGAAGCACGGGTGTCCTTCATGTAAGAGGATGGAGGGGAGGTGGAGCGGTGGGAGAGGTGGTGGTGGTGCGAGTGTGAGTGCGAGTCGTCTTGTGGTTGTGCCTGTTGTTGTTGTTGTTGTTGTTGTTGTGAAGAGGAGTGTTGGCGTGAGGCGGAGGTAGACGAGGAAGAGGAGGAAGAGGAGGGGGCGGTGGATGAGGGGGAGGTGGTAGGGGGATGGTTGATGGCGTGGGATGGCGAGGTGGCGAGTTCGGCGAGATGATCAAGACGGGAGGTGGAGGCAGGGGCTTCGTCGATTTCCATTGTGGATATGATGGATATGGTAGGATAAGTGTGAGCGTGAAGGGTGCTGTGTTATTGCTGTTGTCGTTAAGCAATTGAGAGTGAAGAAGCAGAAGCAGAAGCAGAAGCAGAGGTGGAGGTGGAGGTGGAGGTGGAGGTAGGGGTGGAGGTGAGGGATGAGTGAAAAAGAGGAATGGGTTGAGGTGCTGTCGTTTGCTGATGAGGACAGAGAGGGAAAAGAAAGAAAGAAGGAAGGAAGAAAGAGAGAGGAGAGGGAGAGACGCATTAAAAACGAGAGGGCGGCCCACGACACGAAACCCTAACCCTCAGCAGCAGCCTGCTGATGCTCGCCCGTACCTGATTCACCGCCAGTGCCCATTCGCGCCCTTCACCCTCGCACTCCCAATCCCTCGCTCCTTCCCCAGTGCCAGACCCGAGGGAAGTGTGCTCCCCCATCCCCATCGACCCCTTCCCCTGTCGCTGCTGACAACGTTAAATTGCACCGCAATAGATTGATTTTATTTCATTCATCTCCATCCAATCAAACACAAATAGCATATAATATGGCGACAGAGACACAGAGAGAGAAAGAGAGTCCATCGCAGCTCAGTCAGGAGTAGCTGCTGTTTCACAAACAGGGGGGGAGGGACAGGAGGCCATTCACACATGTACAACTACATACAAATCCACATATCCACCCACCCACACACAAACTAGATTACTATAAGGTACATACAATACTCAATACAAACACACACATCGCACACATCGCACATACATCGCACAAAATACACCCATCGACATCCACTTCAACATCGATGGTCGGATGCCTGATTGGAAAGATTGCGCTTGGCGTTCCTGATGTGTGCCAGATCCGAACCCATCTCCGTCTTCTCTCTCTCTCTCTCTCTCTCTCTTCCCATCGATAACATCAACAATAACAATAACAATAACAAAGCGGGCTGACAGAGAGACTAAACGCGCGTGCGTGCGTGCGTGCGTGCGTGCATGTGTGTGTATGGGTACGGCGCATACCCGCATGTCCTGAACCTCCCCGGAGAAGATGAAGGTTGTGAAGGATATCAGGGAGACAATCGAAATGGTACTGCCACAGTTTGCCCGATTTCCCCCCCCCCCATTGTTACAGTGGAAGTAAAAGGGGCTGGCTCACTGGCTGGCGGGCTGGTTTGTCTATCGTGGAATATGCAATAAGCGAAAAGGGTCTGAGCGTGGCAGAGACTGGAACCCAGTTCAGTACAATAAAGTCCCCATGGACCCACCTCCTCTCTTCATCTTTTTCCTGAGGCCGGATTACGACATGGCAATCAACAACAACAACAACAGCAGCAGCAGTAGCAGTAGCAGCAGCGACAATAAAAAAGGAACGTAAAGAGGCGGTCTGCATTCCTCAGACATTCATCCACACGAATTATACAGCATGACGACAGAGGCAGTGCTATCTAACTAGCCTAGTAGTTCTACACGGACTACATGATCTTCGCTCTGATTACATGTACAGTAACTGCGTCCTATTTCTGGCATCAATACACGTCCATGCGCCCATCTGTGTCGGACCTTGTCCCCATGGCCTCCATGTTACCGGATGCTGCCAAGGCAACTTAAATAAAGAAGAGACATCCATGAAAAGGGCTCCCCTAGGCTCTGATGGCTGAGGATAGCCCCGATTTGAAGAGAACGACAGCTAGACAGGCCAAATGTGCTCAGAAGATATTTATTTTCGCCTTGCCCTCCCTGTTGGGCTTCCTGGAGGAAAAAGGAAAAAAGAGGAAGAAGTATGCCAAAAAAGACGTACATTCGACAGTACCATGCCACTGCATACAACTCCTTCTGTCCTTTCAGCTGGTTATCCAACGGGCGTATATCTTTTTTATTACATTTGTGGTTTAATATTGCTTCCACGATACCAAGTAGTACACCTATACGCTACCACAACTACTACCTGCAGCCGTCATCACAATTTACTTGTGAGTATTCCACTTCACGTTCATGCTTTCTATTTTTTTTTCTTTTTTTTTTTCTTTTCTCTTAGGAAACATTTATTTCGAACGAATAAATAAGGGAGAGAAATGAGCGTCGTCGATCATATGGATCCCATGCCCTCACGTATACGGGTTCCTTGGTGTCCAGGCGATAATTGTATATTTGATTGCGATTCTAAAAAGAATGGACTAGGGGTTACTCTGCGACATCAAAAAGGAGGGCCTCGTATCTGCTCATCAAGCTCAGGAACCCACTAGCTCAGGAACCGACGACCAGTTAATTTAACCCTTCAGCGAATCACATCGTAAGCGCTTGATGGACATGTCCTTAATTGCCATTAATGACAGAGCATGGCGGATGAAGTAAAGAAGAGCGCGGGCCTAATGTGGGACAACACGTGGTGTCCTCCGCTCCGGCGTTCGGGGGATGGAGGCGCCCTTATGGACCTTGCTCCTGTCCACATTTTGAAAAAGTACGGATGCACGCCTACGCCCATTCATGTACACCGGGCCCCCTCTTGTCGCAGGGTAGAACAGCAGGCTGCCTCGTCTTTGTTTACTCTGTGTCCACATTCGCGTCCGACGTCAGAGAAAGAGCGGCCGAAGAAGGCAACTGCAGTCCGTGAAATAACAAAAGCATGGGCCCTTCTGCATTCTCGGCCAGTGCACGCACCCTCATTAAAATGGAGCTTTATGGAGCATCGACTCACGGATTGTTTCCAACCATGCATTCGTGCGCGCATGCTAAGACAAAATATTTTTGAGAATAGAAGTACACCCATGTGGCACCTGTGGATCCCTTTATCAGGGAGTCTGTAACAGCCACGGTTCCTGTTCTCTATTTTATTTTCTCTACTGCCATTGCGCACCATGAGTTTTCTCCCTCTCTCTTTCTCTATTCTTTTTTTTTTTTTTTTTTTTTTTTATCTTCACGCGAGAGATCATATTCTAGTTCTACACAAACAAATGCCCGTACTATAGATCAGCTTCACTTTCCGTCTTGAGAAGATTGCCCGAAGATCCTTCATCATCAAAAGCCTAATCCTAAGTAAGGATTACTTCAGACCTCAACAAATTACCTATTACTTTTGTATATGTGTGTATGTTGTCCTGAACTCACTTTCGCTCCCTTCCTAGCACTGTAGCAAAGAATGGTCTTGTAGAGACCGTCTAACGGCAGAAATGGTGTCGTTGACAGGCACTACTTTTGAACTATATAATACCATTGTGTTCACTATAGTCGCTTGTCTACGGGATCTACTTACTTCCACATAAGCGCGAAGACCCCGACATTTCAATCTATTCCTCACAATGGACCCATACAAGACTTCTTATGCCCCTGTTTCTTTTCTTTTCTAAAACCCTTGAGGATTCAAGCGAAGTCCCAGTAATGCTTTCAAAGGTTCCTTCTGTTTCTTTGAGGTTCTTATTCTTGTTAAGCTTCTCTTCGTATCCTCTGCGGGATTAGGAAGAGCACGTCTCAGGTCTATTGTTGCTTCTTCGTCTTCCTTCGTGCTGTAGCCTCATTTTATCGTCATGGCCTAAAGGCATGAGAGAATACCTTTTTTTTATTCTTTTTTTTTGCCAGTATCGCGTTGATATCTTTAATCCGGTTAAATGTGCGAACGATTCATCATACCCTGGAGACTCCTTCTTTCACAGTCGTCAGAAAACAACACCAAAGCCAGCAACCATCGAAAATTAAAAGATCCTTTCCCCTTCTTTTTTTTTTTTTTTTTTGCCCGCGTTAGCTCGCATAACCACGCAGCGATTGGCTCGTTATTTTATTTTTCCTATTCCTATGCTTAAGCTTCCCAGTCTCAGGTAACTGACTGGGATGCCAGAACGATTTGCTACAAATCAAAAAATGTCGTTGTCCAGTCTAGGTCGTGCTCGCTCCATGTCTATGCCATACCTTTACAAAGACATGATTTTCTACTCTAGACCCAGTTCTTAAAAGTCCTCGCACGAGGAACAGGAAGAATCCTAAAAAAAAAAAAATGGAATTTTTGGTCTTGGGGAGAAACATAGAAACAAGAAATAACAAAATCTGTGGATTAGGGAAATATTTTACTCCTTGCGGCATCCCGCTCTACAGGTCCACCATGCCCCCACAGGTTCATCATACCTCCCTCGCCTTGCGAATTATGCGTTTTATACTGTACCAGTTTTTGCGTCATTTTGTGCAAATGGACCTCAACAGACCCCACCCACCCGTGAACTCTTATCTCTATATTACGCGCGGGACGGTATGACATCGACGACTGTGCTAAGCGTTAGTCCTTTAACATAGTCTACGGTCAAAAAAAAAAAGAAGAACAGGCGGACGGAACTGTATGCGGTGGCGCATATACAGCCAGACCAGAAGGAAAATGCATTTGCTACATTAGTACAACTACAGTAGATTGACACACATCGTGCATTTACGGAGCACCTCGGCAGAGGCACAGCATTTCGTCGTTTATTTCTGTAATTCATTCCTTCATTCTAAAAACTCGCGTGCTTAATGTGTGCATGATGCGCTTACGGCGCATGTGCATACATGGGGGATGCATACACGGAGGAATAGAAGGGAAGGGTAGGCAAATGATGAATGATATCGCTCACCAAAGTGTTGAAAAAAAAAAAAAAAAAAAAAAAGAAGGCCAGAGTCAACCTATTATCTCTTCCTGCCCATTCGAAATGAAGGCGTTTGATACGTGCACACAATTGGCCCTAGAATTTCTGTTGGAACGATATCTTACACTTGAAGCTGTACTTGCTTTGGACTACCCTTTTGTTGTCATCGGGCGTATTAACAGCACGTGATCAGAAACGGATGGAGTCCATCCAAAAAGAAGGCTGAGAAAAACGTGTGGAAGGGGAAATAAAGGACCACCAACAGTAAGAAACCATATACAGAAAGTTTGTGGTGTTTGGTTTGGGTCACTTCGGTTTTAGGCGTCCATCTACCGATCTGTCGGCTGCTCTTTTTATTATATCTTGTTTCATAGTCGTTCTTTTCTTTTTTTGGTTTAAGACAACGTATTAGACTATTTGCATAGTCCTGCAACTCTCTTTTGCTTTCTCCGGCAGCGACACCATGAAATCAGTGTGGAGGACGATCTATGCATATGAGAGCCGGTGCAGCCTATACACCTATACATTCCTACAATATCGTCGGCTACTGCTCCTTACCGAGAATAAAAAAAAGAATCCGAGCAGAGCAACGCTGGCAGATCGACTGAAACAAGATAGACATTGTTATGTGTTGTACAAACGCCTGAAGGAACGAGCCCCTGTAATATGAGACGACCAGGGGGGATGGATGGCCTAGGTTAGTTCAAGGACTATCCATCTTTGTGTTATTACAAACCCATGCGCCACAAAGCTGCTGCATAAGCAATTACCCATTTCCCTCTTTTCCTTTTTCATTCACCGAGAATAAAAAAGTAGTTTGTAAAGAGAGGTTACGTTGTATGGTGTATGTTTTTGTTGTGGTGGTTTCTACACGACATCATAGGTGGTCCGTGAGATCCTCCTCATACAGGGCGCTTAGTTTTATAAGCCTGTGAAAGCCAGAAGAATTACATCCGACGTTTCGTTGTCTCACCGATGAGGACCTCGTATTTGCTGCTTCAGATTCACAAGCCCAATTGGTGGTAAAACCTGGCTTCTATCCTCTCCTAATACACGCGATATTGCGATATCCTAGTTCCTACGAAAGCTGGTCTAGCAATAGAGTCCAGGCCCTCGCTAAATGAACAAATATCTTTATTTGAATATGAATTTTATTTGACGGCGTCTTTCATAATTGGTAATCCAACGGACTGAGGGAGAAAGAAGCCGAACTCTTCGAGACCTGTCGTGGTCAAACCTAGCTATGGTACATCATCATCACCATCACCATCACCATCGCCATCATAAGAGCCTAGAACCCAGCGAAGAACTGACCAGAAAGACAGAAAGAGTGTTTGTGTTGGGAAGGATCCCATCAAATAGGTCGGGGTCCTCTTTGACCCTTCTAGTCGGAGTACCTTGTTCAACCATGGCAATGTAGGCAACCAAGCTAGGCAGACTACAACGGACACGAACGTGTTTGATCCTTGGCTTTTTGCATGATGATCTACTTCTCCTCTCCCCCTTGTCCCTGACGAAGGGAAAAAGCTGTAATCCCGTCAGCGGCTAGGTCGCAGGAATCAGGACGCAGACACGATTCGCTCTCTGTGTACGTTCCGGCACTGTGTCACTTTATTTTTATTTTTTATGATCAACAACAGATCTCTTCCTGCAAGAAGAAAAGAGACCTCATTGGTAAACAAGGGCACACCGGCAGAGGCCTTGTCTGGTGCTGGATCTCATCCTGTTCGCGTTGATCCGCTTCAGCAACAACAAGAGGCCGTAAAGGTCTCTCTACCATGACTGGGATACTTATGACGAACGGCGGCTGGTAATGGATGAACTCTGATAACCCAAAGCCTTGCGCTTCAAAATTATTTTCAGCCAGCCACTCTCATTGGGTGCTTCCTCCATTCCCTCATGCAATTATGCGTGGTAGGACCCTGTGCAGAATAGGCAGTTCCCCACTTTTTTTTCTTTTGTGTCGTTCTGTTTATCCCAGTAATGACATGCACCACAAAGTAGTCTAGTGTTGCAGCACGGAAAGAAAGAGGAGGAGGGGGTACACCTTCTCCCACTCGTTGCTCTCATCCCTCTATATCTGCATGCAATTAGAGAAAGGCAAGTGAACAGAGGGGGTGTTGTCATTTACGCCCTCGAGCAAAACTCCTTCAGATAAACAAATGTCTATAAACGGGCATTCAATTAAACAGAAAGATGAGAGCAGAGATTTGAGCGATGGCCCAATCCCTTTCCTTCCTCACAAGAGGAAAAGAAGGAAAGGCTAATCGGCGAGCTCATATTTTGTAATTGACAATTGACAAGAAAAACCAAACAAACCCATCTCCATTTTTCGCCTACGGACGGATTTTCAATCCCGGGCTGACGGGTTGAAATCGGCCCACCAAATCGTCTGGGTAATTCCGGATGAGCGCGAAATAGCAACGGAATCAAAGGAACAAAAAGATCATGGGGCTATCCTTTGGGCCTAGAATACCGGGGTCGACTCTCAAGGCAGCGAAAACAAAAAGTGGGGAAAGGGCGTAAACGGCTCCATACATTGTCGTCCGTTCCGATTGGGGTCATTGGCTCCAGCAAGCCCCTCGAGTGATCGACAACTACGCCCAAAAGCAAACTCCGGATTACATCGTCGATCATACGATCCTCAAGCTTGACAAAGCGCATATGCATTCACATCGATCGGGAACCCCTTCTTGTTCGGTCTTTTTACCCCAGGTCCTATATGGCAAGAGGCCTTATTTGCTAAACTTCGCACGCTTCAATGCGTGTTTCTCTCGATCTAGACAAAACGTCCATATTGCTTTGAGATGCTGTCAAAAATATAAAAAAAATAAAAGAATTAATAATGCTGCATCTGTGCGCGTAGGTTGGAGTTAGATCCGTAGCATTTCGCCGATCCAATCTGTCCTACACTCTTACTTTTACCGTTTCTTGGTTCACATTTGCCACCACTGTTTCTCATTTGTAGATCATTTCAAGACGTCGTGGAAGCAAGGGTTCGAGACATTAAAAGGGCCCTAGGTCTCTGGCGTCATGAGGCAGCAATTGAGCCGCGTTTATCTTGTAGCTACGACAAAACCGTCTTGGAGTAATATACAGCATGCGGAACTACAATATGAATTGGTCAACGCGAAGATGTTCAATGTAGATTGACTTGGTCTTTCGAATTCGGTCATCATTAAATGTGTCTCTCTCTGTGCCACGTATGAAAACTGGGCGCATCTAGTACGCGTGCTTGAAGTCTTCATTTTTTTTTTGTACTCCTAATTGATAAACCCTTCATTCCTACAAGAATGTTAAAGGAAAGAGGAAAGCTGGGTTGGTTCGTTAGTTGCAGGGTGCAGGGCGTGTGGAGGGCATCAACCGCGATTATATGCCCTTTGCTCGCAGCTCGCATGGGTGCAGAACCAATCACATATATGCCTCAATTTTTACCTGCAGTTGAACAAAAGAATCGGGCCATGGTAGCCTTGAGTAAGGCGTAAACAAACATTCCCTGTGTGCAAGATCGGGGGAGGAGACAGGGCTGGATCGTGCTGTTCGATCCAACCTCAACGATTATTATTATTTTTTTTCAGCGAGGGGCGAAAGAAAGGTAGAGACTAGAAAAGAGGGATGTGACCAATGCGGTTGTCGCGTGGAGTGTAGTAACAAACATATCTTCCGATTTCGCTCACATATGGAGTGGCATCAATCGTTTTTTTTTATCGTTGACAACATAGCTTCATAACAATAGATCATGCATGAATGCTTTTTCCAAATGAGAAGCATTCGAGAGACGGTGCGAGTGAGATTTAGAGAAAGGGAGGTAAACCTCGGAGTAGCCCAGCCGATGTGTTGTCCGGCTCGCACTGGCCGAGAGTGTCGTCTCGTGTCAAAGGGAGGGCGAAGTCGATGATGCAGTATCTAGAAAACTAGTCATTTTGTTCACCCCGCACATACAGGATCATGGAGCCGGCAGCCAAGGCCGACGATCGATGGGTGGGTGCTGAGCACAGAAGCAATCTGAGCAAGGCGAGCAATTCGGGTTGTCAAATAAAGAGAGAGATGTTCATTAATGAATAGCTCTCATCCTGGGCAAATTGGCCAATTGGCCAATACGACAGGCTTCATTTTGACAGCCGAGTGAGACAAAGGCCCAGCTGGCACATGAACGCACTCATCTGGGCGGCAGGAAGACGCCGTTGCTTGTTCGGTCCTCAAGAGGAGGTCGGCCTTGCTCGGGAGAGGCGAACTAAGAAAAGAAAAGGTGGGGCATGGACCATGTGGGCAAGACCACATCTGGGCCTGGGTTTGCTTATAAAAAAGGGCACTCAGAGCAGGCCTGAAAAGGAAATCGACGTCCGAGAAGTGAAACGGCGTGTTTACATCCAAATCGTTAAATCCAATAAACATACTTTAATGTAATATACATTTTCATGCTATTCCTCTGCAGAACCTTCGAGCAGCAGATCAGGCGACCGTCGACGATGCCGTGCGCTTGCGCATATGGGAAGGCTAGCGGTTCCCAGCAGCAGCCGCGGCATGCAGTTGAGCGGAGATAGACGTGTTACTTACCATGGTCCTGTACCACGGATAGGCCACTACCGAGTTTCAGATTATACAACTCTCGACTAGAACCCAGCTGTAGGTCTCGTAGGCAATTGATAAAACAAACGCGTCTTGAAACGATACCACCTGGACATAAAACACCTCTTTCATATGCAGGCATGGTCCTGTTTTCTTCCGATTTCTTCCTATTCGTTGCTTAAAATGCAGCGGGTGTGGCCTGTGGTGGGTGTTTGCGAGTACAGTGGGCAACATCCACGACATTTACCAACGACCATGGTCAGCGCGCAAATGCACTGTGCAACCCTATATACCCACTTGTCCACTGTGCGCTGCAGCCAAACAATGCGTGCCCAAATTATATCCTTTATCTGCGCCTTTCGCTTAACTGGGCGTGCAGCCCTAGCCGATACAATTCATGATTGATCTGGCTCATGCATCCAGAAAGCCGTCTCTCGTGCCTGTGTGGGTTGGCGTTTTATTCGGCCAATTACATAGACTTGTATGCAACAGCAGAATCCATTATTCTTGACGGTATTTGCTGAGCAAATACAAAGTCCCATAGACTGAACCAATCCCTTGACCCATTTTCACTTAGCAAATCGGTCCAAGGAACAAAATGAGGGAATTCATTTCTGTTTGCACCTATTGGGTGAGCCCTTGAAGATGAAGGGAGGCAAACGGTGGCAAGCGCGTGAAAAGAGAATAGAGGGAGAAATAAAAAGACAGAAAGGCACAAATGAGTCCAATTAACCATGGCTTGACTACATGGTCGACCTCCAAGAAAGAGGATTCCATGATCAATAAATAAGTTGATTGTCAATGGGGCTGAACGTGAGAGGCTGGTTAGGATGTGCTATGTTACTCATCTATCTCCCTTATGGACTCGGGGCTATATGCCTGCCCTCTTGCGCCGTTCACAATTCACTATATTGCAAAAGGGCAGTAGCAATGTCGAGAGGGAGGAGGGACCGAGGTGTGCCCCCTAACCGACAATCGCTAATTGTCTTGGCGATTGTTCAATTACGAAAGGAAAGTGAACACGAAGAAAAGCTAGGAGTCTCAACAAGCTGTAGCTTGGACGCGTCTTCATAATTGGTGCGACAACAGTATTGCGGCGACATAGCAGAAGCAGTGGGTGAAAATGGAGGGAAAGCACAAGCTGCAGACAAACAATGGGAACCCTGATGCACCGGTGTTTGTCGACTACACCCATGCTTACAGTTACCGTTTCCTGGTTGCTCTTAAATATGTCTTAGGGCGTCCTCCTTTTTCTGCATGCATTTGGGTGCAAGGGCCAGTGTAAAAAGGCCGAAATCTCCCGCCATTTTTGCTGACACCATAGCACCATGTGGACGGCCCGCGGACTAGGGAGACGCTTGTAGGATGCGCATGGGATTCGACCCGCCACCCGCCATATTTCTCATTGATCATTCTGGGTTTGCAGCCCATCGGTGGCACGGTGCCTGTGTAATCCTCCGTAAATCGGTGCTCAACAGAGGGGCGACATTCAATCCCTTCGGTGATTGGATAATTCGGTCATTTTTCCCTTTAGGACGGAAGCATAAAAGCAAACAAATACTAGAAATACTAGGGGACCATATCACAATAGACACCGTTTTTACTAGAGCAGTACAAACAGGTCAGAATGGGGCTATTTGTTTTTATCTGGGGTAAAGAAATCACCAAAGTAGGGTGCTTGCCGCCTTGAATACCTCTTGATGATCGACGTGGGAAGACGATCGTCGACGAAGACTTTGCAATACCATAGACAAAGCAAGACAAAGCACGACACATCAATGATGAAGACCCCCTTATGGTGAAGCAGACGCGTTAAAAATAGCTGCAGCGAGCGAGGTTTGAGAGAGAAACGAGGACCCTGGCAAGACATTCTGGAAACGATGCGACGCGTATCCTTCTCCAAACAAGAGTGTTATGAGGCAACTGAAACGTTCTTTTTATGGTAGACAATGCGCCCTCAAAGCGTGGCATCAAAGTTGGATCGATATTCTATGCGTTTGACATCTGTCAGCATTCCAAACTCTACAGTCTGTATCTGCAACATGCATATATAGCAGTAAGACATAGGAGATGTAACGAGGGTGCATGGGTAGAGGAATGAGACAAGTAGGGGTCCTTGTGAAGGGATCGTGTCAAACGTTTCTAGGGCATCTACGCGTCAATGTTGATTGTCTGCTTTTATTTATGCTTCTGGACTATGGGCCCTGAATGCAAACCAGGGGAAGGGACTGCATGCGCACTGTAATAAGAACAGGAATAGACTGCTGAATGGGATCCATGGTCCCACATTGAGACGCAAACTACATGGGGAGACCGTTCGGAGAGACTCAGGCGGCACGGTCGCGAACTGCCCGTGTCAGGACAACGGATGCACGGCCTATGCTCGAGAAGAGGCAGGTGCGCAAGATCGAACGAAGTCAAGAGAGGAAAGAAGAGAAGCATGGGCCAGGGAATCCAAACAAAGTGAAATACTACGACACAAAGCGCACGACCGTGCGATGAAATTCTCGCCGAAAATCTTTGTCTCCCTGTCTCGCCTCCTGCCACTCCCTATTGTAGACTACTGCATCTCTCTTCTTTTTTCAATTGCAAGTGCTCTTTGGATGGAAGGATCCTCTACATGCTATGGTATCCTCTATGTCTTCTGCCGATGTTTGCAGTCACAATAGTCGTCTGGCTTCAATGCAAGAACTTTCCCTCCACCGATTGATTTTGCCAATTCTTTTATATTACCGGCCTATGGGGTGGGCGAGATTGAGGTAAAGGGAATAGTCTACCGATTTGTTGGTAGACATAGTGAGAGCAAACGTAGTGAGAGGGAGAGAGGGTGGGATGACATGACTTCCTGGTTATCGCCGCTGGGCATTGGTACAGCAGGTCTGCAGGTGATGGCCTGCTGCCTGCCCTTGCCCAAGCTCATTTTTTTTTTATCAATTACCCATCGGAACAACTATTTGGGACAGCGCATTTGCATGTTCAAGTAAATATTGTGCATATAGGGAACGGCCTCTGTAGTTGACCATATTCAAGTGAATTGACTGTTTAGCTCTTCAATTGAATGGCTCTTGGATACAATACGATTGAACTAACTATAGGCCATAGAGTACTTGCGTAGTTTATGTTATTCAGTTCAATTCAGTTGCGCGATAAGATACATATCGTTTATTTATTTTTCTTATAATGCCCGCCCATCGCTGGATTAAAATCCTCCTATTGACTCGGTATTGTTACCTGTGAGAGACAGCGAATAAGCAGGGCAAGTGTAGCAATCCTCCGTTTCTCAAACCGTATATATACACCTGGATCCTGGACGCACCTCTTACTTTCTTCTCGTTTCTCATCCTCTTCTTCACCTTCAAAGAACAAAGACAAAGTATTTCACTCTTCTTCAGCACCATCCTTCATACTCTCCGACACGAGACATATCTCCTTCGCCCTCACTCTTCGCTTGCACCTCCACCACTTCTCTCCTCTGGTTTCGCAATCGGTAAGCCAAGTCTTCTTTTCAACGTGGACGGTATCCCCTGGCAACCAGATCCACATCACACTTTATCTTGATTGCTGTGCTGTGCTGTGCTGCACACTGGATATGGGGCCTCTGGTGCTGACCGTTGACTTCTTCTTTGCATCTTAGGAAATCCACCTTCACCACTTCCATTTCACACTACCGATAAATTTTCACAGCAATGGACATGTCCGCAATCCAAAGTAAGCAAAGCAAAGGATCTTCATCGTCTCCCTTTTCCTCCACTGTCAACTCAAAGGAGCACATTTTGCTACGCCCGGTTTCGTGTTTCACGATCCTCAGCCACCATCGCCACCTTCTGATCGATGGTCTTTGTCATCCAGCCCTCTTTTTCTGAGCAACTGCCATTGACACCTCCTCTTTCTTGCTTCCTTCCACAGACTTTGAACCAAGAAAGTTCGCACCTATGCCAGTACCACAACCCCAGATTCAGCAACAGCACATCGCCAACTTCAAGGCTCAGTCTCTCCAAATGCAAGCACCTCGCATCCTCGAGTACAACCCACAGTTTGGATCTGAAGGCCAGAACTTCACGGTCACTCTCCAAGCCAGTGCAGACAGACAGCTCCGCGTCGGCTTCGGCACCTTGGTTGTTGATACAAAACAATACGCTGCCAATGGCTATGTGACTCTCAGCTGCGCCGTCCCCAACTTTGCCATTACCAAGTGGTTCTCGAGCAAGGTCCCACTCTATGTTCTTCAGATGGAAAACGACATGGTTCTCGAGAGCTGGCCCTTTGGCGACTTTGCTTACTACGATGGTACGTGCGCACCACAACTTTCTTGGCTTTCTTTCCCCCCTTCATCCACAACATTGACTGACATCCAAGCCTTTCTTTAATAACGAACAGATGCCCAGTCCAACAACGGTACCAAGCGTGCCAGCATCGACAAGGTGATGTACACTAGCCAGGGCCCCATCTCCAACAAGAAGCAGCATATCATCACGGATCTCGATATCTCCCAGGCCTCGTCTTTGGTCGCCGCCACGCCTGCTCCTCTCAGCACCATCCCTCGTCGTAAGTGTTCTTGGCATTCGCAGGAAAATCTAATTTCCTTGGCTTGGTTCTCTGTGTTTGGTACTAATTTATATAATTCGAACTCCTTTAATAGAGGACAGCTACTCCACTGCCATCAGCGCATCTGTTGCCGCATATGACAATGCCAGCCTCTACGCGCAGGCTCAGCAGACGACCTCTCCCTACGCTGCACGCCCTGCCATGACTCCTGCTTCCTACGCCCGAACTGGATATTACAACGCCAGTATGTATTCTCTTGCCTTTCAACTTTACGCCATGAACTCCCGATGACATACAAGAATCATCAAATGCTTAACATCATCATTTTTACACTTGCCAATTAGGCCAAATGGTTGCACCCCACATGCCTTCGTACTCGCAGGCCGACCTCACTGCTACGACCTATGCCATAACCTCGGCCATCCAGAGCAATCCCACTCAGGCCATGACAGCTTCGTACATGTCTCAGCCCCCCAGCCTTCCTATTGGTAACTACAGCCCTTATTCCAACATGATGAACAAGGCCAACCTCAAGTTCACCGGAAACATGGACGATATGGCTATCAACTGGAGCGGAGAGGAATGGGAGGCCCACCGTCGCCTGGTCCAGTTTTGGAGACGTCAGGACGGCAATGACATTCACTGCAGCTTCGCCCCTGTTTCGCCTGCTGAACGTCAGCCCAACAGTATCGTTGTTTCCTGCATCTACTGGGCCGAGCGTAACGACTGCTTCTTGACCTCGGTTGACTGCATCTATTTGCTCGAGTCCTTGATCGCCGTCCGCTTCACAGTCGAGGAGAAAAATCGCATCCGCCGCAACCTTGAGGGATTCCGCCCCATCACTGTCTCAAAATGCAAGCCCGAGAGCGCCGAGTTCTTCAAGCTGATCATGTCCTTCCCCAACCCCAAGCCAAGAAACATTGAGAAAGATGTCAAGGTCTTCCCCTGGAAGGTCCTGTCCTATGCTCTCAAGAAAATCATCAGCAAATACACTGCCTCGTACAGCAGTACAGCCAGCATCCAGGCCGAGACTTTCCACAATGCCAACTTCCCCCACGGCTCGACCTTGCCCTTGACGGCACAACAGCAGTCCATCCTCGAGTCCAGCATCATTGCATAATTCGCATAAGTTGTATTTGCATTTGGTATTGTTTTTTTCTTCCTTGCATCTTGGATATACTATGTAGTTCATGTCGTTTGCTTGTCATCTTTTCCTTGTACCTTATAGTCTAGTTTTCATCCTTGTATATTCATTTGCTGTTTACCATGTTACATTAAGAACCGGCGGCAGATTCGTGTGCTCTGCCTCCAATGCACATAATAAAATATAAAATCAAAAATAATCTAACATAACACAAGTCGAGCCTGCTCTTTGAAAATGAGCTCTTGATACTCCAGATAATAATGTGCAGTAAGGCTCCTGGTAAAGTTTTTCCACGTTTTGTAATTCATTGACCGCCTCCTCAGAAAACGTCGTCATCGTGCTATTTATCTTTCCTCAAGGTGATAAAATACGCCGATCATCAGTGGACACAGCTCTGGACCCTCCTTTCTTCTGCGGGAAATCGGAGTCCAGCAAAGTTCATCTTTTCATAGTCTATTGGTCCGCGATGATCATAATTTAGTCCGCTTTCTCTCCTTACGTTCGTCATAACAGTGCAATTGAACCACCAAGCTTATTCCATCACCAAACTACTGACACAAAAGGCAGACCAGACCGCCGAATAGCTTGCCATCGCCACGATAGGAGAACAAGCAAATAAAGACGCGTGAAATGCTATGGCGATCTTTCCTTGTGTTCAGCTGCGCAAAAAAATTGTGAGCGGCGAGGGCTCTTTCAGACTGTCATACGTTTCTGGAGGCCGTAAATAACGTTCAAGCAAACCTGGATACTTGCTATGTCATGACATGAATTCCGTTTTAACGAGGAACCCCAGTTCCTGAATGCATATGTACAGGACGTAGATACAAAACTATTCGAGAAGTCATGGGCTTATTCTTCCAAAGCTGTGTAGTGCAAACATCAGTGTTCTACATGGAAAACGAAGTGATTGGAGATCCATGTTCTAATACTAATTACGCCAAATACGTCTTCTATTCATAGTCCATGCAGCCCAGCTGTGCACATATGTCGTACTCGTGAACTAAGGCTGGATACTGAACTCCCGTGTATAGTCCTTGCTCGCACCGCAGTGCTGTTGTCATTGTCACATGATACGTCGCCTTGGCTAGCGGCACCGGACCACGATCGGGCTGAACGCAGTCCTGCACGTCGCGGGGGGGGACTTGACCTTGTGTTGCCCATCATCTGATTACCTCGCTCCCTTTCATCTCTCTTCTGTCATCTCGCGCTCCTCATTCCTTCTTGATCGCATTACAGGGTAGCACCAAGACAGCGATCAGATCAGTTCACCATGGATAACCCAGTGCTTTTCGCCATCAACTCGACCTTCGCAACGGTAGCACGCGGCCTCCAGGCCGTGCCTGGGTCCGGAATCGCCATCAACTATATCAAGGACTCATACCAGAACGATCCCTTCAGAGTCGTGCTTGAGCTCGGTCTGGCTATCTATGCCATTAAGTACATGCTTTCGAAAAAATATCGCATTGATCAGAACGACGTTCAGCTCACAGAAAAGGTGCTTTTTGACACCCTGCCTTTCTTTGTTGCATGTTATCCCATCCATCCGGAGCAATATCCTCATGTATCCAATGCGGCATGTTTATCGTATTGCCCTCTATCCTGTCACGTAGGAAATTGATGAGCTCATTACGGAATGGCAGCCCGAACCATTGGTTCAGACATTGTCTGATATTCAACGCATGGAGCTGGAAAAGACTCAAGTCATTGTCGGGTATCAACTTTTTCCTTCCATGCAAATTGGACACCTGTAATCTCACCGCAGCAACCGCAGATCATGCTGATTAACCCAGTCCTCTTTCATTTGTCACGCTTTTTTTTTTTCTTTCTTTACAACAGAGCCCAGGGTCCGAAACCAAAGGTGCTGTCGTCTGGAAAGAATCTGCTGAACCTCGCCAGTGCAAATTACTTAGGATACACCACAAATGAAGACATCAAGGTACGTGTAGTTACGATTTATTTGTTTTGGAGTACATCTTTTGAAACATACTAACAAGTGTGTTGATTTTTTTTTTTTTTAGGAGAAAGCTATCGAAACTCTGCACAAGTATGGGGTCGGATCCTGTGGACCTCCTGGATTCTATGGAACCCTTGGTAAGGGCCACGGTCTGCAGGATCATGTCTCTAGGTCTGGTTACTCATATAGATGCAATTATCAGAATTAGATTTAACAGTTCACTAACATTCGCGCTTTTCTTTGGTCTTACTGCCGCCGCTGGACATTTAGATGTTCATATTGACTTGGAAAAAGATATCGCGCGGTTTTTGGGAACAGAGTCGTCCATTATTTACGCTCAGGGATTCTCAACAATTTCTTCAGTCATTGCTGCCTTTTCAAAGCGCGGCGATATCATTGTAGCGTATGTCGCACGTTCGCTGTCATTTGGATGTTGTGCAACTCCTTTCGCTTTGGAACATGCTCTATCAGTCATCAATTACTTATCAGCTTTGATTGTCCGTGGATACTTTGGATAGAGATGATGGCTGTAATTTTGCTATTTTGAAGGGTACCCAAATTTCACGATCAGTAATCAAATGGTTCAAACACAACGACATGGCAGATCTGGAGCGTGTATTGGAGTCGATTCACTTCGAGACACTTACAGTAAGAGTTAATTCCGATGGCCTTGCCCTACAATCCTAGCGATATTTAATTCGCACCTGGCAGTTATTGACATAGCACGCTTTTTCGCTTTCGAAACTTTAGCACAAAAAGCGGCCATTGACCCGTCGATTTATTGTCACAGAAGGACTGTTCCAAAACTATGGCGATATCGCACCGCTAGACAAGATCATGGAGCTAAAACACAAATACAAATACCGTGTGATCCTGGATGAATCCAGCTCATTTGGTGTGCTAGGCAAGACAGGACGTGGTTTGACAGAGGTTTTCGACATTTCGCCAAAGAACGTTGACATGATTGTGGGGTCAATGGCTAATACCCTTGCGGCCGCAGGAGGATTCTGTGCTGGTCCCAAGGAGGTTATCGATCATCAACGTCTCTCTGGCCAGGCTTTTGTCTTTTCTGCCTCGATCCCTGCAATGCTCACAGTCTGCGCATCGGAGGCGATCAAGATTTTGGGCACCCCGCAAGGTGTCAAGCTATTGAAGGAGTTGCAGGATAACTCAGCAACCTTTAGAAACATCATGCTGGGTGCGCCACAGTGGATCGAACTGAGTTCGGCTGCGGGATCGCCCATCTTACATTTGCGTTTTCCACAGGCGGCTCTGGCTGCCACTGGTGTGTCGACCAGAGACGACGAAAAGCTGCTTCTCCAAGAAATTGTGGACGAGGTATGCCATCAGCTGATCATGCGCTTAAAGAACGAGATTCAAAGGGATGCTGTGTTCTATTTCCACAATCTCCAACTAACATGCATCGATATTTAATGTTAAACAGGTGGCGATCAAAGACAGCATATTGATTACAAGGGCCAAGTATGTGGAACATCAGGAGTTACATTTGCCTCGACCCTCAATCCGCATCTCCATCTGTGCGACACATACCAAAAAGGAGGTCGAGAAGGCCGCACAGGCTATTAAGACAGCTTTCGGAAAAGCGCTTAGCCGTCGCAAGTGAAATGAGGTCCGAAGCCTTCTACGGTTGTTTGGAATCGTATGATTCATTTCCATATCATTATCGTTTGATTCACTCTCTTACAACGTCCGGTAGCATGGCTTCGACAAGATCTCTTCGTATTTATTGACTAATGTTTATATGCAGAGGCGTGTATCGCGCGAGACAGCATACAGATTTGAATGCTCGAAATGGGGTTTCAACGCACGGCCTGTCTGGACGAGAGCCCAAGTTACGTGCATTATCACACAAATAAAACAAGTCAGCGCTGTTAATTGCCTTGACGCACAGGCATCTTTGTCTCGGGTAGAGCATTACGCATGCTATCGTTTCTCTTCGCTGTGACCTCAATGATCGAAAGGCTATTCAGCTGCTTGATATTAGATGAATCGGATGGTTTCAGGAACGCGCCCCGTGCACGCGTGCATTCTTGTCTTTTGCCACCAAATCTCAAATATTGACAGTCCCAAATCTGTGCTTTGGTTGGCTGTAAACAATCGAGTAATCACCTCTTCCGTCCTTCTTCCCAACCCATTCGCAATCCGAATCATGTTTCGACCAGGGCTACTTTTTACATCCTACAGCAGCGCGAGAAATGTTGCGTCAAAATCAGCCCCCTCCATCACTTCTAGTCGCCATGGACCGAGCACACCGCTTCGTTTCTATTCGCAGCCTCCTGGGAAAACGACCTTCAACAGATCTCGGACTGGACAAACGAGTGCTCGGGCACCACGTTCTTCATCTACCTCTAATGTGATTACTTTCCTTACCGCATCATCTATCGGCGTCGGAGCGTACATGTATCAATGGAACAAGGATCGCCAGGGCAGCATCTTTAGTTCCATCAGCGCTCCGGAGGGTCTTACAACGGAAAATTGGACTCCGATACTATTGAAAAACATCACCAAGATCTCGGAAAGCACCTCTTTGTTTGAGTTCGAGCTGCCTAAGCCATGCGTCATTCCTCTCAGTTCTGCAGTTTATGTCAAGGATGACCTGATCCAGGCTATGCGTGCATACACGCCTGTGCATTCAACTGAAACAGAGCAGAATACGTTACAGTTGCTGATTAAACGGTATGGCGAGGGCCAGGTGTCAAGGTTCATGCACTCTGCAAGACCAGGACAAAAGATAGAGATGCGGGGACCAATACTTGTCTGGCCAGCGAGTCGACCTGATCTCGAAAAGTGGGACGAAATTGGCATGGTAAGCACGATATTGACAGGAAGCCATATCATGTTTTGGTCAGGAGAATGTTACAGCCCCTAACCTGTTCAACGGTATATAACTATATCTGTAGATTGCTGGAGGAACTGGTATTACTGCCATGATACCTATCATTCAGTCTGTGCTAGCTAATCCGGACAAGAAAATCAAAATCTCCCTCTTGTTTGCAGCACAGTCGTCAGAAGAGCTCTATTTTAAGGATGAATTAGATCAAATGGCAGAGGCTTCTCAGAACCAGCTTCGCGTTGTCTACACTATCGACAAAACCCCAGTAGGATCTTCCTCTGAGCAAGAGTGGAAAGGACACGTTGGATATGTGAACGAGGACATGCTGAAGGGACTGTTGCCGCCACCAAAATCAATCGCAGAGGGAGCATTGTTAACAGGTGAAATGAAGGACGATACAGAGAAAGGTGCCAAAAATTCGATTGTATTGGTCTGCGGACCAGAGAGTATGGTGAAGCATGTGGCAGGCACTAGGGGTACGAGTGGGCAGGAGCCTATTCGTGGTATTTTGGGAGCTATGGGCTACACGAAGGACCAAGTCTTCCGCTTTCCAAACTAAAATTCAAGAATTACCTAGAAAATAAATAATTGGTAGGAACATATGTGCACATTCAGTGGATGTCCGTCATTTAGGGTCCCTATTTGTCGCGGTTGCGTTCAAGGCACCCTGCCTGGCACCAGACGGTGTTGTGATTGGCTATACCAGCAATGAAAATAGACAGTCACGCAGTAAACAATTGTCTATACAAGGGCGCTCACAGATACATGGCTCCTTCTACTTCACTTCACAAACCTCAAGATATTTCGCTATGCTCTACAGGAAGCGCGTGCCCGAGTTTCAAGCCATCGTTATGGCAGGCTATGGAAATGGGTATGCAGACGTGGAAAAACGACCGACTCGCAAGTGCGGTATGATGGCGAAGTTCATGTAGGCGTTTGAGTTCTACTGACGGCGAAAGCACGAAACGCGACTAGGTTATACCCTTTGACAGAAGAAAACAACATGCCCAAGGCCCTCCTTCCAGTTGTCAATCAGCCCATGATCTCATATCAGCTTGCTTGGCTGGAAGACTCGGGAGTTTCAGGTGAGGAACTGTTGCCGTATCGTTGTATGCGTCGTCGTCCTTTATACTATTGTTACCCTTCGAAGATACGCCAGGGCTCATGTTATCTCTCGCTATAGATGTTATTGTGGTCAGTTTGACTTCGGGATCAAAGAACCTGGGACATTATCTTGACAGAGTCTATGAGGGGCAATTGCACATCACCCTGGAGGTAGTCGATGACAATACTGGAACTGCGGACGCATTAACCCTGATTAAGGATAAGATCAAGGTACAGCATGCCTGGACAGCTAAAGGACTTGGATCGCCGCAGTTCTTTTAGTTGCGATTGAATTCTTACGCCTGATATTATTTAATTACTGCAATGGGTATATCCAACAGACGGATTTCATTGTCATTAGCTGCGATTTGTTGACGGCGCTTATACCCCACCAGTTCCTGGATATGCACCGCTCAGAAGATCCGTCAGTGACAGCCCTTTTCTTTGAGCCTAACAAGAGCGAAGGTGGACCCTCTGGATCAAGCAAGGTCAAGGGTATGGACATAGCTGGCAATACCAAGCAGTGCAAAGCTGTAGTTTATGACTCATTTATACTCATTTCAATATTTTGCTTCATTTACAACAACTCAACCACTTGATACATGCATATCGCTCAACATTCAACATTGCAACATATCATACGTACTATATACTGGATCTGCATTGCCTTGCACTGTCTTTTGCACTATCTTCGGTGGGATGCATACCAGAGGTGACACAGTATGTTGGGATTGATGCCAGCAACTCGCAACTTGTCTACCTGAACAACTCGGACGATATGGATTCGGATGAGTTTTCATTAAGAATCTCGCTCCTGGACAAGCATCCTGTGACAAACATTAGCCGACTCTTGCAGGATGCGCACCTGTACGTCTTCAAGCGCTGGGTCATTGATCTGATCTCGGAGGTGTCCGCCAAGAGAACCATGGCTAGTATCAAGGAGCATGTTTTACCATTGTTAGTCAAGTCTCAGCACCAGCGTACCCTTGCTGATCGGGAAGGCGTTACCAAAGGTGGGAAACCCGGAAATATTAAACGGGACAGGAAGAAGTACCTAATGATCGACTGATTCTGTTTAATTTCTTTTTTTGCATAGCTGTCGAGGCAGCTATGGCAGCTAATCCAAGCACTCAAAAGTTGGCCTTGGGCCTTTCCACGACTCAGCCCCCAGAAAGTGATGATGTCGAGGATGGAGAATGGAAGAGCCCAGTCACCTGCAAGGCCTTTGTCCTGCCCAAGGAGATCTACTGTGGACGCGCCAACACCATCCCCAACTATTTTGAGGTCAATCGCCACGTAAGTGTTTCCTCATCGTGTTGATCCGTAGCTGGAACTTCATGAACACTAAACTCTGCGACGACGCTAATACATGTCTATGATCTTGTAGTACACAAAGGTTACAGACAAGGTCAGGAATCCAGGAGCAACGAACCAGGTGCAAACCCAGGTTGGTGCGGATTCGCTGATAGGAGATGACACCAAGATTGGCGATCGATCGTCGGTCAAGAAGTCGACCATTGGATCCCATATCACGATCGGAAAAAATGTCAAGATTGTCAACTCGATTATCATGGACCATGCGATCATTGAGGATAACGTCAAGATCGAAGGCTGCATTATCTGCTCGAGTAGTAAAGTGTGTGAAAAGTCGACACTCAAGGACTGCGAGGTTGGCGGCGGCTTCAGGGTGGAGAAGGATACGACAGCAAGGAACGAGCAGCTCGTTGACTTCCAGGAGCAGTAAAAATGAGGAGACTTCGATTCTAAAAGAGGATGTACTATGCCAATAAATACGCGTTGCGGTGCTTTTGTTTACCGACTTGACACGCGACGTTTGGTGGCAACGATTCAAACGCCTTTCTTTCATTTTTGCTCTTTCCGTCTTACTTCATCCTCATTGGGCAAAGCAAGGATCGATTCGACAACTCCATGCCTCTGGAAAAGACGCATCCGGAATACAGCAACTCACTCGATTATACTCACCACCAGCGCGAACGACCATCCTCACCACGTACACTCTTTCGTGTCCAGGCCTCATCACCCTTGCGGCGATACATGGCCCTCCTAAGCAAAGACAAAGGCGATGGTGCGCCAACGATCGTTCGTCTAGAAGATTCAGAATCATCGGTCGCGGCTACTCCGCAGGAGGTGGCGTCTTCACAAGGCTCGGTGGCCGATTCAAACGCAGCATTGAAATGCGACTCTACAGATCAGGAGCAGGGGTATAGCAGAGAGAATGCTCCTTCAGTTGCAGTGACAGAGGTAGCAAGGTCGCAAGAGTTCTCCCGTGGATTTCAGCCATTCCTCTTGAAAGCGCACGCTATCTCAGATTCGTGTATGGTGCTAAGAAAACGTGCTATGAGACGGAGGCGCTACAAAAGGCTCGTATCTAATTTTTCTTTCATCTCTCGCACTTGACAGTGGGCGAGGAGTCTCACGAGCGCAATGTCAAGGAAGTATCTCCATTTCCGGACAAGCATATGATTGCAAGTCGGGATGGCCCTGCACCAGAGACACTGGGAACACCAGAGAGATCATTACCCTCCCCAACCATCAAGCCAGCATATCCGTCATCTTCGGCAATCAAGAACGAAATCGTGGTTATCGATCTCGATAATGATGAGGACGGCCTCGACGACAAAGGAGGACGCGATTCTCAAATTGACGATTTTGACGATTTTGACGATTTTGACGACTTTGACGACTTTGAGTATTTCGAGGACGAGCCAAGCGTGAAAAATGTACTTGGAAAACGCAAAGCTGACCTCGAAATAGATGGCGCAGGTAGCGATGTCGAGGATAGCAGAGCAAAGGCTAGGACAAAGGTTACATATGTTCCGAGTGTTATTGCACTTGAAGCTGGATCACGGTATTGTCCTGTAGAGCTGGACAGCGATTCGGACGGCAACGAACCTCAACACCAGGAACTTCAAGAGCCAGCCATAAGCCGTGCGAGTATGGGCGCCGATTCGACTGTAACCACAACTGGTGCGACGGCCCACGAGCCGATCGTGATATCGACCGAGATTCTATCAACTGACGATGATCTAGAGGGCGATCTAGGGGGCGACCTAGAAATACCTTTAGACTCACTCTCTTCGAAAGTATCAGAAATTAGCAAAGTCAGTCAGAGCTTTGGAACTGAGTCATTCGCGTCCCGGAGAAGCTCGGTCAGCACTGCAGGTACTTTACAGGACCAGCTCAGGGCATACCAGATGATTCAAAGGGAGAGGTACGAACGGGAAAAGGCAGAAAGCAATGTAGTTGATGCAATTGTCGTTCGGCCTTCAGGCCCTGCTGTTGATAGCAAACCAAAGTCAACTATCAGTCGTGCGCAAATCATCGTCCCTTCATTTTATGATACAGCCCCCCTTTCCCCAACTTCCTTAACATCACAATCGACACAGGAGTTGCAAGATGCAGGCTCAGGGTCGCGGCAGGATGGAGCAACCGATTCATCAGTGCCTTTGAGGCTCCTCTTCGACGACAGTTGGATTCGCAGCAGTGGGACCAGCATTGAAGACAGTAATACAAGCAGCGCTACGAGTAGCACGAAGAGCACGTCAAACAAGACCAAAGATGGATTTGTGTTGTCGGATGATCAGCTCTTTGTACTCGATCAAGTGGTCAACCACAGAAAAAACGTCTTCTTCACGGGATCGGCCGGAACAGGGAAGTCCGTTCTGCTACGAGAATTGATTGTTCGACTGAAGGCCAAGCACAGTCGATGGGAATATTCAGAGGATTGGGATTCGATGGCAGCAGGCAAGGTTGCGGTGACGGCATCGACAGGAATTGCAGCTTGCAACATTGGAGGATGCACACTTCATTCGTTCGCGGGCGTCGGACTTGGTCAAGATGATTTTCCAAAACTCGTAGCCAAGGTCAGGAATAATCGGCAGACTGTTCGCCGGTGGAAACAGACTGCGGTGCTGATTGTCGACGAAGTGTCGATGATTGACGCGGTGTTGCTGGACAAGCTGGAGAATCTGGCAAGATACATTCGGGACGACATCAAACCTTGGGGAGGTATTCAGGTGGTGCTGTGCGGCGATTTTTTCCAGCTTCCACCGGTCGACAAGACAGGCAAGGCCAAGTTCTGTTTCGAAGCAGAGTCCTGGACGAAATCGATCCATGCGACTATTCAGCTGCAGCGGATCTTTCGACAGAAAGATACTTGTGAGCATTGACCGACTTGTCTATTCAGGACCTTAATGGACCGTTTCTTTCTTCCCCTCCTAAACGTGCAAGTTGATGTTTTTCACTACGCGCAATAATAGCATTTGCCGACATGCTGAATCAGATGCGGATCGGCAGGATGTCCAGTGCCACGATCAACACTTTTAAGAGCCTGAGTCGTGCTATCCGAGATGACGATGGCATCAAACCCACAGAGCTGTAAGTGCAGCGTATTGTGCCGCCACTTTATTGCCAATGGTCAAGTGCTAACCAGTCTTATTACCCATGTGTATGTGACATAGGTTTCCTCTCCGGAAGCAGGTTGATGACGCAAACTCGACCATGCTGCGCAAACTCACTGGGATGTCGTTGTTTTTCGATGCTCAGGACAGAGGAAAGCTAAAAGACAAAATGGAACAGCATTGCATCGCACCGACAAAACTCGAGATCAAGGTCAACGCTCAGGTGATGCTTCTCAGGAATCAAAGTGGAGGATCTGGAGGCCTTGTCAACGGCAGTATCGGAACAGTCATCGCGTTCGTGAACGAGCCGGCTCACAATTTCCGTGTAGGACCGAAGGGCGAAGCACTACCATCGCTCAACAGGCCAGGGGAGTTGCTACCGAAGGTCCGATTCGTGAGCGAGTGGGGTGGCACGCGTGAGATGGTTGTGGGCAGAGAGGAGTGGACGCTGGAGATGCCTGACGGCGAATTCTTAGGAGGACGAGTCCAGATCCCACTTTGCCTGGCATGGGCACTCAGTATCCACAAGAGTCAGGGGCAGACGCTTCCGAAGGTGCGGGTGGATCTGGGTAGGGTGTTTGAGAAGGGTCAGGCCTATGTGGCAATCTCTCGGGCGACGACGCTGGATGGACTGCAAGTGCTGAACTTCGATCCGCGCAAGGTGATGGTGCACCCCAAAGTGGTCGAGTTTTACGACACGGTTGAACGAGAGAAGACACAGACATAAAGAAAGGGTGTCACGTGTATGTACTATTATTTTGACAACAGGCACCGCAATCCTAAGATTCTCCTTCCATACTTCCTTTCCTCCTTTTTTTTTTATACCTTGAAGCCGCGTTTCCTCGCAACTACTTCGTCTATTCCTAAGCTTCTCCACTTTTTACCCGTCTCGTTATTTCTTTACTCATTCCTTTCCCTCATAATATTTGTCCCGTCTTCACAGTCCACCTTTTCACGCAACAATGACAAAGTCAAAGTCGCCCAAGCGGTCGTCACCGCCCTCGAGCAACAGCAACAGCAACAGCAACGGCCAGCATACAGCCACGCCTACAAGTCCAGGGGGGGCTGGAATATCCTCAGATACTGCTACCGCTACTGCGACAACCGCGGAAAAAGGGGTGTCAAACGGTCACGGACATCACCATCACCATAGTGCTGGATCCGGACCAGCCCTGGCATCGAAAGAGGTAAGCAGCAACTTTCAGTACTTGTGCATTGGAAGTCAAGTGTTGCTCACTAGGGGGGGGGGGGGGGGGGGGGGAAAAGAAGGGTCACTGCATGGAGAATGGAGAATGGAGAATGGAGAATGCAGAATGAGAATTAGTTGAAATGGGGTGAACTTTTTGGACAGTTTGACCTCCTCCAGGAACGGACACAGCCGTCGCTTTTGCCAATCTTGCATACATCAGTTCAGCGCTCATACAGCAACCGACCAGCCCATAGCAGACCGGCTCAAGGTCAGATTTATGGACACAATGCTATCAGGAAAGGATGCAGGAAAGGCCGGTGCGTACCAATGAAGCTATCATCTGTCCATCACTTCTCGCAGAGGTATCAGAAGCGACCTAGAATGCAAAAAAGGCCATGTGTTGACTTCGCACAGGCTTATGGCATACATCTGCAAAGCATCAGAGCGATGATTAAACAGGAGCAATGTCGTCACATAGTCTGTGCATCTCAGGATTTTTTTAAGGTGCGCTGTCATAATGATGATGACAAGGGCGACACGCTGGCAGGTTATCGTTCGAGATATGAGCGCGAATACAGGGCGATTGGGAAAAAGTCTAAGGCAAGAGCAAAGAGAGTCCACTTGCAACGGGGGCTGAAGACAGTGCTTAGCCCATTCAAAAACATACAGCACGGAAACAAAGACAACATCAGAGCACTTAATGATTTTTTATCGTTCTTATTAGGCGGTCGTATTGTTGGCAGATCAGTCTGCGCAGACTAAGTGGGCTAACTGGTCGGTCCGCACGCTTTGGACGTTGATCATGATCGGGGGTTTTTTTGCCTGTGTCGCTGCCGGTCCATTATTTGTAATTCTGCTGGTGGTCATGGTTCAGGCACTCGTCTACAAGGAGGTCATTTATCTCGCCGCTGTCCCAAGCCGAGAGAAGAAGCTGCCATGGTTCCGGGCAATGAACTGGTACGTCTCTGGAAAATCCTATCTAGCGCAATGTTCAGTGCATAGCCTCATTTAAATATTGACCTCAATGTCATCTCATGTTTACATTTGTTCCAATAGGTACTTTCTGTTCAGCACCAACTACTTCTTTTATGGCGAGAGTTTGATTCACTACTTCCAGCATGTGGTGTTTGTCGACGCGTTCCTGTTGCCGTTTGCGACACACCATCGCTTCATCTCGTTCACCCTCTACGTCATCGGTAAGGAGCCTTGCAATTTTAACGGACATTTGCGAGACGCATTTGGATGTGTATATGGACTAACGTCTCTCAACCGTCTGAAATAGGCTTCGTATTCTTTGTTGCCAACTTGAAGAAGGGTCACTACCGCTTCCAGTTCTCGCAGTTCGCATGGACCCACATGACGCTGTTGTTGGTCGTCTGCCAGAGTCACTTCATTATCAACAACATCTTTGAGGGACTGATTTGGTTCTTTTTGCCCGTGTCCCTGGTCATCACGAACGACATCTTTGCATACATCTTTGGATTCTTCTGGGGCAAGACGCCCCTGATCAAGCTGTCGCCCAAGAAGACTGTCGAGGGATTCGTTGGCGGATGGGTCATGACCATTGTCTTTGGTATCATGGTATGTGAACGAGGAGGCTATTTCCATGGATGGGTCAGATATCAGCTGCGGTGTCTATACTACATGCTAACGAGTATTATTGTTGTTTTTCTCTGTCTTTTCCTAGTTCGCGACGTTGTTCCTGAGATATCCGTACATGATCTGCCCTGTCAAGGACTTGCGTGCGACTGCGTTCAGTGGCTTGACATGTGAACCCAACCCAGTTTTTGTCCCCGTCAAGTACTACCTCAAGCCCTGGATGGTAGCGCTTGTTCGCCATGTGGGGATGCGCAACCACTATGTGATGATTGCACCCCTGCAGCTCCACACCATTGTCATGGCTTGCTTTGCGTCGTTGATCGCACCCTTTGGGGGATTCTTCGCGTCCGGGTTCAAGCGTGCGTTTAAGATCAAGGACTTCGGACAGTCGATCCCTGGTCATGGAGGCATCACGGACAGGATGGACTGTCAGTTCTTGATGGGCTTGTTCTCGTACATGTACTACCAGAGCTTTATCAAGACTTCGGCTGTCACTGTCGGCTTTGTTCTTCAGAATGCGATCAAGCTGAAGGGACAGGAACAGATGGAGCTATTTGATCACTTGAGACAGTATCTTATCGGACAAGGATTGTTGGATGAGGACAGCTGTGTCATTATGCCACCAAAGGAGGCATGGGTCACAGTCTCATAATCAAAGCGGGAGGAGTAAGAGGCTGGAGGGCAAAAGAAGTGCCACGCCATCGGTCCTATCCATCAATGCGGTTTTCTCCGTTCATTTTATTTCATCTCAGAATACATCCATATTAGCGATTCATAACAAACCTTGCTTTTGCCACTAATTTTACATTTATTCTAATTCTTGCGACATTCTCCACTCAAGTGGCCAGTCACCATCTGTCACTTTTGTTCTCCTTGCTCAGTTGTACATATCCATCTGGTTTCGGTATCTTTAAGGCCTCTAACCCAAGCGTACGTGTTTTCGCCCCTCCAGTTGCTTTGCCATCGGCCATCGATCTTTAGCTTACCCCGAGCTTGCCTGAAATTTTCCGAATAGCAAGCATGAGATCGCCTTCTTGATATCTAGATAATTAGATAATTTATGAATGTTGTCCCGATAAGTATCATCCTTTGGGCATGATGTCAAAACTAGATTACGCTCGTTAGTGCTCCACTCACTTTTACGGGAACGCCGATGTAAGCTAGCAGACCGTCGAGCACAGCGCCGCTGCAATCCAGTCCTTATCAAAACATTGGTCGTGTCATCAGCTTCCCTGCCCCGAGTTGCTAAAGACCGACTTACGCCATGCTCATTGTACTTTATCTCGACAATCAGCAACCCGTTTCGCAGCATTACCCATTACCAACGGTTTGAGCAGGGTCGCGTTTCTCCAGTCCAACTGAGTAGAATTTGTACGACCTATCCTGTGGCAACATCTCGATCCACTGAGCTTCTATCCGTCTCCACATTTGAGGATCTACATTCACTCGGCCTTTGACCAAAAGAAGTTCTGGTGGTGGATCAAATAGGTCCTAGACAACTGGGTTTGTAATAAGCAGCTCTATCATCGTCCTCGTCATTAGTGGATATTGTTGGGCCCACCGTCACATGCAGCGTCCTTCGTATTTCGCCAACCTATTTGGACAGATGAAGAGGTGGAAGCGTTCGTTCGAACGCTGCAGCTCACTCGCGGAATCTGAGGTAAACTCGATCGACGCATCATCGACACCATGGGCGAGATCTTTCCGAACGTTACGGTGCTGGAGCTCCTTGGCGAGATCGAACTGGAAGGCGATCCTCCTGAACGGAATAGAACCGCACGTGGATGTAAGGATCAATTACGTTCGATATTTACTGGGCCTCATGTCGCTAGCGGCACAAAAAGAGTCAACAATTGTCGTGGATGATACTGCCGCAAGTATGATTCCAGTGGTATTAGGATGCAGACCTCGTACGCCTGTTGTTCAGGAGACCATGGAGCGACATGCTAGGAAACTCGAAGGATTGTATCTTTCCTATGGTGGTATGAGCAGAGAGGTTATGTTACCTTCGCTTCCAGAGTGTACATCGGCGTCCTCGGCATCCTCTTCGTTGTTGCCTCTGTTGCCTCCCTCAAGACACTCCTTCACATCTCAGCTGTCCTCGTTGACCACAATCGACAACTAAGCACAGGGACAGAAGAGGGGCCGTATCAATTATCGATTGCGATTACTAACCACTCGCGCTTATCGCTTCAGGAACCAGCTCATTATTCTATAACCGCCACATATCACAGTCTGAATTGTAAATCTTTTCATTGGAAATATGCATGCAGCTGCATATCTCGACGCGTACCGCGACACACTAGGATGAATCCCCCGTGAGTAGGACTGTCGATTTTTCTATGCCCTTCCACCATGTGGTACTAAAGATGATGCTTGTTCGTTCATGGTGCTGTCGTTCCTTTCTGAGAAAAACAGACATTACGCTCCATCTTCAAAAGAACACGAATCAGGCACCAGGCCAGGTTAAACTACCCCTGAGCAAGGTCATTGATCTCACCGAAGCGGATTATACATCTCAATTTACGACGAAGGCGCACAGCCCTGCGTTACAAGGAGAGGTTTCAACTTTCTCGCTGCATACAACAGCCCCTTTTGTTTTCCACTTCGCTCTGAAAGACTCGACCTCGACCTGCGATCATTTTCAGCAAAGGGTTCGAAGGACGCTGCTGGACAATTAGGTGATTGAGCGCAAAGGAGCGCAAAGCAAGGCGTCTGCAATATCAAGTTCTATGGACTCATTTCCCTTCTCAGGAACACCCGAAACTCCAGGCTGCGAACCAGACCTGTCTCCTATCGACATTGCCTCGGGAAACCGCCCTCAGAATGGAACCAAAGAAGAATTGGCATCGCTGTCGAATCTCTATGCGGAAGCATATCCGCTTGCCCTTCAGGCTGTTCAAGAGGATGCCAATGGGGATCATCATACAGCCCGGCTACTCTACTGCGAAGTCTGCGAGGTAACTTGAGAGACTTTCACATAAATGCATCAAAAGGGATTCCCAGAGATGGAGAACAACAATTGACATGACCTTCAAATGCTGTATATAGCTTCTCACCAAAATTTTGACCTGTACGTTTCGATTTCAGGACGGCAATTGAGTTTTTCTCGATTCCAATTAGTGCCGTAGATATTAACCAGGTTGCTGATAATCGTGTCGTACAGTGTTGCCAGCAGGAGACGAACGCGACCTTGTGGTCAGGAAGTGCGGCCTGTACACAAGACGGGCGGAGGATATTTGGGAGTCGAGGAGCGCCAGCACAGCGCCGGCCAAAAACATCAAGCAGTTACCAGAATACGAGCGACTCGCACAGGAGGCTCAGGTAACTTTGGGCACACTTGAGGTTTCTGTTCAGTGGTCAGTAAAGACAACATGGATGGCCCCATTGACAACCTTCTGTTATCATGACTTGGTTTGATAAAACGTAGTTTGCGCTTGAACAAGCGGTTGCGGAGCACGAGAAGCAACATGAACAAGGCGCACTCGAATTTTACACGGACTCTGCGGATCTGTTTTTGCAGGCATGGAAAAGTATGGGCAGACAGTTTTTCTTTCCATTTCTTTGTGATGTATTGCTATCAGATCGAGAGAATATGTCTCACCAGACATTGTAATGCTGCACTCTTAGGTGCCCCCGAGGGGTCCGTTAAGGAGACGCTGAAGCAAAGACTGAGCAATGTCATGAATAGGGCAGAGGATCTCAAGGGTGTTCCAGTCAACTCTATTCCATTGCTGAGTAAGGTCTTATCGTCGTGCTGTATGCGTGCCGGAATGATGTTGATGAGATAACAGACCCAACCAAGACTCATCCATCTTTACAAAAAAAAATATGAATAGAGGTCAAATCAAGATCGACCCCTGTCATCTCAGGACCTTCAAATCTAACACCACAGGAACTCCATGTCCTCAGGACGACGATGGTAATCAACAACAAGAAATATCACCCTTGGAGCGATGAGGATGTGAAGGACCTGCTCCGAGAGAAGGGTCCCTTTACGGATCCAGATGGGATGCTCGCGTTGTCGAACAAACAGATCGCGAAGTTTGGATCCTGGAAACGTGTTTCGGAGATCATGGAGAATCCAAAGATGATCTGCTTGATTTCGAGCACCAGCATCGTCCAGGATATTGTCACAGACTGTTCATTCGTCGCCAGTTTGTGTGTCAGTGCGAGCTATGAGAGACGATGGAAGAAGCAGGTATAGTCACGGCTCTGCAGCCTTAGTTTTACGCTTGTATAGTTTATCACAAAGCTGATGTTTACTAACCCAATGCCTTTACTCATTGCCAGCTAATTCGAGCATGTATATACCCTAAAAATAAGTTTGGCGAGCCCTGTTACAACCCCAATGGGAAATACCTCGTCAAGCTTATATTCAACGGCATCGCTCGGCGTGTCGGTAAGCAGCTGTCGCAACTCTCTTCTCAGATATTTCAATGGAACGAATAGCTGCAATTGACACTTACTCTCACATGTATGCCTTAATAGTTGTTGACGACTATCTGCCTGTCTCGAAATCTGACACGCTGATGTGTACATTTTCAACAAACAAGAACGAGCTCTGGCCCAGCATTATCGAAAAGGCATACATGAAGCTGATGGGAGGCTACGACTTTCCTGGATCAAATTCTGGCATCGACTTATAGTAAGCGCTCAGATAGACATGGATATCTTGTTTGCAAGAGCATGAATTGCCAGGCTAGACTAACATCATCACTATGTCTTCTTGATCGATAGTGCGTTAACGGGATGGATTCCGGAACATATTTTTATTAAAGAGTCGAATTTTGATAGCGAAAAGCAATGGGAACGAATGATGACAGGCCAGCACAATGGTAATTTAGGATATTGATCTGAACATACACCGCATGCCTTCTGTTGAGACTAGGGTCTAACTGTCACCTTTTTTACAACTCCACTAGGTGTCGCACTAGTAACCATTGCAACAGGACACATGCCGGATGAAGAGGCTGATCGACTGGGACTTGTACCTACACACGCCTATGCAGTCCTGGATCTCAAAGAAGTCCAGGGTTTACGACTACTGCAGGTCAAGAATCCCTGGAGTCATAAGCGCTGGAAGGGTCCCTTCAGTCATTTGGATGCAGATCATTGGACAGATGAGCTAAAGAAGGACCTGAACTTTGATCAGTTTGCAGCACTCAAGAATGACGACGGTATCTTTTGGATCGATTACGAGTCCGTCTGCTCAACGTTTGATACCATTCACATCAACTGGAACCTCGAAACGTTGAATCATCGTGCGGTGATCCACGCGTAAGTAAAGCAAGTATACTGTAAAAAGAGGATCGGATGACAACGACGTAGTGCTCGATATGCTAACATCATGTGCGTCCGCATACGGCCCAAATAGGCCATGGCCATGCAACTACGGACCAAAACGAGATAATTTTAACCTTGGATACAACCCGCAATTCACACTTGCGACTAATGTCAAGGGCTCGCGACCATGCGGGATCTGGCTGTTGCTATCGAAGCACATCACCAAGACTGAAGAGAACAGGGACTTTATCACCCTTCATGTCTTTGATGTCCAGAAACAGCCGCAGAACCAGGTTTTACCGTTCAGTCCTACGACCCCACTCTCCGCCATATCCGCGGCGACATCTGGTTCCATGGCTCCAGGGTCATTATCGACGAGAAGTAGCGGCACAAGAATTTATTATGAGGGCAATTCAATGATCAAGGGCATGTATGTGAACAGCCCGCATATCTTGGTCCGATTCGAGGTTCCTCCAGGACAGAATGAGTACACGATTGTGTTGTCGCAACATATTAAGACCAGGGATTTGCACTTCACGCTGAGGGCGTATGCTATCTGCGAATTTGAACTCCGAGAGATACCCAGTAAATACGCCATCGAGAAGAAGGTATGCAGCATCGATCCTTTAAAGAGAGTTTCTACTCAATAAGATTGTATGGGATGGCTAACAGCATTTGAATACCTTTGTGTTGTTTGCGAGTAGATTGAGGATGGATGGACAGAGGAATCTGCAGGAGGCAGCAGTTATAATGCAGGATTTTTAAACAATCCACAATATCGGCTTGTGGTACCAGTACTCCCTGCACCTCAGACGACAACGTCTGTACTCTTCATGCTGGAGGCGCCGAAGGACTTTGCGGCGCATGTACAGCTGGTCAACTCTCAGGGCAAGCGTGTACCATGGTGCGTCCGATCCGAAGAGACTGTATCCAATGTTGGGCGGATGTGTTGACAGGATTACTGACCAGGTTTTTTTTTTTTTTTTTCTGGGTTTCGGTAGCGTGTGGACAAAGGATATTATTGCTCAGTCTGGAGAATATCGACATGGGTTTTGCTACTGTGAAGCGAATGACCTGAGACGTAAGCTACATGAACAGGGTATTTTGGCGCTGAAGGGCTGAAGGTGTATATTATGAGATGCTGACAATGTCTCGCACTTTCACTTAGCCGGTCAATATACAATTGTGGTCTCAACATTTGAACCCGGTCAAATCGGAAAATACAAGCTGACGATGCAGTCGCATATCGAGCTATCGCTAACACCGATTCCTGTCGAAGGAGCTGTAAATCAAACGCAATATCCATGAGATTCCATTTTATTGGCATTGTGGATCAGTACTCAGGTCAGATTAAGCACCTAACACTTCGATTATTTTCATTGTTTCTTTTTTTAGGGCATGTTCAAAAAGATATTAAGGGGGGAGTGGATACAGGGCGTGAACGCGATGGGCTGGGATCACCACCAGAGTCTGAGCTACGCAAAGAACCCGCACTTCCTGGTGCCCATCACGGAAATGACCACCTTCATGTAAGTAACCGGAAACTCGCGTCTCTTTTTTTACAAAAAGGGTCTGTTCATGGTAGCATACTGACTCAATACTATTTCCTTGTTCTCGAATCGCAGGGTGCGACTACAGACACCTGAGATGACGAATTCTATGCCGAAGATCAATGTTACTATTTTTGAGCGACTGGACGAAGGCGTTCTTGGTCGGGAGGTGTGTTCATCTGGCCCCTATATGGCTGTGTCACAAGGTGTTGCTACAGAGCCCATTACGCTGTTGCCGAACCAGTATGGCTATCTGGTAGTAGTTTCAACCTTGGAATCAGGGCTGGCTGGTAAATTTGTGCTCTATGCGTATAGCGATCGAGCCTTAGATATAGAAGCTGGCGGAGGTGCACCGACGACGATCAATGTGAGCGGGTCTTCGATAGGATCGATGTTGCTGTCAACTTCCGCAGGCGGTGGGTACTACTCTTCGGCCCCATCGTCACCCTATCCTGCAGGCGGTGGCAGTAGTGGTTATGCTAATAATCGACCATCCGCGAGGTTTAGAAGGCAGTTTGGATCGATGTCGGGGCCTGGACAGGGCACTAACGGTGGAAATGGAGGACTCTTGTCTCCCCCCTAGTTCGCTTGAGGATAAAAGCTAAATACGGACATAAAGCATGCATAAACATACGCATGGTTGTAATTGAAAGTCGTGTTTTTTTTTTTTTTTTTTTTGCTTCCTTTCATGGTATATAGAGAGCGCGAGAACAAAACTGGTGCTATTCTTTGGCCTTGAAGGCAGAGGCGAGAAGATACATTTGGGATTAATTGAGCACTGTAGAAGCGTTCTCCCCCTTCTAATCAGGACTTGTTGGTATTCCTGCATAGCCACCGAATGGATGTTCGATATAGTCATCACCGTGTCCATCCTTAAAAGTCTCAAGCCCATCGCGGACAGCCAGGTGCGAAGATAAAGAAGGAGAAAATGAGAGCGAGAGGTTGAAAGGCAGTTGAGCCGCAGAGACGGTGATAGTCGACGCTACAACTAAGGGTAGGGACAGGATGGTCTTGTAACGCAGCTGATGTGGAGCTTGATCTCGTGGATGAGGGATTGACTTTTTGAGGTGAAAAGGGTTCCAAACAAAGTGGAAGGAGTGTTGACAAGGACGGTTCTTTTTCATTTGGGTACAGGTGCTTTTGGTCAATGCGTTCCTTCTACCCTTATTTTTATGCGGACCAGGAGGAGGTTGAAGTTGGGATGTATGAAGGGCACATCCAGCATGCAAGTGAAGTAGAATAAGTTTGACACAATGGTCCGCAGAATGCTGGTAAAGAAGGTTATAACCTAGTAGTTGACTCAGATAATGGCGTCTCGCGTATCTGCTCCAAAAAGCGATCTCATCGGTCGTCTTTACTTCCTGTCCCCATTCTGTTGAAAGCTTCTTTTGGATAGAGGTCCAAAGCAAAAAAGTAGAGTCGCTTGGGCGCAGTCGAATCGCGACTAGAGGCGTATTATCCCACATCGCCATATTGCAGTCCCTGTCTATTCTCGTTTCTGCCTCGCCCGACTTGTCTGAGAATCCGGAAAGGCCTTTTTTAGGGAGGTTTGTTCTTGATTTTGCTTGTTTCCAGGTAGGCCTGGCCACAGGTATGCTGCGCGGGCATCGTTCGGCGGGGACAAAGAAGCTGGTCTGACAGCAGCGGACTGTGTCTGCCACACAGAAGAGACCTAAACTTTATTTCAATCGAGGTTACACGTAAAAGGCTCATGCCTTCTTGTCTCTGCTCCGCCTACACAGCGACCCTATGAACACAAGCCGCCGCCTAGGATATGCCACAGGTACTTTGATGGCCCGCAAAGCGTTGTTTTCTGCTCGAGATTGCTCGTTCGCGGGCTCTTACTCGAGTCTTCTGCGCTGTTGTCGTTGTCATTGTCGTTGTCGTTGTCTTGCCTTGTCTTGTCTTTCTTGCCTTGGTTTTACTGTCGGAATGATCTACTTGGCAACGAACCACATGTGGCGGCCCCATTGCCTCTGACTTAAAGGGTCTCTGGCGACAAGGCCATTTTTACCTTTCTCCTGTCGGCTGCATTTTTTTACTAGAAAAACAGAATAACAGAAAGACAAAGACACCTCCAAAGCAACATGAATAATAAGAGCATTAACAATGGCGACAGCGGTGGCAGCAACAGGGGTGACGATAACAAGGGTATCAACAGGGCGGCAATACGGCACCAAGGGCGACGGCCATGGCTGCGACAGGACCAACGACAGCAGAACCGCATCAAGACCATCGACAAGCGCACATCAGTAAGAGCGAGGTTCAGTCGATCAGAGTCAAACACCATGCGGTCCAGCGACAAGTACGCCAGGAACAACAACACTCCCACCACCTATAAGTACTGCCTTTGCATCCCGAAAGGGCTTTCCATACTTTACGTAAAGAAGAAAAAGATCGATAATAACCCTATACAAACACCATCCCCATGGCCAGTGAGAGGATGGCAGCAGGAAGCAAGGTGCTTGCTGAAATATCGACCGCAGTCGACTTCTGAAGCCGAGGAGGTGATGCTGGCGCTTGGCACTTACGACATAGATGGCAATGCGGGCGGCACGAGATGTATTGCTATGATGAAATCGACAAAGTGGACGCGTCCGAGGCGCATTGGTTCGGGTAACTCTGCTGGATAACCAGTGCACGAATACAATTCGGCAGGACTAATTCTGTCGGGTGGTTTTAACAAAGGAGCTGGTCAGCTTATGTTCGTGCAACCGATGCATTCGCCCATGATTCACATAAAGGCCTATCTCCTTTTCCTGTGGTTTACAGCCACCGCCATCCGAACCACTTGTCTCTTCGATTCTGGAGTCTTCATCTTTCTCTTTGTCTTCCGCTTCAATTTTACAATGATAACATACGCAGTAACACCTTGAGTTGCTTGGAAAGGCTCTTTGCTTGTATACACAATGATTGTTGCAGCTATCGTGCTTTCAGTATTCTCGTCTTCAATCCTGATAGTCTCTTCCCTGGCGACGGGACCATTTCTTCCAGAAGGTATGAACAACCGCGGTAGTCCCACACAAAGCTAGTCATCATCATCACCATCATATCTGCGACTCAGCAAGCGCAGGAAAAGGTGGCTGGATGTGGGCGATCCGGTCGAGCTGTAGGACTTTTATCGGACAGAAACATGATTCTCAGTTCTCATGCTCTTCGCATCCAAGCGACAAAAACAACTGTGCCTTTACCCATACACTGTCTGTCAATGTGCATGTATGCAGATACAAACCAATACTCTCACCTCAGATAAACAGATAGGTCTATCACTTTTTACCCCCTGTCCAGAAACCCAATTGCCCTGATCGTTCTGCGACAAAAATAAAATAAAAAAGATAACGGCAACGGGGATCATTCATATATCTGGCGAACTAGGGAACATCATGAGCTGCATCTCTTACTACTGTATTTTCAATTTTTTAATTGCTATCATTGCACCAAGGAGACCAAGCATTATTTATAGGGTGTTTGGCAGGACTCTCAGGCTGACTCACATAAATACAGCTTTGCGTCCATACCAATCCTCCTGTCGATGTGCCCCCAGTCTCGAGGATGCGCTCGTCCGCACTCCTAGAAATACTTGCGCCTGTGCCATAAACATCTGGTCCATCATCATCGGGCCAAAAGCTCCCATTCGCTCGCGTGTGCCTATAGCCTTATGATCGAGGACATGCCAGCCCAGTGCCCTAAACTCTGTCAACTCCTCAGGTCGGTCCTCGTCCGTCGAGACGAATACGGGCAGGCCGCGGAGGGAAGGGTTTGCAACGAGGATATCGTGTAGTGTTGAGGCCAGTTCTTGAGTGGTCGGGAGACAGGATTGGAGGGCGTACTGGAAGTGCTGTTGACAGAACTCGATATACTCTCCTCGTCTGGCGTGAATGGAAATATATGGTCTAGTGGTAGTTGGATTATTGTTGTTGTTGGCATGGAAATCGGTGCCAGCGGGATGGGCGTCGCGGTAAAGGTCAGTGTTAGGCGCTATAGCACTGCTGACGAGATCGCCATTGTAAAAGTCTTTGACATCGTCGTTCTGAATCTTTGCTCGATGGTGTTGTTGATACTGCGTGCTTCTTTCGCTCAACTGATAGACCGTTCTCTGGAAATGCTTTCCCACGTCCGGCGTGAAATAAAAGTACCGCCCATACAGATTCCAATCCTCCTTCTTGGGTACCACCATGTTGTACGCGTTCGTAATGCAGAGCAGGTGCTCGCTCGCTAATTTTTTCAAGGCAGGAGCCAACTCACTGAACTCGCTGCTATTGATCTCGATATCGTCCTCAGGCTGGATCATCGACAAGTCAAACTTCCATTGCTTCAAGAACTCTTTTGCGGTGGCATCGACAGGTCGCAAGGAGCCCACACCGCAGGTGATGTGACACTGAAGAGGCTCGGCAGTCATAGGCAAACTGTCCGGTTCGCGCAGAGTTTGCAGCTCCACAACTTTTGCACCCGTAAGATACATGAATGTTTCGAGATCAAAGAAATCGGACCATGGCTGGTTTCGCTGCGAGTTATCTTGACCTGGGGAGACAGTGATCGGTGGTAGGATGAGGGTTCGGCCTAGGGATTTGGCAAGCATGATGGCGCGCACCATGCTATGGAATTGGTTCGTCATATCCGCGTCTGGCAGGTACATCATGTACTGGGTGTCCCGGCCGAGTCGGCTGCGGATGGACTGTTGCTGATGGGTCTCCTCGATCCGGGATGCGACCACATAGTTGTTTTCTAGCTCGAGGTAATCATCCTCTGAGAGCGGATCGGGGCTTTCTTTCCATATGTCAGCATAGGCCTCTTGAGGAGTGGCTCTACCGCGACCGGCTTCCATCACAAGGTCTTCCTCTTCCATGTCTCCCTCGTTCTGTACTTTTTCATTTTCATTGTCGATTGATGTGCCTTCAGTGTCATACACCTCCTCCTCATCGTATCCTACTCCTCTCTCGTCCCCCTGTGTATCCATATCCATGCTGATCTGCTTGATGGAGTCGTCTATAATCCCTGCAGATCGATCCTGATCCTGGCTCAATAAGGGCCGTCTTCTGCGTAGTCCATACAAGGCACTCCACGTCCTCTCGGCTGAGATAGGAGGCGGATATCTCCTTTCTTGTCTTGACTCCGGCATCACCACTGTATCTTGGTCCATCAACAGCCCTTCTCCGCCAAACACCCCAGCGCCTTTCACGAGTTCTGAGGTAGCGACTTCTTGCAGCCGATTCTTTCCCTGCGCCCGTGAAGGTATTGCTTTCGTACTAGTCAGTATTAATGATGGAGGTGCCAATTTCTTGTGACGAGAACGCTGACATTGTCCCGTTGCAAAGTCGCATCCAGAGTGCTGGAAGAGAATGAAAGTGACGGATGAGAAGAAGAGGAGGAGGGCGAATAAGGAGAGGAGTTCGCGATTGCGTTTCGCGGCCTGACGCTGGTTCACGGAAGGGTGCCAATGGACCTGGAGGGATTTCCTGCTGGGCTTCTGTGCAGTGAACAGTATGGCTGTCGAGGTTGGCGACGTTGAGTGGGTAGCTTTGCTAGAAATGAGGACTGAGATTGAGGAAGGGGTGTTGGGAGGTTTTTTTAAGGACGAGTGGTAGGGCGGTGGGTTTGTGTCGTACATGGGAAGACGGTACTCTGCAGAGTCGAAGGCTTTGGGTCGCGGCATTGTTGCCGATGGAGATGGTTTGTGAAGCGGTGTAGGTGGCGAGGAGGGAGTAGCAAGGACAGCGGATCACGAGAGACGACGTGCAAGGGAACGAGGCGTTCAGAGCTCGACGGGTAGAAACGAGAGTCGTTGGGCGGTTGCCAGAAAAGAGAGAAGAGAGGAAGGAAGAGAGATTCTTGAAAGCAGGCAGAGGTAAACCCTTGGGATGCTTGAGATCGTCCTCCGTGATGCTGGATGTTGAAGCAGGTCCCTCCTGGCGCCTCTCCCTCTGCTCCCCTCCTCCCTTTATTTTCCTGTCGGCCGGTGTGCTCCTTGCTCCCGCTTTTCTGCAACTGCATGAATATTTTTGTTAAAAAAAAAAAAAAAAAGGGAGTTTTTGTATCCGGCGACATGACTGGGTTGGTGTTAAGATGGATTTAAGGAGACGAGAGTGAAGCCGATGGTAATGGTAAGGACAGCGACAGGAGTGTGGAGTATGGAGTGCGGGCGCGAAACACCGCGAGGGTGCAGTGAGCCCTTGGAGCACTCCTAGGACCCTTAGTGGTGTCTATCCTTAGCATGGCACATATGCATCCGTATTCACACGGGCGGCTCCATTGAAGACAGGCAGTGGGTCCTCGTAAATAGCCATTAGCCTTTGCCACCAATTTCCATCGGACTTGGCTCGTGCGTCCGTCTGTCTGCACGTGGCGCACAGGGCAGTGGAGTACTCCAGGCCAGTGTGCGAGTCTGATCGTCTGGCCCGCTCATCCCGCTCCATCCATCGAATTCATCCTGCCATCGCCATCCCAGGGTTGGTCAAGCACGCCGTTCTCGGTCCATGCTTATGCTCGACTTCATATCAAGTCGCTTTAAATCGACCCTATCAGTGCCCAGGACGATCTGGTAGACGCACTCCGGCACACCCAGACCATTCCCATGGCAGATACACCGCCTCATCATCGCGAACCTCCTCACCGTGACCAGCCTCTTTTTCCATTCTCTCCCTTTTTCATGTCTCTGCAAACGTATCCAGTGCGGTGTATCAGTCATAGTGTGAACCTACCGCCGCTCGGTACCGGTCCTCTGTTTTAAGCATACTGGAGACAGATATCCTCTAGTATACAAGACGCGACTTGTCCATGTATAAAGAGCCAGATCGTTTCTCACAGACTTCTGATCCCACAGACATAACACCAAGCCTACAGGCCTTTTCAGCCGCACCCATTTTATTTCGGTTATCCTTTGTCGTCCGCAAGAGTCGCTATTGTAACAGGATCGTTCCGAGGCATTGGTTGTACCATTGCACTCTGGCTTGCCAAGGACGATCCCGATGTAGTCATCAACAATCAATCCAATGCGGCGAAAGCACAAGAAGTCGTTGGCGGGATCCAAGCCCTCACCAAGGATTCATCCTCTAATGACAAAACAACGCCCAGGGGGGCTATTGCAGTCCAAGGCGATGTCAGCGATATGGTCCACGGTCAGCATTTGATTGACGAGACTCTTAGGGCATTCGATTGGATCGATGTAGTTGTCTTTAATGCAGCCCGGATCAACTACAAGGTTCTCGAAGAGGTCACCCCTGAGGACTACGAAAAAGCGTTTAAGCCCAATGTGGATCCGCACCTGAAGAAGCAAGAAGGAGCGCGGGTGTACTACTCGACTAAGGGCGCAGTAGAGGAGGGAAGGAAATAAATATTTTGCGACAAGGAAATAAAGGAGCAATTGGTCATTAGAGCAGCCAATCAGGATCGCACCAACTGAAAAGTCCATTGCTCCAACGCAGCACTTACGAGCGGAGCGGCCCTCTCGGCGTTGGCGGGCTAGACGGATGTATAGAATATGTAGGCTGTCCGTTCTTGACATATCATGACCAGGATAGCTGGGCAAAGGGGGGGGGGGGGGGGGAGGAGGGAAAGGCTGTGTTGTGTTTACCCTTGGTCTCTTTAGTCTCGGATGATACTTTCTCTCTTCTTTTTTTCACTTCTCTCTTTCCATCCTCTCCTCCTCCTCGTTCCCATCAACACAAGGCAGATCACGCTCGCTGCTCTGTAGAAAAAGGATATCCATATTCCTCATTCCATCGTGTGCTATACCTCTCTCTCATCACTCATCGCACACACACACACACACACACACCCTCTCTCTCTCTCTCCCTCCCCTCTCACACCTCTTTTACCACTCCACTTCTTCACTAATACTACTCTTAATCCTCTTTAAGCCATCCTCCACCCCGCAATGCCTCCACTCTCCGCAACCAACATCCTCCAGGCCCTCGGCCAGGCTGATCTCGCCGACTTTGACGCCTCCTTCCTGCACCCACACGGGGTATGTAGCATAAGACCCACCGACATTTTTTCTCACACACACGCTTTGTTGTGCGCTCACACCCCGCCCCCCACCCTGCCACTCGGCCCGCAGCCATTGAGGACAGGCTGCTGCTTGTCCACACGAAGCAGTTGAAGCGATTAAACCAACCGAAAGAGCAATTGAGGATAGCCGTAGATATCTTTTTTTTTTTCTTACAATGCATGGTTCCCTCCTTCCCTTTCTCACCTTCTCCGCAGGAGTCAGCCAGCAAGAAGGCCCAGCTGGCCTCGCCCGAATGGGACAACGCTCTGCTCTACTCCCTCACAGAGTCCTTGGGAAGGCAAGTCCGCGCTGCAGCAGCACACTCTAACTCTATCATGCAGTACACATTCAGACACGCCGCCCATGGTCAACAGCCTCTCCTTACCGATTTACCGATTTTCCTTTTTTCATCCTCCATACGCACTCTTAACCTTAATAGCTTTAACAAGCCCGCCACGACTCATCGATTGAACGTGAAGACCCATGTCTTCAAGAAGGAGCTTCAGGAGTACGTTCCTACCCAGATTGAGGACCGACTTCGTATCGAGACCATCATCTACGTGGAACTCTCGATAGTCGACCAGAACAACGCTCTTGTGAATGCTTACGACTATGCTCGTCTGCCCAAGGATTTGTTCTTCTCTCAACCCGACAAGGTCATGTCGCCCGAGGAGATGGGGACTAAGCGCATAGTCGATATCTCTGCCACTCTTCAGTGTCCTTCTAATGGCTGGCAGGAGGAGAAGGAGGCCTGTTTGCGTTGTGCTCGTCGGATGTCCACCAAGCTGGATCAGACCGAGACAAGAGTAGGTGCTCCCTTTCTAGGAAAAGAAAAATGTGCGGCGTGTAGATTGGATAAGGAGGACCCGATAAACTAGTACTATCGACTCGACTGACAATCGTCCTTTCGCTCGATCCTGTAGATCATGCACATGCTACCGGAATTACACCGCACGGACAACGGCGACGCGTTGATCAGCTTCAGATCCGGCGTCGCCAACATCCAATTCAAGATCAACTGCTACTGCGGCCACAAGAAGGAGAAGGAGGGGTTCGTGATCCGCTTCGACTCGCAGTCGGATGTCTCCATCGCTTCCCATGTCACTCTGCCCTTGATGTTCTACCACCAGAACAAAAACCGAGTCGCCTCGCGTGCCCTCGCTGCCGCCGCGAAAGCCCAAGCCAAGTCTGGCCAGCAACAACCCGAGCAAGGGTCTGCCACACGCAACATCGTAAAGTCTGTCACATCCAAGACGAAGCGCGAGTCGAGGAGTAAACCTGGGCATAGTCCCACAGGGAACCAGCAGCATCACATACCCTCTCCTCCGAGCTCTTTACTGGACTCTCCCATCGAATGGTCTTCAAGCCCCGAGATGGAGGACTTTATCGACAGCTCCGACATTCCCTTCACGGTGCCTTCGCCTCCACCCCCAGACCCGCTCATATCCTTGTTCCCCGAGTCTGCCGCTCAGGAGCAGCAGCAAGCACAGCAGCCGACTATCGCTCTGATTAGCCACATGACACCTAACAGCGGTTCCGTCCGCGGCGGTACCTTGGTCACCATCCACGGTACTGGCTTCACTGTCGGCGAGGTCATGTACGTATGCTTTGGCGAGAACATGGTTCCAATCATTCCTCAGCGCGACCACATGCTCGAGCTCATCACTCCTGCTGCGAACAAGGCCGAGACCGTGCCCGTCTTTGCCATGAACCCTGTTGAGTCGATCGTTGCCCAGGCGACCTTTACCTATGTCGACGACAACGAGAAGGAGCTCATCAAGCTTGCTCTCCAGCGCATGATGAGCATTTCTGCGCGCATGGAGGGTCCTCTGGACAATGTCCTCAGCCGCGCCAATGAATTTGCCCTCTGGAACGATCTCTTGGAGGGCGGTGTCGACAGCTCGTCAGTCTCGTCTCAGTCGTACACGAACCTCGAGAAGATGGTCCTTGAGTCCTTCAAGATCTTGGATACGCCCACCATCAAGAACTTTGAGAGTCTCTCGATCGCCAACGCTACGGGTCATACCATGCTCCATCTCGCTGTCTGGCTTCAGCTCGAAGCCCTCGCCACAGATCTCTTGGCTCGTCATATTGAAACAACTGTCCAAGACAAGAACGGACTCACCGCTCTGGATTGGGCCCATCGTTTGAACAACCAGGCCATGGTTGACTTGCTCTTGGGCTCTGTTGTCTCCGCTCCCGTCTCTGTTGTTGCTGGCGGCAAGCTTGCTTTGACTGCCGAGTGCGATGAGGCTGCCCATGGTTTCCGGTCGTCGGTTAGTCCTGGCTCCCGACCTACCGCCACCGATCAGCCAAATGTGGACCCCGGCCACGGCGGCGTAACTGATCAAGCGGTCATTCCACTGAGCCATCCTGTTGGCAAGGACCTCACCTTGGATCTAGGCCACGACGGCCCTCACATGGATGTCGAGTGGGAGGGCTTCGGTCAAGGACCAGGAAAGGATGTTGTAGTACAGGGCGGAGTCGTCGATGGATTCTTCGAGACACAGCATGATCAGGACTTTTTTATGCAACAGGCTCGGAAGGACTCGTCGGGACTCCTCGGAGAGATGGTCGTCGACCATGACGGACAACGCCTCGTTATCCATCAACAGCAGCCCCAGCGGGATTCATCGCCTTATCTCAAGACTTGGTCAGCGATCCCCGCCATCGCCAGCTCTTCAGATGAATCAGCGGCGCTCGCCCCCGTTCAAGACGCCCACTCTCCCACACCACACTGTTACATCCCCCTAGGTGACGACAGAGTGGGTCAGGCAGGTATCATAGCGGACAGCGTTGAAATGCGAATCCCTTTAGAGAACCTCGCCACCGCAACCTGCCCTATAGGCGGCCTCAGCACAATCAGGCTACCTGTAGGAGGTCTTGACCACATTGCCCCTGAAGGTCAAGGCGTGGTTGCCATGCAAGGGTGCACAGGAAGGACGAGTGTCGCCCCAGTTGACGTTGTCCTTTCCTCCCGGACTGAGAACGCGGGTCAAGACATGTTGGGCGTCCAAGGAAGCGGTAGTATACAGCGCATCCAAGGCACTGCACGTATAGACGGCCACGTTCAAGAGGCTCGGGCGCCGACAGTTGTTGTCGGCGAGGTCGGTCCATTGCCGCACCAGCACCAGGCTCAGCCTTCAAGACAACTTTACTCGATTGAGCACGCAGTCCAGCACTTTGAACAGGTGCAGTCTGAGAACCCAGTTCTGACAGCTCAAGAGAGCGAAGTTGTTGTTCGGGCCGAGGAGGTCGCAGTTGTTGAGGCCGACAGCAGCGAGGGCGGGTCGCATAACTCCGCCGCTGAGCAGGCTGTAGTTCAGAGCAGCCGAAACGATGTTGAGTCTGAACCACTGTTGTTCCTGGGAGGGCTGCCCGTGACTTTGTCGCCGCGCCCTGTCCGTACGGTGGCCAGTAGGAATGGAAGTAATGATGCGACGCAACAGCAACAGCAGCAGCAAGGATCATCGGGATCTGAGGACGAGGTTGACAATTCTGTGAAGCATTAAGTCTTTTATTAGGACTCGATGTGATGGACAAGTGTCGTTGTTTTTCCACTATGTAAAACTATACCCCCGGAACGAAGATCCGATCCCTTGGCAAGATGAGAAGAAGCTGCGGCTGGTCCCGCCTGTATATTATTTGATTTGCATTCGAGTTGTATCTGTTTAATCTGTCTAATCTGTTTAATCTGTTTAATAAAGGTTGCGTTTGTAATTGCAGAGCTGAACGAATGGCTGAGAGGTGACAATTGAGATGTGGACCCAGGATAACGGAGGGTTGCTCGTCTCAATGCGGGTAAATGCTTGTGCTTGCAGCTGCTGGCTGGACAACGGAAACGCAACCATGCCGCAGAATCCAGGCAATGTTACCGAATCATCTCCACCTCGTCATCATTGACCAGCACTCACGAATATCCAAAGTGCGGATTGGTTGTACGTGGTGGCGAATGCGGCGCTGGAGCAGATGACGAAGGTATTGGAGAAGGACCGAGAGTTTGAAGAAAAGGACAGCACTTTGAACCCGAGCTGTGGCGGATAGCTCATCCTTGCCAATCGATGATGGATTCGCAGTGCGAAGTGGTTTAGTCTCAGGGAGGCTTCTTTCTTCTTTCGCCCTGCATGGACTGCAGGGACGCGTACAGAGGGGGAAAAAAGAAGCTTATCCTGGTCCCTGGTGGGTGGGTGAGTATATCATCACATGATGACTACAGCCGCCCGGAGTGGACTACGCGCAGTCCATGTTGGTGTTGCTGCCGCGTCCTGCTCGCTCGAGGAGCCAGCTCCTGGCGCCATCCTCCAGACCCTGTGTGCAGGCTGTCTCTGGACCCAGGCCGCCGCAAGCTGCACAGGCGCTGTCTGCGGCAGAGCCCCGTGGGGGCTCGGAAAAGCAGCACCAAAACCGCGCTGTGGAATGAATTTTCTCGGTGGCTGTTTCTCTTTATCCACGAGACTGTTTGCTCCGTGCCTTTTCCTTCCGCATCACTCACCTTTTGCTCGGACTTTTTTTTTCCTTCCCCCATCAATCGATCCATCCCCATTCCCATTCCCATTCCAGCTCCACTCTACCGTCCAGCCCTCGCCATCACCATGTTCGCCCCCCGTGTTGCTGCTCCCCTCAGGACCATCGGTCGCATCCAGAGTACGTCCCGTGTCTGTCTGTCTGTCTGTCTCGCTGTCTGTCTGTCAACAATCCGTCTCGGAGGCCTCGGGATTTACTTCATGGACTGCAGCCAGTCCTTTCCCCGCACACGAGCGCCTTCTAAATCCGTGCAACAGCTCCCTCATCCCTTCCGACGAGCCCAAGTCAACAGCAACACAACAGCAACACAACAGCAACACAACAGCAACAGCAACCTTTTCGTTTCTCATGCCCTCTCTGACTCAATTATCAACGTTAATGCTCCTGTCGCGATTTATCAATAGCCGCGTCCATGGTCAAGACCGCCTTCGTCAAGACGCGCGTCATGGCTCCCGTCGGCACCAGGTAATGCTGAATTCGCACGATCGCACCACCCAAAGCATCTCTGGACTTCAACCTCCTAATACCTTCTCCTTTTCCTAGAATCTTGTCGACCTCCCAGCCCACCCAGAAGGAGATCACTGTCGCTCCTCTCGTTGACCAGCGCAAGAACCGCCCTCTCGCTCCTCACCTTACCATTTACCAGCCTCAATTGACCTGGTACATGTCTCTGTTCCACCGTGCCACCGGAGGCGCTCTCGCTGTCGGTAAGGATCTCTTGCTCTGTTGTTCCAGCATGCCGGCACGCGAACCAATTGTTGATATCCTGAGCCATTAGAACGGACATGAGGACGATGTGGACCTAGACAAAAGGAAAAACAAAGCATCGAAAACAGCCTCAACAAGCATTGGAGCGGCACCGCATCCTGGATAAACGGAAGGCGTACTGTCAATTGGCTTACCCGGATACTCACAACCACCTTTTCTTCATGTTCAACAGGCTTTTACGGTGGAGCGATCGCCTATGCTGTCGGACCCATGGTCGGTCTCGGCTTTGATGCCGCAACCGTGACATCAGCGATCGCCACCCTCCCCGTCGCTGCCAAGATCGCTGGAAAGTTCGTTGTTGCCTTCCCCTTCACCTACCACTCCTTCAACGGTATCCGTCACTTGCTCTGGGATACCGCCCGCGGATTGACCCTCAAGGGTGTTTACGCTACCGGCTACACCGTCTTGGGATTGAGCACAGTCTCGGCCGTTGCCTTGGCTTTGATATAATTTAGAAGGAAGGATTGTTTAACGACAGGAAGATGTAGTTGTTGTGAAAAGGTGCATTTTGCGGATAGCAATAAACGATACTAGGGATCAGTGTAAAGTGAAGGCGAAATCGTCATGGCAAAAATGCAAGTCAACGAAAGCGACCCCCAATACGGCGCATGGGATATCGGCTTACTTCTCCTGCGGAAGCTGTTGCTGTCTCAGGCGGTACGTGCTCCGTTTGAAGTACTGATATCGAAACCGGCTGGGCATCCATAGGCCGAGGACATACTTGTCCGTCTAAGCGTGCGCGCTTTCGATGGAAGCCCACGAAGGTAAAATTCTATTTCGTGCCTGAGAAAGCAGCATGCTGGTACCTTCATTACCTTCGGACCACGATCGGGCCTTACCCTCCCTTACAGTCAACGTTGTTGCTACTTTGTACTTTGAGGTTCGAAAAAAAGTGCAGACGACATCGGCATAGACGGTGTTTGAAGTCCGAGCCCAAGCTGTGTCCTACGTTGAGGGTCCTGTGAAATGACTTCCCACCGCAGTGGAACGAAGCTTCCCCGAAGCGCATTTCACGTCTCCTCCCATCTATCCTACTATTGTGTCCTGTGCACTCACTTCCATTCAAAGTGTGCTGATCCTTCTCTGAATGCTTTCCACGCCTAATTTCGTGGGCCTGGCTGTCACGCCCAAAGGATTGCCCTTGTTCTGGTGTGTATTATACTCTTCCTGAAGCGGATCGAATTTCGCAGTATACAATCTGATATTAGGTCCAGCCTGAAGTCCTGTGTGAGCTCCAATTCTTGAACTTGGACCCTCAATTGTGCAACGGTTACTGTACTGCGGTGGATTTCTTGATCGGATAATCGATCATACAGATGGGTTGCTCTTGAAAGTTTCTGATTCTTGACTGCACGGGGGCCTCTGCTGGTTACGCACCCTACTTTGCAAAAGTTCTAGATAATCATTTGGCCGTCGGGTTCCGATCCTTCCAGCGTGACATTTCTTTGATTCTCGTATCCTACTCACGCCCTTGTACCTGTGGTAACTCTCCGTAGATATCATTCAGCCTGTGATCCTCCGTCACTTCTTCAGGTAACATCTCTCAAACAGGAAGGGCGCCATGAGCAGACATCGCTATCCGGTCTGGAATTATGGCAGGAACGGGTTCTGTCCAGCATGAGACTTCTTGGTAATAGCGAGTTTTTTGTTGGAAGCAGAAACTATTATGACAGGGATGAGATTGTTAGCAGGTGCAGTCTTTGCAGCACGAAACTTTGTGGTACTAACAGGTAGAAGGCCCTGGCGAATCTGGAGTAGCAACCTTCGAATTAGCCGATGCGATAACTTCAGCATTTTCCTCGCCAAATAGGTCTGCCCGTATCAACCCGGCTTTTTACATCTTTCTTGACCGCTTTTCTTCGGCGGGATTCCATGGGAGGGGCGCTGGCATAGCTTGTTTTCCGAGACCGTTAGCGTTCGTGCCATGTTCGACAGGCTGGTATTCACCCACGCGTCGCCCTTCCTCTTTGCCAGAGGTCCATCGAATTCATGACCATGCGGTCATAGGATGTAAAGAGAGCAGTCCGCTGCTGTCTACCACCAGGCCACTAGGCCACTAGACCAGCTGTCTTTGTCCCCGCCGAACGATGTCCGCGCGGCGGCATACCTGTGGCCAGGCCGACCTGGACACAAGCAAAAATCAAGAACAAACCTCCCTGAAAAAGGCCTTTCCGGATTCTCAGACAAGTCGGGCGAGGCAGGAGCAAGAATAGACAGGGACTGTAATGGCTAGATGGAGTCCACTGTTTCTTCAAGAGGGATGTATGTCCTGTAGGTGGAACTGTGTTTATGTACCCTAAATATTTGATCCGCACACCATGAGTGGCGAAAAATAGTGTTGCAATATGGCCATGTGGGGTAATATACTATCAATGTATATAAAAGGCTGTCAAGTGCTTCGCCCACCCTTTACAGTTAGCTATGCTCAATGGCCGGCCATTCAGGGTGAATTGTCGCGCCTTTAATAGGTAAAAAAAAAAAAAAAAAAAAAAAAAAAGGCCGTGGGCGCATTGTGCTGCTATCTATCCTGACGTCTTGGTAACAGCTCTGAATGTCTTGTTAACCGCTGTGCGCTGACCACGTTCACGGGTGAACAAATGGCATCGTTCAGGCTCAGGGTACCAGTTTCTAGACTTTTGCTCGTTGTTTTATCGGAATTGTTTATGCGATGAAAATGCCAATTGTCAATGTAAACTAATAAATGCATATAAGAGATACAGAAAAATAATCTAGTCTACCGTCCAGTGTACTTGTGGTGCCTCAAGTAGTCCGTGTAGAGACCCTTGAGCAACATCTTTCCCGTGTTGTCCAGACCGATCATCATCATCTCTCTCTCCCAATCGCTGCAAAGGTTCAGCAACGCATACAATCCCGGCAGGAGAGCGTTCCGAAGACTCTGCTGACTGATCGACGCGACAACCGAGCCCTGAATTGTGAAGTACTCCATCAGAATGTATGGCGCATGTTTTCCGAATGCCTTGGATGTGTCCGTCGTAATCGTAGATGATCCTGGTGATAATGTTGGAGTCGCGGATATATGGCCATTCAAAGTTGCATTGCTTCCTGCTCCCGCTCCTCCCCCACCATGCGATCCGAAGGTTGTGCTAACACCCCTTGATCCCAGGGCTGTTAGTAAACGCGCGAAATTCTCGGCGCACTCAACTGGAAGTGGATCTCCGATAGGAGCACCGCTCACAGTTGAGGAACCAGGGATTGGAGCAGCAGGGTGAAGTGCACCGGCTGAAAGTAGCATGAATGGGCTCTTTATCAACAACTCCACTCCTTGCTGACGCTTGGCGATCGAGGCATGAAGTGACTTGAATCCGTGGAAAATGCCCTGTAAGATTGCCGTGAAGACTGGAATCAAGGTCGTGAGCTCCTCCTGCTTATACCGCGCGACATTGATCAGGACATGGTACAAGGCTGTGAAGATCTTTGATGTGTCTTGGTTCGTTAAGGGTCTGGCTATGGAGCTTGAGCGCGACTTGACGCCGCCTAATAGGAGCGGTGTCGCAGGGGACATGAGTGATGTGACGCCCTCGAGAACTAGACCAATTTCCCAGGTTCGCAGCTCGAACGAGGGCTCCGCGCAAATGCCAGCCATAATATCCAAGACACCGACGATGACTTGTACGGATTGTGTGCTCTGTAGAATTTGGATCAGCTTCGTCAACAGCTTTGAAATCTGGCGACGCACCTTGCGCTTTTGAGCTATAGAGTACAGATACACGAAAAATGATTGACCCATCAGCACGATAATCCTGCTCAAGTACAGAGGCATCGTCTTCTATTTTTCGAACTTACTGTGATGAGCGCCCAAAAACGTGATATCCAAGAACCGCACCAGCACAATTTCGTCCGCTGCTTGATCTCCAGATGAATGCGCCTCCTCCAAAAGCCAGTTCAATGTGGTATCGAATAAATCTCCTGAGATCAGCCCCAACAACGAAAGATACGCGTCCTTGAGAGATACAATGTCTCTTTCCTGCAGTTCTTGCCCAGAGATGGCGAGCAGCATTTCCAGCAGCTCTTTCAATGTCTTTTCTACACCGTCCGGGGTGGATTGCCAGGCCTTTGCGAGAGGTAAGTACTGGCACGAGTATCCAGTTAAAACAGTCGCAAGGTGAACGAGACTCTCGGAGGTGATTAATCCGTCCTGGATATCATCTTGGCCACGCGTAGAAATGACCTGGACCAAAGCTTGCGCCAGAAGAAACAGGTTCGGCATAAGTTCTAGATAGGCGGTCGTGTCCTGCTCACTGTCTAGTTGACGGTACTGCACAATCGTCCTATAGAGTTCAAAGTGGTCCATGCATTTTTGGGCCTCCTCGATCACTCCAGCCATGTTGGAAATACGATGTCTGCCATTGTTGTTCTTGGATTCCGGTTTCAAAAGCGAAATCACTCGGCTGATACGTACTGTCGTCTTTGACTGCACAGTCTCATACAATTCTCCAATCTGCTTGAGGAGCGATGCGAATTTTCTGTCTATATTAGCAGCGGCATTGCCAGAGATGGTCTTGGAGTTCGATTTCGATTTGGAGCGTTGGTGGCGATGTTGTTCTAGACAGTGGACAAGACTCCGACAAACTTGCGAAATCATGATGGTCTTGATCTTGGGCTCGTTTATCCGGTTATCAAGAACCGCTGCACTGCCCTCGAGGGACGCCCCTGCCCATTCTTGAGCCGCTTCCAACAGAGCATCAAGATGCTCGAAGGCGGATTCGTACTGAATGGTATCGTATATTTGCACCATATAGCACCTAGACAATGGACAGAGGAAGGGTTTCCATGAGATTGATAGCATTGCTATGCTTGATTCTCCGTGTGAGACTTATTTGAGTCAGACTTGTGTGTCTTACCTGATGGCGCTATCAATCATGGTGCAGGTGGTGTTCATAAGTGCATATCCAAGTCTGTCCTTGTCTTCGCTTCCATAGCTGGTGGAGCAGTTCCATGCTGGGTAGTTCAGCAGACTTGTCAAAATCGATGGATCGTTGAGCTATGAGGGGAAGTATCGATGGATGCCGATAAATAGTAAAGCGAATAGTCAGAGAGATGATTGAGACAATCATTGATATGCGTCAATCGAAGGAAATCAGCAAGAATGCCTGCTTGCTACTTACCAGAACTCCAGCGTCACTTCTCCAGGTCATGATTGCGCTTGAGATACGACGCTCCAATAGCAAGCACTTGATTCCAGTTGAATCAGCGACCAAATACCGTTGAATATAGTGATCCAGAACCGCCATCGTTGTCAGAATAATATTTCTCTCGTACTTTTCAAAGTACTCGAGGGGTAAAAGGTGCACAATCGATAGCAATGACTGTAGCCTGGGGCCATGCTCCTCCGCTGCTGTCGAGCGAGACCTCGATTTGGACTTGGACTTCTTCTCTCCTGCCTGTTGCTGCGAGACCTTGGCCAGTTCTTTGAGTGCATCCGAGAACGAAGTCCTGGACGAGGTGTCCTTGAAGGATTCTGCAGACTCTGTAAATGAAGCAACGGCTGCTGCAAGTTTCCGCTCCGACTCTGTTTCACTCAGAGCAATAATCGACTCTGACAGGCGCTGCAACAGCGTTTGCGCAAAGATTGGGCGAAAGTTGGGGACCTCGTAGAAATTGGCAGAGCGTAGGAGGACCTGGTTCAACAGGTAGATCGTGATCGTGTTCGATGAAGCCGTGGCAGAGTCATTAGAGGGTGTGCTGAATTGCCTTGTAATGACCTGTGCGATGAGCTCCATGTGCTGCGTGGTGCTAAATCGACAGACGATATCAAGCCAGTCGTTCACCTGAATCTGCCAACTCGCAACCAAAAAAGAGTTCCTTGATGCCGACTCCAAGCGCCCATCCCATGTCTCTGATACCAACGAGCCATCCTCCAGCAGTCGCTCCAAGCGCGAGGATTTCATAGTGAACCTGACCAGGTCCCTGCAGCGCTGAGTAAGATTGTCATCCATTCTCCCGGTCGAGCATAGGGTCAGATGAATATGTTGCAGGATTACTCGGTTCAGCATTAAAACTGTCGCATCAGCCCACTTAGAAGTGCTATTAAAGGTTGCGACGATTTTTTCCATCAGATCCATCGATATACCGCTGGTCCAGTACTGTGTCGAGATTCTGCACAGAGCGTAGTGCAACTTGAGAGCCGGTGTGAGACGTCGCGCCTGATAAGATCCCGATTTCTCGACATGTCCGTCTGCCCCGGTCAAGCTTTCGAAGATCTGCCTCAAAAAATGATCGTAAAGGACCTTGAACTCCTTGTTCAGCTGCTTCTCTTGGTTCGCCGTAACACGTAAGCCCTTCAGATATTGAACGAAAATCGTCGTGAGAGGCTCAGCTGAGGGAACGGCGCTCGACTCTTCTGCATATTCCTTTGATTTGCCAGAGTTGAGTTTCCGCTTCTTTTTGTGGGTAGACTGTTGGACGAGCTCCAGTTCTTCGGTCTCCATGCTGCTGTCGAGGGCCATCAATTCTGTTACAAATATGTTCAAGATTTCCGGCGCCTGGGGCAAGGGAAGATAGTTCCTGATGTTTGTCGGAATACTAACAGGAGAAGGTGAAAGAAACTATTAGTTTCGTAGGATCTTACTGTATTGTAAATCCCAAGACGTAGGCACACCAGGCTTACAGATCCAGAAACGCCTTGGAAAAAAGGGGACTGGAGTCAAGCTCCTCAGGTCGCGCAAGATATCCGCGAAGAGACGAGAAAAGTGAGTTCAAAAAGATTCCGAGATCGCTCGCTTTTCCATAAATCTCCAACAGGGTCTTTGCGAGTTCCAGCGCGGCACCACTAGCTTCGGGAAGAGGGCTGAACAGGACTGGCCAAAGGCTGTCCAGATGAGGCTTTAAAAGTCTGTCGTCCAATTGCGCCAGAACTACAATTCCTGTTAGCGATATGCTCTGCAATCTCCCGTTCGATAGCGTTTGAGCAGTCGTCAAACAGGCGTAAACGCTCCCAAAGGACGTGCTCATGAACACAAACTGATCCGCTGCCTCGTCGTTGCTGGGCTGATACATGTTGAGTTCCAGAATGGTCGCTAGTAAATGGTTATGTGCGTCCATGATATTGGCGAGCTCCCCAATCGATGTCTCGGAGGGATCGCCTGTGAGATGTGGTAGCTGTTTTTTTGCGAGCACATAGATGATCTTGAAGAACGAAAACTCGGTCTCTCGCGCACTTTCCATTCCACGTTCGAACCCGCTGTTGGCCAAGCTCTTCTGCTTCCTGCGCGATTCCTCCACAAAATAACGAAGGAGCAAAGGAAGGATATCCAGTACTACGGTAGCATGATTTGTCGAGTGGAACACTGGTGAGCGACAGCAGTCATTTTCATGCAAAAAATCTGCACCAGCAAACGCAATTTCATCCACTTATATCTACCTGCTGTTGAGTGCTCCGATTTGATCAAGATGGCAATCTGTTCAAAGAGCTGTTTCTGATAACTCTGAATCGATTTCTCGTCTCCTGAAAAATATCCAGCTGTGTACTCTTGCAGATGCTCTTGATGAAATAGACCAGTCTTCAAAATCGCACCAATATCTTCCTGGCATTCAACTGCTGAAGCAACAGGCACTTTGCGGAGAACAGCCCGAGCACGGACTAAAACCTCAAACATCTTTCCTGCAACCAAAGCAAACACCTTTTTCTGGTTGGGCTGGATCACGACCAGACGTCGGAATCGGTCTAGGACGATGTGTGCGAATCCTATCATTATTAGTTGATGGTCATCTCCAGTAGTGGACGACTCGCAGGTCACCTCAACGAGCGCTTCCAGAGTTGCCTGAACAAGTGGGGTATATTGCTCCAAGGTTGGCTGGAACCATTCAGACATAGTAGGCGAGGACAACAGCTCAAAGCAGGTGGATGCCGACTGTAGCACAGCTGATGATGGAGCGTCGAGTGAGGGAAGAGCTTGAGATGGGGTTGGTTTAGCAAGTGCCTTCGTCTTCTTTCTTGGTTTTGTTGATGCGGTCGAGTCAGCGGCTATTGCTGCTGCTGCTGGTGGGGGTGATTGAGGCCCGAGACGCTGAATGAGTGCTGTAAAAATAGGGATCACGGGCACGCGCAGGAGAACGGCAGGAGCCTGGTTGTTGGCGACGCCAGATCCTAACCCATGAGATCCATCATGATGCCAGGCATTGACGAGCCCATATTTCCTGTGCTTATTCCTGCTAGATGTGATCCCAGCCAGCATGTCCTTGAACAGATCCCAATACTCCTGATCCAGGATAACACCATTATTTCTAAGTGGAGACGTGAAGGGCTATTAGGATCGGTTCACATCCTAAGATGATACTGTCATATGTATACCAACTCCAGATTCAGCTGCCGCTCTGGCTTACGGAGACTGGTCCTTGGGGTTCTTTGAAGGGGTGGATGACTTGACAAGGCCGCTGCAAAGCCATTCGAGCAGGAACTCTTGCTTGTGAGGGAGGACGACATCTAAACGCTTCCAGGCTTCCTTGGCCAGTCGAATTTTTTCTGACGGGGAGGTCTGAAACCCCTTCAGAGCCTTGGCGAATGCCTCGGAGGAACTGAGGTACTCTTCCATTTCTCTGTTCTTGCTCTTTCAAGTTTCGAGGATAGTGGAAGGAAAAGGAGCAGGTCAAAGGTCGGTGGTGGTACACGAGAGTGAGTTTTTTTTTCCTTTTTCAAAAGCGTGGCTTACTGTGTACTCGCCAATTTGGTGGCGAGCCAGCCACCGCAGAGCAGAGCTCTTTTGTGGTGGATGGGGGCGAAGTTGTTCGTTGATCGAATCTGCGCTGGAGTGATTGCACGACACTCCACCTCTCTTTCGTCCCCAATCCCCTTTCCTCCCACCCTCCTTCCCCCAGAGAATACATAATGACCGACGTAAGCGATGATTAGAAAAAAGAATAAAGGAATAAAACTGCGCTCAATGACAATTGATACGCCTTTTAACACTGCCAATGCCAAACAATAACAACACCAACTATGCACTCGGACTCGGTACCATTGTTACTCAACCGGATGCTCGGGCACGATTTCAGGAGCAAGAGACATGTCGTCTATGCCCCGAGGATAAGCCCGAGTTGGGCACGTGGATTTGCTGTGATGTCTGCGAAACTTGGTACCACGTCCGATGCTTAAAGATGAGCTTGGAGGAGTTTGAGGTCATAGACCAGTACCACTGCGCAGACTGTGTGCCCAAGGCTGGTCCCAGCACTCGTATGTATCCCTCCTATTTCTTACGCAGAACTTCCTCTGCGTGTTTTTTTTTGTTCTTAAAATAAGAGGACCTGCTTTAATAACATACAAATCCTTATACTAGTGCTGCGAAAGTCGTCGCGCAGAACTGGAAAGATTAATTATGCGGATCTTGTGAACGGGATCGTGAGCCATCAGGATAAATGGCGCGTCTTGCTCGACTCCCACCAGTTCCTTCCGGACAAGTTCCCTAGGGTTGCAGGCAAAGATCTGACCATGAACTGGCTGCGTTCGACAGGATTCAAAACTCCAGTGATTGTGAAACAAGATCCAGATAGAACCACAGATGGCCTGGATATGAAGATGCCACCGATAACTTTATCTGTGGATGATGTGCGTGATGCGGTTGGCGCAGAGACGCCAGTCGAGGTTATTGATGTGGCAACACAGGCGGAGCTCCTGGACTGGAACATGGGTGCTTGGGCAGATTACTTCAAGATGGAGCACAAGGAGAGGGTCTATAATGTCATCAGTTTGGAGATCACCGGGACACCACTTGCGGAACAAGTTCAGAGACCAAGAGTTGTCAGGTTCATCCTTGCGATTGAATTGTATCTGGAGAGCAACAATCATATTCGAAGTTTATGAAAGCGAGAGTGCCTAACACGTTTCTCTGTACATTGTTCTGGATCATTAGAGAGCTGGATTGGGTTGAGAATTTTTGGCCGAAAACACTGCAGCCAACAGAGTTCCCAAAGGTGCAGCTGTACTGCTTGATGAGTGTGAAGGATTCGTTTACAGACTTGTAAGTCCATTCTTATACCAGCGAAATATGTATTGGCTCATATTTTGTGAACTAATCCTCATTCCATCTTCGTTAAAAAACACAGCCATATTGACTTTGCAGGGTCATCGGTATGTCGTATTTTTCTGGATGGGAGCGTTTTTCCAACGAAAGAACCAATATGACCTATAGATAGAGATTGACCGATCGGACACCTATACAACTCTTTATACCCTCCCAACCTAGGTGTTTTATCACATCTTGTCAGGGTCGAAAATTTTTTTCTTTGTCGAGCCGACTTCGACCCACCTGCGGAAGTACGCAAAGTGGTCGTCGTCATCTGAACAATCCACCACATTTTTTGGCGACGAAGTTCCGGGAAAGTGTCACAGGGTCGAGCTCAAGCAAGGAGATACGATGTAAGCAACGCACCCATGTTCAACTGCTATCTGCGAAATACCATACTGTTTCATGAGCTTATACTAATCTCGCGATTGTCAACCTCAGGCTGATTCCTGCAGGATGGATCCACGCTGTCTACACCCCTTCGTCCTCTGTCGTCATTGGTGGAAATTTTATCCATTCGCTCCATGTCCCCATGCAGTACCGTGTCTGCGACATTGAAATCGAAACCAGTGTTTCACCCAAGTTTCGGTTCCCATTTTTTGAGAAGCTGAACTGGTTCGTCGCTCTTGGCAGCATGGAGCGTGGACTTGATTATCTTGCAACACTCTCAGGAACAGAACTCAGAGGCATCCTGGCATTGACCGTTCACCTGTATAACCGACAACGGAGTCTGAGACGCAACCCTCAACTTAGCAAAGAGGAACGACATATGATCAAGGCCAGCATACCGCCAGAGGCATCCAACTACAACAATGGGGGAACAGCTGTGGGGTCACTGGAACTGCTGAGAGACTTGAATGAGACAGTGTGTGGAGTTTTGGAGAGACAGCAGAGCACTGCTGATGGTACTGTGCCTATTATCGAGCGTTCACTGCGAGTGTTAACAGAACAGGAAGAGCAAAAAGAGCAGGAGGAGGAGCAGCAGAGAGCGGCCGAGAAGAACAAGCCCAGGATCAAACTGCGGATCAAATTGAATTCGACGACATCATTGACAAATTCTGGAGACGAAGAACCAAATTTGGGGGAGCAGCAGGTCCCGACATCCGCATCTACTGCTGTTGAACCTATGACGGGAACAGGAGCTCCGAAACTGAAGTTTAGGCTGCCAGTCCTTTCATGCGTCAAGACTAACAAAAGGAACTCGAATAGTGCCAAGCGGGCCGGTCGCGCCAAGAAGGCGAAAATATCCGACCCGGTCTTATATGAGACCGGTAGTGGGCTGGACGATGCTGGGAGCGAGACAGAGCTGGACCAGCAACTGACCTCGGATGAGGAGTGGACGGAATTCGAGAGCCAGATCGATGAGGGCTTTGATGAGGCCAAAGGGGACGACGATATGGAGGACGATATGGACGATGACGGGATGATGGATCTGAGATCTTCTGATTCCGAGTACGAGGCAGGCGACAGCAGAAAGAAGTCGCGGCGCCACCGAAAGGGCCATTCAAAGTCGGCGTCCACTGCAGCGACGACGCGAATGAATGCCTCTTCTACAAGCGCGGCCATCGGCGCCCCAAAGCCCCGTACTATGCGTTTCTCATCCGAGACGGTCTATTTTGGCGATGTGGACGGCTCTCCTTCGGATCACGTTAGACCTTCAAAGGTTCAAAGCGATGAGGAGAAGGAGGAGGAGAAGGAGGAGGAGGAGGAGGAAGTCGTGCTGGGCCTTGGAAAGAAGCGTAAGCTCACACCGCTGGAGTTTTCAAAGCTGATCACGGCTACGTCGACATCGACATCGACCACGGCGTCAGCGACTGCAGCGAAGAAGAAAGCCGCGTCTGGCAGTACGGCCAAGGACCGTATCAAGAGTCTGCTCATGAAACGACGATAGTCAAGTCGACTAACATGGATGGTCTTTGTCTCTTGGGTAACCATCAGGAGGATCAAAGCGATGTAAATATATGTAGTCCTTGAGCTGGAACTGGAATGAAGCAACGTCTTTCTGTACGAGAGAATCCGTATTCCCTCCCCGCTCTTCTTCTTCGTCTGAATCTTGCTTCACTTGTAATAATAAAACGGTTTCTGTAATCACAATTTTATTCTTTATTCTCCTGGGACGCATAAAATGAAATGGAACGGGCCTTGCTGGTAGATGGAGAAGGAGAAATATAGCATGCATTTCTTCGAGCCCTCTCGTTGCCAATACACTGAAGGCCGTTACTCTCCCTGGTCCCCAAGTTTGTTCTGCTCTCGACCATCGCTGAACTGCCGCAAGTGCATTCCCGATAAAAATATCAGCATATCGTGCCCAGTGTCCTCTTGGCAAGACATTACCGACGATAAGTTCTCGGACGTAGGTCCAGAATTCAAACGCAGCGTCAGCGAGGGCTGAGAATCTCGCAAGCGATTCACATGCAGAAGGTATTCATCCGCGCCAGGCGAATTCCCAGACCTTAGAAAGTCGATTTCCTGACCCTCAACGTACTGTTCATAGGGAATATCCGCACCGGGATGCATAGTTGGCAAGGCTTCTGCTGTTGACATGCGTTCATCCATAGTGCCCGTAGGTTCACATGCAAAGTGTGGATGATCAGACGCGCCCTCGTATCGTGAACCGGTTTCCTCGTACTGACATTCGTTTCCAAATAGATCACGACACATCGCAGATGGAGCTGTGGATTTGTACTGCTGCTGGGAGGTCACGTCGTAGTTACTTCCGCCAGATCCAACAAAATAGAGAGGTGGTGACTGAAAGTTGTTACTCGACGCTGAATGAGGGACGCCAGAGTACAGCGAATTGACGTCTAGATAGCTGGAGCCGATTTGCTCATTAGGCCCGCTTGGATTGCTGCTGGCTGACTCCTTCTCGCAAGACCTTTGCACTATCGGCTGGCGCGGTGCGCCCCTCATTGATCTATAATGTGTAGACTCTTGAATGTCGGAGCGTTGGAAGGTGTCTGCAAACATGCAGCTCGACGACGGCATGCATATGTGCTGAGCTCGAGACAGTCGCATTTCTACAGCGCTGCTATCACGAAAAGGCGACGGACACGCAGGCGAGCTGAAGGGCATCAAGGAATCGTGAAGACAAACCTGTGACAACGCCGCATTAGGGTCAGGAACACTCGTCCTCGCAGCAGAACTTGTAGACTCTAACCAGCACAAAGAATTCAGTTTTGATAACCAGGGGTCGGACAAAGTTTTGCATCTGTCTGTAATAGAAATGACAATATACCTTGTCTATTTGCGCTCATGCCGCTTTCCTTTCTCATGCCTCGCGTCAAAGACCTTGTATCTCCGCCGGAGATCCAGGGTCGCTCCACATGATGATGATCGTCGATAAGGGTCTGCACATTAAGAGGGTAGGGGCCACCAAGTGAGGTACCCCGGCCCGGCGTGGTTGCTTGTGGCCCTTGGATGCAGGATGTTGAAGAAGGTGTGCTGCGAAAGGTTGGTGATATCTGTAGCCATTGCCGTGAGAATGCATTCGAATGCTCGTGCATTGAAACGTGTTGCTCCGTAAAAATTTCCTTGGACACCGGAGGTCTTGACACGCCACGTTCCTGCGTCAATATGCGGTGAGACTCCGTCGAGCTTGAGGTTATACATGCATATGACCTGTGTGCCAGGGGATACCCCAGAAACATCCCCTGCGGAGTATCTACGACTGTCCCATCTGCTTGAGCTGCCCGTAACTTGTTGACCGCTCCTGATGTTGTTCCGCGCTGATGGTACGCCACAAACCCAGATGATCGCTGCGAGGGGTGACCTGAGGCGCTGGAGGGCACAGACGAAGAGTGGTGTGTGCACTCACTATCCAGCGAACTTGATCCTCCCAGGCCTTGCTCGCCTTCCAGAGGGGCATCGGCTCCACACGAATGTTCGCCAAGTATGGGTCCGAAGGCAGGCCATGGTACGCATTCTTGAGCTTTTTGATAGTCACCTGAAAAACGAGCGTTGCCCCCAGAGAAGCTATGGGTTGTACTCTCAGTCATTGCTAGAAAAGAAGGAGTCGGCTCATTCTGTTGAGTTTCAAAGTCCTTGGGCGTATTCAGGGCTGCAGGACGCATCAATTCCATTGTATGCTGATAGGTTGATGGCAAGTCTTCCACGGCTGGGGTGGTCTTGATGTGCCCTTCCGGCGTAACTGGAGAAAGAGAGAGCAACGGCGCCAACGAGTTTTGGTAAGACAATGAGCTTCTGGATGTGTCCATCGAGATATGCCCCGGTGATGATGACAGATGGTATGAAGTCCTTAGATACGGCGACTTGCTTTGGCTGCTAATTCCTATCGCTCTCTCATCAGCCATCCCACTTTGTGCAAGAACGGCTGGATGATCGGTCGATTCTCCTTCGCTGGTTAAATCACAACGTCTCCTATCCTTATCCAGTTCAGTCTTAGTGTTGCCAAGAATCAATCGTTGTTTTAACCCCTGGATGGGATCGACTTTCTCATCGCTACTCGAACTGCACATGGAAGACGTCTCTGTAATTCGCTGAACTCTACTCGTTATTTTGCTGTGTTTCTTCGAAGACGCAGGATGGGCAGGATCCTTGCGCTTCACGCCCGCTAAATCGTCTTTTTGGGACGAAGATAAAAAACTCTCCCCTTGCGTCCCATCATCTCGTTCCTGTCGTCCCTGTCGTCCCTGTCGACGCTTCCTGATCCGCTGTAGCTGTAGCATTTGCCGCTCCTGCGAACGCGTTTGATATGGGTGGTTGAGAATAGCGATAGGTGGCCTGAATGCCATCAAATTCCTTGTCGTGGAAATATATTGAAGACGTGAGGTAGTGCTGCGACTCTCGTCTCCCATTTCAGCCGGTCCACCATCCCCAAACCCTTCTTCATTCTTATGTTGACCAGACTTCTTTCGCGTTGCTCCTCTGAGCCTGGCCCTGGGCGGCATTCTTGGCATTGGAGTAGGACTGGATCTAGCTTCTTGACTCGATATTTGAACCTCCACGACCCGGTTACTGTGAACATATTCGTCAAGTGGATCGATTCTCTGATCTTCGCTGCTCAGAGGTAGCACCGCAATGGCGCTGCGGTAATTTTGCATGGTGATGAATGTCTTGCTGAGCGGAAGGTTTAGCAATTCCGCGTACTCAATCGGGCGGTGCAGACCGTCCATCTCTGAAGGCCGTTTCAAGGGACACAGAGAAAGGTGGGTTAGTATACAAGTCTCAATATACACCAAAGCATACACACAATCTGTCCAAACATACCTCCTTCCTTTTCATAGTAGACCAAGTGCTGTATTCCCGCGTCGGAGAACCCAGCAGGCATTGCTCGACTCTTGCGCTTGATCGAGCCCTCTCTGTTGCTTTGGCTATGTCGACGTTTCAAGTCCTGTGGTGAGGGCAAGTCGAGGCCTTTCACACAGATTGTCTTCTTTGTCAATCCGTCCTTTTTCAGTACGAAGGTGCCCTTCTTGCATCCCAAGACGATCAGACCCTCTTTTTCAACCCTTTCCCTCAGGGCCATGTCCTTAAGCCCAGTACCGTCCCTCATCTTGGCCTTCTCCTGGGGGGTCAAGCAAGCCTCGTTCGTCAGCTTTCGGTGCAATTCCCTGTAGACGAGGAAATTTCCACAGATGCGTGAGGGCGACCAAATTCGTCCATCTGTCCAGCGGTGGATCCCGGACGCCTTTTCGTCAAACACAAAAACCGATCCAGGGACGATGAGCGATGGGTTTGGATTCAAGAGCTGGATTGAAGTAGGCAGAGACACCATCCCAGTACTAGGTGCTGTGGCCGATGTGCTCGAAGCGGATCTAGGAGATAGCTGCGAAGGTGTAGCAGTCAAAGAGCCCTGCATCAGCCCTCGTTCTGCTGCTAACAGGCGACGATTAATTTTGGGCAAGACGCCTTGTCGACATGCCTCGAGAATGATCAATGCGTCTAGTGTGTCCTCCACGCGGCCTAAGAGGGTCGACAGCATTGGATATTAGAGATCTTTAGCATGTCTGTATGTGGGACAAAAGACGTGAGGTATAAACAATTACTAAAAAAAAAAAAAAAAAAAAAAAAAAGATTGACTTTTTACCATGGAAGGTCTTGGCGATGGACATTTTTCGCGCGTAGCAAATGCTGCTACGAATGGAAGGATATCCTTGTGAGCGCCCCACGTATTGAAGATACGCGTAGTTTCCTATCGGAATATTGAAGCATTCCCATTACAAATGCAAACGACAAATTTCCCACGTCAGAGACCTCGATAGGGAATAAGGAGGGCAAGCCTAAGAACAAAAGGGCGTGAACGGGAAATACCTCGTAGTGGCGATGTGAGTCGGAATAATGGTGCAGCTGTTGGGTGTTCTTGAGTTGAATTGATGGCTGTTGCTGTTATTGACGATCGGCGACTGTTGATAATTTGGAGCCAGGGTAAGAATATGGTAGACGGCGTTCACTGGAATAAAGGCAAAAGAGCGGAAGGCAGTATATGCGGATCTAGCGGAATGGGTTGGAGGAAGGGAGGGAGGGAGGGAGGATAAAGCCGTAAAGAACGTTTGTGCTACGTTGTCCAGTACACAGCAGACCCGCTGCGATACACACCAACGTGGGGGTTGCGAGAACCTCGCAGTAGCACGGATATGGATAGTCATTGTATGATGCGCGCAAATGCTCTCAAAGCGTCACCCGACCTTGCGCATGCAATCGACAGGCCCGAGGAAAGATCAGATCGGCCATGACATTGCACGAATACCATTAAAAAACTGGAAGGACAGGAAAATAATGATCTACACTGATGACCATCATCCCTCGGCCGATTTCTACGAGTCCAAAGATCAGCTCACACATGCGATTTGCAGCAACATCATGACCATCCATGCTCAAGCAAACACAGTATTAAGAAGACTGCGAGCCGATACTGCAACCAATGCCTGTGTGAGGAAAATAACAAGGAATTACAGGCGTATCCTTTTTCAACGCGCATCAGACCATTCCAATAAGCAACAGCATCCGGTCAGGCATGCCGACTTTTATGGATCAGGTTGCTTTGGTTTATGCCGACCAGCAGCAGATGTATTTCCTGCGCAACATCACCGAGATAGTAGAGAAGGTATGACAAAGTAACCCAGAGTAGGCGAACGGTGCAGGTGCATGCATTATCCGGTCCATCGACTTGAAAGCCTGTTCAGGCTCCTGAACTCCTATCTCCCAGCCTTCGAGCAAATGGCGTTAGTGTCAGAGAGCAACTTCAAGGGCATGCGTTTTACCATAACCGAGTATATGCTTATACAGACCATGTTTGCTGATCGCGACCACGTCAAGCAGGATATGGTCGTCAATGTATTGGGAGGGAATAAGGCACAGGTACTGGATCAACTGCCGAAACACCCGGGAGACTTGTTCTTTAGCCTCTTCTTTCTCCAAAGGCTGGACTACACACAAATATACATTCCTTGTCGACCCCCCACCGGTGCACCTAAACTCTACAGCCATGCTTTCTTCACATTCTAGGACCAATAATTACAATAAGCATGTGGCGAATGTCCAGCAAAACGAGAGATTATACTGATATACTGAGTGCGTGGGCCTGTCAAATTTCTTCAAGGATGAGTTGCTAGTGCTCGGAAGAGTACAAAATAGACAAAGAAGAAGGAGCCGAGTGGAGTTTCCGTGCCGAACACAACGAAGCAGAAGCTAGAGGAGGATATTAAGGTTGTTCTGGAGGACGAAAACAAGGACCCTGTTCTGCACCAGCAGTTCAGAAGAAGAGGGTAATACGCGCAAAAAAGGTAAAAAATAAATAAAAAAATAAAAAATAATAATAGTAACGACATATCGTTATTACAGTGCAGCTAGGTGGTGGCCCATAACATGCTCATAGTCCGTGCTGATGGATGAAGGATCTCTATAACGTGCTACCAATACGGTACCTTAGGAAAGGTCAATGTCCGGGTCATCTAGTGCCAACAATGCAGCCAGGAGAAGGATCGAGGCCTTAACGTTGGGCACAATATGGTTCGCACCGCCCTCCGTCTCATAGAGCGCCAGGAGTGACCTTCAGAGCTGACGCGCCCACAGCAACAACAACGCCAAGCGCCGTGTAGAGCGGCAGCGTAGACACGGTGGGGATGGAAAAAAAGCTGTACCTTATTACAGAAAATTGCCTTAAAACTTAGTTGGACGGAGCCTGAGGATACGAATAACATGGCGCGTCTATTATTATTAATATTTTTTCTTCAATAACTCGATAATATACAATATAAGCTACTACATCGAAAGGCGAATGAGAAAACAATGCAAAACGCAGTATATGCGAAACGTAATATATGAACGGTTTCTTGGATGCCTCGACGATTCACGCGCATGGAAATCAACCCATCTCTGCCCTGCCCTCTCTCGCCAATCCTGAGATGCGTGTCCTGCACAGCAGGACTACTGTGCTTACTGTGTTGCCGAGCGATGGCGGGCTCTCATGTCTGCGTCCCCTGTAATCGGTGCCATCGGTGAAAGCACGCGCATGGCCAGAGGTGATACCTGCTCGCCGACTACCACTGAGTGAGATAGACCCATCTCAAAGGCTGGAAATGGAGGCAACTGGCAGCTCATGGTCTATTGTGGATAGCAGGTGATGAGCTGGAGGACAGCCCTGAAGTGCTGCTATCGAAGCCATTCTCCAGTTGCGCACCCTGAATGCCAGTTTCATTGTACTTGATTCCAGAAGAGTTCGCGTCCGTTATTGGCATTGGGGACACAGTACTCGGTGGTAGATTGGCAGCTTGTCGGTGTTGCGTGCGATGCTGGTAGGAAATCCGATCTTTCTCGCTCTGGTGAACCGAAACATGAGAAGAACTAGGCTGAAAAGTTCGGCTGGGCAGAGGCGCCATATCGGGAACAGCATAAGTCACCACCTCTTCGTACCCACCCGAGCGTATCCGTTCATCTTCCAACTGGCATGGATAACGCTGATCAACATGATATATATTTGGGGTTTCCTGTTGCTGAGACTCCTGTTGCTGAGACTCCTGTTGCATGGTAATTGCTTCGGAGCACCATTGCTCTGCGGAGGTCTGACGAGAGTTGGATCGAGTGCTATGCAGGATAGCATTCTGTAGATTATCCTGGTGCACTTGCGCCGCCTTTATGGAGTCGCATGCTTCTGAACGCTGCGGATTATACGATTGCCCAATCGGGGTTGATCTGCCGGGTATTCCATCAAGTTGCTTGCCCACATCAGTGTTGCCAGGGGCCAGCCTAAGCTGATCTGATTGAAAAGAGGTTGAACTGGAAAGTGGTGTCATTGGTCGTGGTCCCGTAACGCAGCTCGAAGATCGGTGGTCACACACAGGATCCACATGGGTGGGCTCGATGTGAGGAAGTGTAGGTGTACAAAAGATCTCAGGAGTCAAGTAAACCTCTGGGGAGCAAGGCTCATCTGGCTGCACCAATGCTTGTTCATGCATCCGCGACTCTGAATCAAGATACGGCGAACCTATTTGGGACACTAAAGGGAACTCTGGGCCGGAATACATCCTGGCGTCTTCTATGCTTGCATTGCGAGACAGGACAGCCCGAGTCATGGGTGATGCAGGGCAGGGCTGCCGTCCGTACTGAATTTGCGATATTCTTGGACCCTCCGGAACAAGAATCTTGGAGTCGGCGCCTTGCTGGTCCTGAGGAAATTGGATTGAAGACGACCCTGACTCCAGCTCTGACGACTGAGCTGAAGCCAAGTCCCGGTTCTGCACAGGATGTTCTTTTTGTGAAGCATAGCTCTCTGAACTCGCGACCACGCTTGCCATCAGAGCTGTAGTGTGAGCACATGTGACGAGATGTGCATCATCATGATTTTCGTACTGACTGGAGCCCCATGCATGCTGCATAGACCCGTCTTGTGAAACACTGGACTCCCGAGACTGACCCCACGATCCATAGGCAACCTGCTTTTGAGACTGAGACTCCTGTGTAGATAATGATGCCTCCGTTGAAACATTCCGAGAGCGAGCGTCCTGATCGAGATAGTACTCGTCACGGATAGCCTTGGCAGTCTGCACATCTTCGTGCGAGTCGAGGGTGAAAGAGTTGATGGTAGAGCTTGAAATATTAGACTGGTTCTCCCAAGGCTTGACGAACGAGTTGACTGTGGCAGGGGAAGACAGAGCTATGGTAACTTGATTGCGAGATGGACTTGAAGTGGACGACCGATTGCGGCTGCCACTAGGTTTAACGCATCCCTCAGGTCCAATTCCCTCCACAGCTGGAGTATCGTAGTGGAACAGGGCGTCCGGAACGGAAGGTGTCATGTTTAGTTGGTCAGTTTCGTGGCGACACTCCCGAAAAACCCGCTTCCCTTGTGCCTCTATGCTAGAGGTGCCAGACTGGGATGTCGGCGAGGATGCGCGAGAGGGTATTCTTGAGGCTGGCGCTGAGGACGGGGTCGAGTTTGTGGCTGATAAGACTGGTGATCCAGGGTTGGAAGATGCACATCGGGTCATCTTCAGCATGCCAAGGTTAGGTGACATGGGTCCTGGAGATACCGTCATAACTCTAGTGGATCCAATGCTCGACTTTCGAGACTTGCTGTCAAAGACGTGCTTAAAAGACTCCAGACTTGATCCGCTAGACTGGCGTGATAAGGATCGAGCACCGCCAGAGCTCATTGAACCAGCAGGGGAGGCCGCTTCTTCAGGACTGTCCATTGTAACGCTCTTGCCTGACCGAGGAGTCGTCGGCAACATGCGAGGACTGACACTAATCTTGTTGACGGGAGTAGCGTTGGAGGTATGGCTAGGAATGGCGATCGAAAGCCTGGCTAGTGTCTTGCGGAGACCCAACTTTCCAGGCTTCGATTTGCTTGCCTCCGCCCTGATAGAATTTGGCTGTGATGTGCCAACCGAACGGGTCATGTCAAAGTCTTGCTCTTCGTTGGCATCCTGGACAGTGGGTGCCTGTACTGATCCGTGTCGAGTTTGCGACGCAGCTTCGGGTTTATCGGTTCCTGAACTACTAAATGAGGCATGTTCACTTAACATTAAAGGCGTTGGCGACCTGTCTAGCGGAGAAGTCGACACAGATGGAGGAGCGGATGGTAAAAGTGCAGAGTAATTCACTGGGTGTAGTTTCGCCGTAGACGCTATATCCGAAGCAGCGAGGGTGCTGTTTGTATCAGGATTGACGACGAACAGGTTGCCAGCCTGCGAAAAGTCTAACACGCTCGTGGGCGAGTCTGGGTCTTTAAGTGGCGAACGTCGTGTAATCGGGCGGGATGCACTGGTGGCCGATGGTGGCCCTTCCGTTGTTGGTTTACCAGAGTAAGTCGAGGTGGAAGTGGCAACACTGCTGCTGGAAGCGCTGAATGTAGGCGATATTTTTGTGCTGGCACTAGGTCCTACCGACTGTGAGGGAGTAGCGCTGGTCTTCTTTTTGGAGAACACTCCCGTTTTGTTCTTTTTGACTGGCTCGTCTTCATGCATGGGGAAGGCGAAATCTTTGGGTATCCTTGGTGGAGGGTCAGACCACGATGAGGCATGGGTGATATAGATCGGAAGCTCGACCGTTAGAGCCTTACTCATGGATGCCATAAGACTCACTTGCACGAAGAACTGAACGTGAAGATGTGTGGTGTTACGCAGGGAATAAACACCCGAGGGGATATAAACTGGGAGAACAACGACTCGGGAATCATCATTGCCAAAGGCGTAGTCTTCACCTTTGTAGATGATCTCGCTGTAGTTTTTGACGCTGTCCTGATCACGGACTCCCATCATTGACGACTGATTGCTAATGCTTGATCGCTTGTTGGAGACGGCTATATGTCTCCAGAGTGAGAGCTTGATGCCCATGATCTGCAACAGTTTATAGAAAACGTGTGTATTAATATAGTGCGAGACAACCGCATACTCGATATTAACAATATGTGCCGTGCCATGCCATCGTGAATGGTTTCCAGGATAGTACCTTTTTCTTGGTGAGGTTCTTTACACCAACGTTGACATATACAATCCCTCCGGAGCTGACCATGGTCCTTGTCAATTCGGCATACATTTCCAAGCTGCCCTCCCCTCCCATGAACAGCCTCTTGCTCGTGTCGGCCTTGACCGACTTCCTGCGCGCCTGCGTGATATCATCCGTTGTCCATGTTTCGTAGATGAAGACTTCACGCGTGTGGTTCACAGTCTCTTTGTGATGATGAGTCTTCGTTAACGCAATGCTATGGTGTACAGTTATACCAAGAACTGTTAGGCCATCTCATAGGTTTTACTAGACATTGCTTTTGCTTTCCAGGCATCAACTCGCTTACGCTGAAGCAACATATCTAACTTGGCCCAACTTCGAGTCATATGAATTGGGAAGGGTGTCCTGAATATTTAGGCGAAAAGGGAAGATTGTGCGACCCTTCCTCGCCATCCAGTATCCCTCGGCGTCTAATGTTCGACCGTACAGAGCAATCGATCAGAATTTACAACGGCATGAATGGTGTTTTGAATAATATATAAGCAGTAGTTCCTTTTACCCACCTGCGTCGATATTTTCTTGTACCGCCTGAGAAGGATGGTGCATATCCTGCAAACGAAGGACTGTCTTATGAAACACTTTAGGCGCGAGATGATCCTTGGTCAATGCTATTCGCAAAAGGAACATAGATCGAGGTAAAACACATTAGCGATCTCCAATATATAAAGCTGGAGCAGCACGCTTGCCATTGTAGCTGCATCTTCTCACCTTCATATCCCAAAAGCTCGATGACCATATCTGCCAACATGACTGAGCGGGATGATGAGCATTGAATTTCAAGTCTGCCAGACAGCTCACCACCAGCATTGAAGAACGGTCTGTCGAAGATAAGCTGGATGCGGACCTTGCCAGATTTGGAGGCCATCTTTCCAGGCATTGGTGGCACCTCTTCATTCGCCGGAATTGCTGAGAGCGTGATTTGACGCGAATAAGAATGGGCCTGGGCCGCTCTGGCCTTAGTCTGCGCAATAAGAGAATTGCTAGCCGCGCTCCAATGAAGATCAGATCCTGACTTTGCGAGATTGCAGAGAGGCGCGGTACTGGCGCTGTGATGACCGCTCCTGATGGGCGACATAACAAACTGGGTAGTCGATCCTTGAAGAGCAGACATAGGTCGCGCGACTTTTTCTGACATTACAGGCGATCCTAGTGGAAATGTGGAGTATGTGCTGGCACGATTGGGATGTTGGGATACCTGTTCCTCGGTGATAAAAGTAGCAGGTTCTGTTGCAAACAAAGACTCCGAGGGCTTGGGCAAGCTGAGAGTGGGCGCATCGGGATTTGCCGTGGGCAACTGCGTAGTTGCTGATGGCTCCGGGAAGATGGGCGCAGGCTGCGTGGCAGAGAAGACAGATGGGGAGGGAGCCGTAGGTAGCTGGTCGCGGGGGATCGCAAATCGATTCTGATGCATAGATCCCAAGTTCAAGGACCGCTGAGGTTGCAGTTGCTGTGATCGAGGACTCTGTGAGACAGAGGCGTATGCGCTGTGATAAGTCGAGTGCTGATAGGGAGGGCCATAGTAGCCTTGCTGCTGCTGGTGTTGATATTCCTGCGTGTTAGGATGCTGTGCACTTGCATTTACTTCACGGTAATAACGGGATTGCTGTTCATACTGTTCATATTGTTCATATTGTCGCTGTTGTTCGTGGTAGTTGTGCTCCGGATATCTTGAATGCTGCGGTCGGGGATATGACTGGTAGTGTCGTAGCTGTCCTGGTGGTGCTGAATGAGAGACATGCATGCTGCTGGATCGTAGAAGGGCGGGTTCGTTTTGTGGAATGCCAGGCGCTTGTCCCACCATAGTGGTATCAGATGCAGCTGAAGGCATTCCTTTGGCGTCGTATCCTTGGTACGATAGAGGGAAATGCTGATCTAGTGATGAGTATATGCTCTCCGGCTGTCGTGGCTGAGGCTGTTGGAAATGGACCGGTTGCTGTCTCTGTGCGTAAATGGGCTGGATATGCATCTGTACTAGCGAATTCCGCTTCTGTTTCTGTTTCTGTTTCTGATCCAGACTCAATTGCTGGTGCTGGTGCTGGTGCTGGTAGTGTGTGCCGTGAAACTGCTCCTGTGTTGGTGACCAGGTAAGCGACGGTGATATCATGGCCTGCGGAGACATGGCCGAAGATGAGGAGCGACGGCCAACACTCGAGCGGTGCTCTAATATCAAATCGTCCTGTTGGCGAGCCAAGACATCTTTGTCGCCCATGCTTTAGCAACGACCCTCAGAGGATTCTCGATATAGGGTATGGCGTTTGTGTTGGTCAATGAAATGTCTTTGGACTCGAGAAAATTCAGGACAGGGCGTTGAGATGCATTGCACACAACAGTGCTTGATGAGACGCTTAACTGTTGTGAAATGAATATGTCGTGGGCGATTGTCTTCTGAGTAAGGTCGATACGCTCTATATAAGTTTGAAGCAGGTACAAGGGCGAATTAGTATTCGAACACCCGTTCAATAAAACGATATGGGAAGGACGATAGAGAGATATGAAGAAATGTATGGAAGATGTATGTATGCGCGCACAGTGTGCTCATTGTTTATCCAAGTGCAATCGTACGTGGGTTTTGGAGGATGCCGTTGCTGTCCAGACCAAAGCTCCTGGTTGTTGATGCTTTTGTTGTTATTGTTGGGGTGTTGATAAGTGCCTCGTTAGCTGTTCTGACGACAGAGTAACGATGACACGGAGAGCAGCCGAATGATTCTGGGCTTTAGATCGGGCGCGGTAAAATGAAAGAGTCCAGCTGTCCCACGCAGCCTAGTCCCAAAGAAGCAAGGAACAGCAGCAATCAGCTCATGTTAGTGCACTCCTTCTTTTCGCGGGCGATTGAAAGATCGAACACACGTAGAGGCAGGTCGTTGTGTTGGACTTCACATGCGGCAGCTATCCATGCATCCATCCTTGCCCACGATCGATTGCACGGTTATGTCGTTGTTTTTCCTTCTTTTCAATGATGAAATCCTCCCCTTGTGCATCTGCAAAGGTCCAGCGAATATCTTCATGGTTTTCATACCCTCCTCTCTCTCTCTCTCTCTCTCTCTCTCCCCTCCTCCTCCCCCCCTCCCCTGGATACGACAGTTGATCTGCAGAGTCGTCCAGGGCTAGCCAAAGCTCAGTGCCCCCAATGAATTCGAGGCGAGGTGTCGATCATGTCATCAGCTCAGACTTGGAGGGTACTGCAGTCCCTGAGAACCCTGTGAAATTGCTGGGCTCATTTTTAGAGCACGACCGCCGTAGGTTACGTGAACGGACAGCAAAGGCTTACGGATGAGGGCACTTGGTTGCAGGGATGGGCAGGGATGGGCAGGGATGGGCCGGGATGGGCCGAATGGCGGTCTGAATGAAAGGAGTCGTGGTTCGGTGGAGGCAGATCCGGAGGGCGGTGTGGACGAGGAAGACTGCTGTCGTGCACCCGGAGAGACTGGCGGGCAGGGAAACGAGGCGTGAGCAGAGGCGCCTGCTGGGTCTGGTTAAAAGGGCGGCGGACAAGGCGGCTGTCTGGCACGGGGGGGGGAGTGCTGTCTCTCGCAGAAGTCTCTCGCAGAAGTCTCTCTGCCTGAGACATTTTTCTGCCTCTTCTGCCTCTTCTGTCTCTTCTGTCTCTTCTGTCTCTTCTGCTCGACTGCCGCCGCTGGTCTCACTCTGACCTCGATCGGCATTTTGCATTTTGCATTTCCCTGCCAACGGGCGTCCCTCTTGCCGCCAAAACAGTGTTTCTTTCTTTTCTTTCTTTTCTTTCTTTTCTTTCATTCTTCCTTCCCTGTGGCTGTTCCTCCGCGGATGCACGTGTCCACCACCGCTGGGGGGACCCGCATTCTCTTCCCCCCCCCCCATGGCGCCCTTATTTGCTGCAAAGGCACATCAAACAATCGAATCCTACCCAATTGATTACGTCCTCCTGACAAGAACGACAGAGCCTAGGTGGGCCTGAGCATGGTACTGAAGATAATGGGATCCTGTCCTGACAGGACAAAGTAAAGGCATCCAGCATTCTCGATCATCTCTCGGGGGGCCTCAGCATACGACTTGCAAGGAACCCCTCGAGTGGATGGAGACAACCGGAGATGGCCAATGGACTACATGGATGGAGGATTGGAGGAGGAACTGCGGTCTAGATGCTTTCCCTCAGAGCCTTGTAGGCTTACACATGGTGTGCATTATTCTTTTATTTTCATACTATTACACTATTACACAAGTATTGCTGCTTGCTTAGTAACTACAGCTCATAAGTCGGTGGGGAGCTTGGTCCGCGCTTGTCCTTCTGCTCTTCGTGCTCGATCAACAGCTGCTTATTCTTGCTTGATACGACAAGGTCCGTGATCACCAACACTGCCAACACACATCCCGCCCATGCTGCGCCCTTGTAGAGGCTGCAGAGACCATCCGCTGAGGCACAGACAGCCTTGGGAAGGAATGTAGTGAGGATATTAATGAGTTTTCCAAGCAGGCGGTAAATGTTGACCTCTTGGATGATAATAAAGCTCTTGAAGCCAGTGTGCAGTGCAAGATAGAGCATGATGATCGGCCGGACATAGGAGCTTGTCCTGAAGTGGACCTGAGCAAATCTCAGGTAGACACAAATGGTTTGGAGAACGCCCTTGAAGCCCGGACTGGTGGTGGATGGTTGGTGGATGGGGATACAGGTGATGAAGTACATGATAAAGATGACCGCCGGTGGCATGATGCGCTCGAGGCGGCTGTCTTTTGCTGGGTCTGAGGAGAGGTGGAACGGAAGCGGCATATCTCTGCTGGTGGCCATGGTTGTGGAGGCGATGTGGAGTATACAGGTGACGAGAGCCAGCAGGCCGAGGAAGATCTGGAAGATGTAGATGAGACGAGGGATATTGACCCTTGGCGGGTCCCGCAGCATATGTGACGATGGCGAAGGCATGGTGTGGTGTAGTTGCGGGGTTCGTTACAGCAGACGTTCCTTGAGGATGTTGTGGAGAGGTGAGTGGGCTCGAAGATGGATGGCGGCCGAGAAAGGAGGGCAGGGCAGGGGCGGGAGATGGGCCACCTTTTATACGAGCTCGATCCTATCATGGTGATGTATGTCGCACAGAGCGTATGTGTGTTTTGTTTGCTAGTGCGTGTGTGTGGATACGAGTGAATGGATGAGCGAGCGTGTGCATGCGTGTGGCTTTAGGCACAGTCCTCGAGGGAACCATACAAGCGCGGTGAAACGCGCGTGGTGGTACCAGGGGCAAGGCTGAAACTCAGTAGATTGCACATAGCGGTCTATAATAGTGCTCGGCGAAATAAATTTACGGGGATTTTCAATAGGGCATGACGAGGCGGGAAATGAAGAGCCTACGGCGATACCGAGGCGCACGGCTGTTTATTTTTTTTAATGCTGAGCACATCACTGACTCTGAAACAGGAATGTCTGCTCATGAGTGGTTCCTGAAAAAAATCTTGTTGCCACCAAAAAAAAAAAAAAAAAACGAGACCCCAAAGCCACGCAGAGTGACTGTCTGCTTTGTTTTCTTTCTGTCTTGGAAAGAGGAAGAGGGACCGACGGCAAAGTCCTGAAGCGACAACGACCTTACTTGACCCGTCAACCATCCTTATCCCTCCGCTCACGTCCAGGGTCTCTTTCCGCACCACTCGGAGACACTAAATGGCTCATCTAATGGCTGCAATAAACAGGAGGTCGTTCCTGTCAAACGTCGCTCTTGTCTCAAATCCCAGGCTTGTCCAACAGTGGAAGCCAGGCACACCCTGCCAAAGCACTCTTCGATCCTACTCTCGCAAGTAAGACATGTCATGGCGTTACCTTCGATATCATTGCCGCTCATCTTTGTTTTTCTTCCGCAGTGAAGATGCTGATACAATCAACCGCCCTGCTTTAATTACAATCCTGCGTATAGGGTAAAGACCAGGATCCAGATCGAGACCTCAGAACTGGAACACGAGATTCGGCAACTGGAAAAGACGATTATTGAACAAGAGCGGAAACTAGCGGCAAAGCGGACGTATGAAGAGTCTATTCGGGAATCCGAGCAACGCTCAGAGGCGGCAAAAGCTATCTACAAGAACCTGACATCCCCTGTCGCAACTACATCAGCTCCGAAGCAGATCTCTGGCAATCCCAATGCACATTCGTTTCTACCCGAGACCTTTCTTCAGGATCTAAAGCTCACTTTCCTGGATACCCGTGGCGCAAAAGATGATGCGATCAGGCAGTTGCAGAGCGGTCTATCATCGACAAAGGAGCTGCTTGCTGCGACATCTGGAGCTAAGGATGGCCAGGAATCGGAAAAGGAGGCCAAAGAAGATTCATCAGGCACCATAGCGACAGCTGACAAGGATGCCAACGCTTTAGCTTTGGAGCGAGTTGGAAAAGTGGGTATCGACAAGTGGAACCAACTGATCTACGTAAATGCCCTTGAAAGAAACTCCAACAATGCTGAGCAGGTCATGCAGATGATGGAGGACGTCGGAGTCCAGCCCAACATGGAATCGTTCAGTTACCTTATGGAGGCGTACGCCAATTCAGGTGAATTGAAGAAAGCGCAAGACACCATTGAGCTCATCCTGAAAAGTAAGTTACGCCCAGGATGGTTGGGATATTTTCGTCACTCTGGAGCCAGAGAGATCAGTCGGCTAAATCATCTCTCCTCCTTTATCCTCTTAAATAGGCGGTCTTGTCCCAGCCATACCGGCATACAACTCGCTTATGAAGATCCATGTCCGAAGACGAGATATTACGGGCGCATTCAAGGTTTTTGAAGCCCTCAAGAAGCACCACAGTCCGGATGTTGACGTGTTCACCAATTTAGTCAAAGGATGTTTACGAGCAGGGGAGTATGATCTTGGCTGGAAAGTTTTTGACCAGATGCAGCGCAGTGGAGCGACACCCGTGGAAAGCACCTACAGTCTTATGATTCATGCCTGCGCAAAGACGGACCAGGTCGAGAGGGCTCTCGATATCTTCAGGACCTATCCCAGTAGACACCTGCAGCCCACAGACGCCACCTTCAACAGCCTCATTCATGCCTGCGCGATGCGACCAGAGTACTTTGCGACGGCGTTTGCGCTTCTTAAGGAAATGCAGGACGTGTATGGATTCGAGCCCGATATTCTGACGTACAACACTCTGCTATTTGCGTGCTCAAAGCGACAAGATCTTTTGACGGCTCGTAGAGTCTTCCAGAAGGTGGTGCAGCTAGATAGCGAAGGCGTCTTGGCATTGGACGGCATCACTGTCACCAATTTTTTGTGGTGTATTACAGAGTGGAAAGACACAGAAGTGCATCTTCGGAACCGCAAGTACCGTCTGAGAAATCTGGAACATGGACAGATCCAGCTCGGTACAACAACGTCCTCTGTCATCCAGACCGCTCCAGCTGAGATTTCCATTCGCCCCCTATATTTTTTGCTCCCCGAGCGGCCCCCGAAGGACGAGCGAGAGGCACTGGCTGAAGGGGAGTCGGTCTTTTCATGGTTCGTCTCGCGATCTGCCGAACGCTTCCCTTTCCTGGAAACCGAAGCCAAACCTCTAATGCAAGGATTTGAGCAGGGAGAGGATTATTCTAGTTCTGACGTCGCTACCACCAACGACAGTGCCACAGATCTTTCTCTACCACGACTTTCGTTTCAATCACCTATCCGAACTCGACTCTTGAACGCCTATCTCGCCATGCATGTGCGTCATCAAGATATAGACAAATCGATCGTGATCTACAGGAAATATTTTGGCCATTTTATGCGCAAGCGTGACAGCTGGACCTATGCAACCATGCTGGAGGGCTGCTATTACTGGAAGAATGTCGACCTTGGCGCGGAGGTGTTCAAAGACTGGCGAGACTGGCGCAAGAGCACGGGCAAGTTGACCGAAAAGAAGACACGGCAAGCCGACTATCAATGCTACCGCCGCATGGTCAATCTACTAGCCAGGTATACAGCCACTATGCTATTTCTTCTTCATCGCAGTATCGACCACTGCCTAAATGTTGTTATTATGTTCCTGAGTCATATTCGTTCCGATCCCCGCTAACCAAAGTTTCTTTTTCTCTCTTGCTATCTACAGAACAAATCACCTGGACGAATCGATCGCTCTATTGGAAGAACTCTCCATCGCGGCGACGCCCACCAATACCCGCCTGCGTTCCGAAATAGCAGCCGCAGCCGCAGCCGCAGCGACATCCAAATCGTCGGAGGGACTGATTGCACTATCGTCAGCATCTACTATATCACCAACCACCACATCAAACGACGAAAGCGAGCTGACTTCATCGCTGTCGTTCCTAGATCCCATCCAAGACGAAGCAATTCTCCCTATTTACCCAAAGCTGAAGGATTTCCCGGTCGTCTATACCAAGACATGGGAGCTCGAGGATGAAGCCGCGCGTAAGATCCTACTGCGGCTTTGTCATGGCAAGCCCGACAGCGTCTCATCGTCGTCTTCTCGGTCTTCAGCCGAAGGAAAGCCCCTGCAGGGCGAGTCGGAGACTGAGGACTCGATATTACCTGACTATCAGGACAAGCGTCAGGCGCGGTACCAGAAGAGTATTCGCAATACCGCGATCAAGTGGAAGGGCGAGCATCCTCAAGAAAAGGGATTCTATGTCGGAAATCGGCGCTTCCGAGAGCTGGACCAGGATTTGTCAAAACGGAGTCAGGACCAACGAAGGCGCTAGTGATTTAATCAACGTTTCAATCTTATCTGCATTTTTTAGAACCCTGTTCGCCATAGAATTGTACAATATAGCATGCATTAACTGTAAAAGATGTATTCATGATCGATGCTCTACCTTCAAAGTATTCGGAGTGTTCTGTTCCTGACAATATGGCCTCATATAATGGTTCAAAAAGCTTTTTTATTCTTAATGCTCATGGTCGTTATTTGGCCATTTGTATTCTAGATTATTGATGTGCGTTGGGAAGAACCCATAATCAAACATGGGCTCGGGCCTGGGCTCAGCACTGGCAGTGTGCCACTCTCGATCGTTGCGGGGTCAAGTGGACCCTCGTCCGTTACAATAGAAACGAAGCAAGCCTCCTTTGCCCGTAATTGTCCTTCTCGCCTGCGTTCCTCTTTACGCTGGTGGCGATGGTGATCTCGGCTACGTTGATGATCCCGTTGCACGATTCCATATTGAGGGAAATAGTGTAATTCGTCTCTCAGTCCTGACCGATGCTGCTTCAGCCAATGACCCGACTGCTCGGCTGAGTAGAGGTCCCTGCGACAGTGTTGCTCTTGATATAGATCTGCAGACTGGCGGTGCCTCATTTTACGCCCTGGTTGCGTGGAAACTGCGCGTCTTGATCGGGTACACTTTTCGCTCGTTTCCGCCCCTTGATCGCTATTATGAGAAGAACACGAGGGATGTAGCGCGCGCGATGGCAAGAGAGGATGATGCCAGAGACAGGACAGTTCGAGCTTGCTATGCTCCGGATGCGCAGATGACGGCAGAAACGGATCAGGGGGGACACCCTTTTCTCCTCTGACAGGAACTGCAGCCTTGGTATTGTCTATGGCCTTTGTTGTCGAATCAAGAATCCCGACAGTTGCTGTCTTGCCCCCTAGTGCGTATGCTAGCTGCCATGGCTTGGCAACAAACGAAGGTCGCGCGTGGATTCCAAACAATTGTTTCTTGAACGGTTGGTATTGTTTTTGATTTTGTCCCATGCCGCTGTCTCTTGGATGCGCTCGGTGGCGACGCTCGTTTCCGTCATGAATTCTGTCAGCTACAACCAGCGGTCCGGGGATATTGTTACTATCGTAATACTTCGACTTGACTCCATCAATAGGTATACCCTGAATCTCAATGGCCGCCAACCTGTGCCCGCACTTTAACACCACGTCCTTCCGATCCAGCTTTCTTCCGCTCTCTATCCAACTTATGGCTATAGGCGCCAGAGAAACTGAGCTGTAGGAACTTGACCTATTCTCACTATAGCCACAGCACGGTTCATGTCCACCAGGAAGAATACCCTGTGTCCGCCCACTGCTGTCCTGGCGAGCCTTTTGCGCTCTGCGTTGCTGTCTTCTGCAGTACGCAAGGACAATCACCAATACGACTATACTCAAAGAGCCGACAAGCCCCGCGATGGCGGTGATCCATGAGGTGTTATAGTCCGAGACTGTCTGCAATAATATTGGCGTAGCTGTGGCTGTATAGGTTAGGGTGGATGACAATGGACATGGTAACGAGGAGGTGGGTCTTGATGCTGCGAAGGATGTGTCTGTTGACTGAGTCAGGGACAGTGATAAAGCAGTAGAGGACAATGATATTGTCAAGGTGCATAGTGACAACGTCGAATATGGCAAAGGCGATGAAGATGGAGATTGCAGCGGTGACAAGGTCGGAGGTGTGGATGGAGAGAGCGAGGGATTTGGCGAGGGATAAGGTGAGGGCGAGGGACTTTTCGAGGAAGAGGTAGGGAAGGACGATATGAGGAAGGTCCCCATTGTTTCTACAGGAGGAGCTATATGAGTCGTTAGAAGTGAAAAAGATGAATTTGAAGCCATCGACGACAAAGGTGTGGATAAAGGAAAACGAAGTGGAAGCGATAGAGGCGCCGACGGCATGGTCAGGAAAGCAATGGTTGATAGCTGTGAAAGTGCGCCTTATGGTCATATCACATCCACAATGAAAAAATAGATGTGCCACTAGGGATGCTAGCCTCTTCTACCAACACCATGTGGATCCCGATATGAAGAGTAGTCAGTGCTCACAAAAAATAGAAAATACCCCACCGGAAACCGGACCATCGTAGTCGACGCGGTGGCCCGGCCAATCAAATGGCACCATTAACTTTGTTGACTGATATGATATGTCAATTAGAGGTTTCTTTAATACCTTTCCCTACTCATATAGTCATATAGTCTATCCTGCTATCCGCTGAATTTCTTATGGTCCTTTGTTATGATCCGAAGGCTCTCGTGCCCAGCCTCATAGAAAACTTTGGCCTTTGTCATAGCGCTTTGACAATGTATATTCGGATGATAACAATTAAAAGCAATATCTTATTTCCCCAGAAGAGTACAGCACCGTACGCGGCCTCGACCATAGCCTATTCTTTCAACCTCTCGCTCCTTGCCCGTAATATGCTAATCGATTTTGACAGCGGAGTAGATTCTTCGGACAAACCAGTACGCGCTGATGAAGCCAGTCGTACCCGTCAAGAGTGCATAGATGATGCAGATCATTAGACTGTTGGTGAAATAAATCAGTCCTGGTACAAAGTGGTCAATCGAGAGCTGCTTCATAAAGAAGACCATGCTGTACAAAAAGATATAGACTGCCGAGAATGATGGCACAAAAAAACTCCGCCACCACCAATTGTAGTCCTAAATGAAAGGACAAAATAAGAGTTAACAGGTGGCTAAGTATTAAGATCCCTCTACAGACTGCAGCAGGAAACCGGAAGGAGATACGCGTACCGCTTCGCTTTCGCTTTAAAGACGGCATTCGTTTTAAAATGAACATTTACCTCTTCGCAAAGCTGGATATAGGTGATGACGACAGAGACCTCAACACAAGTGATCAGCAGAATCACAAAGACCAGGCTCAGAAATCCGAACATGTAGTAGTACTGGCCTTCCCAGATTGACTTAAGAATGTAGAAAAGCTCGATGAAGATCACGGCAAAAGGCAAAATAGCACCCATTACGATCCTATTGGAGTAAATATCAATGAACATGACAACCCATATTAAGATCACGTACTACACATGCGTGGTTTATGTTCACCAAAAAAGTGCTGTATTCTGCAAGAGCACTTACGAGTATCGAGGGCGCACGAATCGCACGGGCTCGGGAATCTGGCGTGGGATCTGGTTAGTCCGTCCAGGGTGCTCGATAACTGCCTTGCGTTGTCCGAAGAAGGCTCCAATGAGAGAGAGAGGGAGTGAGATGCCGAACCACATCACCGCCAGAGCAAAGAACGTTCCAAATGGGATGGCATTCGACGAGTTTTTGGACCAGACAAACAAGTTGAGCATGAAGACGAGGGTCATCAAAAAACCAGGCACCAATGTCGCTGTCACGATGGCATTTTTGGTCCAGGACGTTCCACGGAAGACCTTATAGAGACGAGCTGAATAGTATCCTGCAAATGCACTACGTCCCAATATTTATGAACAAGAAAATAAATAACTGTTAGCATTATCGAACGTCGTTAAACAAGAGCATATAGGGAGCACAAGGTAGGGATTGGTATGTCCTTACCCAGCGAACACAAAGAGAAACAATCCGAATGACACAAATCCGCCTCTGTAAGATGGGTTCAAAATTCCTAGGAGGGCAAAGACTATAACAAGCATTTAAGGAAATTGTTAACTAACACTGCCTTGATTGCTGTAAGCAGTTCGATATGTAATATTCCTTCAGCTTACTGATGGTAGTGAAGGCCATGACAAGGACCTGCACTCCTGATCCAAGGATAGCGCAGAGTAAGGAAGAGTATTTCGGCGTTCTGAATACATCACCATGAACTAGCTTCCAACCCGAACCATCATCCTGATCATCTTTCATCTCCTCCTCGTTGTAGATTGCAATGTCCTTCCTCAGCGACCTCATCATGATGAGGGCAACCAGTCCTGCCAGGAACACCATGATGACGATCGAATTGACGATCGAATACCAATGGATCTGAATATCGGTGTTGATAAGGTACAGGTTCCAGCGGTTGTTCCAGGTCACTTCTTTGTCCTCGATCCATTGTACAGAGTATGTGTACTGAATATCCACTTCCTTATCCGAGACTGTCTGGAAAGCTCCAACTTTGAGAGGATCCTTAGGGCAAGAGTCATTGTCCCCTTGATCGATTCTAATTTGATGTCAAAATGGTGGCTTTAGTCAACCGGAAAGCTAAATGTTGCATGTCGATTAGCTGATCATTTAGGCGAGCACTTACGAGTATGGAGATACCTCAAAGCCAACAATCAGCTTTCCGCCGGATGGGCCTGGTTGACTCTGATAGAGGATGCGGATCGTAACATGATTGTGAATGTTACTTTTCGACTGTTGCGGAAAAAGAGAGGAAATGATGATGTTAGAGTGAGGGACCCGGTAGGCCGTTTACAGGGACATTTAATGAGGCAGTTCTTACCCACTTGACCTTGCCTAAAGGAAAACCTGCTCTATACCGCCACTGCTTGATAGCCCGGCCATCTCCTAGATTATATCGCGTTGCCCCAGGCAAGTTGTCCACGATCCTACGATGTGTAAACCAGACACACAACAAAGATGAGCGATATACACAGCAGTTGAGATTGAAACAAGATCCTGATCAACTCCAAAAGGCACTGACCATTCCACGCTGTAGTCGTTCGCAATGAAGTCCCTTGCAAGAGCCGCGTCCTCGGTCGACACGCGCTTTGTGCATAGAGTCTTGCAATCGATATCTCGACCAACAACCAACTAGTCAAAGCAGTGTTATTCATTTGAATCCGTATGTGAGCAGTGGGCGATAAATTTAGACCGCCGGGGCGGTACTTGTTACTCAATTCTCATTAGGGTCTTCAGATCACACTTTCGTTTGGAAGATGATCTCCTCCTGCATTACCTCATAGTCTGATGTCGAGATACGATCGCCTCTTAGGACCTCGCCCAGGTTGAGCCATGCCTTCTTTGCATCCTTCGGTGGGGGACACACAAACGGCAGGTCTGCATAGGCGTATGGCAAAGGCGACTTTTCTGAAAAGATCTTATTCACATATAAGGGTACACGGTCCCCCTCGTGAAAGACTGTTGGACTAATGCCTGGGATATAGAAGGCGGTTCCAAATGATGGTAGAGAGGAGAGGGCAACGAGCGCTGTGGCCAAGACGGCAGAGGCGCCCGCACGAAATGAGACCATGACTTTTTATGTGCAGGGATATGTAGATACCGAGACGGAGCAGGGGACAGGTCTGACTTGGTAGTATGTTCTAAACCTCACTCGGTTAGAAATGAAGTGATTCGGCGAGGATGATAATAAAGCAGATGTGGATGTGGATGGATGATGAATGCGTTCGTTGACTTGGGACGGGCCACAAGGAGAACGGCTCCAAACCCCTTAACACCGCCGCCGCGCCAATAGCACCCAATCAAAAAAGAGTTGCTGTGCTGCCAAGTTTGCTTAGACTGCACCCCCTCCTGTCCGGCTCGACCATTGCGTGTATGGGAGCATCTAGAGATCATGGGCATCCAACATCAGGTACCTCATATTTTCCATGGTCTTTGGTAGCATGGAAAGCATCGAGGACTGCATAGTGAGGTACGAAGAAACAAGATGAGCGGGCGAACAATTAAGGTTGATTGAGAATGGCAAGGCGCAGGCAAGAGAATAATTTTCCTTGCTAGCCCCCATGCACAGCTCCGGCTGGAGTCATCTGGGAAAATGAGGTGCATCTTTCAGCTGCGACTATGCGCTTATCCCAAAGACAACTCTGATCTCCTCCTTTAACCATTGGCACCTATAGTCGATCTTCTCTTTGGCCATTTTTTTTTCTCGCTATGATCTGCACATATGAAGTGCAGCATTTATATTTAAAAGCGCATGGCACACGCAGGTACGCTATCTGGAGACAAAGTGCATACCTTCGAGGAAGCGGAAGCGCCTTCCGACTTGACGTGGTAGCTGGTTCAGCCTGCTATGAAAGAGCTCACTGCTACAGCCGATCGCCAGCGTTTGCAGTAACGGTCGCTCCTGTAGCCAATTCGTATGGAAGGAGGCGGAGCCAGGTGCAGGAAGAGGCACCTCTGGGTCACGGCCCAATCCTTGGAACACCGCAAAGTCGTTCAATCGAGTAGCAATTGTCAGATCCACCAGTCTTGGGATCTGTCTCAACGTAAGGTTCAAAACTTGCAGCGCATCCTCTTCCAGGTCCTCGATATCTTCCTGCCTCCTGAGGCGAAGTATTTGAAGAGTCTCCAAGAACGGTAGGCCCGATTTGCATGTCTCTTGGTCCCAGAACCTGAGGATCAAATCCGGACCGAACTCTGTATCAAGGCCGATAAGTCTTGAACAGCACCCTTGTCTCAGTATCCTCTCCATGCCTTCTTCATTCACTTTACGATGATTGAGGTCCAGACATAGGTGCCTCAGTCGTACATTACGACGGGTCCACTCCTCCGCCATTTCTAACAAATCCTGGCTGCTTACGCTGCATCCCGTCAGTTCCAGCGATTCCAACCTCGGAAGTTGGCCTAAGAACCGATACAGGGCATGTTGATCCGCCTGAGAACGCGAGTTGGTGCGTCGCACGCTGACATGCTTCAGATTCCTGCAAAGCTCTCGATCAGCCGCTCCTGCATCGATATCTAACGCGCTCTTCAAAACGCCATCGGCGTCACTGTTGAAGACATCAAATACTGTGTCTCTACAGATCATGATAAGAGCCTTCAACCTCGGAAACATCCTCAGCAATCGAACGCGTCCAACGCCAGAGATATCGCACTGATCTAGCTCGACCGAAAGAATGTTTGGAAACCTTGCCGTGGCGGCATGCAACGAGTCGATCCCCTCCAGTGGTTCAGATACATCCATGATCTTGGCGTTTCTTAGCGAGAGGGATGTTAGGGATGAGCAGGCACCGAGTATCGATTGAAGGGTGTTCCAGGGTAACGAGAGCGTCTCATCCAACCCAGTGGTACAGATATCCAGATCAAGCGACTGCATCTGTGCAGCCGCACCGAACTCGAGTACGACCTTGACCACGGATTTCAGCGTGATAAAACCTTGTGAGTGGATGATGAGATGCCTCAGATTTCTGGGACTCAGTCGCATGACGTCCTCTAGGAATTTGACGTCCAGACTGCAGTCGAAAATCTCCAGGGAGTTGACATTGATGCATTTCTGAATAACGTCCGCGAGCGGTGGCGATACTTGGTCGAATGTTTGAAGTCGGAGACCGGCGATAAGATCTGTCGGGAATTGAGGATCTGATGCTGCATCGGGGAGCGTTCGGCCGTTGAGTGGAAAGGTGATTCCAAAGTACGGGATGCATGCTATATACAGACGTTTGGAGACGAGGCGCAGGCGGTGGACCATCCTTGGATTCATGAACGCAAGGATGTTTGCCCAGAGCTCAGCGATGGCGGCGACTCGTTCTAAGGGACTTTTATCGGATGTAGGTGTCTCAGCGTCCATGTCATGAAAGTGCATAGTAAACGGCAATGGATGGAGAAGCAATGGACGTTGTGACACTGCGAATACGACAATAGGCACATTCGTCACAAAACTCTAAACGCGTCGAGCTATGCATCATGGACCGATCGCAACATTTTATTTGCAATACGCTTCGATCCCCATGGTTTATTTGAACATCAGGGTGAAAGGATAGCCCGGGTTCTTGACCTTGAAGAACTGGAGCAGGATGCTAAACATGAACGCAAACACACCCATCGACACCCAAACAGCCACCCTCTGCATCGTCGGGTTCTCGATTCTTGGGACAATGCCGATCAGCGAGATGACACTTCCAGTGAGAATAGCATCTATTATAATTTGGAGAAAGGGCGAAGATCATGTTAATGGTGCGTTGTTGATCGCACCACCCTGGCCCGCAAACATAAACAGCGTGAACTTCGTCCACTGAGGTCCTGCCAAGCTCTAAGTAATCAGGATTAAGAAAATAGCGTACAGATAACGGCCACGATCTGAGTCTCGAGTCCAAACTGGTTCTGAAATCCTTGAGCAATGAATCCAGGCCGACCATCGCGTCCGGGAACGGTGTAAGGCGGGTTGCGGATCTGGTTCCACATGTGTCCTGAGATCATGATAAAGATCGTGAACTACACATACATAGATTGTCGTACAGAACATCAGTCAGTAATGGGGCCAAACGGGTCGAGAATGAATAAAGAGCTTAGATTGGCCATTGATTGTGTTCCGCACCATGGAAATCGCAGACCACAGATACTTGCTGGTCGAAACCTTGCCCGCCTTGGCGTAGATCAAAATTCCAGAGGCAATCACAAGCAGGGCAGCAAATGCCTTGACAGCGAACGCGGCAAAGTCAAAAGGGCGCTGGACCTTGACATTAATTCCTGCTCTGCCGTTCAACCAAACTGCAAATGGCTCTGCCAGGAAGCCGCTATTCAGAAAATAAGCGCGGTAGGGTGTATACGGGATGCCGTCAGTACAAAGTCAATCCAGAGATGGCTGTCAAGACACAGCTCAAAGAAAATTGTGCACTTCGATGTACTTTTTAGAAAAGTCGTAGCGGTCTTGGCTTGGCTGACTAGAGATAGAGTCCGAGGGTGGGAAGAAAAGGACCGAGGGAGCACTGTTCATACCAAACTTTTGGAAGATTGCCTGGCCGACCTTGAAGTCGAGAACACCGAAATAGACCTTGGACTTGTCAGGCAGCCTGGACCAGCCAGCGGCCACAAGTTTGTACTCGGGATCAAAGTTTCTAGAAGCATGAATACGAAGAAAAGAAGTTTTGTCAATGAGAAGCGTTGTTCCTGATGACGGGTCATGTATAGCCGATGAGACTGGAGCCATCTGGCGCCGCGTATGTTAAAAAAGACAATCTTACAGGCAAGGGACACATTGGAACTCGGGGCCGATAGCAGTGAAAAGAACAGCCATGGAGTAGTTCCTGGGCTTGGCCATAACTTCTTCAAACGCGTTCGTGTCGAGCTCGATGATGCCTTTATTCTTCTGTGCCTTAGCTTGCAGGCGCTGGACCTTTTTCTGCAGGTCCTGAGCTGCCTGAGGCTGAGCATCGGCAACGAAGGATGATGAGGACGAAAGGACGGCGAGTAGGCCGATGACCAAAGCCAGGAGCAACGTCCTGGTAGACAGACCCATGATGTGCGTTAATGAAGCCGAGAAGGAGTATGATGATGAATTTATGAGAGAAGAAAAACGGGAGGGAGGGTGATGAATTTCTTTGCCGCGAACGGTCGTTATAATAGAAAGTAGCTCGTTTCTCGCTGAAAATACGTCACCGAAGACGATCTTCCCGCGAGGATGTGCCACTAAACTAAAAAGCTAGACTAACTACTATTTGGCAAACTCGCTTACGGCGGGCATCTTGTATGGACGCTGTTCACTTGCGTCCACCTTGCCCTTGCTCCACCGCGCTACTACTGCCGCTGCTTCTGCTGCCGCTGTTGCCGGCTTCTGCGTGCGATCTTGCATTCTGCATCCAAGGGTAGCGCCCATTTTTATCCACCGGTTGAAGATAGAGAGAGCCTTATTGGTTGACCAAATGGCTACGAATCGCATTGGCAATGTTGTGCCCCACCATGATATCACAGTGCATGTAAGACTTGTAAGTCGGTCAGTACAGCCTGCGGATCTCCACCTGCCCGACAAACTGCTTGCACGTCGGGCACTTCTTGGACCTATAGCATTTATTTACACCAACCGCGATGTAACCTAGGGACCTGGCCTATGGGGTACTAGGACGAAGTCAGTAGAATATACGAAACGATTTTACACGACTTGGAATCTCCAGTGATAGTCCCTTACATGTTGAACAAAGTACGACTGGAAGGACCTATGCAGCGAGGAAAACCTCGTCATGGTTGAAAACTTGCCCAAACCGACTCCAATAACCACCTTGTTAGCTTCATCTCTCTTTCTGCCGATCGACCCGTCAACCAACTTGAGCAGGCGATCCGTTATGAATCTGTAATCCGCATCTTTGGCCCTTCCCGCGTCCCATTTGTGTTTCTTGAAACGGTTGTTGCCGTTGTAAAACCTATCAAGTTGTCCTTTTAATGCCCGAGCTCCGTAATATGATACACAAAGCTGGCTCCCTCACCGCGCAGTGGTGGCAGCCTAATCTCAATGTTAGTGATGGACTCTATTCCGTCGCTTAGTACAATGTTTTTTTGCTCCTCAATTCATCTTTTGTGCTTGAACGTGGGTTAGTACACAGCCTTCTGCTTCACTGCAAGATTGTAATAGGTGGCAGGAGTGGTAGTCGGGGTTATACCCTTAGAAGAGCTACTCATATCGACATCAGCATCCTTGCTTCCTGGCGCCATTGTCGTACTGCCGGGATAATCGTTTTTTGGTAGCAACGCGCTCGCTCCGACTACACATGCTTGACCAAGATCGAGACTTAGGATCTTGATTTGATCGGGCGCACATCATCAAAGGTCGGTGACATCCTGCGGGAATCGCCTGTATCTGACCGACTACAGCTCCTTCAGCTCCTTCAGCTTGAAGGCGAGGGAAGATGAAATCCATCAGCCCGAAGAGACCCACGGAGGAGATAGTCACGTTTGGTGCAGGTTCTGGAATTTTGAATTTCGTTCAAGGCATCGTTGTTGCTATGCTCCTGTATAATACTTCAAGACTCTTGGTTTACGCCGTCTGGGCTCACCTCGTCCTACATCTACGAGTAACCTTGTAACTAGTCCTTGATCGGCCAGCCAGTACTCTGTGCCTGCAAACGCAGGACCATAATCGTTGCTCCAATTAGATCCCTGAGTTCCTTCTTGAACACCTCGCTCTGCCAAAAAATGCGGAGCAGTTCCTCTTCTGAGCATGAGATGGAAGCCTGACTAATGGGCGTTACAGAAACTAGCCTGCGAGGGTTTTTGCAGATTTAGCAAGTGAATAAAATCCTCATTCGCCAAGAAGCTGCTACGGGTCTCGATGCTGCGCCCATCTGACAAGATCCCTCTGTCCTTTTGGGCCTTGAGCTATCATAATGAAATTTGGTTTAGCTTCGCGTTCTTATAAATTGCTCCCTGAGTTAAGCCTCAGTGGCGACTGAAGTACTGAAGTCATGTAGCTAAGAGGCAACGGATCGCAGCAACGTTGTTCCTGGGTATGGCATTCTCGTTCTTATTGCAGCCCCATTCCCTTTGTCTAGAAAGCCTAGGTCTTGTACTCGATCGATGAGCCGTCGCATGCACTGGTCGATCTGCGTTTTACCAGGGGATTAAGCGAATAGAGATGTCGCAACAACATGCCAAGGAACTGGGCCTGAGCACTGCCTTGGCCTTCCATATCTTCCTCTTCTTCCTCTTTTTCCTCTTCTTCTTCTTCTTCTTCTTCTTCTGCTTCTGATTCTTCTTCTTCTTTTCAGGATCAACAGCGCCGCAATCAGACGGCTTCTCTGACGCTTCCTTCCAAGGCTTCCATGCGTACTGCTTCATACTCTATAGTGGTGTATCTACAGTATCCTTTTTTTATTTTTATTATCATTATTCAGGGACTACTCCGGTGCCGAGCATATCGAGTGGCCACTTAGGCGCAATGTCTATGTCGTAGCAATCCACAAGGCCCCGCTGGTACCGTTCCAGCCCTGTCCATGCAATCATCACGGCATTGTCTGTACATAGCTTTGGAGGTGGGCAGATTACCTGCACTGGTCGTCTTGCCCTGGCCGTCTCCGTCACACCCGAAGACGTTACTGCTTCCATTCCTACTGCTGAAGGCCCCAGTCCCGGCCCTGCTGAAGTAGTGAGGACTGCTGAATGTTTCAAAGGGTTTGACAGCTCGTACTCAAACCTTTGACACACTTCATCCATCATCGCCCTCAAAATCATATTTCGACCAACGCCCCCACTGATCACTAAGCTGGATATCTGAACTCCTTGCTCCCGACAATCCACAAGCCCTTGCTCCACCTTTTGGCACAGATGTGTCAACGCGCAATGTTGAAATCCTGCTGCCAGGTCTCTCTTCTTCTTCTCGTCCATGACACCTCCGGGATCGCTCGCCTTTTCCTGGTTGACGATCCTGGTCACTGCGCTCTTGAGACCCGCAAAGCTAAACTTCATCTTTCGCTTGTTGGTTCGAAGACTCATCGGGATTGGCAATTGATCCAGGTATCTTAAAGGTGTTTGTGATCCTTTTGCAAACTCTTCTAGACTGGCACCTGGACCTCCAGCACGACCCGGCAGCCACGGTATATCGAGCTCACGCGCTGTCTTGTCAAACGCCTCGCCAACAGAGTCATCCACCGTCGTAGCCAGTGTCGTGTATCGATCCACAGAGTGGGCGACAAGCAATAGTGTGTGCCCACCTGAGACCAAGAGGGTTAAAAACGGAAAAGACGGATACGGATCTGCTCCAAGCAATTTCCCTGGTGAGTCTGGATCTTTAGTCGTCAGGCGAGCTGTGAGTGCGTGCGCTTCCATATGATGCACACCAATTAACGGCTTGTTTAATGCGGCAGCAAGGGTTTTAGCCGCATTTAATCCGACTCCAAGACAGTGGGCCAGTCCAGGACCCCTTGTTACAGCTATGACGTCGATCTCCTGAATACCACGCTCACCCAGCCCTGCCTTTTGGATAGCCTCTTTGACGACCTCGGGTAGGTTGCGCATATGAGCGTGGTGGGCGAGTTTCGGGACGATGCCACCCATGGGCTCGTGCAAGTGATGCTGTGTGCGAAGCACCTCTGATAGGATCTGGCGTTCGGAGGTGACGATAGCAGCACATGTGTCGTCACATGAGGTTTCGATGCCTAGGGCGATCAATGGTCGTTGTTTCGTCGTCGCTGATATGGCAGAGGTTATTGCCGAGAGCGTGGTATGATGGGCGGGAGAGTTAGAGGGCGTCGAGGACGGCGAGGAGCTGATCAGCCGTGATTGAAGGAGAGCTAGATGTGGAAGTGATCTGCTGAGAGTCTTTGCTGAACAAAGACAAGGTGATGCTCTGAAACGAGCTCGGGCGAATCGGTGTAGCAGTGCTGCTTCCATGATGAGAATCAGCCAAGGGATCGATCGTTGGAGAAGATGAAGTTGAAATTCAGGAACGCCCCGGGCGTTGGTGTCTGGTACAGCACGATACTCGGTACAACAGTCTGCGTCACATGATGAGAGGCGCCAGGAACGAGGAACGCTAGCCTTCTTTCTCTTATGCTCGCGAATCGGACGAAGCCTGACAAGGTCTTTGCCAGTTCGGCGGCTACCAAAAAAAGGGAGGAGAAAAGTAGGCCGCCAGAAGCACCCCTACATGGAGGTACATACATCGCGATAGCCAAAGGCTTTAAAGAGCACGGTTTAGATGATACAAGGCGTGGGATATGAAGAGAAGTGAAAATAGTCAGGCATGTGGAGAAGGGGGACATGGGTGTTGTTGCTGCATCTGCAATTGGACCGTGAATGTTCTTGCAGCAGCAACAGGAACAGCAGCAGCAACGCCAGGAGGAGCACCCACAGGAACTACCAACCACCAACCATCACCCTCGCAATCCGCAGACACAACAAACTGCTCATATTGCATATGAGAGCAAAAGTACTAAAAGATCCTTCCCAGGGCAGGCTGCTGTTGTTGAAGCTGTTGTTGAAGCTGTAGAACGGGCTGGACTCGGCACAGTTCAACTCAACTGGACTCGCTTGGCAGGACTCTTTTTTTAGCAGTTCTTCAACATTCGGCATCCTAATCTACCTTCTCATCCAACCACTTTCCCTCTCCACTCGACACTCATTAACTGCCTGAACGATCACCGCATCCTGCTCTGTTCCCCTTCTGGCCTCCCTCTCCCTCACTCAGTCTTATTTAGATTTTCTGGAGCGTGAAGTGTGCAGCGTGCAGCGAAGTGTGCAAGAGTTTAGGATCCCCTTTTCACCCAGGGCCAACCCCGCTACCCCATCCCCCGCGATTACCAACACCCCTCTTCCAGAACCTCGGCTCATCATCCTTACACTCTCTGTCTCTTCTCCTCTTCCACTCTGTTTGTCGCCATGGACTCCTCGGACCTCAACTGTAAGTGATCACCCTCGTGCTCCTCGCCCTCCCGCATTTCTTTTAAATAATGACATGGTCAAATAAGCAATAAGAGCAGGAGCTGGATTTTAGAGCAGGAATAGGACTGATTCCACACTACCCCTCGGCATCAATTGGAGGATAACCTTGTTTGTTGAGCGAGGAAAGAGAGCTTGAACTCTGCTGGATAGAGTTGCTGGCGGTGTCACCCAGGTTGAGTGCATGATAGCAGGACAAAATGAAGACATCGGATTGGACTCTGGCCAATGCTCAGTCGAACGACTCCACCTAAAAAAAAAGAGAGAGGCCAATCGAGGACCACGCCTACTTACATGCCTGCGTGCTTGCGTATCACAAATATGCAGTCCAGGCTCGTGGAGGAAACGAAGGAGGGGCAATAGCAATAGCACAATGGGCATGGACATGGACATGGACATGGACAATAGCAGCAGTGGTTTCTTATTACTGCATGCTACTATCTAGCAAACCTATATATGTTTTTGGACACATTTTCTGCGACGCGTGTGTGGTTACGAGCGTGCTACATATTACTGCACATCCTCTTATTTCGCCACCCTGCAAAGGCAAAAGTCAATCGCACTCCCTGGAACAGCCTCACTAACACGCCATCCTCTCTTCACCTACTTCAGCCTCGCAGCGTCGGCGGCAGTCCACCATCATCTTCCCGGCCGCAGCCACCTCGTCGTCCTTTGTACTTCTCGACGATTCTGCATCTAGTTCTCATCTCTCGTCGTCCTCCAACACCCCAAAGCCGCCCACACCCTCTCTATACAGCACTGGAAGCAGTAATAACATTAGCAACAGTAATAATCGTAGCTCGATCGGCATCTGGGGCGGAAGCAAATCGGCTGCCAGCTCCCCTAATTTAACTAATATGAGCAAGAACAACGACTTTTTCGGGCCCTATCCTTTTCAAGGTGCAGCCTCAGAGATAGGATCAGCATCAGAGATGTCTAGATCGGGGTTAGGCAAAGGTACAGAATCAGCGTCTGGATCAAAATCTGAATCTGGAGCAAGGATAGGAACCGATGCAACAACAGGATCCGCTTCGAATGACCAAGGCACTTCAAGCAGCCCTACCTCCTTTCAGCAGCGTCGTAAGCGGAGTGAAAGCATCGGAGGAGGAGGAGGTTTCAAGGTGAGTGCTTCTCAAAGTACCCTTGCCTTTGTCAAAGTGCGCAGCTTGGGTGGTCATCAAGCACTCACAAGTACATTTCTTTCTTGTTCGGCGGATTGCTACCGTTTAGTCCACCGCAGGAACTATTACAAGGATAGTCCGCAAGAGCAGCAGCAACTTCTTGCGCAAACTCGTGAAAGTAAATATTCGCTGATATGAAGTAACATCGCAAACGAGGTTCATGGAAGCAGAGTTACCACAGCTCAATTGACCCATTGTTATTAACTCACTTCCAAAAAACAACCAGAGCTTTGACGACAGGGATGCGCCCCCAATCCCGGTGATGCCGTCCCACAATAACAATAGCACTGTCAGCCACCAATCCGACTCTTCGGCCACAGCCAGCATAAATAACTCTGTTATATCCAGCACGACCACTGCCTTTGCGTCGGCGGAACTCCCTCCATTGACGCCAACGAACCAAAATATGGGGTTTGAACCCTTGGAAAACGACCCATCCATGTAAGAGAGTGCTGTCCTCTATCTCAGGGGGCAAGGGCGAGATCATGAGTGGAAGGATAAGCAGGAAAAGATTAGACTTTTAGTCCAAACTCATTAACTTCGGTTTTGTATTGTCGCCGCTGCCTTTTGATAGCTCGGGAAATGACATCGACGAAAAGCTGACAGCAGGCGAACATCAGTTTGGACAGAAGCAGGGCCTTTTGCATCCTGAATCTGCAGCACATCCCATTCCCATTCGGAAACCATCAAAGTCGTCGGATCTTGATATAGAACTGGACCAAGAGCTGTCCAACTCTGTCTCGACAGTGGAATCTTGGTTAAAGAGATCTCAGGGGGAAGCAGAAGAATCTGCGGCCGCAGATATGGCTATTCCTACTACATCAACGACGACCGCTGATATGGATATCATCCCGACAACCAAATCTACATTACCAACCTCTACCTCCAGCACGAACACTGCAAATCCCATAAACACCAAAGGCTCTGAAAAGTCGCGACGTCCTTCACATGCGTCCTCTACAGTGTCGACCATTGATGATGACGATGGCTCTGACGGTGAAGACATCCGTGTACCCATGTCTGCCCTGAGCCTGGGAGCGAACAGGCTGTCGAGATTGTACGAAGCAGAGTCCATGCAGTTGACGCAGTCAGAAACATCCCTTTATTACTCCACAAAGTCCACCATCGAGGACGAGACAGATCTGCAAGGTGGCCATGGAGGATCAAGCAGCAGCACTGTACATAAAACGACTTCGTTGGCGGCCAATGCAGCCAGGAATTCGATCCGCTTTTCAGAGTTTGGACTGATGCCGCCGTCGTCGCCCTCCAACAACAGCACCGATCTGCCCTTAATATTAAATTCTGCCCGCCGGCCTGAAAAGCCTCTACCCCCCAGACCCGTTTCGCTATTTATACCACTCAGTACTTCGACGACCTTTACCATTACGGAAGATCACGTTGCGAAACCGGAACACGGCCATACAATCGAAACCTCGCTTCAAACACCAGTCTCATCAGCGCATGGTAGCCCTGCATCGCTGAGCACCCATCGCCGATCCTCTGTTAGCACACCGCTTCCTTCCTCAATGGAATTAACGGAAAATCATTTGGCAACGCCGACCAGCAATAATACCCTTAGTGTGTCAGGGTCCAGAGTTTCGACTGGAATGCGGCCAGCTACGATCTGTGTCAGCCCTGAGGAAGCAGGCAAGTTAGCGCCTGTTGCAGTTTCGGTCACGATCAGGCCGCTGGCATCATTGGACATGTTCTTACCAGCATCTGAACCGCAGGAAGAGTCCCCAGAGGCTTTAGCACAACGAACTGGTAACCGGTGTTTTCAGGAAGACAATACATTCTTGCGCCGGGACGAGATCTCGATTTTTTTGGGGCAGCCCAAGCCATTCAACCGGCGCGTGCTGCGTTACTACATGAAGCACTTTGATTTCTCGGGCAAGCGACTGGACGTAGCCTTCCGACAGCTCTGCCAGAAACTCATGCTCAAGGGCGAAACCCAGGAGGTGGATCGTATCCTGGAGGGGTTTGCGCAACGGTTCATCGACTGTAATCCGCAGTCGGTCTTTGGATCCAAAGATGTGGTCCATGCGATCACGTACTCCATTCTTTTGCTCAACACAGATTTGCATGTTGTCCAGCAGTCCAGCTCCAGCAAAATGTCGCGCTCCGCTTTCGTCAAGAACACATTGCAGGCAGTTCAGCAGCAAGCAGTGCAGCAGCAGCAACAGGATGAGAGGGCTTCAGAGGAACTGAGCGCTCACGGTCTTCCGTTCACAAGATCTGCGACCGGGGATTCCAGTCTTCACGGCTCTGGAGGGAAGAAAAAGACTCCGAGCGTAAAGAGCTGGAAATCGGGCACGTCACATCAAAGCAAGACCTCGAAAATGGGTCCGGATCCCAAAGCAAATGGAGGTCATGGAAACGGCAAGTGGTGGATGAGTGAACTGGAGTCGCTGCTTAAGGATATTTACCACACAGTCAAACACAATCAGATCCTATTGCCGACATCAAAAACCACCTCGGCTACGGCACCAACCACACCAACGCCCCCAGGATTCCCACATTCGATATCGGGATCTTCGCTCAGCTCGAGTAGATCGAGTCCGGGAGGCGGAGCTGGGAGACTGTCGAGACAAGTTCAACCGACCTCTCTTGCTCTGGCTGACTCGAACCATGCATCACTTGCTGGGAGCCAATCCAATCCTGGAACTGAGCGCACGAGGTCCTTGATCGGCGCCATGGGACGGCGCAACTCGGTTAATGCCAGGAATAAGCAGCTACGACAGGATGCTATGCAACGACTGAATGCGGCCCAGGCTTCAGAGGGAGGGTCACCCTCCACCTCGCCATCATTACCATCCTCCGCACGCTTTGGCGAGACCCTTACAGGCGAGGGAAGACCAGGGAACAGTGGCAACAGAGGCTTGTCGACACTAACCCTGCCGTCCTCGTCCTCGTCCTCTCAGGTCCACTATCATTTGGCGGGTTCGCCCTTACCCTCCCCAGTCTCGAGTGTCTTTTCCCAGCACGAGATCCAAATCCGCCCGCCTCACTATTCAGAAGGGTCTATAGGAACAGGCGGAGGAGGCAACCCTAGTCATCGAACCAGGTTCCGGATGGAGGGCATCCTGTTTAGGAAACACCTACTAGAGCGCGCCGACAAGAAGGCCTCACACCGCGCATGGCGTCAACTCCTCGTCGTGCTTGATCAAGGCGGTCTTTCTCTTTTCCGGGCGGATGGCCAGCTAGGCCAAGCGTTTGAGGAACAAGGGATTCTATTTGATGAAATTCGGTTACAACACACAATTACCAATATTCTGCCTCCGCCCGGATACTCGTCCTCTAGACGACATGTATTTGCGGTGCAGTTGTACACGGGCGCTGTATACCTCTTCCAGGCAGCAACCGCGCGTGAATGTGAAGATTGGGCAAGGATCTGCAATTATTGGGCCGCGCGAACCTCTAAGGAGCCCCTGCCTGGAGGGGTCATCAACATGGATTATGGATGGGGCCGGTCCCTAGAACTACTTGCTAACAACACGTCAGATGGAGCCGCAGCGGCAGCAGCAGCAACAGGAGAAGGAGGAGGAGAAAGATCGGGACATAACAATACGATGATCTCGACCACGTCTGGCAACTCAATCCTGTCCTCCTTGTCGACAATGTCCACGTCTGTCTATGCGGCCTCGTCTTCGGTCATGCCTAGTAGCGTCAACAACTCCAGTGGCAGCAGCCTTGCAATCCCGACCTTAACAGCGCCATTGTCGTCTGCTGTTTCGGAGGACGACGACGCAAAGTCCGTAAATAGTTCGATTCACGCCGGAGTCAGTTTCTTGCACCACCCGCCACCACTCCCTACTCCTGCTTCATCATTAACATCCACAATATCCTCATCTACAGCTCCTGTAAGTGGCGGTGTGGGCACTGCAGCTGTGAGTTCCGCAGTCTCAACCACGACCGCCGTTGCCAGCGGACCTGTCGGATCAGGACCAGGATCAGGATTGGGTACACCTTATAGTTTTGGCAACTCGGGTGTGGGCAGTGGGCGATCTGCATCAATCAAATCCACATCTTCGAAGCATAGCAGCACAGGCGGGGCAAGCATTCCTTTGGGGGATCGCGTCGTGCTCTTTGAATGGACGCCTCCCCTGCCGACTATGAGCATGTCTCAGTTAGCAGAGGAGGAGCAATGCGAGGCTTTGAAGCGATACGTGGTAGGACTCGAGGCCGAGATGGAGGTTCATCAGGAGCATAGGATCCCAATGATGAAACTGGTAAGTCTCCACGGATATCTTTCTCTCCTTTAGCTTCTGTGTCTCGCCTCATTGGATTCACTCAAACCTAACTCTTTCTTCTTTTGCTTTAGTTCTTGCCAAAATCTCACAACTATGCCAAGGCCTTTAACAACTGGGAGAGGCGATCGCGCCATCTTCTCAAAGAGATGGTCAAGTACCAGATCTACGTCGAGTGCCTAGAGCAGTCCCTTCAGTTCCAGCGTGAGGAAGAGGCGACTTTGGAGGCTGAGCTGCAACATCTCGAAGTCGAAGACGACAATCTCGATGATCATGATGATACCATCGAGTCAAGCGACGCGAAGTAAAAGAGCAGTACAGATACTGATGCTGGACAAGACTAACCAAATAATGCTTAGAGTTGACTTTATTCAAAGCAAATGCCTGATATCCTGAATACTAAAAATATACTATGGTATTATGGCCTCGATTTATCGGCGTGAATGAGATATTTTATTTGTGAATAGCCATTATTATGTACATTCCTTCCTTGAAGGACGAGAGAGGTATGGATGAGCAAGGGTTTAGACCAGACTACTGCGACGATACAAAAAATTGGGTTCTGGAGATATCAATCTTACACCAAGACTATTCTTTTGAGGATGATCCGTGCTGCGGTCCATGGTGCGAGGGACGATGCGAAGCGTCTCGTGTCTCTCTCTCGGCTATATTTTGCACAGGGATCATGTGCAGCGGCAAAGGTGCCTCTGGGATCATCCCAGAACCAAACGGCGTCACAACCACTGGAGACAATGCCAGCCTGTACGGCGACGCATCCGTCGAAACAGTCTCCGGTGGAGAAACTCCATTCCTGGCTGTTTGTGTGCTGTCCTGGCTCTTGTTGCGGCGGTGATGGTGGCAGAGCGAATGATGCTTATCGCTTATACTGGCGTAACCAATGCTTCCCGTAAGCGACGGTCGTTTGTTTCCAGAACCTGTAGCTGCATGATCTCCCTTGGGCAAAGCTACCGCTGTTACTCCGGATAGCGTCTCTTTAGTGTGTTGAGCCTTCGTTGCCGAACTAGAACTGCTGGCTCCCAATGGGAGCTGGGTCTTGGCTGGAACCACAGCTGCCGCTGCGGAGGGGATCTCGATCACTTGCTGCCCACTCGCCTCCTGTGCCGCTTGGATTGCCTCCCTGTATCTTTGCGCGTGTCGGTTCCCCAGAAGGCTCTCGTCCATCATCAAAATGGACGATGTGCCCATACAATTGGCTGAGCTGGCGTGAGGAACCTTTGTGTGCTCGACAGTAGATCCCCTAGACGGGTGAACGCCTGGGGTTGGAGGCGAGACATGGGTTTGATGATCCCCACCCTGCATCTTATGCTCAATGCGCTTCTTGCCCTTTGTAGGATGCCGAGCAGAGGACGAGGGACCCACGTTCCCGCCGTGTTGCTCTTTCTTATTCTTATGGCTCAGATCTGATGAGTCTGACAAGTCGCCAGACGGAAGTGAGGCAGTTGACGAACATGGCCGATGGGTGGCTGCTGGATTCACAGTGCTTGAAGGAATGATTTGCGGGTTGATAAGGATCCTCGTTGCGGGTGAAATAGTCAAATCAGGATGGAAGTCCAGTCCCAGTTGCCGTTGCTGCAGGAGCTGTTGCTGTTGCTCAATTTGTTTCTGCTGCATCTGCAGTTTCCTGTGGAGTAGCAATTGCTGTTGCTGTTGCTCTGCCTGCTGCTGCTCCAAGCGACGCTGTTGTTGGTACAGCATGTCCTGTGGATACTGCAGCTGCTGGCCAAAGCCAAATGCTCCAGTCTCCGTTCCTGCCGTCGTCGAACTCGAGGCACCGATATTGACCATTGTAGATGTTACTCTCGAGAGACCAAGCACGCCCCTAGAGAGGTTTCCTTGAAGTCCCGCATGTTGTTCGTATGAACCTCCAGAGGCTGCACTCAGATCAGACCCTGACAGTGGAGGAAGACCCAGTTGACTGGTGGCGATGGCTGATCCAAGATTCAGCTGATCCTCAGGCATGCCGTATGCATAACAGTTGCCAGACGACACCATTGTCACGCCAACAAGAGGTTTGATCAGAATTGCAAGCAGTTCTAAGAAGGGAACAATATGGATGTGGCATGATTAATGTCCAGGTCATGACCACCCCTCGCCGGCAAACGCAGAATTATAGAAAACATCGACCTTTTACCTAGTTCCTCAATCACTTCCTCCAAGGCGGACGAAAATGCATAGTAGTAAATATAGGTGTAGTGGTCCTCCCCTGTCATAGCCTGGTGTGCAGCAATCGTCTCTCGGACGTTGTAGATAACTCGAAGTCGCGCTATTCTTGCAGAGGGCAGGTACGGCGGTAGAGCAGATTTGGAGGCCAAAGACGAGGACAAAACACTAAAGTAGAGCAAAAGAGCGCCAACCTTGGAAGCAAAAAAGCATTTCGCTGTGTCACCAACATGTCTACACAAAGAATCTGGTCGTGTACACGCGACCTCGCGAGTTTTTGCCTTCAGCTTACCATATCGCGTCGATAATAGTTCATGGGGCCAGTCACCAGCTCCCGCACCTCAGGCGACAGCAGCTGGGCTGCCATGCGCATCGAGATCATCCTGTCAAGGATATTCTGACAACACTGCACGATCTGATTGTACAACTTCATGGGGAACTCCTCCTTGAGTCTTGGTTCTGAACCCGACAGTTCCAAAAGCTCCGAGATCTTGATCAGCTTGGTTTGCAGCTGATGCTCTACATGCTGGAATGCCAGGCGGTCTGGGTCCATGGCGTTCCGTGAATCCTCAGTCTGGTGTTGCAAACCATCGGTAATAGCAGCACCGCTATCCCCATTGGAACCACCGGTTGTTCCTGATTTTTGATCATAGCTGCCGGAACGTCTCCTTCCTCTACCTGCCTGCTGTTGCTGCTTCTGCATACGAGCCTCCCTCTCGGCGCGCTCCACAAAAGAGTCCTGGAACTGATCTTCCTCCGGATCCTCCCTTTGGAGGGTCTCCTCATTCAGCTCATCGCTCGCGTATCCATTCAGGTCATCCTGCTGGGGCCAATTAGCCGCGTAGTGAGACTGCGCTCCTTGCTTTTTATCCTGAGGATCTTCCAACAGGAACTTGTTGACCAGCTCTGCAAACAACACGCCCTGTCTACCGATCAAGATGGCGATCTCCTTCCTGAGTTCTCGGCGCGCCAGGATTGGCCAGAGTAGTGAGTTCATGATTACCGAGATAATAATTCCGATAATAACTGTGATTGCACGCTTGTAGCAGACCTGATAAATCGTCTCGGTGGTATGGCCTTCATACATAATGAACGTAATTGACGAGTACGAGAGCAACATAATGATCCCCAGTTTTGGATGTGCTGATTCCAAGATCAAAAAGACGCCGGCGAACGCTACGATCACACATAGTAAAGACATCAGATCAGATCCCAGCCAACCACAACAAGCATTAGTTGACCAGACCAGATATCGATTTTACTTACCAATGACAAGCATCATGGCACAAATCACATATGGATTCTTGGGTAACGCCAAAAATGTCAATAGCGCCCAAAGGGTTCCAATCAAGGTTCCAGCGATACGCATCGCGCAGACACTGAACGTTGCGCCCACGGTAGGCGACAGAACCGCCATTACCGTTATCATGGCCCACTGTCCACGGTCTGTCGCCAGGGCCACGCTGTTCCATTGTAGCCACGACCACAGTCCAATGAACGTGAGTGCGACTGCCATCTTGAAACCAAACTTGAAGTCCTCCGACTTGAACGGCTGCAAAAACTCCCAGAAACGGTAACGCAAAGTCTTGGGCTTGTTTACGCTCACGAAGGTCGTCCTTGCCGGCTTTATAGGTTCTGAAGCTGGATGGAGTTGTCGCTGTCGCTGCTTGGGCGTATTTTTGGAACCCTCGTTCGAGGTACTGCAGCTAAAAGGCGAAAAGACGCCACGAAACCGCGATTTGCCCGCCTTCGCGTCCTTACCGTAGCGACCGCGGCGGTGATGATCTTTGGCAGAACCACCGCTTTCAGTAGAGCTCCTTCTGTCGTTGTGATCATCCGTGCGGTCGTTCAAGATGTGTGCGCGTAAGCCGGTGCCGTGGCTATCTACAAATGTTGAGTCTGATTCGTGGTGGCCAGGTAATAATGACGGGGGGGTGCTGCAGGCAAAGGATGGGTAACGATCCTGGTGAGTCGAAGAAGGTGCTGATAATATGACATTACGAGGGCTCCTACTTCCACTCGTCTGCTGATGCGATTTCTTAGATTTACTATGCTTGGCAATATCCAACTCTGGCGGTGCGGTGTTGCGGAGCTTGAGGCCATTGACGCGTGGCATAAGATCGATCACATTAACGTCCTCAAAATGCTTCAAATCCTGATCGTCCCTGAGCTGCAGAGATTTAAAGTCTGGGATCTCCACTACGGTATACTGCTCGGCCCGCTTAGATCTGGACTTCGTGCTCGCTAATGATTCGGGGATTGTTCTTGACGGCGAGCCAGCCTCTTCTTCCCCAAACTCGTTATCCAATACCTCTTTGCCCCTAAGGATGCTAGGATCACCAAGATCAGTCTCGTTATGGGTCCATTGCTTGGGGCTCCCATAATGTTGGGGCACTTCGCAATGTCGTGACCAGGCGGTACTGGATCGGAAGGGTGAATTGGACCTTGACCTGAGCCCTTGCAAGTGCCCGTGTGCACTGCGCCTGAATCGACGATTCTCGTCCTGATGATCGTCCTCCACTGGACCCAGTTCTAAGTCGGGCTCAGAGGTCTTGCGATGAACAAAAGCCGACAGAGTAATTGCTCGACGCAATGGTGGCAGGTCCCACATCTCCGAGTGTCGTCTCCGTCGATGCTCGGCTTTCCTTTCGGCAACGGCCTTTGCGGATGCTTCAGCAGCTGCTCTTTCGGCTACAGCCTTGGCAGTCTTGGCTTCAACCAATGCCTTCTCCTCCTCGATGGTCCTGGGCTGTCGATGCTCCAGATTCTTTGTCGTGTTCAAGACCAGAGCGTTGTGGCCTTCACTGGTCTTGACCTGGGTATAACTGCCCCATGCGAACCAGTGCCAAAAGTTACCGAAAACTTTCGGCCACCACAGCTGTTTCCTACGCTTTGTCCGGCCATCTTCCTCCATTTTTCTACGCTCCCGCTCCTCTATCTCCTCCATATGTTTGCCAAGGCGTAGCAGCTCGCGAGCGATCTCACGCAATGCGAACAAGAAAAAGAAGATCAAGAAGAGTTCTTCGCGTGGGCCAACATCAAGGGTCGGATGCGTGGCAATGAAGTCCCTGAGACCCTCCGCCTCTGCTTTGTCGAATATCTCCAGCTCCTGTGACAAGTACTGCACATAAGACATGTCCGGTGGCAACATGAGCTCGTCTTCGTCATCGTCGTCAATACCGGAGCACGTCGCGTTACGCTGGGCATCTTGCTGCAAAAATTTGTTTGGATGGACGGTGTCGGCTGCTACACCATTCTTTGACGGCTTGACATTTTTCTCCTTGTCCTTCACCATCCCTGACTTGAGCGCCCCTACATACTCTAGGTCCCCCTTTGTCATATGACTGGGCTTGATCCCGACCAAAGCTCGGATGCGATCCAAAACGGAGGTGTTGACAAAGCCTCGCTTTTTGGTAAGCTCACGCTCTGCTGCAGTCGTTCCAGCAGCATCCGTATATGTGGTAGTCCCGTTGACCCCAGCCTTCCCTTCTTCGGTCATTTTTGCTTCTGCAGCTCGAATGGTATTTACGCGCTGCGCGTTGCGTCGCCTGATACGCTCCAGTCGATCTTGCTCTACATTGAGTCCCGCGACCAACTCCCGCTCCATAGCAACCATGACTCTGGAACAAGAGTCACTCAAGCGCTGCAAAGGGTTGTGAACAATATCCAAAAACGACATGAATAGCTTGCGGTCACCAAAAGCAACTTCCTTGGGTGGTACCGCCCGAGCTGCTGCTTCCGCCTGCCGCTGCTTTTCAGCTCGCTGCTGCTCGGCCTTGACCTCTCGTTCTGCCAGCTTTCGCTGTCGTGCGGCCTCCTTCTCTCGCTGTTTCCTGAAAGACTCTGCAGCCTTCTTGATTTGATGGTCGGTCAAAGACGTCTGGAACAAAAGCCCATTGCGCGACGTATAGTGGTTAGAACAACCCAATGCACCATTCTCTGGAACCGTGGCATAGTGCATGTCCTCTAGTGGTATCCTTGGCGATCCTTCTTCGGATTTGTCCTTGCGCCTCTTTCCTTGACTCAACTTAAATCCAGCCTTCAGCGATGCAGGCCGATTGGGCTTGAACTTCGAAGCCGACTTGATGGAGAACAGCGACTTGAAGCTCTTGATCGTTTCCAGATTCTGCTCTTCGTAAATCGAGTTGGGCTTTGAGGAATTTGGCGTCGAGATATTAGAGGGAGTGGTACTGAGGTATTGGCGAGGAGTGTCGGTAGAAGGGTCATTATCTGCTCGGGTTGGGGTTAAGGTCCTTGAGCGGTGTGCTTGATGATGTCCAAACACATTAAAGACACCCCGTCCTCCCGGTGTTGGCGGCGCTGTTACGGTTCCATCACGACCGAACTGGAACGGCTGCTGCAAAGCGTCCTTCTGGAGGCGTTCCTGGTGTCGCTGCCTGGCTTTCATCGTTGCCTGGGTCGAGTTCTCTGCTCTCTGCAATAGTTGTCGGATGCGTCTTAGTTCGGCCGCACTGCCTCTCCTTTGAACTCTCTTCCGCGGCGTGCTATGACCGTCCTCGCTCGTGGGGCTTTCGGCCAACTGGTCATTGTGACGGCCATGGCGACTGCGACGACTAGTTCGCTGCTCAGCACCTTCCGCGATTGCATCGCCAAAGTAGTCACTCTGGTGATGTATCTTTTCACCCGAATCGTTGTTATTGGTAGTTCCAGAAGAAGGATGATCGGCTTCGCTTTCAGAGGCACCGTCATCACTCTCAGTATCGCTGGCACTGCTGGGATAACTCAATTCACTTCCGCTCTGAGATACCAGATCCTGATCGTCGCGATCCGGGTGCCCTAGCATCAGCAGTCGCTCGTTTTGTACGACCAAACTCATGGATCCGAGATGTCTCATCAACGCCGAGATGATCAAGCGGACTTCCTTGTAATCGGCGGGATTAGTCATCGAGTAAGTGACCTCGTAGCGAGCTTCTCTGTAGGCACTGAATAGTTTTTTCTGCGCTGTTCGGACTTCCGCTTGGGCCTTCTCGATAGCCGATTTTGGGAGTGCGATGGTATTATGGTTTAGCAAGAAGAAGCGGGTGCTGAGAGTGAGTAGGGCACGAGATGTATCCAGAGACTCATTCAAGGCACGTCTACAATGAGTTGTGTTTCGAAACTGTTAAGTTCACAACTAATGAAAACGCAGCGAGTAGTAGTCGAAAGAAAGGACACTTACCCAAGCCCTTCGCTGGCGGTCTCTGGCCAAAGTAAAATACTGACGACCAGACAAATGCCGACTCCTAGCATCATAGGTCCCATAAGGCCCCAGAAGTCGTGGAAATCAAAATGCATGCTCGTATGGTTCCTGGTCAGGGCAAAGATGCCTGCGATGGTGTAAATGATGAAGGAGCAATTCAGCTTCGCGTATCTGGCCTTGTACGAAGTCATGATCCAGACGCCGACAAAGAACCAGGCAGCATCGATGGCCCAGGCAGAGTTATTTCCATCCGGTAGGTACTTTTGGTTGAATGCCGCAGTAGCTACTTGACAGGGCAGGATCCAGACCGCGGCCAGGACGCCTCCGATGACGCTAAAGATGGTGACCTCGAGCTGCGAGCCAACTGTGCGAGAGGGATGCATGAAGACGACGGCGACGTTGGCCATGTAGGGCGAGGTTCCGAGGGCACGGGAGATGGAGGGGACGAGGGCCATGGCTGAGGATATGTAGAGGGCGACGATGAACTTGATGTGTCGCTTGACGACTCTATGAGAGAAATGGCTCGTGAATTGCTTCCAGACGGAGGGAGGCGGAGGCGGCGGGGGCGCAAATGGAACCGAGTTTGCGCTGTTGATGGATTCGATGGAGGGAGGACGCGAGACGGGGACGCGGCGGCTCTGGCCGTCGTGGTCGATGGAGGCGCGCGCACTCCTAGGCAGGTGCTCGGGGGCGGGGTCGAAGATGGCCATGTCGAAGAAGCTAGAAATTACACGGGGTGTGCCGTTGGGCGAAGTCGTTAGTATGAATGAGCGGTTGGACCAAAAGCACTGGCTGTCGCAGCTGCAGTCTGTGTGTGCTGCCCCTGGAATCCCTCCATATTTCTGTGAAACATGGACAGGGTCCAATAGGCGGCAACTGGCGGCGCATGGGCTCGACAGGAGTCACCAATTGTCAATCGTGTGGGTGCTGTTGGCTAAACAGGGTTTAGCCGCAAAAATAAAGGTTGCGGTAATTTCATGGCTGTCGAGTCATAACAAGAGACAAAAAGGTAAAAGAAATGGGTGCAACGGCCAAAACAACAGCGCCTGAGCTACATATAAACAGGCAGAGCGAAGAAAGGAGCTGTTGATGTGCATATCTACCAATAGGGGTATGTATGCACATTGAAATGAGCGACGAATAGACGCGTGGAAAGGGAAGGGGGGCCGATGAAGAAAAAAATAATAAAAAAAGCAGAGTTGTTCGCATACCCTCCTGGTTTTTGCATTCGGCCTGATGCAGTAGTACTTGGCTCATATACGTGCGACAGGCTCGATCGTCGAGAATGGGTCATCGAGAGAGGAAAAGTCGAGCGGGGTGCATGATGATGGGTATGATGGTGATCGTATCCCCCTGCATGGGCTGCAGCTGGTACTGGCCCTATTCCTGGAGTAGTGGGGTTCGATGAAGGTCTGGAGTTTGGGGCCGACCTCGGGGTGCTGCTGCTGCTGTGGCTGTTCATGCGAACTAAGGGCGTGAAGGAAAGGGACGGGGGCACAGTTGAGGTCGAGGAATCGGACTGAGGGTGAAGTTGCTTTGGACGAAGATTAGTCATTGTGCTCTTTGACTTTGGCCGCGGGCGACTGATGCTGATGTCGCTGTCGCTGTTGTCGCGGACAGAGGCATGTTGACCAAGGCTGGGTCGAGGCGTGCGGGCGCTTTTGGTGCTGCTGCTGGTCGAGCCAGCTCCTCCACTGGTGGTGGCAGTGGTGCTGGTGGCGGCATTTGCCCCGGAGGGTAGGAGCGAGAAGTAGAGCGAAGGCGGCGGGGGCATGGGGATGGACAGGGCCTGGTGGCCGTTGCCGCGGGGGATGGGGCTGGATCGAGTGGTAGGTTTGTAGACATTGGTGCTGGAGTCGAGTGCGTGTCTCCTTGGGTTGGCGGGGAGGTTGGAGGAGCTGCCGCTGGGACTGGGGCTCGCACTGGAGGGGCTCCGTCTGAGGGCGAGGGTTGAGGAGGATGGGACAGGGACAGAGGATGGGGACGGGTCTTTTTTCCGCCTGAAGGTGGGAAGGCGCATTGGAGGAGGAGGAGGAGGAGTGTGCGAAGGTGTGGGTGTGGGTGTGTGAGTGTACGACGGTGTGACTGTGCGAGTGCGAGTGTGCTGGTGTGGGTGTGGTGGGTGTGGGCGTGTTGCGGTCTACAAGGGGGGAAGAGGGCGGGGTCGATGGAGAATGAGGAATGACATTCTGTCCGCAGAAGGTGAAGGGAGGATCAAACGAGGAGAGAGAGAAACAGGCTGCATAAATCCCCACTGGGATGAGTGAGGTCATAGCTGATATTCCCATTGGGCAACCTGGTCCCCTGGCAGCACCGGTCGCAATTGGCAGTGGTTTGGTCACATATAGTCCATGCATGCCATGGCCGGCCTTAATATTTCGATCTCCTCCGCTCAGGAATACTCAGCTACCTCGATAAATCACAGTTCATTAGGCGACATCGGATGCTCTCAGTCTAGTGTAAATCCAATGCAGACTCCGATATGCCAACATGAACGCCGACATGAAGCTTTTTCTAGATCACGGTTGTTGTCGGCGCTGATCCACAAAAGCGCGCTGTTTCCATCCTTGTCTGGACCCTCGATGCGCACAGAGATCCTTTAGGTCGCCCTGGGATTGATCTTCTTGACACCATAGCGCACCCGGAACTTGATAGGAGAGCAATGGCTAAATAGGTCTAACAGAGTAATCTAGGTCGCAATCGTCTTCGAAGGCACATCTCGCAGCGATACACCCTGGGATCGGACAAGATCTAATCACAGTGCCATACCCTATCTATATACAATCAAATGCAGAACTAGCCTCTTTTACACATGGAGAGTCAAGCCCTTCTAGGTCTTCCCTCTTATCCGTCTTTTCAAGGCGGGCCGGTCAGCCACAAGGGGAAGCGCTTCTGGGCCAGCACAGGTTCTTTTGTCGCGAATGACCTCGCCCTGAAAGTCGACGCCTATGACGCCCGCTTTCCGGCGGCATTCCTGGCAGGAGGTCCCTCAAGTCACTAACCACGGTTCCACGATTGGAAGCGATCAGAAGTAAGGGTACGCCGCATATTCAGGGCCATGTCCAGGCTAGGGTAACCAGTTGAAGGCGATCGGCGTCAACATCGGGAGCGGCACCTTTGAGTTCACGCGAGGCTGCCTGTCTCTTCACATAGCCATGGCCCGATTCATCGCCAAGCAGGCATGTTAACAACTATTTCGCATATATTAATACTGCACCGCATTTGACGCGTCTTCTGTTTCCAACTTTGTTACCTCGCGTGCTTGGAATCATTGTCTGTCAGCTCAACGAGGCGACACAAACAGTGTATGTCCCCGCTGCGATTTACTAACTGTTAAGATAAGCAAGCTCGCCTGCACAGCCTGCCACCGCACCCTTCACAGGGACTCTTGCGGCGCATACAACATCGCACGGGTGGAAAACGTCATAAAAGTACATATATACTATACCTTCAGGGTCCATTTATCACCGCCACCTCCATGGAGGATTTGACGACGAATGAATCATGATTTCGCTGTTGTGCACGAGCAATGGCCAACAGACAGTGCGATTCAAAAGATATGTGATATGTGTGACCGATGTGATTGACTGATATGCAAGGCCTTATAATAATGTTGTTTCTATTCCATGCTATGTGCGTACTCCTTCCTTTACTCTCTCTCTCTCTGCAGAATCCGTTTACTTAGAGCGAACGTACTTGCCGACAACCAGGGCGTGGTCCCTCTCGAATGGCTCCAGCGTCAACTGCTCCTGGGGCTTGATGCGCTGCTCCTGAAGCTTGGGAATCTCACCGGCGAAAACAGTGGCAGCATCCACAGTCGAATCGATACAGTTGGCTTTGATCGAGATTACAATGTGTCCGTTGTTTTTCAAGAAGTGATGGGCGTTGATTCCAATAATACGGGACTGATCGGGCTGAGCAACATCGGCGAAAATAACGTCAACCATGCCGACCAACATGCGGTACTTGTGAGGATGGCGAGCATCCTCAATGATAGGAATGACGTTCGTACGCTTCTTGGCCATGTTAATCAAATCGCGTCCGGAGCGGTGAGAGAACTCAACAGCATAAACAAGACCCTCAGGTCCGACAATATCAGCAACGTGAGAGACCGTGGTTCCAGAGGCGGCTCCGAGGTACAGCACCTTCTTGCCGGGAGCAATGTGAATGTTGTCGACACCTCCGAGGACACCAGCAGCGACCTTGGAGCGGAAAGGGTTCCAGACTCTGTATTCAACCTTGGTACCATCAGCACCCTAATTATTAAACGAAAAGGAAGACGCTAATGAGCACCCATACTGTTCCTGCCACAGAAAATCGACAAAAAAAATCCATGTGCCGAGCACTCCACCTCAATGGCAATTCTCTTTTCGCCGTAGACTGACTCGCCAGGGACCAAATTCTTGGTCAAGAGATAATCTTCCTTGCCGTGGGCAACAAAGATACCCTCGTGTCTGTGAGGCTCGACCGTAACCTTGGCACCACCCCTGGCCCCACCACGAGCACCGCCACGAGTACCGCCACGACCACCACGGGCACCACCACGGGCAGGACCACCGCGCTTAGCGACACCTACGATCCATGACACATGCGCATAGAATAAAGTCGTGTGTGAAGGAAGGAAGTGCAAATATTGTTAACAACTTGCTTGTTGAACAGTGAGCACGATCCAGCAACAGAGAGCTCAAAAACGATCGAATGCAAATGACGGGCTATCAGAAGCAATAAGAGAACAAGGCAGAAAAATAGTGAAATACGCATGCGGACCACATCATTGAAACCGCCATGGTATACAAGTACAGTTGCAATAACAAAATATTCTTTCTAATTGTTCTCCAATATGCATTCAGGACAGATCATAAATGCTCGATGTTTTAAGATCCGAAGCTAGATCGCGCTTTCACTTTGATCAGATTATGAGTCTGGGGAGATGAAAACCAAAAAACTATTTGATGGTAACTGGCAATCATCCTCCATAATCATATTCCGGGAAGACATAAAAAGCACTTTCATGAGAAGAACGATATTGGAATGCCCAAGGCGATCCCTGATCTGTTGCAGCTCTTTTTGATAACGTGTCTTTTAGGCGTCTTCGCAGAGAATTTCTGACCTAGATCATAAAGCACTGCACTTACCACCGCGTCCGCCACCACGGCCACCGCGATCACCACCGAAACCACCGCGTCCACTGCCACGTCCGCCTCCACGAGCAGCACCACCACGGCTACCACGACCGCCACGATCACCTATGGAAAGACAAGGAATGTTAGAGATGCCATGAATAGCTTGAGGGGCAAAAAACAACAACAACATCATATGCAACGGCCTCAAGGCTGGGATATGAAGGCAAGGATGTAGTCATTAATCCATGCAAATTGAAGGTCAAGATCATGAGTGTAGGGGGATCGTGATTGTAAATCAAACTGATCAAACCACGTTCAGCAGCGAGTGAGAGCTGAAACAACCTACCAAATCCCATTTTTATATGTACAAAAGGGAGAGAGGGGTTGAATGAAGGAATAAAGGATGGAGAGGTTTTTTATTGCTTGTGATCAAAAAAAGAAAAAGATAGCAGGAATAGATGCAAAAGAGCGAGTTCTTTTTTTTTTTTTTTGGAGTGTTTACACCAGTCGAAAAGCAAGTCAACTATTCTGGGAATTAAGTCAGCTGCCGGAAATAATGACTGAACTCTGGCACCCTCAGGAAAACATATCTTAGCACATTACCAATAGTTCAACTATGGGTTGTAGGACTGTCGTGATGCCGCCTCTTGGCCTTGATATCCTCGGTCTCGACAAATTTCCTAGTGTTCCTGACATCCCAACCATGGAGGGGATGGGGAAGATACCCTTCTTGTAACAAGGAGTTTTCAGCTTTTAACACACTGATGAGGTGTGCGCAGGCCTTAGGGGCAGGCCCGAGGAATGTGACCTGTCAACTGGCGACTGTGGATCGGTTCCGCTTTGGTGGTGAGGACAACGATAGTAGATCTTTGCTAGTTAGTCTGATAGATTCGCAGAGTCAATTGACTCGAGAAACAAGTTGTTATAAAAAAAATCCTAGTGTTCCTGACATCCTGGTAACGGTTAAAAAGGACTCTATGGTTAACAGCTTGCCCCTTGGTGCTCATTTCCGTTGCGATTCGTCGAAGGCCTGAAGCAAACGACCGAATGTGATGGTTGCATGGATGCTTGAATTGAGCGTCTCCGTTATCCTTTCTCAACACGATATTCTTGACGGTATTGAATGTGTAAGAGGCCGTTCGTAGAAAAAGATTCGATGTCGTAACAAGTTTTGCGTTCTCTTTTTCTTCCTTGCAAAACTCGTAGCAATGAAGTACTGTTCTACGCTCCTCTACAGACACTTTTTTTCCTGAAGGCTGTTTATGCTGTTTGACTGAAACGAACGTATTGCTGGGAGGTGGGACTTTCCGCAATTCTCTGATCTGGCTCTGCAATAGCTTGGCCTTCTTCTGAAGCTTTTCAATCATCTCCAAGATCTCCTAGGCTATTGGCTCTTCCTCCGTTGGACAGAGTTTCAAAAAGAGGATCAAGGTGGGGCGTTTTCTTGGGAAAAACGCTCGCGGCTAGTGTAAGCAAATTAGTGCTTGATGAAGAATCCTCCAAAACAAACGATAGAAACGCGCTGTATGGCCCTGCCATCTGAACTCAATAGAGTCCTCAGTGACGTTGTAGAGTCGAAGGGACAGCATTCGTATTGGGGGAGCGTTTTTTTGCCATGCTCTCCCGAGTCAACGTACAGGTGGGTGCATAATGCACTGAGCACGCATATAAAAGACGAGGGATATCCTGCCTTCATCCACCTTGACATTCCCGCTTTCACTCGCTTCTAAGTAAGACGCCTACAATCCTCACCGTTATCAAAACTAATTTCGTGCACCATTGCTGACCCTATTAAGCATTTTGATGGTAGATAAAAAAACAGTTCCGATCGTCCTTGTCTCGATGCTCGCCAGTATTCATAGTTATAAATAAATTGAGGGGCCTTTGCCTGTGAATGGTCGATAGTTCATGAGGTAAGACTTGGCGAACAGAATGTGCACCAAAAATTTGCATTCGGCCGGTTTCAGCTCTCCAACGACGACCATCTCCTTGCTCGCCCATCCACTCATAAATATATACCAAATTGCCTTCCTCACTGAAATACTCCCTGTCCCCATTACCCACCCCCCGCCATTGAACTTCCATAAGGTCCCTGGCAGCAACACGCAGTAAAAACACAAAAGAACGGACGATAAGAAGCGCATACGATACCTCAAAATGATCAACAAAATCACCATGTCCGACGAAGAATCTAGGCCAACAGTCAACATAGGGCCGTATATATCAAAGCAAGTGTAGCTCTGGTCGCATGTGAAGTCGTAATGGCATACTTTACATCCTCAGCATGCTGTAAAGCTCCTCTGACGCATGGGCCTGCCTTACCTTATTTCATTACTCTTAATCTGTAGATTCGTGCGGTGTCTCCACGTCGAGGAGGACCATCCTGCGATTGCCATGCCATTTTCATACACGCAGTTTGGCGCGGTTCTGATGGTCGACATCGTTGGCTTTAGTCAGGTCTGTTTCCCAGTCGAGATTGGTGACATCGTTCGCGGCAACAAGAGCATGTTCATGTCTATTGACGCAGATAATATACGTATCGCATTGCGCACTAGATGACAAGCATCGCCTCGTCGAAAGGAGATGTCGGGGCGGAAATGCTCTCCTCCCAGATTGGAGCCTACTTTGACTTGGCGATCCGTATCATCGAGTATCATGGCGGAGACGTCGTGAAGGTAGTCATGACGGAATCACAATTAACTTTAATGGCCACTGGCAGTCCAAACATCCTTGTCACTCATGTAACTCCTGGTGAATCCATACCACCGCTAGTTCCTGGGAGATGCCCTCTTAGTCGTATTCCAAGCAGACCCTTCTGCAGAGCGAATCTGCGGCTCTGACTCCAATCACTTCACCACTACAGACTACAGCCTTAATCCACTCGATACAGTGGAAGACGATCCTGCGGCTGTCTCGCGGCGTAACAAGGTCGTTGTCCGACGAGCCGTTGAATGCAGTCTAGAGTTATTAGCGCGACTTTCGGATTACAGGATATATCTATCCGAGCGTGAATTCGCAAGAAAATTTTCAAGCGCACCGAGCATTGTGGATGATAGCAATTACAATGAGGATGACAGGAGCAGTAACCACGGCGGTGGCCTTAAACTCGTAACAAACGGCGTTCAAGGCAACGGGCCTTCTTGGAATAGTCTGGGCCTTCTAAGCAACGGGCGCGGCCATAACTTTCTCCATTCTAAAGCAAACGTGCGTCGGGGCTCATCTTCTGCAGAGTCAACGGGAAAATCCTCCTCGCGTCGCTCTTCAGTTAGCGATTCAGCTGATGTTGGACATGATCACCCATTCAGCCATGCGACTGGGTCTCTCCCGCATCCCCGCCAAGATCCACCCGTGGAAGAATCCTCAACCCGTTTACTAGCTAGACCCAGACCCGGGCCAGGAGATATTCCTTCATTCAACATCGTCCCGCCTACCGCGCCATCCCCTGAGCGTATTCACATATCCACACCGAATGCGACTCTTTCCACCCCGGGCAGTCTCTTAGGGTTTCGAAAGCGGGAGGGATCCGAAAGCTCGTCGACAAGGCCAGGATCGATGCGTTCAAGAGCGCGGAGTCGATTTTTGTCAAACGCAAAGAATTTATTCACGCACTCTAATTTCAACGAACAAGGCGCTTCAGGACAGGCTTTACTTGACAATGCCTATGTGTCAGAGGAAGCGCATGAGCTGCAGCTGCACATGGCGCTTTCTGCTGGCGATATCTGTAAGCAGCTTTTTATTACTTCCTCACCTTTGATACACTGTCGCAAAATGTACGTTCTTTGTGCACTGAAATGCATCTTCACATGTTGATCTGCGCCAAAGCGAACATCATTATTGGAGACGTCGGTGACAACAAGGGACTGGACTCCTTGCTGGTTCAAGACACGGGACGCCTGGAATATGCCATCTGTGGAGAGCAGATGTCGGCCCTAGATTACGCACTCAACCTGGCGCGTGCAGGAGAGGTCACCGTCACGAAAAGCGCATGGAAATATGTCGACTCGGATGCGTACCGACGAAGCGAGCCTAGAAGAAACTGTGTCATCTTGAAATCGATACCATCGTCAAGAAGAGAGGATCTACCGCTAATGAGACGTATCAGAAACGATCGAGTCTTCAAGGCTAACATGCAGAGCAATCCGCACTACTTCAAGTATGCATCGGAACAGGGATTCTTAAATTGAAAGTTTCGTTTTGGATACGTGGAAATATGTCTGATACTTTGTTATTGTTTTCTGGCCCCGTGAGTAGATATGTAAATAAGTCGGCAATCCATCGCTTGATTCTTTATCCAAATGGCGATTTCCCAGCGCAATTCAGAAACGCCACCATTCTCTTTGTTAGCCTGGGAGACGTCAAGCCCTGGACCCCTGATGGCCTTGCTCTTTGTCAGAACGCGTTCCTTGTTGTGCATAAAGTGACATCCGCGTATGCAGGTACATGCTAAAACATCTACGCTAACACCCTTACCTCACCTAAAACAATACGATGGATGGCTGATGACTATCTCTCTCTAATGCAGGATTTATTCAACAGTTCGCTGTCGATGACAAAGGCGCCACCATCCTGTGCGCATTCGGCCTTCCATACCCACACTCCCACGAGAAAGAGGCGATTTTTGCAGCCAAATCTGCATGGCTAATCCGACAACGACTCCTTGACGAAGATGTTCGGGGTTTCAAAATATCGCTGGCGACGGGCGTCATTTTCACGAGCACGATTGGTAACGAGTTCCGTCGCGACCCTGCCATTGTAGGAGACACGATTGTTATCGCTGTCAGGATTCTGAAATTTGAGTATGCGACAAATTCAATTGTCTGCGACGACGCCACTATGGTTGCTTGCACCAGTGACCACGATGACCTGTGTGATTTTGAAGACATGGGCGAAGAGTACGTCAAAGGCAAGCTATACCCTCTGCGAATCTGGCGACTAGTCCACTTTGGCGCCAAGAATCAGGCTCATCAATCAGACGATACATTAGAGGACGACATTGTCGGATACGAGTCCGAGCGGGAGAAGGTCACTAAGTGTCTAGAGGGTTGGGCACAGGCTCCTGACCGAAATACCCTCCTGGTGATGGGCCCAAGGGGATCTGGTAAGAGCATGTTCCATCAGCAGATATTTCATGCTGCCGACAAGAATGGATTCCGGATTTGCTCTGCACCTTCTGCAGAGGTCGAGCAGAATACCGAGTACTATCCGATAAAGTTTCTGCTACTGGACCTGTTTGATATCATGCACAAACACGATATCCCCTATTCTGCCAAGACGGATCCGGCGAATGCTCCACCGAGGGCGAATACGGACATCCACGACATTAACAAGACTGATCTCGAGATGGTGCCTCCGATAGCGTTTGCGAACAGCAAGGATTCTTCCGGATGTACTTCAATGCATACCACCGACACTATCATGTCAACAGGGGCAGCTAAAAGTCAGTTGACCTCCGTACAGGACTCTGGATCAACCATGCACTCAGATGGGCTGCTCCAGTTGCCAGCTGCAAGCAATAGGCCTTGGCACAGCTCCTTCGGTTCCTCCGAGGATGTGCCTTTCAGTCCAGAGATCAATCAGTACGATAGACCCAGTGGACCTAACTCAACGAGCCGGACAAAACTAGAGGCTCTTATCAACATTTGTCTGGACAAGCTGGGTAGCAATAAGCGCAACCTGACCACGCCCGTGTTGTACGATATCATTGCAGGCATATCATCAGATGATCCGACACCTGTCATCGATCCAGAAGAAGATCACATTCTGTCAGAGTTCATTGTCCGTACCCTGAACTATGCGTGTCGCTACGTCAAGACCATAGTCATGTTCCGGGACATCCAATGTGAGTTAACTCGCACAGCAGTTTTCGCTTTCTTTGAAGTACTTTGCTGTTGCTGTCACCAAATGAACTTACAAAGGCGAGCGCGGCATGGATTAATTTTTAAACGCCAACTTTGTATTTGTGCCCATAGGGTGCGACTACAAGTCTCTTAATATCATTCAAGCCATCCACGAGCGCTGCCCCTCAGTCCTGATTGTTCTCTTCTCGCGTCCACTGCGAGATTATGGGGATAGTAATACTCTGAAGGCCATCAGCAATCATCCTAGTCATCTGGAAATCACGTTGGAGGGCCTCAGGCGCCGCGAAATCGAGCAGGCGCTTCTGCGAGCGTTTCAAGACAAGGGCGTCACCCGTATCAGTCCCGAGATTATGGACCTGGTACAAGAGCGAACGAAAGGCAACCCAAAGTTCGTTAAGAGCATGTCTTTTTTGCTACAAGAGTTCTGTCATTTCAGTGTAGTCGATGGCGAACTTTTGACGACGGGCAAGGAAACCGCCACTGGCCCTTCCTCCAAGTCCGTGGAGGAGATGCTGCAGAAACAGGATCGTAAAAAGGTTACTCTGATGCAGTACGATCGCCTCCGTCCCAAGTTTCAAGAGTTCTTAAAGGTTGCCAGCTGTCTAGGAGAGACATTCACACTGGCTGAGATTGCCGCCATCAAGCCGCTTGAGAGCCTTTTGGGAGCGCCTGATCAAAAGAAATCATACTCGACGGCGATCATTGACCTCGACACGTACCGGTTTCTGTCTCTGGCGACCAACCAGCAAACCAATATTCAATTCTCGAGAAACGCAGTTCTACAGACCATCTACACTTTTACCTCTCCCTCGACTGCCGGCGATATCTATGAATCGATTCCGTATGAAGAGCGCGTCGGTTATCATCTCAAGCTGGCTCAATTTTACGAATCGTTTCTGGAGCAGGCAGGACACAACGAGGATCCCACGAAGCAGCCGCTAAACTGCCAAGATTTGCTACCTAAGATCACGTATCACTACATGAAGACGGACCATACGGAAAAGAAGATCAAATACCTCAAAGCCCTGGCAGCGTTTCATCTCAAGGGCAACATGCTGACAGACGCCACCGACAACCTCAATGAGCTGATCCGAATCATGGATACAGAACGCGGCGCGAGAGAGATGGTCAGTGAGGAGGACCTAGCGGATATCTATGGCATGAAAGGCGAATCACTTTCCAAACGAATGCGCATCGAGGAAGCAGAACCTGCACTTTTGGATAGCCTAGCCAAGTACGGCATCTTTTGGCCTTCAAGCAGGAGTCAATGGAGGCGAGTGTTGATGATAGAGGGACTCAAGTTCAAGTATTGTTACAACCTTGGCCTTAGTCCTGTCGTACAAAAGCCAGGGAAGAGAGTACCGAAGCCCAGGGTCGACCACAAGGGACAAAGACGGCTCACACGAATCATCCGTGTCCTCTCATGCCTTCAAAACGTCTACTTTTGGCGAACGGAGCCCGACGGAGCCACGCTATCCTGTTTCTACACGCTTAAGTGCTCACGCAAGTTAGGTATCCCGAGTGGAGATCAAACGACTTCTCTAGCCCGCATCGCGATCATTAACTACTATCAGGGCAACAAACATGATTGTGAGAAGTACATGGACGATGCGCGACGCAGTAACGAAACCGACGGAGCTACATTTGGAATGTTCTCCGCCATGGACGCGTACACTGAATACAGCGAGGGGCATCTGGAAAAGGCGCATCGCCTTCTGGACGAAGCCATTAGCGAGAGCAAGACATTTGGAGTTGTCACACATCTGGCAACGTTCTACAGAGCAGTGACCTCAAAAATCGCCTACAGGATGTGGGAGGGCTCCTATAACGTTCACCCAAAGGATTGTCAGCTTTTACGAACCCTGTCCGCTGTGGCTATCCAGAATGGCGACTCTGAAGGCGAAATACTGTTCGCGATCCCCACGTTGGCCAACCTTCTTATTCACGATCGTCTTCGGGATGCAGAGTCGTGGGTAGGGTTGATTGAGAGATATATCATGCCCAAGGCTCGACTTATGAACCTGCTGATCGTCCATGGAATCCTGTCGTTTTACTACGCCAAGACGGGAAACTATGAAAAATCTCGCATCTACATTGAGTTGCTTGGGCAGAATATCCAGAAACAAGGTGTCGGCGCGCATCCGTTCCCTTTGATGAGTTGCATGTTTGCGCTGATGGCCATGTATGAGATGCACGACCATGTACGTACATTCCCCAAGAATGATACCCTCGAGATCAGTCGGTCCTGCCCATTCCACGCCGACGCAAATTTGAGCTATTTCATTGCTTATCTCAAAACCGAACCCATGAAACTCGTGGCCGAGCCCTATATCTGTCTCGCAGACACAATGCGTAGTTTGATTGTGCCTGGCCATGAGAGAGAGGCGTCTCAGAAACTGGTGCAGGGATATCGGGAGCTAAGTCCTGCACTCGAGGGACTCGACTTTGTCATGGCCTACTTCCTAACTCAGGTTGGGCGGTATTCCGAACCAGAACTCAAGGGCCCGTGTTACCAAAGAGCTCACGACTTATTTAGATCGATGTCTATGAATCCTTTGATATGGCTGACGGACCCAACGTCGGGCTGGCTCCCCCCAACAGTGGCGGACGAGAACCGGGCCGACTTTATCATGGGAAGCATACCATTACCTGCCAATACGGAAGCCCTGAAGGAAGGGTCGTTGGGTTGGGCTGCTGCAAAGGCTGCGTCATCTAGCGTCGCAGATTTGTCGACTTCACCACTTGTGGTGACAGCAATATCCACCCCGCTACAGATACCGAGGTATCAGGACGAGGGCGCGTCTGCTAGCATGGACCTAGTCATGAGCCAAGAGGTCCAGTTGGATGAGTCGTCTTTCCATAGGGAATTGGCAAGGGCGTCTATCTCATCAGCGCCAATTCTACACGACATGGAAGCCGGTTTGGATCGATCTTCCATCGAGACCATGTAGAACCAAATGAAGGAATAAATCCGATTAAATGGCGAGGCTCGCGTTTTTTTGGTGATTTTTTATGCTGAGCGTCATTAATCGTGCATTTGACTTTCTACTCTTGTGATACTGACAGACTATTCGGGACTACAGCATTAGTTGCCGCAACAGCACTGGCCGATGTAGAGGTTGATAGTGGTGGTCTGGAGACCTCTGTTCCTAGGTTTGTCGTCGAGCTGTCCTGGTTCACAGACCTAGCCCTTGAAGAACCCGCCGTAGGCGTTCCTGAGGATGCTTCTGAGGACGAGCCGTGGTCGCGAGACAAAATTCTAGCGGTGGGTGAGGAAGTGGCTGTAAAAGTTGATCCAGCCACGCGAATTGCAGCCGCAGCGACAGAAGCCACGTTGTCCGATACTATAGTAGCCGCACTGGCAGATGGAGTTACAGTCTTGATAGAGAACAGCTTGACCCCGGTCTCATACCATGCTCCCATGCCCTGACGTCCAAGACGACCACCGCCTCCAATATAAATCTGACTCCAAAGCAACCCCTGGAACCAGGTCGCAAGTTCACCCCACACAAACTTGCGAATGATGATCGGCGGGCGACCAGATTCGGGCAGACTTTGCTGGAGCTTGGGGACAACGTTGATCCGGATGTATTCGAGCACCTGGTTGTCATTTATCGCATGGATCGACTCGATCTCGGGGATAGCACACCGCAACATGACTAGCAGAGGCTCAAAGCGTAGTGTTTTCATCCAACTCTGGACCTATTTTTTTTTAATTGTGTTAGTATGCGGACCAAAAAAAAAAAAAAAAAAAAAAAAAAAAAAAGATGTCAACTGACCCATTCTTCTGTGGGAACAAACCCGTTTTGGCCAACATCATAGACTGTCGTAGATTGTTCCTGGCGATGATTAGAGGCTCGAGATAAGAGAGGTGGCTTCCGGTTTGACGCTGCAGATTTTAAATGGAGGGCTGAGCGTTTCGTTTCTCCATTTTCCAGTTCATCCCGCTCAAGTTCACAGCTTGACTCTTCCCGTGCCAGAAGTGAAGATTGGTTCTGATGACCTTTTTCTGGCAATTTTCCCCGGGCCTTTTCTGACATTGCATAGACCGGTCGCTCTTTGAGACTTTTGGGTACGGTTGAGGGGCCTCCTTCGTCCTCTACATCGCCATCATGCCCTCCACCATCACTGGGGGTTATCAAAATCGAGTCAGAGCTGTCAGGCCGCATTAGCACAGGTAGTACCATAGGCCTCTCCTCTGCTTGAAAATCTTTCGCTTGTCTAGAAAATGAGACTGAAGATGAGGACGTTGAGCACGATGAGACTGCTGGTTTAGAGAGTGAAGATGTTCCGATTGGAGATATTTCCAGTATTGTCGAGCTCCCACGTCTGGGCAGATGAGGTCTCCTCGAGTGATTTTGTGATGATTCTCCGTGGTAGGACTGTTGCCTTGAAGTCGTGGGTCGACGAGGGCGGCCATCTGCAGCTTTGGGAACGCTGCTCTCGCTTGCGGACCGCAATGAATTAAACGACTCTGCTCTTTGATAGCGGAGCTTATGAATGTCACCCAGCCCACGCTTCAAAGTGAACTGAGCCATAGTCTGGATCTTGGGCTCATACTGAACCAAGGCGTAAATTAGATGTGCGTTTTCTATACGTTTATGGACATCAGCTGCTTAGTACATGACGTCGCTACACGTTGTCGGATGTCCAAGGAAAAGTTTCAGAAAGTTTGAAGAAGTGGGACATACCAGGTGCTTGATAATAAAGAATACTGCAGAGAGTATCCAACAAAATGCCCAACAGCTCATGGTTGGATTCCTCTGTGAGCAAGAATGACGGAGAAGCAAAGGATGTGGTGAGCTGTATAAGCCGGCATGAGGCAAGGGGCGAAAGGTTTTTGATATAAGGAGACACGTTGGAGAGGGTCGAGATCAATGCAGGGTAGAGGGATCTGAGAGTCCGCTTTGTTGTGGCAATTAAGTGGTGTACAGACTGGTGAGATGCGATTGACAGAAGACAAGAGGATCAGATATCATTGGAGCAGTCTTTCCGCGCACAAATTGCCATGCAAAGACCCTGCGAGGGTAGAATGCACATACACAGATGAGATAGTCTCCATAAGTCCCATGGAAGTTCGGTATCCTGACGTTGGCGGGCAAGGAGGCGTGTCCATCGAACGGCTTGTTCAAGCACTTGCCCAACGCTTTGTCTTTAGATAATGTTTGCAATATGCAAGCGCACATCCTGACAAGACCAATATGCGCTAGAGACACAAGCAACGATAACAGTAAAGGCATTAGGCATCAACACCTCCTTCGAACGAGCATTCAGGAGGAACTGCGCAGGGAATGCATATGCCTGATGGCCTACATGTTTCTTGCTTGTATTCGAGCGAGAAATATAGCAGGATCACCACGATATCGAGTACTCTATTGGTTTCCAAAAGATAGTTGCGGAAACGCTGTGTCGTCGAGTAGTTTGACAATTCAATCCAACGAAAACGTCCGAAGTCAGCTCCACGCATTATACCACCAACATCTATCATCAGCATAAGAACATGCGCTTGATTTGAATACAAACCTTGTTCAATTCAAGGGTCTTCCAACAGAGCATCAAAGTCTCCTGATGGCATTTGACTTGCTTTGTAGATCCTGGCAAATACGTACTGCTGGCCTACAAAAATCAATGGATGTAAGAAATATAAGTGAATTAGACAAATTCAATAAAAAAGCACATGATTACAAACAGGCGCTGGAAAGACTTACTGCCATTGGGTTGCTCAGAATACGATACATGCCATCGGTCAAAAACATAAAGTCCTGATCCCGGTGCAAACGCGAGAGGTAGTATTGAAATTGATTCTTGTTTGCAGGTGGCAACGATGTCGCTGAAGATGTAAACTCCAAAGGCCCTGCCGAATCTGTTGGGTCTCCTGACCACTGCCCTGCGTCCGATCTTTTCTGGTCGTCAATACAGACTCCTGGTGGGATACCGGACGAATTGTGTGGCCGTTCGATGACTTGGTAGTCGAGTAGCACGACGATAACTTGCAGAGATAGCATTACCAAGAGCTCTCTCTGGTCGCTGAACATAACATGGTTGTAGGGTAGGCCCCATCCCGATGGATTGTACTTGAGTGCCGAATTGATTAAACTGCAGAGTATCGCCAACGTAGTTTGACGGTCTGATCCAGTCATGACAGTATCGATCCAGCGGTTTTCTGTAGATGTGATGGCTATGGGGGAAATGTACATGGACCTGGAGAACAGGACAAGAAGTAGCCGTAAAATCTCCGTCCTGTTGTCGTCCAGCTCCTTTGAAGTACCGATCGGCTTTGATGAACCCACACCAGTCTCCCTACGGCAGCAAGGAGATTGGGTCAGGATGAATAATCATGGTCATGTCCATTACCGAGAATCCGAGTAGGGAGGCAGCATACCAAATGACATAGCTCACTCGGCTTTTAGTCTCCAGGGCGGTAGGAAGTGTGAACCCAGATGTAAATAGCAGATCCAGTAGCACCTTGATTAAGCGCTGCCCATGTGATGGTAACGGTTCCTCCTCGAGCTCTAGGAACTGGAAAGTAAGGTTGTGTTCAAAGCGTGAGCATACTCTCCTGGAAAATGACAGATCGAGCACGATCACGATCGACAGTCAATCACCTACTTCTATCTTTGGTAGAGGATGTGAGCGGTGGTATTCTGACTCACTGGATGGTGAAGTAAGTCTAACTTCCGACTCCGTTGTGGGCCTATTAGAAGGAGCGGCCAGTTGTTCAATAGAGCTGGGGTGCTTCCTTTTAACGGTGCGCGAAGTCCAGAAGTAGCGTTCCTCCCAGTCCATAAAATCATCTGATTCAAAGACAAAGGGGAATATACGCGTCAGGACACGCACGCAATTGAGCACTTGGAGAGCATGTGCCTGAGGCGTCAGGAACTCGGGAGATTCGCAAAGCCAAAATAGATGGCCGAGGATCTATGACGCCCAGATAGAAATGCCTGGCGCGATTTAGTTACGACGGTTTCCAATTACCCGTCCTACGCTGTGGCTATCCAAGGACGTACCTTTTCAATAAGACACTCCAGATTCTCACGCGCCTCGTCGCGCACACGTCGAATATCTTGCGAGCCCACTAGCAGGAAGACATCGTCTGCACACTCGGGCAGGGTCCAAAACTATAACGGATAGTTAGTGCATGAGGAAATCAAGCACAGGTAGAGCAAGGAATCGGCCGCGATTATTAGAGTATTACCTGCTCCCAATAGTCGTCTGCGGCAGAAGGAATGCTCTAGAGGAGAAAACATGCGAGCAGTGGCGACAAGTGCCCGCAAAATAAAAAAGGAAGGGAAGCAGTCGTTGCAAGGGAAGTAAGCGAGGTTAGATGTGTTACTTTGCCGAGAAAAGAGTCATTCTTGAGTCATTCTTGAGTCGAAGAGCATGGATTGCTGAGACGCGTCCTGGCTGGTTTTCATTGCTGGAATGCTGGGATGCGGGCGAGATGGGCTTACCCGTTCTTCAAAGAGTCGAAAGACACCCTTTTTGAATGCCAGCTTCGAGTCGGCGGCACCCATGTTGCGCTTCTCTGTGGATAGAAGGCGAAGAAAGAGGGGCGAGAGGAGGCTGCGAGGCGATAAAGCGCAGTAGCGGTTAGACAGGGGATATACCTGCACCAAGATTCGAAGGCAAGCAGGCGGAGAAGAGGGCGCCTGAGGATGATGTGCTGCAGAGGAATGAACTCTCCTCTTGAAAGCAGACCAACCAGCTCGTTACCCCAAAAAGCAGTGAAAGTGCGCGACTTGCCCAAGAGTGGGCGAGACCCATTCTGTACGTGATATTGTGCACGTACATTGGATAGTCCTCTCCTGATACACAGTCTCTTTTGTTTTTCTTTTTGTTTTTTATACTTTTTTTTTTTTGTTGTTGTTGTGCTGTAAAACAAGGGACTCCTCAACGCTTTCACCTGCAAAGACACCGCAATCGTACTCTCGACAACCTTGTAATCAGCAAGACACTCGCTTTCGACTCGCCCCCAATGGTTACTACGCGCAACAGAAGCAGAAAGGGCCTTACATCGCCCGAACCACTGGAGCTGTCCTTGCCAACCCGGGCACGCCGCACTCGACAAACCAAGACCAAGGCCGATTTCGCCTTAGAGGAAGAAGAATCGGAGACTGTCGAGAGCTCATCACCAACATCGACAATAGAATCCAGTAGTCCACCACGGGAACTAAACGAAGTGTTATTTGATGGAAAAAGTGCCGCAGGACTCCATGAACCGGAGGTGATATCGCACAGTAATAACGTCCATTTGAAACAGGAAGAGGACACGCACGATGAAACAGATCAGGAGGAGTACAGGAACGATGTTGAAGGAGAGCAAGAGAATGGGTATGAGGATGAGGAATCCGAAAAGGACCAGGGATTGGAGGAAGGTGAGGAGTCGGAGGAAGAAGACAGAATGGGTACAGAAGACTCAAATGATGAGGATCTGGATCAACTTCTTGTCAAGGCACAGGAATCATTCAAGAGAAAAGCCATGCTTGGGGGGGGAAAGGAAGAACCGCGATTCAGCTTCCCCAGGCTGGAGACCGGACTAGATACCAAAAATGTGTATATTAAACAGGATGGAACGAGGGCCAAGGTCGACATGAGCACAATTATTGTGGTGGAGAAGGGCGCAGCGGGGTCAAACCCCTCCGGTGGCCAAGCAACTCTGGAGACATGCGAGGTCAACATGAACGCGCACAACATTCACATTAGCAAGAAGCAGAGGAAGGAGGTAGGACCTGAAGCCATGACCATTCTCTTTTGGCCTTCTGTGTGGTCTATGTGACCAGTGCAATCAGTGCCCATTTCAAGTTGTTCATTTTAACCATACCTATGACTAATGCGACTCCATTTTACGACTGGTCTTTGTATTTTTAGGACAGAGAGAAGACAGCAGGAAAGAGCTGGTTCGATCTTCCTCAGCAGACGCTAACACCGGAGCTGAAGCGTGATCTCCAGATACTGAAGCTGCGTAATGTACTGGATCCCAAGCGGTTCTATAAGAGAGAAGAGAAGGGCAAGCCTAAGTTTCCGAAGTACTTCCAGGTGGGCACGATCATCGAAGGCAACACGGAGTTCTATTCGTCTCGTCTGACGAAGAAGGAGCGGGCGACGACGATCACGGGCGAGGTGATGAAGGACCTTGCCGGACGCGATTACTACAAGCGCAAGTTCAACGAGATCCAGGAGACGAAGCAGAGTGGTGGCAAACGGTTCTACAAGAAGGGCAATGGCAAGCAGAGCAAGGGCTGGCGAGCAGGCAAATAAAGATCTATTGTCTTATGTGGATGGCAGGTCTCCGTGTCCGTCTGCCGGATGTTACTTGTACACTAATATGAACATTGGCATAGAAGACTTGCCATGGTCAAAGACTTGCGATGCAAGCCCACGCAGGGTGGGCGTACCATTTGTAAGTGGGCTCAAATCAACTGTCGCAGGGAGGTTGTGCACTCAAGTGGACACAAGATGCAGAGAAGAGGGCCCTTGTTCCTCGTCTTCATCATCATCATCTTCATCTTCATCATCTTCATCTTCATCATCATCATCATCATCATCATCATCATCACCACTATCATCATCCTTATCCCTCCTCTGTTCTTGCTACGACCGACCACCACCTTCATTCGCTTAAAAAAGGTAGTAAATTTTTTTCCATGTTTCTCATTCATGAGCGAGAGATAGCCCCCTCCGCCCCTTGATCGTGTGTCTCTCTTTTCTTTTTTCATAAACAGAACAGAGCAGCCTCGCCATTGGGCCCCATGCCCAGTCAGCTTGGGCCCCAGGACTGCAGTACCCGTTGCCATTGCCATGATCATCCTCATGCCACAAGACGCTTTCCTGTTTTAAAAATTAGAGGTTGCTTCTTGTACCTCTTCCAATCCTTGTTTGCGTCGAGCGAGCCGCGGGGATCCCAGCCCTATCCTGTACTCATCATCCTCTTTTGAGGTCCCATCACTCTCCATCACTCTCCATCATCCCCGCCCTCAGTCTCTCATCCCTTCAACCAGTACCGCGCACTCACGTACTCTTGCTCTCGCTCTCACCCTAGCACTCACCTGCACTCAAACTCGTTCGATGGCACAGCCCAGGACCCATCGTTTCTCGAATCAGTATCCAGGGACACCCCGCTCCCAGTCCTCCCCCTCCCTGGCTTCTGCTTCGCCCCTCATCCGTCCACGCCGCATCAACATCAACCTGCCGAAACACGCTGCCACTGCAGCAGCCTTCCAACCTTCAGCAGCAGCAGTTAGGTCTTTGGATAGAATCCAGGAGGACCGTGTCCGATACTCGGAATCAGTTCTGAAGCATGCAGCCTCAGAGGTAAGCTAGTCCTCCCGCTTATAGCCCCGTCTTTTTTTCTTTTTCTTTCTCTCTCTCTCTCGTTAAGGCTCTGGATATCTTTCCTCACACCTGACTCTTACCACTGCCTTGTCTCCACCCTTTACTCGCGTTAGGCTCTGATGAAAATGCCCAATATCGCAACAAAATCACGTTCCGTGGATGATATCTTTGAACTTCAATCAACAGCAGTCTCCTGCAAGCTTCCCTCCACCGCTCCTACACCCCACTCGAACTTGAAGGTTTCGATGGACAGCGTCGGCTGCCTCAGTTCGTTGTCCCCAAGCTTCACTAGTCAGGTAATGGGCTGATTTACCATGCATGCAGTATGAGACTGCAGCTGATACGTGCTTTGACACATATTGCTGCAGGGCGGGGAATTCTCTGCATGGATTTTTTTTTCTTCGCTCCAACCACGCACTCAATTGTTCCATCAAAGAGGATGGAGCCGGGCACCTTTGTCCCTACTTGACTACCATGAGATTCCTTTGATATTGCCCCTCATACACATGCTTCCTACTCTTTATGTATTGGGTTTTCACCTCTCTACCCGTCACCACCACACAGCAAAAAACAAAATGGAAAAATGGCCCCTTAGTTTTGCTAGGACCATAAGAATGATGCCAATGGTTGTTGTATATAGCCATCCACAAAACGAGACAAAAAAGACGCCACAGGGCCCACGGTCCCCAATATACGAACGAATGACATAGTCTCACCCTCTTATCCTTCCTGATGGTATGCCTGGTAGCGTCCTGGCATGGATCGCAAGCAGTCAAGTCACCGTGCTGGCGCGCTTGGCCACACGAACAGTCGCACCATGGCCGCCGGTATGTATAATGGCTAGCAAGTAGTGCCATTTCCTTCAACCTCCATGTACATTATCCGCTTTGCTCTTTTTCTCTTTACTTTGAGAGTCGTACCGAGCTTCCTTTGCCTTTTCACACATACATCAGAACCACCTTCGCCCTTTTTTTTTGGCTCCCACTTCCTTACTTTTGTCTACTCGTCCTTCACCCGCTCCAGTAGTACAGCCGCTGTCTATGGGATCAACTCTGTCTATAGCGCTAACTTCTAATTTCTCTCAATTGGATTATGGGCTCTTCGCTTCTGTCAACGTAGATTCTGACAAGGACGAGGCGGACGCGAAACGAAGCAATATGAACCCCTTGGCTGCTACTTTCACCCCCACATTTCCCAAACCTACACTCTCGGACTGCGCGCCCTCGGACCATGGTGGCGAGACAAGATGCGGTACTACTGACTTTAGGGTAAGCAAGCTGGATAGTATTTTCTCAATTGTTACCCTACTTACTTTTCCGTCTCTAGACGTACATGTGTGCCTTTAAGCTGATCTTACAAATCTGCACTAGGACCCTCTGATTGCGGGACTCGGGATTTCCTCCCCTGGCATGGAATACTTCCCTCATCAACGATACCAGTATCAGAATCAACAGCACCAAGCGCTAAATACGGAAACATTCTCGTCTTTCAGCTCCAGTTCCACGCGTCAGGATAGCTCAACTATTGTAAAAGCGTTGCCTACGACCATTTCTTCAGCGACAGTGACAGCAATACCGACTTCAAGTACGACAACAACGGCAGTCGAATTTGATCCTGAGGAATTCAGGATAAGTCTGATGCGCCAGATCACAGACAAACTGGAGACCGGATTGGACCGCCATTTTAGCCAGCTTGTGTCCGCCACCACGTCCCTTCCACTGTCACCCACACATCTGGATCAGGTTGCCGGAAGTTCCGCATCTATGAGTACGGTCGGCAGCAGTGCACCGGCCAATTATCCAGCGGATGAGACTACCGTTCTATATCTAAAGAAGCTACTGCGCAACGCGAACGCAGAGTTAGAGCGACTCAAAGACAAAAACCAAGAGCTGCGCGAGACCAACCACAAACTGGAACTGCAGCACCTTGAGATAGCCCATCAAGTGACAAGATTGCAAGATTTTGAGCTGAACAACCAGTTTTTGCTCTCAAGACTCAAAGAACTCGAGGGCTCGTCAAATTCGTCCTTGGAATCCGCCTTGGAGACAGCATCCATGAATGGATACCGCCAGCGTGCAAGCTATATTTACCAGGGTAACAACTTCGCGCAACAGAACCAACAAATCCAGAATCTGATGGCGGAGATTACTGCTCTCACTCAGGAACGGGATGCATTCAAGATCCGATCCTGGGAGCTCGAGAAGAAGCCATTTTCTCAACAACATCAACAAGATATTCGGTCGGCACACTTTATTGATCTTGAAAATGAACGGAACCGACTCATCGAAGAACTGGGCCAAAAGACTGTGGCTATGGAGGATCTCTGGAACAAGAACGAGGCCTTGATGGTACGCGCTAAAGAGTACGAGAAGCGTGTCTGGGAGCTAGAGGGTCAGGTTGCCACATTGGAGGCAGAATGTGCTTCATTGCCAAGGATCCGATTAGAGTTAGTCGAGATGGAGGCGCGAGCAGATGCCGCCGACGCCCTCCTAGGTAAACTCCAAGATATGGAGGGACAGGTATCCCTCGTAAAGAGTTTACAGGAGCGGATTCATGAGCTGGAAACTACAAATGCGGAACTGGATCACTCCAACTGGGATCTTTCAGAAAAACTTAATATTGCCAATAATCAGCATACGCTCTTAACCAAGGAGTTTGAGTCGTTCCGATCAAAGGATAAGGACGACCGGCGCCTTGAGTTTTTGGCGAACAGGAACCGAGAGCTGGAGGCTCTTTTAGCGGAGCAGGCTAAGGGCTCGCCCGACTACAAGGAAGAGTACGAGCGTGTATCATTGGAACTCGAGAAACTCAAGATCCGAATGCCACAACTGGAGGGTCAGGCGAAGCAGGTTACGCTCTTGCGGTCTAAAACACAGCAGCTAGAGAAACAAATCAAGGCTATGGAGGGTCTTGAACCAAGACTTGGGGAAATGCAGCAGTTGCATGAACGCAATATGTTTTTGGAGAGCGAGCTCGGAGAGCTGGAGCAATTGAGGGCGCGCGAGATGGAGTTGGAGCATGAACTTGAGGAGTCTAAGGCAAGGCTGGCTCAGTTGGAGACGAATAAGACAAGAATGAACTCGTTCTCGGCCTTTAGGCAACTGCAGACTCGGGCGCGGTCCGGGAGTGTGGCCCAGCACAGTGTGCCGTTTATACCTCTGCAACCACAACAACCCCAGCAACCACAACAAGCACAAGGACTACAACAACGCGACAATGATGAGAGCGGCGGCAATGGGGGCGATTTGCGAGTCAGAACGACTGGAGGCATGCCCCACAGTCGGCCGTCCCAGTCGATCAGCTCGGTAGATGCGATGTTATCGCCCCGGTCTCCGAAACGCGAGTTCCTTCCGGCGACAATGATGTCTGTAAGCACGCCGACAACAGCGACGTGGCCCTCAGGTCGTTCGAGCATGAGCATGAGCAACGCATCTAATCGAATGAGTACGAGCTCGAGTACAAGTACGGCCCTGAGCAGTGGTAGCGGTAGTAGTGCCTCTATCCAGCAGCTGAGGGTGCTACAACAAACATGTTCGGTCCCTGTTAGCCCTGAGGAGTCGTCGGACGAGGTGGATGAGGCAGATGATAATGCGAAGGAGACACAGACAGCAAAGTTGACGGAGATGAGCGTGGAGCCTGAGTCGTTTCTGATCGACGCGGCCAAAGTTAGCATTGTAAGCGATGTGATGCTTGGTGTTGTTGCATAAGAGGCCATTGCGCGTAATTATCGGACGTGGAAGGTGTGTCGTCCGTCTAGATCTCGACGGGACTTTCTCGATGAAATAAAAGCAGATAAGGCCGAACAAAAACAGAGTACATCCATATACTTTTGCTCATCGGAGATAGGAGTGCTTGCAAGGCATGGTCATGCGCCTACGACAGAAAGAAAGGTGGAGCCCTGTGGAAAGGTAAGGGCAAGGGCAAGGGAAGGATATCCCTGATGTGTGCCAAGGTTGTTAGGGGCGACGACCGATTACTTTCACTAGGAAAGCACCGATTGGATACACACGCGCCCAGGGAGGGGATGAACGCACGAATCATTTTCATCCCTCGATCCCTGGTACTTTTACACCCATATTCCACGCCCATTGTTTTTTTTTTTTTTTTTTTTGCCTTGGACCAGAGTCATCGCATGCATATATCAGCATGCAGGCAAGCCGACAAGAAATGAAAAGAAGAACCACATAAAGCCTTTTTTCGCTGGCCTCGCCCATCCGTCCCAGATCCATCCAGTTGTGATACATGTAACGCTGCAACGTGCCCGATTTATTCTCCCTGGTCTTCCCTGCCCTATTTATTGTCCCTGGCTTTCCTTGCTCGTCTTCCTTTTCCTCTCCTCTCCTATCTTTCACCCCGCACCCAGTTAGTCGCCTAGACCGCCATGGACTCCCGGACACTGGCTTTTCTTCCCAATCACCTCATGTACTCTGCTCTGGTGACATCGCTCACTTCGCTCTCTATCGGATACGTTATTGGATCGCCCAATATCCTAGAGGCTGCCATCAGAGGCGAAGATGGCAGCTGCGGCGCTTTTCCCTTTACCATCCAAGGCGGGTTTCCTAACTGCTTAAAATTTTCTGACCTCATTTGGGTACTGTACTTACATATGCCCTGTAGTGTTTTCGCTGTCTGTCAGGCAAGGCTGTTGTAAGTGATAACAGCACCGAACTTACTCTTGTATATACATGATCCGTCACTGTATCTGATGTTCACATTAGGGGTTCGCAGTGGGCTCTTTCTGTCTCGGTGCTTGCGTAGGAGGCCTGGTCGCAGGCGGGATCCAGAACAAAGTCGGCCGCATCAGGACTATGCTAATCAGCAACTTTATCTTTATCCTTGGCTCCCTCATCCTCAGCCTGACCTATCATCAAGCCCAATTTGTACTAGGCCGCATCGTCCTTGGACTCGCTTGTGGGCTCGGCGGCGTGGTCGCCCCAACATTCCTGGGCGAGATTACGACTGTTCAGGCCAGAGGCACCCTAGGAACGTTTCATCAACTCTTTATCGTCGTCGGACTCGTCACTTCTAACATAGCGAGTCTTGCCTGGAGTCACCCGCCTGGATGGCGCGTGGTCTTTGCAGTGAATGTCGTCCCGCCCTTGCTCCAATGCCTGCTTCTACCCACTATGGTCGAAAGTCCCCGATACCTTGTTTCGCAGCGGCGCTTAAAGGAGGCTTATAGCTCACTGCAGAAGCTCAGGGGACCCGAGAATGAGATTGATGTACACAAAGAACTGGATGAGATGGTGCTCCTACTTCTTGGAGAGCAACACTTCGAGATCCTAAATCATGGTGCACATCAGTTGGCTGTGCCTGAACAATTGCAGACCATCACGCCTATTCAGCAGGGTGGCTCCTTAACGACGATGAAGAGCGATTCCACAGATGCGCATCCTAGCAACATCCTCAAATACGGCGGCAAAGGCGGCACAGACAATCAGGAGCCCTATGGGATCTTGGAGCTCTTTCGATCAGAGTGCCGTGGACTGGCAACGATTGGAGTTCTAGTTCATTTTCTTCAGCAGGCCTCAGGGATCAATGGTCTTGTCTATTACTCGACCTCCTTTCTATCTGACGTCTTTGGATCTGACAACTCGCGTTACATCACCTTCGGTGTCTCCTGCTGCAGCTTGATTTCCACCATACTTTCCGTCTATCTAATCAATCGCTTTAATCGCAGGACCCTACTGATGGCCTCTTTTGCTGGGATTAGCTTATCGGCCGCTCTCTTGATCACCGGCGCGTACTGCAATGTTGGCCACTTGGTTGCTGTGGCCGTGTTTCTGTACATTGTCTCCTTTGCTTTTGCTTTAGGCCCAATCCCTTGGCTTCTACTCTCGGAAATGCTGCCCACCTATGCAGTATCACCAGCCTCGAGCGTAGCTACTGGTGTAAACTGGGGCACCAATTTTATTATAGGACTAGTATTCCCATCCATGACCAAGACTCTAGGCAGTGGGACCTTCATCCTCTTTGGTGCGTTCAATATCTTTGGGATCATTTATATCTGGCACTGGGTGCCCGAGACCAGGGGTCGATCCATCGAACAGGTTATGGGCGAGAAAGGCGTCCCTCTACGATCTGCCTAGCAATTACACGGTTGTAAAATAGCGAACTGGTCCTTATTTCTACACCAGCTCATGCTGATAAAATAATTAAACGTATGCCGATCCATTTATATTTGTTAACGATTTTATTTTGGTGCATGGCAAAGCAGAGAGAGAGCGTGAGGAAGGAGGAAGGAGGAGTGAAGAGTAAGTTTTTTTTTTTTGGGGGGGGGAGTTTTTTTTCCTTTGGTAATAATGGCATCTGCTTGTTTCCTCTAGTCTAGTTATAAATGGTGTTCTCGCGAAGATGAATAGGAGTGTCAGCTGCTCCAGGGATAACCTTCTCGAGTTTCTGGCCATAATAAAAAATAAAACATGTTTAGTAACTTGGCATATACAATATCAACAGTTTTCAATCTCCTCTACTTGATGAAATGCAACCTACCAGTTTGGAAAACACGCACTCATTGAAGGTCCTCTCGGGCTTACGGCAGGCGTAGTATTCCTGGTTGTGCTTCTCCAAGCACTTATAGTGGGCTTCCCATTCCTTTTCGCAATTCTCCCTGAGCTTGACAATCCTATAGAGAAGAGAAAGCCCCCATGAAAGAATGCAAGAATACAATGCAAAATTAGATTCAGACGTGGTAAAAAAAAGGCTACAATCCTTTGTAGTCCTCCGCTTGGTGTCTTTTTGACCGTATATTCTCTCTATGTGTTTGTTGTGTTCATCCTCACGCCAACTGACAAAACAGGTCTGATGTCTTCCAACAAGGCAAGCAATCCTGCTGTGTCGATACCACGATTGATATCCTTTTTTCCGTATCCGTTCATTATACGTACAGGTCCATGGCGCAACGTGTAACCTTGCGTCCTTCCTTCAAACAGCGGGCGGGATCGTTGTTCTCATCTTTGCAGAGCATGAAATCCTCATTGTAATCCTTGCAGTAAGACCCGATAAAGAACGCAGCTGACTTAAGAGGCGCAGAGGTCGCGCCGACTTCAGGATGGGCGGTCTCGGGGGAAGCAGGGGTCGGATCGACAAACTTGCCCGTAGAGAGAAACGAGGCCTCGCGGTGAGTAGCCATTATAAGGTTCTATGTGGAAAGGAAGAGCCATATAAAGAGAGAAACGTGTAGTGAGTAAGGTCGGATGTATACCTGGGATAGGAAGTAAAATCCGGGTCGCCGAAGATCCTATCCATGCGAGGCGGCGCGTGAATTTAGGCACTCTGGGTGTAGATCTGGACGCCATCCTGCGTACTGGAGAAACACGTACAAAAGGACAAGAGTCGTCGATAGATTGGAAAGGGCCGTGCTGCTTGCTGCTGCCTGTTGCTACTGTGCGCGCGATCCTTGTGCCTTGGAGGATTGAATCGCAGGGAGGGCGGGTTGAAATGGATGAGGCAGATGTGATCCCCTCTCCCTGATCAGGTTCGGAGCAACACACCGATTTATGTGCTTGCGAATGCGATAAATTCGCGTTCTAAACGACAATAGACCGATAAGGACGATTAGCTGAAGGGAAATAAGGCATCATTTATTGAGCAGGACTCAAAGTTGATGCACCAAATCCTTGGAGGAGGCCACTGCAGCCTGCAGGTCCTCCAAGCTGCCTGTCTTGGACTTTTTATTCATCAGCTCGACAATCATGCGCCCATTGTTACAGAGCTCTTCCTCTGCTCCTTCCGCCGGTGCCTTTCTTCCTCCTCCCTCCTGGCCCTCTCGTATTCGAGTTGGGTGTAAACTTTTGGGTTAAGCACTGCTAGTTGGTCTCTGAGTGGGTCTTGCTCGAAGATGCCCGTGTCATTATTGTTGCGCATGTTATCATTGTTAATGTTGTCGTTGGGACCATCGTTGAAGTCGACTGTCCGGTCCTCGATGATATCGGCCGATACAGACGGGCGAAGAAAGCGACTGAGCCGAAGGTCATGAAACACACGCTCAGCAAGAAAAATGTGCTTGCACAGAAGGGGTTCACGCTTGATGAAGTCGAGGCGCGAACATGAGAGGAGTTGCCCAGATCTGACGATGACAACAAGGATATAATACGTGTCTGGAGTGTCGGGGTCAAATGACTGAATGGAGATCTACACAAGAAGGGGAAGTTAAAGTATACCCCACTGTAAGTAACATTTGGCTAAGGCAGGCGAACTTGGAACGGTGCTCGAACGCACAATGGTTGGTGAAGCCCGAAGATATCCGTGCGCATATTAACACCCTTCGCCGTGACGGTTTCGATTCCCGAAATTGCCAGGAAAAGGGCTATTTCTTGCGCGGCTCGATCAAGACGGATGGCTATAGCTTGCAGCTTCTCGCATACAAGGTCCGCGAGCTGAAATCAGTCAAGTTCAAGCGATACAAGGCCGATGTTTTGGCAGATCGTCTGCTCACCACCGCCGCCGGCATGAATGACTATCTGACCGAGGTGCGCAATGTCTTCAAGTCCGCGGCCGATGTCGAGCGCCTCCTTGGCTGCACCCCTGACGACACTGACAAGGTGTCATACTTGGGTCTCGACCTAGGCCAAGCGTTCGTTATCGGAGCGTACGGCCATATGCCAAAGGACAAGAGCCCCAAGATTGGCAAGCGACGCCGCCACCGGCGACAGAAGAAGCGCGGCAGCCGGGGTCGTCGCAAAAGAGGTAGCGGCAAGGGCAGGAAGAAGAGCGTATGTCGAACCCGAGGCGAGCGGCACATTAACTTAGCTGCCAAGCAGAAAGCTGTTGCGCAACCCACTCACAGCCACAGGACTTGGATGAATCGGCAGAAGGGCGCCGACTTGAAGATACACTCCAGCCCGTCGACCACCAACACCGAGTCAATAGCACCATCAACGGTCAACCAGCCCTCAACCAGCAGCACGGAGGCAGCAACAACCGAGTCTCTCTCTATCTGCACGATCGAGTCGTCACTCCCACCCCTCCGCGGTTCCGCCGCCGACTTCGTTGCTCACGTGCAGGGACGCAAAATGCACAAGGTCCATCTGGACAAGTTTTACAACGGCCGCCGATTCAGGTTCAAGAAGTTCAAGCGGATGTCGCAGCAGGCTAGGCAGCGCGAGTTCGAACGCCTGGCGGACTCGCTCCTGCGGATGATCGGCGACTCCATTGGCGAGAAGAAGAAGGAGGAGGACAAGGTTGTGATTGGGATCGGCATGGGGCGATTCACCTCCAGTTCGGGATTATCATCCTTGCATGGGACGTTCGAGGCTTACTTCATCCAGAAGGTAACTATTTGTCTGTTTATTGTGGGTTGTTTGCAGTGCTCCAATCTAGCTACTGTTGCTAACTGACATATCCCTCGCGCTCTCTGTTATTCCATCGCGTAGGCGCGGTCGCTCGGATATCTCGTTGTTGGCGTGCACGAGTATTACACCTCAAAGAAGTGCCCAAAGTGCGAGCAGTTTGTCGGCCAGACCGAGAGCATTCGCCGCCTCCACTGCTCCCATTGCAAAAAGTATATGCACCGCGACGTGATGGCAGGACACAATATCATCAACATTCTGCGCGGCCATGTCGAGCAGCAGCAGCGACCACTCTATCTGCATCCGGTCGACAAGGACGGCCACTACCCCTGGCTGGAGCTACTCAAGGACGCCACAGATTCGTTGCAGCAAGTAAGCAGCCAATGGTTGTCGTGCTAGTCGTGCAGGTCGTGCTGGTTGCAAGCGCCAGGCAGAGGGGGATGGCGATGCCAAGGAGACCGGTGGCAAGTGCACCAAAACAACCATGGCCAAGCAAAAGGCAGCGACCACCAAGAACAAGGCGGCAGCGGCCAAGCAATTGGCAGGTCGATAGCTAGACTAGCTTTTTTTTTTTCACTTCGAGGTGCTCGCAAGCACCCTTGTCTACCTTCGGGTGGATTTAGATAGCTGCGCAGGCCGATGATTTCACCTTTTCGGTGGCGTCATCGTAGTCCGTTGCGCGGATGTCGACTGATAAACTTTATTTTTATACAACTAAAAGTCCAGCCATTTGGAGTAGTAGCTGCAGCCTGCTGCATTGACGGGCCCATTCTCGGTGCAGAACTCGGCAACAGGACAGACGCCGCAGGGACAGTCCTGCCACGCCGACTCAGCCTTCTTGTCCCTGACAGCCTTGTACACCCAGTCGGACTCCGTGTCCATATCCTCGTCATCCCAGTCATCGTCCACTTGTGCGATAAACCGTTCGACCTTGCCGTCGTACACCAGCACATCCAGCAGCATCGTGATGTCTGCTACGCTCAGGTCAACCTGGCTGATCCTCTTTTCCATGATATACTTACGCACTGCTGCAGCTGAAGGATAGGCATTATGAGACGACGTGAAAATGCAGCTGGCATCCCTAGGGAATGACTACAAAAAAAACAGGGAGTCCGCAGTTGTCGGTATCTGTTAGCAGCAATTTCTCTTACATCAGGTACCTGGAAGTATAACATATGCACGGCACGCTCGCCAGCTGAGTTCCCACCTTCATGAGTATATACTTGTAACATTGGTTCGTCAGTTGCTCCACGAAGTCGACATCCAGCTCTTGATCAGTGAACCAAGGTCCTCCTGTAACCTCGACTGAAGGCGTCAGCTCCATTAGCATGTACAGCTTCCTTGTCGGGTGTTTGACTGACTTGATGGCCTTAACCAGTGCCTTTTGTTCAAGGGCTCTCAGACATCTCTTAATAACGGCCTCATGAAGATTCGTTTTTGATTTCAAGTGCTTCGTCCAGATACCCTCGTTTCCGGATGATCGAATCGTGTTGTACACCACTTGCTCTTCTCCATGCAACGCTCCAGCTCTATACATGAAAAATGTTGCAGCGTTAGATCAATGACCGATCCTCTCAAAAGTATATTTTATAGCACATAAACAATTCAGCGACTCGCTTCATCATCGCCTTCTAAGCATACTTTCCCACGTCCTCCTTCTTTAGTGCCTTGTAGATCAGTTCGCCTCTGACTTGAAAAACCTCAATGTAGCCCTGCAATTCAATATCAATATACATAATATTAGCATAATAAACCGAGAACCAATTGAAAATCTTTAGAATGTGCGGAGCAAAGTGCCTACTTTTGTCAGCAAAGCATTCATAGCCAGGGCTGTGTCCTTTGGATCACATTGTGCATGAAGCGTCAAAAAGTCGGTTGTGGTCAACCCCTGTTATAAGTCAACAGATAACATACAATGAAAACTTTCTTTAGCATACAGAAAAGCGCGGGAATGCAACAGAATGCAGCATCGAATGCCATGGAGCATTTTGGCGGCAGGCGACCTACGTTGGCACCGGCTTTGGAGCACTCTTCATAAAAGAGATCTTCCAGTGATTTAGCTTCTGCCATTGTGCCCTATGCGATGTAATGGCTGAGAGAAAGAAGATGGGGATGCAGAGAGGACAAAGGCTTCTACCGTGAAAGGTGGTTGTAAGCGTGAGCTGTGAAGGCAAATAAGCTGCGTGTACTGTAGACCAGGCCAGGAAGTCCTTTTGTGCCTCAAAAAAAGGGGGATGAGGGCAATAGTGGCTTTGCTTCTGTGCGTTTATTTTTCTTCAGCAATCCCTGAACCCCGCTGACGGTCGTGCATCGGCGTTCTACTTTGGAGTCTCCTTGCTGCTTTTAGGGTCCTTCGAATCCTTCAAGTCCTTCGCATCTTTGTGAGAGGCATCTCCTTCGACTGTTTCCTGCTTTACATCTCTATCGATACCATCCAGCTCTTCCTCCGCCCTCTTGTTCTCGATTTTGTTGTTGATCAGGTTATGCAGCGCGATCACCGACCTGATCAGTGAGGACAAGTAGATCACCAACAGCTGGTCGTTGGTCTTGACAGAGAAACTCTTGATCGTGTCTGGATCTTCGAGATTTGGTAGACGGTTAAAGATATCCTGTAGATTGTAAATGATCTGGTGGTTGATCGGTAACGAGCCTGCAACGACCTTGCCCAAGTACTCCTGAATCTCCTCCAGTCTTTGTTGCAAACCCTTCAACGAGCGCAACTGGTCGCCCACGCGGGTGGAAAGCGTGCCTACAACGTTATCCTTGATATCCCGAAGAAGGTGCTCCACGCCAATCTCTTCTGCCTCCTCAGCCTCGATTTCTGAAGGAACGTGAACAAATGTCTTTGTTGTTGCGGTTCCATCCTAGCGTTGACATCAAATAATCATCACTTAGACCACAGACACTCGAAGAAAAAAAAACTGTCGAGCAGGAGGAAACAAAATGTCGCTTCTTTTTTTTTCGTAATGGCTCCTTACATCGCGAATCTCTTCGACGGCAAAGTAGGCGTCTGTTGGAATCTCCAAATCCGTAGGTTTAACATCAATGATAACCAATGCCGGGTTCGGTGTATACTTCTTGAATAGCTCGTTGATCTCAAGATCCGAGGCACGCAACTTGGGGCCGCTGTGGTACCAGCCAACCATGCGCTCTTTCGCTATGAGCCGCCAATTTGCAAATGAACAAGAGTTCATGGCTGTCAAAACGTGTATCTATTCCATGCTGATATCATTCTTATAAAACGACTCTCGATAGATAAATCATTACCGTTGACCTTGCGGAACATGTCGTTCATGGCTTCGACGTAATTGTGGTCCAAGAACCAGACTGATGGGTCTTTCTCATCCTCCTCGAACGGCACTAGGAGTAGAGACAAAGAAATAAAACTATAAGTAACATTGGTCAAACAAGTCCTGCATAGTTATAAACGGCTATTATGGCGATGTGTATTTCTCAAACTCAAGGAAGTCCCCTAATTGTTCTGCAGTAGAGGGCGAATGGCAGGTCTTACCTGCGAAACTGTTGGCGACATTGACCTTGTTTCCATGAGCTTGACCCAGAAGCACACCTAAGGCGCGCTTTTTTGTGTTCTTGGCAACACGGTTATAGTGATCGACAACGGAGAGTAATACCAAAGGGTGGACAGTAACCAATGAGCTTTGAACGACGGTGACTGGTATGTTAGTAGGTGACATGGCGGACGTCGTTTGTATTCTTTTATTGGCCTTGGTGTGCTGCCGAGAGATGGTTTCTGTTGCCGATGAATTGGAGGGAGAGTCTTAGCGCGTTGTTGTTAGTGAAGGGAGCGAGCATACGCGTTCTTCAGCGTTGGTTTCTCGCCTGCATGACGCATTCGCAAAATGGCTTTCATATTTACGTCACCGTAAATTATTTACGGCTGACAGTCCAAGCCTCGGCTTGGACAATGCAGCCTAGTGTCAGTAAAAAAAAACGTTTTTTTTCAACGCCGGGCTGTTTAAAGGTTAACGCGACATAGATTAGCGTCGACCTACTACTAGCGCTTAGAAGGCTCGTGTATTTCTGCGGTCGGAACAACGATTATTATTCTATGAGGACCATCGTCGAGTCCATCTATGTCCACCTCGAACTTCTCGGACGCTCTATCGTACACGTCTACGGTATGTTGCGCGTTACTTCAGTAGAGGGCTCACGCTGCAGTACTCCCTTATGAGCCGACATGGAGAGGGCCTTCTCTAGCTCGGCTGGGTCAAAATCATTCGCAGCATCCTCGGACACACCCCACAGCTAAACTTCCTCCTGCAATTGTTGCCGTTGGTCTTCTTTCTCAGTGCTCTTCTTTTAGTACGAGCTCTGGCTACAAAGGAGAAACCCGGACCTGACTAAAGGACTTTGCTCACTTGTAGTGACAATTTATTCCACTCATTGATTTAATGCAGCAGTTCTAATTGATGGCATAGGAATGGTGGTTTAAAAGCGCTTAAAAGTGCGCTGCAAAGAAACCCGTTGTAACTGACCTAAGGTAACCGGGTCTGCTGAGTAAGAAAAACGTGGCAGAAGAGATGGTTTGCTTAGAGAAATGTATGTTTCCGGAATGAAAAGTGTGAATTGAACAGATTTCAAAGCGATGTAGATCGAGCTTTTTGTTATTGTAATTGGGTGTTAAGGCGTAACGTCTCCGTACATGTGAGAATGTAATGGGCATATCATTGTTATTGGAAGTCGCATTTAAACGGATAGCATTGGCTCCCCTACGTTTACCAGTAGTCCTCCGAGCTCATACTGGTGATGCTCATAGCATCACTGGCCATATCAGGGTCGTCATCCATTGAGTGTGGGCCTCTCTCGGCGCCCTGCACAACCACCCCTTTCTCTTCCACACTCTGTTCGGTCTGCGCTTGCTTGTAAGGCGTGCTTTGCTTGGAAAACTGCCTAAAGTTCAGCGGTGCGAGTTCTTCGCGTCGGCTTCCGTCCGTCATTGATTGATCGCCCAAAGTTGACTTTGAAGTCCAGGATTCTCGGCAGCTCGACCCCTTTCTCTGTGACTGGAGGCGCCGTTGGTACTCTGATGAAGGGACAAATTGGTTCTGTAATAAATTCTCCTGCTCCGCTTTCATGTTGTCGATGTCGCTCTTTGTTCGAACGATGTTTGGGCTGAAGGCCTGTTCGAGTTTGCTGCGTGAACCCGCACTCCCTGATACCATGAGGGTCTCTATGGAACTCATCGAACTCTTTCTGCGCTTTTGTACCGGCTTCTCGCACTCGTCAAGGTCGTCCTCCGCATCCGACTCACTGATCATATCTTCTGGTCGGCCACCAATCAACAGCGAGGTAAACTGACTGGCCTTCTGTTGCCACGTCTGAGGAATAATATACCCTGGGGAATAGTGTTCCAATCGAGGATGCGATGGCTGTCTTCGTAAACGACTAGGCGTGATGCTCTCAAACCAACCCTTCTTGCTGGTCCTGCTTACCCTCCGTCCAGGTACCCCGTTCGACGTCCTTGTGCCTAGGCCTTGACCGTTTGTCTCAAGGTCCACATCCTTGTACTGCTCTAGAGGTGGCATCCGCTTGTAAGTACCATCGACCTGGATCCGGGCCTTTGTAACAAGGAATAGTTGCTCAAGTCGCTGTCGTTCGATCGTTGATAATTCGAGCTGCTTTTGCCTCTGCTCTCCCGTCATTTTCCCGAACACGAGCTCATTGAGGAAGGTGTACATCCTGTTGAGGACTCCAGTATGCATGAAGCCTGCTCGCCCATCCTTCAACCAACACCCGTGCTTTTCTAGAAATTTCTCCAGGTCAGGTCTGGACATGGGTCGATAGCAGATAGATCCTGGAAAAGCCGGCGAGAACACCTTGGGGACTAGCTGAGGAATCTCCTCGTGGTTTTTTCGGAAGAGATCATCCCAAAAGAGATACCACCATTGGTGACATCGAGTCCGATTCACTGCCGCCATGCGCTCGTACAGGCAATTGATAGCCAAACAAACCTCTGGAGAGGGATGGCAAACCTTTACATTCTCCTCTGTTGCCAGCAGAAGAGGCTCAAGCTCCTTCCGCTTGAGGGTAGGGTTGTCATAGACGTTGATGAAGAAGTCATACGAAAGTGTCGCGTCTTTTCTGTGGGCCTCCTCTCGATAATGAGCCTGATAGGCCTGCATGACCTTCTTGACCTTTTTGACGCCTCGAGACACGAGGGCGTGGTTATCACGGAGCAAACGCGCCAAAGCTGGAGTGAGTTGGAAGTCGCGGGTGATACCGATAACATCGTGTCCAATCGTGGTTTCGTGAAGTAGCTGGGACGATCCCTCCGGGTCCTGTGCCTCGCCATCCGAGTAGGTGATTGTGACAGAAAAGCCGGGATTCATATTATGTCCTTGCCAACTCGACATTTTCTTGCGGTGGATTGTGAATAGTCCTCGTTTATAACTCACTGGCGCGTTGACAAGCGACATCTGAAGGACACCGTGATAAAAATGGAAGTTTAGAAAATGTTACCCTAGTCTCTGCCAATAGCCGACCTTGAACCCCTCCCCCCTTTAAGACTTACCTCCATTGTGCCATTGGATTCTCTACCCCTCTGAATACCTCTGCTCTCCACAAACGGCCGTACGACAAATTTTCCGTCCAAGGCCCGAAGCTGGTATCTGAGCTCCCGACGCCTTTGAATCTCGGGGTCTTGATTCTGTTGAATGTAACGATCCAAATCATACTCCTTGACGAGTGTAACCACAACGGAGGACTCGTCGTAGACAAAGACCACTGAGAAAGGAAACGGGACCACATACGCCTTTCCGAAGTAAGTCTTGATATTCGAGGCCATGAACTCCGGTGCATAGTACATGTCGGGACCCACGAACTTTCTCAAAATCAATGCCCGCTTGCGCACTATGGTTGGCGTGAGGAACTGGCATGCCTGAGAATACGACCGAAGACCAATCTGCCGCACAATCCGCAGATTCTCAACATGACGCTCTGCCACAGTGCCCGTGAAATTAAGGAGGTATGGAGGACGATGTGGTGACTGGCTGTATGCGACGACCTTGCCTGGGGGCATCTTGAACGAATCCTCCACCAGCAGCGTTGTGGTCCAAGTCTCCTGCCAAATGCGTCGCTTGATATGCTTGAAGTAATTAAGCCGCGGATTGAAGATTTCGAGAGAAAAGTCGAGGCGCTGCTGGATCTGCTTGAGCATTACTTGGAACTTTTGAGTCTGCCGGATGACGAACCATATCACAATGATGCACATCAAGACGTATGTCGACACCAGCATAATACCGAGGGCATTGACCGAAAGAGGCCCAACCTTCAGGACAATAAACAGTCCAATAACGCTTGTGGCAACTGTACACGCCCTGGACCAGTACTCACTCAGGTTCTGGGATGCATACAGAAAAGGCTGCGTTCGGTAATGTCTGTAGATCAAGCTGACAGTGAACACAATCTGAAGTCCTGCTCGCGTCGCCTCGATCGTCCTACGCTCGTAGCCTCGAAAGAGGCAGTTATCTTTGGAGAAGAGTACAACAATGATTACGGCGAGAAGCTTGTAGAACATGATTACGACTTTGTATGTTCCATGTTCTCTTCGATAACCTTTAGATGAAATGAACGGATAGAATTGTCAGCGATCATACCAGAGACCTCTGTGCCCTCCTTTGATTAGCGGACAATGCTCCACAAAAAAGGGAGGACGTACCATTGTATAGGAAATTGTAAGGGCAGTTATCCGAGTTCGTCAGACGCTTGTACTCTTCATCCGGATCCAGTCGCCGCTCGCCTTGCTCCGTGTACTTGTCAATCCGGGGCAGGTTTAGGACTACCAGCCGACGGATAGCCAGAGGGAAGTAAAATGTGTTCGCACAGAGTGTGAAGATAGCCAGTGGAATAATGGCGTAGGCAAAGTTGAGGTCCTGGATCTTCATCGACGTCACGTAGCAAAAATCGGACGGATCCCGGTAGATACCGCTGGGACCGAGGGGCTCGAGCGCAGGGAAATCCGTATTAGTGTATGGGTTGGCAATTGGCCACATAGTATCGGACCAGACCAATGCGTCGAATGACAACTTGGCCAGCGGGAGATATAGTGTCGTGAGTACAAACACAATCGAGATGGTCTCGATGCGCTGCTTCTTGGATCGCAGGCTCCAAGATGACACTTCCAGGCCCTAGGTGTCAGCCAGAGCGGTTCAAAGCAAAGTTAGGGACTAAATTTGAGGCAAGAAATGGGAAAGGAGGGTGCCCTGCAAAAGTCTTAGTCTCACCTCTATGTCGTCATTCGGATCCGTCCTAGTCATGATCTTGAACGTGTAGAGGGCAATAAAGCAGATCAGCCCGAAGAGGATCAAGAAAACCATTCCATAACCGACCGCACGAGGTAAGTCCAGGGACAGTAAGGCAGGTATAATATTGACGGTCGCGTATAGCCATCTCTGATTGACGAATGTGTTTCCGGACACAGAGAGATATAGTGCCACGAACTGCAGAAAGTCACGGATGATCTCCAGTCGCATCCAGGATATTCCAATGTTGGACGCCTCACCGCTCATAATTCCATCTACGGCAGAGGACAGCATCACGTTTTGAAGTTCCTGATCAAAAAATCCTGGGGGCTTTGTTACGTTGACCTTGAGCTCGTCCAGCGTTACCCCTATAGGCACCTTTCCTAAAGGCGGAAACATACCCTCTCTGGGATCAACCTCTGGTGCCTTTTTTGACTTGGATCTCGGCGTGGCAGCTGATGGCTTGTCGGAGTCGACGGTGAGTTTCGGTGTTAAAGGTGTTGTGGGGACGTCGGAGAACGAGGCTGGCTTCAATGACGACAAATATGCATCCAAGGCAGGGTAAGTGACCAAAGGGGCGGTGGGTTGAAACAGAGCGTCCGTACTATCTAAAATGGGGCGATTTGGTGAGCTTTCCGACTTCTTGGTTCCCAACGGAGTGCCTCCAGCATATTTTTGAGGCATTTGTAGCATCCTCTGGACCTCTGCCAACGCCGGATTCTTAGGGCTGGGCGCTGAATCTGACCCAAACTTCTCCGCTGCAAAGTTCTCGCCTTTCTTCGCGACAACCGAGTGACGATGCTCTGCCTTTCTCAGTAAGCTGGTCTCCTCCTTACTGTTCCTGTCATCAAAGTTGCCTGGCTGGTCATCCTGGGCGTCGCCATCGAGCGTGCTTGAAAAACTGGCGAGGCTTTGAAGAGATTCTCGTCTTGTCTGATCCAGTGATTCCCATTCATCCATATTCGAGTGCAAAAGCGCCTGCTGGCTCTCCCCCTCGCCATTCTTGTGGTCATTCTTCCTGCGAACCAGACTGAAATCCCTACTGCCGCTGCTGATATCTCCATGACGTCCCTGGAGACCATGATGAACAATCACTGTCCCTGAACCACTGGCACCAATCAGTTTCGGGATTGCCGGTTTGGTAGGCATTTCTTTGACAACTGCGTAAATGATTTTTGGTTCCCTGCACTTGCTGTCTTCCATAATTTCGGGAGCTATATCCTCCTTGCTATCAACGTTGTTTCCTGCTCGCTGTGGATTTTGAGGTACATGTGAGGAATCAAGAGCTGAGTTTGACATTGTTTTCAAGGCTTGACCTTGCGCCAGAATACCCTTGGCGTCGTCGCCAGTTTTCCTGCGATCCTCATGTTTGTGCTGCAATCGATCCTGGTCTACAGGCTTTTGCCTATCCAACCGTTGACCGTCATGGATCATCTGGAGCTCGTTTCCAGTAGACGATGACTTGCTGCTGGCCTCAGGGGATATTCGGCCAAGCTCAAGGGCTGCGAGCGATAAATTTGATTCAGAGTTGGCCTTGACTATCGTCGAAACATTAGCATATACAACAAAAGTAAGGGCTGATGAGTGGTGTAACACCTTGCATGGAAAATATAAATAACCGTAGACAGCTGCATTCATCACGTACCCAACGGCAGCAGGGCATCGATTGGCCGTTCAATTGGCTCCGAGCTAGGTGCCAGTGGGTGACTCCTGGCTAGATGGTGATGATGTATTGAAGTGTCGTCCTTGCTCTGAGCTGGCGGTACAACTGCCAGCTTTACGATACCTCCGTTGATCCTCGAGGGAGCTGCTGAAGATCTGGGCATAATCGATGGCAAGGGTCTAGTCTGCGATTGAAGAATCGCAGAGGATCTGGCGCTCGTGCTTGCAGGTAGAGAATGACCATGATCACCTGCTTTAGTCGCATTCGAAGACCGCGGCGACAAAGGAATGGCTATAGCGTGCGGGTCTGTAAAGATACGGCAAGGTCTTGTGTGATGAGTTGCTCTTGGTTCTGTGCTCTTGAAAGGTTGCACTGGTGGGGTGCTGAGTGGTTGTGCTTGGATGGTATCAAGAGCATGTCTTTGAGTGCCGAAAACGCGAGATTGCAAAGGGGCAACCGATCTCAGAGGAAATATTGGTGTAGACTCTTCTGGTGAAAGCGTAGAATTTGACGTTTTGGATGGCGAATGAGGCAAGGACGGAGGGTCTGTGGAGGGTGAAGTGGCGTGCTGGGGCTTGCCAAGATCAGATCTAGAGAAAGACGTGGTAGCGGACGAGGATAGAGACGATAATATTGCTGGAGAGGATCCGTCATTGGGCCGAAATGTATTAGATGCTGATGGTGGTCGTGCGGTGTTAAGACAAGACTGTAGCCCTCGTGACGGAGCTAGGACTGGTGCTCTCGTCTGCGCTGGAGCCGGCGCCTCTAGGTCGCTCCAAAATGAGATGAGGTTGTTGACACTGGGCGGTTTTTGGGGTGTTCTGTCTGCCATGATATTACTGTAGTGTATGAGACGAAATGTGTGCAATGTGGGTGCCAAAATGGTGGTGTGTATCTGGCTGGCGTAGAATGAGGACACGGAATAGTAAAGGGGAGTAACGGGAGAGTCCGAAAGGTGGCAAAAGCTAGACAAGATCGCGAGGAGAAGGAGGAAGAGGAGAAAAAGAAGAAGAGATAGTGAGGACGGAGAGAGAGGAATGAAAGAAAGAGATACGAGGACAGTGTTGCAACTGACGGGACGCTACTACGCCCATGATGTATGGATGAGGCGACTGTTCATGTACTTGGCCCGTTGAGTGCAAAAATAGGGGTACAAAACTCAGGTTCAGGCACAAGGCACGGACACGGGCCGAATGTCAGTAAGATATAATAATAGGGGGTGGATGCTCAACACATGCGCGCCATCTGACCAAGCAACGCGCTCCTTTATTTATCGATAAACAAACAATCACAGAAAAAGTACACCCCATCTTGTTTGCCTACCTCCTTTCTATTTTACTACGCATTATTTTTTCAGGCCCGTGGTTTGAGCTTTCCCAACTCTGCCTTCAGCACTTTCATGTCCTGTCTTGTAAACTCGTGCTCTCTTTGTGCAGTCTTCAACTGCCGTGTTAACTCCAAGTGTTCCTCCTCCAGCTCCCGAATCCGCTCCAGATGCTCGCTTGACATGTCTGGGCTCGTCCGCTCTGTCCTCGCCCGCAACTGCTGGTTCTCTTTCTCTAGTTGCGACAGCAGTGCATCGTTTTCTTTCTGAGATAGCTCATAGCGATGTCGCAGATCTAGAAGTGTTCTCTCCAGTTCTGACTTTTGCTGCCGCAACGGCTCCAAGGCTAGGATGGCCTCGTGGTGAATACGCTCCGTGCCCATGAACATCTTGTCTGTCAAGGCAACATCGATGGCATCCTGCCACATCTTGGGGAGATATGGCTGCTCCTGACGGGGACTTTGAAAAGGACCCTTATCCTGCAGCAGTGTTGGCGACTGAGGCATAAGTAAAAACGCTCCTTGCGTCGGTGTCGATGGGTTGGTGGGCCGCGAAAGAAGCATCGCCTGTGCCTTGGCCAGCTGAGCACGCGCCTGCGCGACCTCCGTATCCGAATTCTCTAGACGTTGCTCCAATTCATAAAGGGCTGCCTTCTTCTCGTTCTGAAACTCCTGAAGAAACTGCTGCAGCCTGCTAATACCCTGTTCCGCTCTGGCCAGGTCCCGCTTCAAATTTTCGACTTCAGCGTCACGATCACGGTCCCCATCCAATAGCGCCTCTCTGGGGCGGCTGTCTTGCGAAGATGGCCCCAATATGGGTTTGATATGCCTCAGCTGAAGCAGCTCTGCCTCCAACTCGTGTATGCGATTTGCATTGTTGACCTCAGCTTTCTGCAGCTCGATTAATCGAGCACCCACTCGTGGCAACAATGGAGCTGACACTCCTAAAAGCTCGATTTCGGTCAACATAGAAACAGCGGTATTCTCCAACGCCGCAATCTCCTCGGGCTCGTCTGGAATATCAAGCAATTTTCCAAACAGGTCCACGATCAGTTCTAGCTCCACCTCTGCCTGTCTGTAACTGTCCTGCAAGGTCATCACCTGGTTCTCTACTTCTGTTACTCGAGCCCTCGAACTTTCTGCCTCTTGCTGCATTGTACGCATCTTCGCGGTCGTTAATGCCAGGTCCTGCTCCAGCGTGCAGACTTCTCTTTGTAGGATGTCGTTCTGCTCAACGTGTGCCGTTATTGAACCAGTTAAGGTGCGTACCTGCTCTTCCGCCCGCTGTTTTTCCCTCTCCAAAGTTGATAATGCGGTATTCAGACTAGCCTCTTTTTCTGAAATCTCCTGCATGAACGAGAAGTACTTGCTGGTAATGTCGTCCAGTTGAGTCTGCAATAATGTAGCTGTCTCAGTAGCATTCCCCGTAAGATCTTGCTCGACGCTCTGGCGTTCCTTGAAAATGGAAAGGTCTCCCTCAGCTTTGGATAGTCTATATATCATATCGTTCAGCTCAAGAGATGTCTTCTCCACTTCCGCCTGCCTCTCAAGCAGCAATACTTGTGCTCTGCGGAGCTGCTTGTCAAGTCCATCAACTTGCTCGCTGTGCACCTTCCTCTCCTCCTCCAAAAGCTGATGCAGACTTTGATTGCCGTGGTCGTATACTTCCAGTTTTGCTGCATCCTCTACGCCTCGAGTTGTCTCCAACGCTTGCTTGAGTCGAAGGTTTTCTGATTGCAAATGTTCGAGCTGCTGAACTCTAATCGACAAGGTCTCCGAGGCTCTATCTCGATCCCTTAGCTCGCCCTTCAGTCGCATAATCTCTTTCTTGGTTTCAGTCGCCTCCTGTTCAAGGTCTTGCTGCGCCCATTCTGTCGTTGGTGTCTCAGCTGCTGCTCTGATACTGGCCTCCAGTTGGTCAATCTCGATTTTGGCTGCCATGAACTCCATGTTAACGCGCTGAAGTTGATCCTCGACACGCATCTTTTCTTCCTGGGCTTCAAGGCAGTCCTCCCGCCACTGGGATGCGCGCTCAGCTAGCCGACTGTATTCTATTTGTTGCAGGATATTGTTCTGCTCAGAGTTCTCGCTGCCAGAGACGAGAATATCCTTATTGATAGCCTGCGATGTTATTTCGAGTTCCCTCTTGAATTCTGCCTCCTGCTCTAGCGAACGGCCAGGTTCACTCGCGAGTGATGCCAAGGTCGTCGACTGATCCACAGCACCAGCATCCATCTCCACGAGTCTATGGGAATGAAACATGACATTGGCTGTCAACTCTCGTCGCATAGATTCCATGCATTCCTCTGAGGACGCTACAGTCCATCGCACATCCTGCTCGTTCGTTCTCGCTTCCTTTGCTTCGACCTGCAAAGACACTACTTGTGCCCTGAGGCTAGCTTCCAGTGCCGCTGCTGCGGCAAGTTCCGTCTCCAATTGAGCTACATGCTCCTGCAAAGCCACAACACTCTGACATCCTTCTAGCTGCTCATCAATAGTCGACTGCCGCAAGGTTGTCTGCGTCGCCCCTCTGTCATTTTTGTCTTGCTCCGCTCTAACAGCCTGTAACTCATCTTGCAGAAGATTGAAACGATGCTCCAGCTTGACTAACTTGAAGGTCTCCTCGTCCATGTACTGGGCCTTCTCTTCGTCAAATGAAGCAACGAGCCTCTCCTGTATAACTTTGTAAGCCTCGTCCTTCATGGCTTGGTGACTCTTCAGTTCGTTTCTATATCAAAACAATAAACCAAAGCGAGACATGTTCAGCATCTACATTAAAGCGAGTTTATTATTTTGACCAATCAAGACATTCAACAAGCAACAAGCGATATGCGCTGAGCTAATGTGCCTTACCGATGCTTTTCGGCATCTGCGAGAGAGCGCTCTAGATATTCAATCCTTGAGACAAGGTCCCGCTTCTCTGCTTCAGAACGCCTGACTGTGTATTGCAGCTCCTTCATCTCTACTCGCTGCCCTTTGAGTTGACGCCGCAGAAGCTCAGCCTCTCTGGCAAGTTGTTCTGCGAAGTGCGTTTCCCTATCGGAAGTGATGCTCAGCGGGATGCTCTCGGGTACATGCTCCTTAGGCTGTTGCTGAGTAGGTTGGGGATTCTGTTGAAGATTTTCATTTTCCGCCAGAGTGTCGGATAACTGTTCCGGTTCAATTGGACCTGCAGCTTGGTATCGCCGATGGACATTCTGAGCCTGCTGAAGTGCCTGTTGCAAATGCTGGATTTGGATCAACATATCTGCGTGAACACTCTGGCTTTTAGTTTCGCCCTGAGAGAGGGCCAACTCAACACGAAGTCGCTGGTTTTCGGTTATCAAGTCATTAAGTTGCTGAGAATGGTCCGAGGATAATCTCAGAAGAGTTGTCTGTTCCATTTGCATATCCAGATGCATGTCGTCAATTAGGTCGCGCGATTTCTGTAGCTGTATTTTCGGATTCGCAGCGCTGTCTCGTTCCATTTCCAGTGCCTTAATTTTGGCCAAAAGTGTTGCGATTTCCTGCTTGAGTTGATCATTTTCAGTCAAGTAAGGGTTTGTCGGAATGCGGCAATGATGGGACGCCCCGTCAAGACTTAGAACGGTGCTCGGAGAATCCAGCTGAGAAGAGTCACCAATCTCCTGTGAGATGGACGTGAACACTGGCGAAAGAAAGGAATGGCGATTATTCTGACTGCGACCCAGGTCAAGTGAGATGCGATTGTCCTCTGTTGGGTGCGCGACTGTTGGTAATGGCTCCTCTGCGTTCATTCCTGGCTCTGCTGCAGCAAAAGTGTTCATAATGACCCGCGATCGCATGACAAGGGGTGGTGAGTGATGACTTGATTTTTGCTGGCGCTTTTCGAGCAGTTCGCGCGCCTTTTCCAACAGCTTGATTTTTTTGTCGGTGTTAGATCGACCTCCGCCGCCTCCTACTCGCTCCACTAAAAACGCCGACACCGCCACTTGCCTTCGGGTCAGCGCCTCTTGGCCCAGGACACTGGGGTTGGATGATTGCTGATGCGGCAGGTCATCGGGTGTCATAGATTTGATGTTTGTGGAAGAGAAAGGCTGAAGCGAATGGATCCTAAGGCCCTCAAAATCCCCTGGCAGCTGCTCCAAGGATGACTGTGACGTATGGTCTAACACTTCCTCTGCTGTCGCATCTGACGTCCTCACAGCTCCACCCGTTGTCTGATCTAGGGTAATTGCATTGCCTTCCGGTCGCTTCCAGCCATTTTTACAGAAAGCGTCTCGGGTTTGCTCCTGGGCTTCCACTAACATTGCAGCAACACCTTCCGTGCTGAAGTGTTCATGAACACTTCCGCCTAAAGTGACGAGTATAGGATGAATAAAGGTTAGAGAAATATAAGCATAACATTTTTCTCTGCACAGCGTTGATTGGGACGCGCTTACTCGTGTCATTGAAACTTGCTGCAATAAAGGAATCGGGCTCAGTGGGATCAGGATCTAGAGTAGCAGCCTCTGCCGAAGTATAAGCAAATAGCTCCTCAAACGGAGCGACTTGCTTGTGAGCCCAGTCGTATGTTGCTGGCTGCGATGATAAAGGCTGCGGACTAGAGGATATCCCAGGACTATGTGGCCGTGCATCAGGAAACTGTCGCCGAGAAGCTTTGGGTGGTGGTGGTGGTGGTGGTGGTATGGTCTCCAGTGGTAAATTCTGGATGGATGTGACAGCCTCGTGGTGCTCAGCGGCTTTAGATTGCAGAAGAGATGGTACGGATGTACTACTCTCGATCCCAGTAATGAATTGAGTGGGCGCTACAGTCACAGGGGAACTGCTCGTGGGACGCATGTCGTCGTCTAAAGCCACTGCCCGATTGTTTGAAGGTTCCTCTTCCTGTCCTTGTACATTTAAAGGTGCTTTTGACTGGGAATGCGTGAGAGGTGAAGTAAAGATCGACGTCGCGCTGCTCTTGACGCCTTTGAAAAGTCGTGACATGCCTCTTTCGAAGGCCGCTGATTTCGGCATATTCAAGAGGTCTTCCACTGCACTTAATGTCGAGGGATCCAGCAGAGACGCAAGGCCACGCTCTTTAGAAGGAGGACTCGTAGCTGAGATAGCTTCTGCTGTGGACGCTGTTGGAGCTGAAATATCCTCAGTTAGAGATACCTGGTCGAAAGCAGATGCCTCTGATTCCACCTGTTGTGTGCTCCACCACTGTGTATTCGATGATTTGAATGCTGCCTGTCCAGTATGACCATCGTAAAGAAGGGGGGACTGCCTAGTCCGGGGAAAGTAAGGTGCCTGTGCCAGTTCACTGCCAAGTTCTAGGATAGAGTAGCTGCCGGACTGTCTTGTCATCACGCTTTCATGGGCTGTCATCACGTCGCGATCAAAGGCGGGGCTATCAGAGTCAGCTAGACTGTTGTTAAATGGCATAGGCTGCTCGCTGTAGGTCTGGCTTGGCAGATGAACGCGAGGCTGGGGCGGAAGTATGTATGATGGACTAACAGCACTCTGTACGTTCGTTGCCGTTCTCTCTTGATTGAGAGCCTGATGAAGGGGCTCTGTGTCCGACACCAGTAAAGACAGCCCTGGCTGCATAGGCTTCGGAGGTTGGGATGTGCTGATGGAAGTTTGGTCCACACGTGACAGCAACGTCGATTCATCCTTGACATGGGTTACTGATACCAGTGGATGCTGATGAGTGTCAATGGCCGATGGATAAGCACTCTGAACATGAGTATTCTCTAAGTGACCATGATGTTGGCTATCGCTGGTCTGGGGGTGCTCTTGATGCTGGTAAAATTTTGAATGGGGTTCCTGGTCCTCCAAGGATCTTTGCTGAGGCCACTGGGATTGATCCGAATGCTCAGGGAAGGACTTCAGGGGTGAGGATAAACATACTACGGCAGGCTCCGGGTGTCTTTGTCCGGGCTGCTTAAAAACAGGAGAAAAGGACGTATGGTGGTTAAATTTAAAAAAAAAAAATCGCCAAGCATATCGGTGTTGGACTTTTAGGCGTACTTTCTTGTTCCATACCTGCACAAGATCCTGACTCCCAAAAGTTTTGTTATAAATCAGATCTAATCTCATATGGTGTTCAGGAATAGCCGGCGAGGGATATGAGGACTCTATGGACCTCTGAGAAACTTTGGGTGTGGGTCTAAGCACGTTGTTAACGTGAGAGCTGAGTCCCTGGTCCTCAACATTGGCTATGAGACCAACGTCGCGAGTCGCAAGATCAGGCTTTGAAGAACCTGCGATGCCTTGATTGATAGCTAATGCGTCTTCTCTTTGCTCCTCCCGAAAGACCGTATCGATCGAGTTCTGGGATGTCGGTATGGACTCCTCAGTAAAACTTGAAAGATCTTTAGAAATATCCATTGACGCATGTATGTTCATAGCAGGTGTGGGAGAAGGGACGATTGTGCTGACAACGAACTCTGTTAAAGGCTGCTGGGATAAGTCTGTGAAGAAGGCATACGAGTCCACAGCTGAAGAACCAGAAAAGAGCTTGGATGTGTCCGTGTCTGGGGATACTGCAAACAATCGAGGCGAGTCAGAGTCCTGCGCTGTTTCAGACAGCTGTTGTTGACTGCTGCAATCGTTCTGACTGTAAACAACATCTAGGTGGGTATCGTGTGAGGGCGAGCTGTCCCGGATATCTGTCCTGACCTTCCCCATCGTTGCGGCCTGCGTGATGCTACCGGATGTGCAAGGATGTTCCAGTGAGCTCTGTACAGGGGCATATGGAAGCGACACGGCTGCAATTTCTGGAAGCATTCTCGATTCTTCTGGGCTCGTATGAATTTCGGAATTAGCGGGTAATATATGGTCTGGTGCCATGGTTGGCGACGGAGGGGAAGTACTGGTATTCAACACGCTCATGAGATGCCACCGACCGGTATCATGCGGGTTGTGCGGTTGTTGCTGTCCTGTTGACAGTGTAGGCGAATGTAATTGCGAATGCTTCCACGACGATGGCAGTTGAGATGGCGGTATTACTGGCTGGAAAAGTTCAATAGCTGGTGGACCACCAAAGAGAACATCCGCAGAAGGGAGGATATCTTTGGTAGACTTGTACGCTGTTGTGTGCGCTGATGTTGTAGTGTCTGCAGGCGAAACAGATACAACCTGCGACAAATCCCTCCACCTTCCTGGAGAAGTTGCTTTTGATGGTGAGTGCTGTTCAGCGCATTGTGGCACCGGTGGACTCCATTGTGCATGGCAAGGATTGAGAGCTGGAGAACGCCCTGAGCTTTCTTCTGGCCGTTGTTGTAGGGGTGGTATATGTCCCTGAGGTGGAGTGTACTGCCCTCTATGCGGTCGCGGAAGATTATACTGATGTAGATGCTGTTGCTGCTGCTGCTGGTTGTGGTGTAAGTGCGATTCTTGCTGCTGTTGGTCCAGATGTACTTGCGGCTGCTGAAGTCGGCCGGGACTATGTTGAGGCACAGGCAGGGGGCGGACTTGATATTGAAGATGGGGCCTGACAGAAGGCCGGATCAGGGACTGGATGGGAGAGTGACTGGGACCAGGAGCTGAGTGCTGGAAATTGGCTGAGACAGACGAAACGGCTGTGACTTCGTGGACCGGCTTTGCCATCCCATCAGGGATCGGTCTCCTGGCGAGGTTAGAGAGAAACGGGGCATTGTTTCCAAAGAGGCTGTCTGCAGTCGGTAAGTCATCTTGAAAGATGCGGCCGCGGCCAAACGAGTTTACGGGTGCCTGCTCTTGCTGTGGATGCTACCAGGTGGGTTGTCAGTGGCAAGAGAGTTAGCCATCTATTTTCAACGCGCGTGCACAGAAAGAGAGGGACTCTTAGGCTTACCGGCATATGGTTTTGTATAGCACAATATATTTTTGAGGAAGGGTGGTCCAAGTGGTCCGGATAGGATGCCAGGTGGCGTGTGTTCGACGCGGGTCAGGGGATGAGGACTGATCGATGAGGGGAAAAGGGAAGGCGAAGGACATTTCAGAGCTGAAAATACGTCACCGAAGACGATCTTCCCGCGAGGATGTGCCACTAAACTAAAAAGCTAGACTAACTACTATTTGGCAAACTCGCTTACGGCGGGCATCTTGTATGGACGCTGTTCACTTGCGTCCACCGCCAACTCGCCCTTGCCCTTGCTCCACCGCGCTACTGCTGCCGCTGCTGCCGGCCTCTGCGTGCGATCTTGCATTCTGCATCCAAGGGTAGCGCCCATTTTTATCCACCGGTTGAAGATAGAGAGAGCCTTATTGATTGACCAAATGGCTACGAATCGCATTGGCAATGTTGTGCCTCGCCATGATATCGCAATGCATGTAAGGTTTGCAAGTCGAGCAGTACAGCCTGTGGATCTCCACCTCCCTAGCAAACTGCTCGCAGGTTGGACACTTCTTGGACGTGTAACATTCGTTCACTCCAATCACGATGTATCCAAGCGACCTGGCCTATATGAGCATAAAAAACCATCAATAATATCAGCGTGCAATAAGGAAAGCCTAGTCTTTGCTGAGAACTTACCCAGGCCGACTCCGATAACAATCTTGTTGGTTCCATTCCTTTTTCTGCCGATGTTTTCTCCAATTGCCCTGAGAAGACTCTCTGTAATGAGTCCGAATTCGGTATCTCGCGCTCTTCTTGCGTCCCACCTGTGCTTCTTGAAGTGATTGTTGCCGCTTTAGAACTCATGTAGTCGCTCTTTCACTTTCTACAGCTCTACGGCATGGTTCGTGAAGCTGGCACCCTGACCGCGCAACGGTGGAAGCCTTGTCTCTACGCAGCAAATGGATTCGATTCCATCGCTTAGCACGATATTCTTCTGCTCCTCCATCCATCTCCGATGCTTGAATGCAGGCTGGTAGACAGCCTTTTGCTTGACTGCGAGATTGTGAAAAGCAACAGGGACCTGAGGCTGAGAGGTGTCTCCGGAAAGGCTGGCCATATCCACATCATCGCATTTTTCTCCAGTCACTGTCGTCGCACTGCCGGGGTCATGGTTTCTGGGCAGCAGCACGCTGGCACCCACGACACACGCTTGGTCTAGATCGATACTCCTTGATCTGATCGGGCGCACAACCTTAAAGGTCGATGACATCCTGCCTGCTCTTCACAATGTTTCGGATCGTAGTCAAGAAATAATCTATCCTACTAAGTGTGGAGGTCAATCAATAAGGTAGGATATTCTCTGTATTTGACCGAATATAGTTCCTTCATCTTGAAAGCTGGCAGCTGCAGATGAAACCCGTCTGTATGAATGGAGCCTCGAAGGACATAGCCGCGTTCGGTGTAATTCCTTGGATCAGAGTTGGCCTGCCGAATGGATTGAATGTACTCTCGCATCGTCGCCAAGTCTATCATAGAAGTTGAGTCCTTAAAACTCCTGGACCCTTTGCGTGGTCCTGCCCTGCCGACGTTCGAGAGTAGCTTTGAAATGATGGTGCCGGCAGGCTTTGACTGAAGCCGCAAGATTACATCCGACTGGGACAAAGGCGTGTTCGTGCTTGGGAAATCCTCCCGTATCAATTCTCGAAGATATGTCTGCAGAATTATGTTCTGCCAGAACAAAATGCAGAGTTCTCTCTCGAAAAAAGACATGAAAGACTTTTCTGGTCCCGTAAATGGAGCCGTCTTGCGGTAGCTCTGACTAGAGTGGTTCAAGAACATGAAATTCTCAACCGCCTGAAGGCTCAGTTCAACTTCGGTACGAGTTCCTTTTGCTACTAGGCCTTTCGCCTTTTTGGCTTACAACTATTATGAATATTATGAACATGCCGTTGACGTTAGTGTTGTGGTTCCTTCTAGTATCTTCAATGGTTCCCACATGTACAGCTAGAAATGTTTACTGTACCTTTTTCTGTATATCTTCTTGATCTCGACGAATAATTGCTGCAGCAAAACAAGGCACTGGCCGGATATGGCATCCTGGCCCTGATCTCAGATCTACTATTTCATGTCTGCAGCAAACCGAACTGCTCCGCCCGACGGACAAATCTCAGAACACGTTCGCCTACCGCACCGCTCGCACTGCTCCGTGAGTAGAGATATGAAAGCAGTGTTGTATGAAACTGGAGGCGCTCAGAGTGTCACTACCAACACCTTCATCATCATCATCTCTATTGGTATCACCATCCTCACCATCGCCTTCTCGTTATCATGATCATCATACTCGCCGCCGTCGTCGTCAACTGCAGCATCTTCATCGAGCTCCTCCGAGCCATCCTTGGTCTTTTCCAGTTCATGTTGACTGCCTGCGTCAACAGCTTTCTCGGCTTATTAGGCGGCAAACATGGACAAAGACTTCGCAGGATATCTCTGCCTGATTCCTCGGGCATGTCTTGGGCAAAAATACACTCAATGAACCGCCTGATAAGTCACTGGCTCCATCTCTTGGTGTCTAACGCGATGTCGACAACCTACTGCAGACAGCCCTGGATTGCTGACTGGTACCAATTCCGACTCTCCAAGAGCTCGCTGTAGATTCGCAGCGACGGTTCCAACATCGAGGGTCACTGTGGGGTGCTCCCACTCCATTGCTCTAATCAATCCGGCTTTGTCTGTCTTATTGGTCACTGGCGGAAGCCCTTCTTTTTTGCATTCGTTGTCTCTCCTACCTTCTTCTTGCCCTTATTTTTTTTTTGTCCTTCTCGTCTTCTCCTTCTTGACAATGTTAGCGGCAGGGCTCAAAGGATATTCCGGCACCTTAATCCAAGGTTTCCATGTATATTGTTTGAATACTTCCGGCGTCTCATACTGCTTGAGTCGAGTGCGCTCTTTAAAAAAGCACCGCGGGCAATGACATGGTATCCTAGACCGAGGCAATGGCGGGTGCCCTTTAACTGTGTCAGTTGACTGGTGTAGAGCAGACGGCAGCAGCAATGAAGATTGCTCCTGTAGTGAACGATTGCATCGACTCAGGGGTGGCAGCGGAAGCTTGGACGGATTCTTCGGCGGAGGTGGGCCGATTGTGCGGTACCTGTTGAACTGTTGTGAGGACTTGTGCCGCCGCTAAAAGTTGAAAATAATTGGTTTTTTTATTTGATCAAAGCCATATACGAGTACCCTCTCTATGCTAACCGCGCCTCTTCAAGCTCGATCCGGATTTGAGAGTAGCACTTGCAAAGGATGTCGAATCGCTGTCGAATACTATCGCGGGTTATACTGCCCTCGTCTGTGGAGATCGGACTTGACTAAACTGCACAGGCGTCTGTAGTAGTTGCACAAACACTCTGTGAGGCGCCGAACGATTCTTTGGCAGTGTTCATTCGAGAGACTTGAGGATGGGCCAAGTAGTGCTTGACCATTTTCGCAACGTCTAAAGTAAGGCGTCAGAATTGGAGATATATTCTCTTGCTCAGGCATTCAGTCAACTGTCAATCATTACCTTATCCCCTCAGTCTTCGGAGGGTGATGTATTCGAGCTGAATTCAAGCTGTTACCCTGTCCCTCTCCCAGCGCCAGTATTCTTTGCTCTGCCGACAAGTTTCTGTCACTCCTACCATCTACGACCCTACTGAACCAAGCAGGTACCGGAGAAAAGGCTCGGTTTCCAAGCACCACAGGTGCTCTCCTTATCGAGACAAGCAACTTGCCGACCGGTCTTGGGGCACCGACTAATGCTCCTCTTTCGTATCATGGAATTAGGTGGTAGAGTTCCACGCATAAAATAAGAGACGACCGGTTGGCTGGAGAAGGCAAATCACGTTGCAGAAATCTGCAATTTTTATTTCGCCTTAAAGGCGTCTTCGTCTCTTTCTTGAGTCTGAGGTGGTTTTTTCGCGTTCCTTCACATCCACATCGCCTTCCTGGTGAATGGTTGCTTTCAATTGGGATGGAATAGATACCTTTTATATTCTTTGTGTGAGGAAGAGATGATGGAATGAGTGAGGGTGAGGAAAGAAGAGAGAGAGAGAGAGAGAGAGAGAGAGAGAGAGAGAGAGAGAGAGAGAGAGAGAGAGAGAGAGAGAGAGAGAGAGAGAGAGAGAGAGAGAGAATGGTAGATCCAAGAAAGACAAGATATACGATTGCAATTATGAATTAATGCAATGTCAACAGCGATTGGAACTCTACCACTGAGAGCCGCTGAACCCAAAACGAGCTCCCCCTGTTTTCAAGTCGAGAACCTCATTTCCTTACCTTGCCTGCAACTTTGTCCTGATCGTTCTGCACCTTGACTGTTGGATTCGCCAGTAACAGAACGAACAGAACGATGTTCAGCCCCAGTAACACCAACGTCAACATCAACTCCAACAACAACGCCAATAACGTTTTGCCCATAGGCGCTCATCAGAATGTCTCCACTCACCCGATGCAAAATGCAAGCACTGGAGCTGCAAATGCATTTGTAATCCAGGATGGCAGTTTGGCGCCGCTGCGAAGTGCTGTTCTTATGCGACCCTCGGGTACATTGATGGCACAAGGATTAATGAATGGTCAGCCGCAGACCTTTCAGCAGGCGCACGCTCAACAGCTTCAGTCGCAGCAGTTTCAACTTCAGCTTCAGCAACAACAGAGACACCAACACCAACACCAACAGCAACAGCAACAGCAACAGCAACAACAGCAGCCCATCCAGCAAGGCCCTTCATCAGCGCAACAATTTCAGCAAACTCAGTTGCCTATTCAATTGATCCAGGCACAGGCGATACCCGCTACACCTCTGAACTTTTCGTACCAAGTTCCCTCGCAAACGCCAGTCTACCAACCAGACCAATTGAGCGCGGTTCAATTGCAGCAACAGAGGCAGCTACAATTTCAGCAACAACAGCTGCAGCAGCAACACCAACGAGTACCACCACAAATCCACCAGCAACAGCAGCTTCAGCAGGCACAGCAGCAGCAGCAGCAGCACCTCCAGCTGCAGCTTCAACAACAACAGCAACAACAACGTCAACAGCAGGCACTACAGCTGCAGATGCAGCAACTGCAACAGCAGCAAGCTCCACAGCAGCTGGAGCAAAAGCACCAGGAACCGCAACAACAACCGGAACAACCAAAGACTCAGATGCAGCAACATCAAAAGCAACAGCAACAACAGCAATTATTGCACCTAAATTCGCAATCCCAAGTTCAACCACAGCACCCGCAGCCTATATCGGAACCTCAGCCGCAGTCGCATCAACATCAGCCTCTTCAGGCACAGGCTCCATGGCAAGATGGCGATGCCATTCAATTAAAGTAAGTCAAGTGCGTGTAGCGCTATGTATTGGGTATGTGCATTGTATAATAACGAATCATTGTCCTTTCTTTTCGAATTAGCAACGCATCAAGTATTGATTTCACACAAGATGAGCAGGAAGGAAAGGCAATACTACGGCTAATGGAATTCTGCCGAAGCCTTAGTAATCATGAAGAGGTATTTTGACCTAAGTATCGGTCTACAAACTCATCAGCTGAAATAACGAACTATATGCTGAAATATCCACGCCCTCATATTGCAAACAACAAATATCTTTTAGAATCAGACGATCGAGTTTTGGCAAGGGTTCGTAAACCAGTTTTATGCGACCGAAGGTAGACAAAAGTATACACTGGTTAATTCTATGGACAAAGGAATCAAAGTGTTCGGTAAGACTGATGGAGACGACTTAATGTCACACATGTAGTATGCTTGTCTTTTTTCGGTTGTACGAGTCATCTTATTGACCCATGGAGTAATGATTGTCAACCTTAGAGCTCCCTGTTTCGTCTCTTGCCAAGTTCTACCACGTCAACTGCGTATCAGGTGTCAAAGAAATGAGGATGACGCTGGATAGAGTCGTAGGGCTCGTTTCGAAGGCACCTCTGACAGTTGAATGTTCCAAGGTGTCCTTACTTTCAGATTACACCAATGGGACCAAGGTTAGCTTCTTGCACCAGACACTACTCTCTGCAAAGGCACGAGTGATTGTTTCATTAACACTTTTTCCAATACGTAATATCAGGTTATCATGAATGGCACTGTGAAGGTTGTGTTCACGCAGGCATATAAAATCGAGAGGCTGGACTTTACAGCGTCAGATTATGTGGAACTCATACCTCGCCCAAAGGAGGATCTATCAACGAGTCCGACTCTGGATCCGAAAGCAGATACGAAAAAAAGGCCGACTTCTAAGCGCGCGGGTGCGTCTAACAAAGAGGCGTCTCAAAGCGTTCCAGAACGCGTCGTCAATGAATTTGGTGTCACTAACAAAACTATGCGGAATCTCGAGGTAATCGAGCGTACCAATCCTGGAATTGATATCTCAGATGAAGGAGTAGCTAGGACCATTATTCTTGCTAATAACCACGATGATTGCATCCCTGATACGCTCTAGATTTCTGATCTGCGCTCCAGGATGCCGGAGTTGATGCAGTCGACTGCAAGCAATATGAAGCTATCACCAGGTTAGGACTACTACAAGCACTCAAAGTCGGAGGGGGAGGGTCACTGCGTCATGTTACTGGATGCGCACACTCAACATTTTTTTCTCCTTCCCGCAAAATGAAAGACACAATTCACCCGCATCAGCAGGCTTTGCATGGTACTCAGCCAACAGGGAACATAGATATCTCTCACACCCAATTCATGTCGTCCATGGCAATGCCTCCACCAAGCCAAGCGCCACATGTCACTATTTATGGAAACGTAGTTCATAACGACCTTACGCAAGTACACTCAGGACTGATGACATCCTCTGGAGGAATGAAGCGGAGATTTTCCACAGGTGCTGCAACTGGAGGTGCAGGTGCCGTAGGGCCCATGGCTACGCGGTCCCCTTTGCTACAAACCTCCCGTATCAGCACTGAGAATGGTTCAGGGACATCGATCATGGGGTATTCCGCGATGGGAGATTCGACACCTCACACTGCCCAAAGTCTAACAGGGCTCCCCACAGTATCTGGGATGGCAAGGTCTTCAGTTCCGCTAGCATCGCCCTCTATAACCTCACCTGTGCTGGTAGCGTCTACCCTTACTACTGGCAATGCAACCTCAACGTCAGTTGCTAAAGGCGGTAAAAGGGCTCGAAACTCCTCCGCCTTATCGGTGGCGGTATCAAATAGCGCGAGCAAAGCCTCTGCTGTAGGTGGCACATCCTCAAATGGTACGGTGCGAAATCGCAAAGGAACAGGAAAGAAGGAGAGCAGCTCTAAGCGGAAGGACAGCGTGATAGAAGAGAATGGGTCATTGATACCTGCATCTACAAGCATCTCTGCTGTAATGAGCGGCGCCTCGAATTCAGAGAACGCAGAGGGTGTAGGATCCGCCACCCCCGCTAAAGCTCGTATGGGCAAGATGACAGGATCGCCTGTTTCTGCTCCATCACCGACTACATCGCCTGCAGCCGGCTCCTTTGGCGACTCAAGTTCTCAGGGCGAATCGAGTGAGACGCCCTCTGGAGGAATCCAACTTTCCCGTTTGAGACAACCACGCGTATTCGAAAATATTTCAGCCAACTTTTACTCAAACTTGATCTCTAATCAATCGATACTGGCTCCATCTGGAGGTGTCCACGGGCTGGACATGGATGGTGGGCTTCAGATGCCTCCCAGCAACTATATCCAATCAAGTGAAGCACCAGCAGGGACCAGTACAGAGGAAAGTGAAAGTTGGGCAGGCTCGATGGACTTTATGGGAGAATCGAGAGGGCTGGATATTGGCGAGTTCATCTTTGATCCAGGTTACGACGCACAGGACGCTGACTCGATATCTGCACAAGGGGTCAGGATATCAGTCAACGGCAGCGCCTTACCACCCAACTCCACAACTCTGACGACCATTGGCATGAACGGTGCTGCCGTATAGGAGACTATGACCAACAAAAACCTGTAAATATACTTTTATTCGGCCATCAACTCTATACCATACAATATACAGGTTGACCTACGCTCATACCTTTGCTGACCTATATTATTATAAAACTTACAGAGCGCTAGATCAGTGCTTTGTGTGCGCAATAACGCGGCTGAGTATGGCGCCTCCTTATTTCCTCACCACGGGGAATCCGATTTTTAGAACAAAACTGGGCGCACAAAACCTGTTCCTTGGACCTAAATGCATGAGAAAATAAAAAAAGTGGCGCTTATTTTTAATTGTGCTAGAATAGCCTGCGTCAAACCAGACTGTGCGTTTTTGAAAAGTAAAACGAACACCCTCACGACAAGGCAAAACACACAACGCACATTTTCCATGTAAGGCAAAACGAACCGCACGCGTTCAAACCTGAAAAAAACAGTTTGTTTCCCCGCACAGAATCATCATGGGCCAATTGCTTGGCCTACAGACTTGCGCGAGTGGTGGGGTGTAACAGCAGCAGAGTCAGGGGATCAAGGGCAGTGGTCAAGTGGGAATGCGTAGCAATGAATGCTGTTTAATGATCATAAGTAGGGTCTATATATACATGCCTGGGGCCTATTGTACAGTGTCGTAGTGGTGTTGTCATGATGCCGGGCTCCCATCCTGGCTCTGTGTGTCGTAGCCGTGCAGCTTGGTAACCGAGTGGTAATCCTGTTGCATGGGGGTAGTGGCATTAGATGGATATTGGTAGCTTTTCTTACAGTAGGATCGGATGGCGCCAGGCTGGGTACTGACAGCACAGAGTAAGAAATAAAAATGAACAGTCGTATCACGGCGCGAATGCGTCGGTGCCAACATACATGCGTTTATCGATAAAAGAAACCACGGCATGGTCCTGCATGCAATAAAATAAGGTTTTATCAGTGGAAATAAGTAACGAGACAAGAGAGGGATCTTTAATGGCCCCGCCAGGATGGCTTTTTTATAGCTGCCCTGGCGGGTTATCAAGATGTACATGTCTTGCTAAACTTAATTATGTACGTATGTCCAAATATGGCACACTGCATCCTCCGCCATAGTGTGTCAATAAAGAAGGCAAACGCGATCTTTGTCTTCCTCATCATGACCTGAACATTCATACCGAAAATTTCTGAGCGCCAGCAAGCTCTCAAGAAAGCAGAGGATTACTGCTATTGATTACGACTCGGAAATGGAGGATGAGGCCATCATTTGTTACGCTTTGATTGCTGAATCCCACTATTTTGACAGACCAGTGCATCACCGGAAACGCGACGATTATTTCTTCACAACCAAGTTTTACGCTCTCACCGCTAATGAATTCACTACAAATATATCTTGTCAGGGGATTTCAATGTCACCATGTCACCAAGCATCGACAGAAATAACAACAATGGGAGTCACCGACTGGACACGCCCTTTTTGCAGTGGGCATCGGAGCAACCATTGACGGATGCGTACAGATCGATATTCCCGCTCGAGCCCGGCTTCACCTTCGAGGATGTCAGTCGCATAGACATGGCTTCCTATGTCCAGGAATTTCACTCCGTCTCTTCGACGCGGAGGTGATCGATGTACAGGACCATGTTAAATCGGATCACCAAGCCCTGGTAGTGTCCCTAAATCTATACGCGACATCGCTCCTTGGAGACACATCGGCCAGCAAAATACAGGAAACCTCAAGGCTTGCGGTTTTGTTTCCGTGAGACATCGAAGGAGGAGTGGACGAACTATGCAGAAGTGTAAACCAAATGTGCAGTCACGTGCAGTCATTTACGCGACAGTACGCGCCGAGTACTTCAACGCGTCCTGACCGCGATGTACGTTTTCTGTACATTAGGTTTAGATCGGATTTGCTCCGCGCAATGTACTAAGTACCAGGCTGGCCCTGTTACCAGGTACATTGCAATGAGGCATTTCTTCTACCTTTACATTTTATTACTTATTTTCTACGTAGCTTCTTTCAGTATCATTCAGTATAAAACGGAGTGCGTTCACCTCCAAAATCAGTAGTTCTTTATTGAATAAATCCACTCTTCAA